TTAAGAGTTTAAAGTGTTAACATAGTTAGAAGATGAGAGGGACTAATCATGAAGATGTGTACTATTGGATATAAATTAAAAGGTAAACGTTTAACAAAGTTTCCATTTATGGATACACAATGGAAGTGATTACTATAAGCAAAATATAAAGCATTTGCAATATTAGAGAACAACGAGAGGACAGAGGAACCGGACAAATGGGTCAGAGAGAGAGAGAGAGATTGTGTTGATAATATATGAAACAATGTGTAGTGAGATTGGTAACAGCCTTTATCTGAGTTCATCTAGAACTCTCAGCTACTTTGGCCTGAAGCTAGCTGTGAGGATTGGGGATTGGAGGGAATTGGTCTATGGGTTTTGGTGTTTGGTTGTTCAAATAAAATTAAAAAAGGACATTTTTAATATATCTACATATAAAGTTATATGAAAAGAAGTAACTAGATCCAGATGGAGACCGTTAGATGCAAGCTGAATTCCCCTAACTAGTAAAACTTCCCCTTTGCATTTTCAGCTTCACTCTAGCTAGTTTCTTTCAACTACTACTTTCATATATTTCTCTTTATTGAAAGGAAAAAAAATAAAAATTAGCTCGACTCGACCAATATTTACACCCCACTTTACATGCCACATATTTATTTGTTATCCATATAGTTATTACTTTCGAATATTATTTTACATGACCACTTTACATGCTAATTTATTTATCTATTGGTAACATAGAGAAAATAGAGTTTTTTTTTGGTGGAAAGATATAAAATTATTGGGACTCTTTTTTTTTTACTACAATTTTTGTGAGTTAAAATTGTGTATATAGTCCCCTTTTTTTTTGGCTCATGTGCACGAGTTTGCAAATCGTTTGAAGAAATATATATTTTCAATTATTTTATGTTGGATAATTATAAAAGCATATAATATGTGGTCAGGGTGATATATGCTTACACTGGAGAGGCAATGGCCTCGAGCATATCTATGGTTCCTTCCTATTAATTCTGACCTTGAATTATAACTACACATAGATACATACTAACATACATATATGTAAAGAGGATGATCATATATAGCTAGGTGAGGTGGCCGAATCTCTAACTTGATCTGCATTGATATGACATGTTTATATTGGTTTTCTGATGTCATGGGTTAGCTCGTACGAGCACTGGCCTATCGTAGAAGCATATGTAAGTACACTTATACACATGCAATGGAAACGACAGAGATGAGTTTTTAGTTCCAAGCAACGTGTTCTGAGTACGAATCACTGTCTATGTATATGTATGTCACTGATACATATACTACGCGTAGTACTACTACTATACATGAAATTTTCATATATATGGCTATTTACCTATGGTCATTTCATATACAATATATATTGTAAGTTTGTAACGTCATCATGTGAATGGTGTGAATAGAAACCATTCAGTCTCGAACGATTCACGAATTATAATGAGTCATGGGACCAATTTTTTTTTTATCACTCTAGTAAAACATAGTTCGATAATGGAGTTATAAAGCTGGATGTGGTTTGAGATGGAAAGGATCACATTAATAAGCCCCCCAAAAGTTTAAAATATTTGTCTCGCTATATATAGTTAACCCAAACCGGTCTATCAGTAGCCCGACCTGATTGGACATTTTTCTTATGTAGCTTCGGCCGATCCTACTTCTGATTTTGTTTTATTTTATTATTATATGGTTTGGTTTTTGTGAGTTTATTCTCTCGGGTGATGTCAACTCAAAAGTATGTTACGTTGACCACATAACTTAAAATTGATATACTATAATTATATATTGGACGAAAGAGCTGTGAATAGTTTCCACCGCAGCGCCGTATAACAAGGCACCTATTACACTTTTAGGTTGTCATATTGAAATGCTTGAGACTTTTGAGTGAAGATTGCAATATAAAGTTTTGAATATATATAACATAACATAAAAGCTGTATACTGTACGTATTTCCTAAATAAAACTGTCAATATATATCTCAACTACTTTTCAACTACACCATAATGAATCAATTAGAAATATAATTACAGATAAACATTTCCTAATATTAGTATATAACTGGTGAAGATTAAAAAACATTAGAAGATTGAAATGGTAGGGTGACAAAATTGGAAAAAAAAGAAAAGAAAATAGAAAGATATAAAAGAAACTTAGAAGCACGAACGAAAGATGTGAACAAGTCACGGTTAAGACAAAGAAAAAAAAAAGAGAGAGAGAGAGAGAGAGAGAAAGCAATGTGAAGACAACTTTAACTAATTACAAATCTTTCGTATCGCCGCTACAAGCCAACACCACACACGTAGAGACAGATCCGTCAAGCAAAAACGTTTTCGTCCCGTACCTTTCTTCCGATTTATCTCGGGATTCTACGTCCGTTATATATCCGACCATCCACATCTCTATCATCTACATACACAAAACATGCTTATAATACGGTATTGTATAGAGATAAATACATCAGATTTTTTGTATGTATAGAAGTAGGAATGATACATGCCTAGTGTGTCTAAGACAGATAGGCTCAGAACTACACTAAAAATGTTGCAGCTAACTGTTATATAGCAATCAATCTACACTGCCTGCCATCGATTCAAAGAAAGAAAAAGAAAAAAAACACTCTGGACCGTCGTGCACTCCAAGAAGCAGAAGAATGTTTAAAGTTGCTGCTGCTGCTGCCTTAATATTTGTTTTCTCATTTGCATTTACATTACATGCATGCTCTTAACTCTTTTATTCATTTTTTACATTGTTCATATATCATTTCTCTTATCTCTTACATGTTCATATATACTTCATTAATTACGAAAATCTTTTGCTGGAAACTAGTGTAGAAGTTTTATATATAGTCACGTGGGGACATGATCTTAACTTGCAGTTTGAATATTTATTGATTTTATTTTTTTATTTTTCATAACTATCTTTGAGTTATAGTTGAAATTTTAAAAACACCGAGTTGTTGTTATCATTGTGAGTAAAAATATTTTTGTTGTAACTCGAAATTTTGTATCTTTCTGCTTCTACTGAAGCTAGGAATATAGAACTCTAGTAGGTGCTAGGTTATATGTCTGTATAATATATCTATGCGTATAACATATCTAAATAGCTAATATATATCTATGTATAATAATTTTGGGAATACATATATATCTAAATAGCTAATATATATCTATGTATAAAAACAATTAAAAAAATACTCAATTAGAAAATAATCATATAACTTTGTAAAATGATGATAAAGTATTAATACAAAAAGTCGTAGCGGTGATTTATTGATATAAGTTGCAGTAATAATGTTATTTACTTTGTAGCTATGATGAAAATAGTAAAAGAGAGATTTGCCATTTTGATATCTGAAACAGTTATTATAATAGACCTATACTGACTAGCCTTAGCCGCATGCAACCATGCTACTAGCTCTACTTACCAATGAACTAGCCTCATTGTTTTTATTCTGTCTCATTTGTTTTCTTCTGAACCATACACAGAAAAAACTCTCGTAATACCAATTTGTATATACGTACCAATATAATACACTAATAAATGAATCAAGTAACAAGGCCTGGGTTGAAAAATTCTCATTATTAAGGGCCTCAATATTCATACGAATGGGCTTTAACTAACATCGACTGATATGTTTTGTGAAACTGCCCTCGAAGGCCAGGCCTTAGAGAAGATAAGTATGATTTTTAACTTCATCGGGCCTCCTTCTCCTTTCCTCCTTCTCCTAAACTTATCTTCTCTATCGCTCAAAAAGGTTTAGTAATAGTGTCTTTGCGGTTTTTGCCTTTTAATCTACAAATATTTGTATATGTGCTTTGATGAACAAAAGCTAGTTGAATCTATGTTTAGAGTGAATAAGGACAAGTTTTGGATAACATACACATTGAGTTTTGGATAACATACACATTAGTGTTTGATCTTTGTTCTTGTTGTTGATGGAAACTATCTTGATGGGTTCTAGATTTGCTTTCTTTTGTTTGGTGAATTTGAAGTCTAAATATAATATATTTATTCATGCTGCGTGGAAAGTCGATTATCATTTTATTATGATCTAATAATAATTCAGTTTGTCAGGTTGTCTCCGAATTGGTCATTATGGGTTTAATGATTGTTTTCTTGCGTCACATATCAGAAAATTCATGTTTATTTTATGCTGTTTTGTTATTACATTTGACTTATGTACACATAATTTTAGAACGAGTAGGCTGTATTCAGACGCAACCAAATCGAGATCAGTTTTTTTTTTTTTTATTGATTACATGACGTTCTAGATCGAATTAAAGTTTTGTTTACAATGAATCAATAATAGTATGTGGCAACTTATTCCCTCTGTCTTTTTGTCTTCTTCTAAATATGATGTTTGAAGCTTAATTTATTTCGAACATTTTCTCGTGCTTCACATGTTAATATCCTTGAAAACTATACTTCGAGATTTCGTCAAGAAGCTCTGGATTGTCAGCCACTTTTAACATATTTTAACTATGAATACTGTATTTGTTGTACATGAGCCAATCAGCCAATCACATTTGTTATTTAATTGGCTTATATGGTATATTAATTTACTTGTGAATTTGATCATACAATAGATTCTTGAGACAAGATATACACAATTAAAGCAAGACCCACTAAAATCATTTCTTGCTGGAGATGTTGTTGATCATGATAGCTAGCCTAAACGTATATTTGCTATGTTTTCATTTGAGCAAAACAGTTTGCAACTAATGTAAAATGTGACTTGGACAAGAAACTAAAGACGATTTTATCACCAAGACAAGTTGCTACCGACAAAAAAATTTCTAAAGATAGAACATAAAGCATTTTCAAACATTCTTTCTAAAAACAAATACTGGAATGTGACTTTCTTTTACATTATGATCAATTCTTCGCAATATAAAGTTAAAATAAATAAAAATAGTGGGTTTTTTCTTGAATTAAATATCAACTAAAATTCAAAACTCTTACTTCTAACATTGACCCATACAAATTTTAATATAAAATCACAATAGAAAACAACAAATTAAGTCCCCGGGTTTCATGTTCTACCGTTCAAAGTAAAAGTAATAACACTCTCTTCTTTAAATATCTTTCACGACTTCTCAACCTCATCTTTCTCTTTCTCCGTTTACAATATGAGGCAAGTCAAGATCGATCTCTGGCTAGAGAAGAAGGAGGACAAAGAGAAAGAGAAATACCCAAAAAACAAAAAACACAACAAGCTGATACATCTCACTCTCCTTATCTCCTCCACAGTTTGTTTCCTCTTCTTAATTCTCCACTTCCCCATCACAACAGAGTTCAAAGTCTCACTCCCACGCAAATGCAACCAAAACTTCACCGTCTACGTGTACGATCTTCCCAAGGAGTTCAACATCGGCCTACTCCAAAACTGCCGGCACTTGAACATCTACACCAACATGTGCCCTCATGTCTCCAACAACGGTCTCGGTCAGCCTCTCCACCGCGGTGGAAGAACGTCATGGTTCGCTACTCACCAGTTCATAGCCGAGATGATCTTCCACGCGCGTGTGGAGAACCACCCTTGCCGCACGTGGAATCCACACAATGCGGATATCTTCTACGTCCCTTTCTACGGTGGCCTCTACGCTTCAAGCGTGTTCCGAGAGCAGAACCTTACCAAACGCGACGAGCTAGCCGTCAGACTAGTCGACTACATTAGTGGTCAACGGTGGTGGAGGAGAAGCAACGGTCGCGACCACTTCTTGGCCATAGGTAGGACAGCTTGGGACTTCATGCGCTCCCCCGACACTGATTTTGGAGCAAACATCCTCATGCAAATGCCACGTGTCATGAACATGTCGGTGCTGACCGTAGAGAGGCAGCCTTGGAAAGGTGACAATCACTTCGGTATACCGTATCCTTCTTATTTCCACCCGTACACGTCAGCAGAGATGGTGACGTGGCAAGACAAGATGAGAAGAGTCGAGAGACCAAACTTGTTTAGTTTTGTCGGTGGGCCGAGGAAAGGGTTGGAGAAAGCCGCCATTAGAGACGAGCTGATCAGACAATGCGCCGATTCAAGCCACTGTGAGCTTCTCAAGTGTGAAAATGGAGGGTCCAGGTTTTTCATTTACTCTCTTTTTCTTAATTTTTCTTACACGTTTTCGCAATTGAATACAGCCACCACAATTTTTATATTGGAGGGGTCCAAAAGTCATAAACATTACTATTTAATTTTTATTGACAACTACTACTGCCACATTTGGTTACTTTTATTACTTTACATTCTCATTGGTTAACAGTAGTAACACTCTCTCAACTAATTTGACTAAGAGTTGTAACAATAATTCAAATAGGAGACTTGGTTGTTGAACTATCTTGATTCTTGAGTGTTATATGTATCCAATTTTTGTCGTTATGAGGAAATGTTGTAACCTTAACTATTTTTGCTTAATGTAGGTGCCATGACCCAATGAACGTATTAGGAGTAATGACTCGGTCACGGTTTTGTCTACAAGCACCAGGGGACTCATTCACGCGTAGATCAACATTTGATTCGATGTTAGCTGGGTGCATACCGGTGTTTTTTTCACCACACACTATGTATACACAGTACATGTGGTATCTTCCAGACGATAAAAGGAGTTACTCAGTGTTCATGGACGAAATTAACAGCACTCAAATAGAACAAGAGCTGTTAAGTATCTCGGATAGTGAGGTTGCTCGAATGCGGGAAACAGTCATCGGTTTGGTCCCGAGCATGACTTATGCGCATCCAAACGCTACTAACTATGATTTGCCAGATGCGGTTGATGTAGCTTTAGAGGCATTAGCTAAGCAAGCAAGGGCCAAGGCTATGGTTTCCTTGTAATTGCCATATACTTTTTTTCTGCTTTCCATATGTAATTAATCCCAAAGAATTAATAAAGAATTATAATTTTCATCTACATCACCTTCTTGACTGCCACTGTGGGATCTGTGTGACAGTCTGACAGATTGTGAATTTTTCTGCGGCTCTATGAAGTCTCAACTTGTCTATGATTTAAAACATTCCCTTATGTATTTGACTCAACAACTGACCTTAGCAATCACATTTTAGGACACGTCACATTACAAGTTAAATTGCGATTTTAGGACACGATTGGCCACCGTAGCCAATCACATTGTAGTCAGCCAAGATCCACGGTGAACAAAAACATCAAAGAGGAAATGAGTAGTAGAGTTTACTATAGAGCTACTACAATCAATTACAAATATTTGAGATTGTAACTATTGGACAATTCGCAGAAATAGCCCATGACTATTTTATAGGGCTCAAGCCCAATTTAGAATAAAAGATAATATATGAATACAAAGTATGTATTTAGGCATCTCACCAAAAAAAAAAAAAAACCACACAAGTATTTGGGCCTTCTACATAAAATGCTTATTTGGACCAAGAAAACCAAATAGTACTAATCTATTATTATGACAAAAAAAAGAAAAAGTACTAATCTGTAATCAAATAACATTATGCAATAGCAAATTATAATTTCATTAGTTTTTTTTAGTAATTTATATACTCAAAGTGAATGTTTTAATAAATTCTTCAGTACAACTATAAGATAATTTTGATGTTGAGTTAACAAAGTTCGATATCAAAACACTGATATTTTTTATATGAATCATCGAAACTTGCTAATAACATAAATACGATTACGAAATAACCGATATTGATACAAATCAATGTAGTTTTCAGATATTTGCAGCCAATTCATATGTTTATTAGAAGTGATTTTTTCCTCCACCAAAATTCACTAAGAATTATGAGAATACGGTGCTTAGTGTTTACTGTTTAGTTGAGTTGAGCATATAGGGGAATTATTAATTAAAACTACGTTGTACTTTTTTTGTTTGAGTCTCAATACGGTTTTGTTTAGGGACACGCGTGTGGGAGAGGCAGAGCTAGCATGACAGCATGTGGATGCTCAAATTTGCAGAGAAGTTTAAACTAATTTATTTAATACTATATTATAAAATTGTTAATTTCACAATTTTGATGGACATCATCATAATGTTGTGTTTCCCTTGTAAACATTTGAAGAATATATAATTCGAGTTTTGTTTTCTCTGATCTTTTTTACTACGTCACGACTTAGGTACCTAAACCTCGTTCTCAGATAAACTACAAAACCCGACATATCGTTCCATTCAACTTAATTTATACTACTATACATTGCAGCATGTCGTATGTAGATGGTAGTCATGGTACTATATCATAGTATTATCTATATTGAAGCACCTTGTCGTTTATTCGATCAGCGTGCAGCAAAAGTTTGGTGGACTTCACAAAAGATAGTCGTCATGCTGTTTTCAATAAACTAAACTTGATTAGTGTTTTGGAATACAACTTAATTACCGTCAAGTTTAAGTTTATAACTTGGTCTCATCATCACCACCAAATATCGACGTATACGTATTATATAGGTGAATTGTATCACATGTTGAGTTTGTTAATCGACTTCAACCGGTTTGGTCAACATAGATAGGGGTTGAAACTGAGTGATTCTGTCCCCTCCCCGACAAAGTTTTAAACTAATCTAAGGCGTTCATGATCATATTGTGGATGACCATTTCACTAAGCAATTTATTGTTTATGCATATATATTGTGGTGCATGCATAGTTCGGGAAGATAATTTTGGTCACATAAAATATCTAGCTAGTCTTTAAGAAAAACAAATTAGAAGTAAAATTTTCTAAAATTTGATTTGGACGTATACTAGTGTTTGTTGAATATGAAACCGATAAATCTCTTTGTCGAAATAAAACTTACCTATATATTCTTTTCCCTTTTTTGACTTGGAAATTAAAGTCAGCTATATTACTATTCTGTTTAATTATATAATTCGATTTATATATCTATATCAGTTGGCTGACTATTTTAATATACGCAATGATTATTCTATAAGTTCATCAGTTCAAGCGGTACACTTTCCCTTGGACGTATAGTGTTTAACTATTATTAAAACGAAGTTAAGGACTAATTAAATTAATATATGTTCCATAAGAGACAAGACCTACGGCACTTGGATCATGATTAGAGCAACAGGTTAACATTAATCAGATACAGACACAATACAGGTCCGGATGATGAATGAACCGTTGAGTTGTGCAGAAGCCAAGTGGTGGCTTTGTCTAATTTTTTTCTTTGTCATTTATTTCACATTATTCTTCAAATTTTCTAATTTATTATAAGGATTCTTTTCTGATAATTAATTTCTCACCATAAGTCTCTAATAATTAATAAAAAGCTAGCTAATTATAATCCAACGGCGGAAAGAGTTTCTCTAAGAAAAATATTATCATTAGTTTTATATCATTTACATTATAATTGAATCTTATTTTAAATAAAGTTTATACGTGCATATCCATAATACGTACGAACGTACGTCCTTCAAAATTGTTTTTTTTTTTTTTCAAACTCTCTCGTGATTATTAACTTATATATATATTCATGTATAAGACCATCAATACATACCCGAGTAGATCTAGACACGCATGTGTGCATACAATTGTAATTTATGTATCAATTTGAATCGATGACATAAAGAAGACCCAGTTTGGACCATTATTTTCATATATCATCTAACGAGAAACATTTTGAATCTTAGTCTAGTTGTATTTAGTGTCGGTTTATATCTTATAATAATTGATGATAATGTGGGTGAAAGCGAAAGTTTTTTAGTTAGTTAAATAAAATGGATAAGAAGACCTGATTAGCGTTAACAAATATTATAATTTCCTGTATTGGATTAGAGAAGCCATTGACTTTGCATAAACATTGGTATACAATTTATAAATTTATGTATACTTAATACTTAATCCACACAAGGAGTAGCTAGCTAGATGGATAGCATACATCAACATCATAAGCCTACGACCGAAAACCAAAGGAACCATCTTGCTTCAACGTAAGCACGTATAAATTAATCAGGTTTAGGTCTTTCGTTGCATAGAATAAGCTTCATAACGAATTTCGCAGAAAGAGGCCGTTCAAATGTGTGGTGCGTACGTAACTATCAAGAAGAAGAAAAAAAAAATGTGTAAAACGCATTCTTAGAAGTGGACTAGTAGGAGACAAAAAAAGAAGTGGACTAGTCATATTTTGGTCCGAAGTAGAGGAGATCAAAAATATCGTAAAAAGATGAATTGTATAGTACGTACGTAGTAGGAGGAATACAACAACATGCAGTTCAAGTGTTTTTTTAACGTGTTTATAGTTTTATATATGAGGTATGTTGGCATATGTTATTGTGGTAAAAGTCCATATTGATCATCTTACTATATATACATACATATCAAATTCTGAAAAAAAACTATTAAGAAACGTTAGCAAATAAGACAATGACGGATCCATCGAATGCGAATGTGCATTTTGATGTTATTTTTGAAGAAGAACTAAGCACAAGTTAGAATTGATTAGTCATGTGAAATGATTTAAATTTATTTAACTAACATAGCAACTTGAAGTATATTTGTGTTGGTCAAATCTTACACTTAATAGTCTATCGACGAAAAATGTAATATTACCAAAGTGAGAGATAGAAAGACTTAATGGCTAATGCCATAATCACAAAGAGCGTTACACGATTAATACAAAGGTGGGAAACGGGAAGATTAAGATATCTGATTTCTTTCTTTTTTCAACTCTCACAAACTAATACTCAAATAACGTAACCTCCATGGACCATGATGTCATGTACTTGTACTAAAATCCACTTGGTAAACTCGTTTTCGTGTTTACGAAAATCTTGACTTAAATTACTCCATTTCATCATAAACCCAATTGTTTAACCTTCTATTCCGGATCTCAAACATACACATTCGATTGCTTGTAAGTAGATACTCCTATATGAAGATTTATAGGTGCGTTGTATGTATGTAAGTGTAACCCTCGCAAATAGCAATAAGCCAATAAATCAGAATCATCCCCACGCGTCTCTCTTTTGCCACACCCCTTCTTCACTTTTTTTTGCTCTCCCATTCTCCTTATACACACTTCCAAGGGACACGTGGCTTTAACATTTCATATGGCGTTTTTTTTTAATTTATTCGAGAAACCCAAAGCTATAATAATTCCTCTTTTGCCATATGGATGATTTATCTATTTTTATCAGTAAATATCGAGCTTCGTTTTTTGTCTTTTCTTTCCTATTTTCAATGTTAAAAAGAAAAAACACATTTGTGTGTTACAACAAAACAATGATGAAAACACACATTGGAACCACAACAAAACAAAAAAACAAAAATTAACTCATTTTTTTAATTTATTTTTCCCTCAGAAAAAAACAAACTTCGTATATAAACCTGAAAACAGTGATGTTTTTATTTTTTTCTCTTCATCGGTATGTCTTTGTTAATCTCTAGGTTATACTTATATCCTCACGTCTATAGATATAAACAAATGGTACTTTAAAAATCCAAAAAAAAAAAAGAAAAAAAAAACTCTCTCTTGTTGTTGTTAATCATGCAAGTATGCTACTCCAACAATTTCTATCTCAAAATTTCATTGATTTATTTCTTCTCCTCTAAAACCCTCTCCAAACCCACAAGTAGTGGTGATACATTACAGGTCAGCCACCTCCATTGAAGTGAAGCTCTCTCTCACCCAACAAAGAGAGAAAGAGAGAGAGATTTGTATAGTGTGTGTGTGGTGCATCGTTACAAAAACACAACAGAACCGTACGAAACCTTCAGATTTTTTTTTGTCTCTTTCCGTGTTGTTGTTTGCTAATGACAGAACTCAACTTCCTCCTTCCAACAATCTCCGATCGTCTCATCGCCGCCACCACGACAACGTCACCGTCGTTCTCATCATCATCACATTCTTCTTCCTCTCTCATCTCTTTCACGAAACGGAGACGAAAACACCAACCTTTAGTATCATCATCATCCATACGCATGGAGCAGTACTACTCACCGCAAAAGAATCGAAAAGACAAAGTCGTCGTCATTTTAGGAGCAACCGGCGCCGGAAAATCGAAACTTTCCGTCGATCTCGCCACTCGTTTCCCTTCAGAGATCATAAACTCAGATAAAATCCAAGTCTACGAAGGTTTAGAGATCACAACGAATCAGATTACGTTACAAGACCGTCGCGGCGTCCCTCACCATCTCCTCGGTTACCTCAACCCCGAACACGGCGAACTCACCGCCGCGGAGTTTCGCTCCGCCGCTTCAAACGCCGTCTCTGACATAACATCTCGTCAAAAGCTCCCGATCATCGCCGGTGGATCTAACTCTTTCATCCACGCACTCTTGGCTCAACGATTCGACCCAAAGATCGATCCTTTCTCATCCGGGTCGGGTCTAATCACCTCCGATTTGCGTTACGAGTGTCGCTTCATCTGGGTCGATGTATCGGAGATCGTGCTCTACGAGTACCTCCTCAAACGGGTCGACGAGATGATGGATTCGGGTATGTTCGAAGAGCTGTCCGGGTTTTACGACCCGGTTAAATCCGGTTTAACACCCCGGTTTGGTATCCGGAAAGCTATAGGCGTACCGGAGTTCGACGGTTACTTCAAAGAGTATCCACCGGAGACGATAAAGTGGGATGATGATGATGGTTTGAGAAAAGCGGCGTACGATAAGGCGGTGGATGATATAAAAAGGAACACGTGGACGTTAGCGAAGAGACAGATAAAGAAGATAGAGATGCTAAAAGACGCCGGGTGGGAGATAGAGAGAGTTGATGCAACGGCGTCGTTTAAAGAGGTTATGAAAATGAGTTCGTCGTCGGAGAAGTGGAGAGAGGTTTGGGAAGAGCAAGTGTTGGAGCCAAGCGTAAAGATTGTGAAGCGGCTGTTGGTGGAAGATTAGGTTTTTTTTTTTTTTGTTTCCAGCCATTTTACAGCTCATTTTTTTTGGGAAACTACTAATATTTTTGGTCATGTAATAAAAACGAAAATGAAAGAAGAAAAAAAAAAGAACATTTTTTGTTGTTGTTTTGTTGGGAAAACATGATACATATGATCTCCTTCTCCGCCATTTTTGGTACTTAAAAACCCCTCAATTGATGGGAAAATTTTATTAGAAAAGTTAATTGTTTTTTTCTTTTGTGTAAAGTGTACAATTTTTTCAAAAAGTTTTGATCTTTTAAGAAAATTAGGAAGCTTTTTGTTTGTTGTTGTAGTATGCAGAAATGTTGTGTTGCGTATAGAGAAGAAAGCAAACGGCATGGGGAGAGAGTGATGTTTTTTTTTTTGCAATTAGCGTCGGAACAAAAAAGACCTTTTTTGTGTTATTGTCATTGTGGTGGAGGCTCAACCTCAATCAGTCTTAAACCAGCTTAATTACCAATCTTGAGTGTTTAGTAGTATAAGATTATAACAACTTGATCTTCAGTGAGTTGTTATTGTAATTTATATAGTATTAGTGGTCATCATATGTACAAAAGAGAACTTAAAATGAGTAACATGTATGACATTACAATAATTTAAGTAAACATGTTTTATAATTGGTATTCTATACCATGTTGTGTTTCTCTATATTAATAAAAAAGGGTTAGCTCCATACTTAACTACACTTCTTAACATATCTAATTTATAAAAATGATACCGTAATTTTGAACTATTTCAGAAGTTAAACATAAAATGTGGCTTACATGATCGTCGCCTTTGTTGGATTCTTAATTAACCGGTGGTTTAAGTTAGGAGGCCAACACATAATTCGTCTAATTAAAAACGAGTCATTCTACATTTTATGATGCTTGATCGTTAATGTATGTAATTCGAGTTATTCTTTCAAAGTTTTTGTGTTTTAATTTGGTTTATGTTTACTTTTTGGGTTATCTAGATTTGCAGACAGAGTTTTGCAACCTGAGCCGCAAGGAGGTTTTTAGATTCAGACAGCCCCACGAACTTACTTGAAGTCAGGATATGACAACTAATACTAATCAAAACGAAATCCTCCAAAATCTTAAAAGACAATCTTACATAGATTTTATTCGACTAGTTATTTTCAATGATCTCTGTAATGATTTGTTTGGACTTTTAAAGTTTTTGGTCCAAGTTATTATAAAAGTATTTTTTAGGTTCAATTAAGTCTTCATCATAACAGACATAACGAGCTGATATGGATTCTTCTATAACTTCCACACGATATTTTGTTCCACATCTAGTTAGCCGTGGATCTACAAGCTCTCGTCACAAGATATATATATTGATTCTTGAGTTTTAAGTGCATGCACCACGTATAAACAATTCGTACTTAAAAAAATAAGATCTATAGAACAGACTTTGTAATATAAAAAAAAGATCACTGTTAGTTAGCAAAAAAAAAAAAAAATCATTGTTCGTGAATACTACACGTGGTTTATGACCATGAACTTAAACTCGACATACTTTTGTGTTCGATTATATAATCGTGTGTTCCTTCGTTTGTGATGACTTTAAAAAACATGTTCATCAATCATCATCCCTAAGATTAGTTCGGATGGTTAACAAAACTTGGATATATAGTCAATGTTATATGTAAATATGTGCACTGCAATACAAAGTGAAATAACAATAATATTTTCTATCGATCTCGCTATCACTCATTTATTATTCTCTCGTAGTTCTCATGACCATTGTTCTTTGCAGTTTCAAAAAGGCGTCATAATTTGTGACAGTACTTGTTGTTGATCAGAAACCAAAGACAATAATATTGGCACGTAAACTGTAAGCTAGACTGGAGGGGGTTGCTATCAAAACTTTTTCACCATTGGATAGGTCTTAGTCAACAAGCGCTTTGAATGCAATTATTTCTTTCATTCCAATCTAAGGAATGATGTATACATATGTACCTAGCTAGCTAACTCATAGATACCTCTTCTCTCGTGTATACTTGGATTGTTAGATTGTGTATTGTCCGTAGTGTAAATTTACAAGTGGTCCCTTTCTCGCATATATTGGATACATATATATATTTCAATTGACAACACACACAAACATGCACATATATACATATATTATTTTTGTTATCTAAAATTTTATAAATCACTAGATTTTTTTGTTTACAAAAAAAAAAAAAGATATATGCTGCTGAATAAGATATAAAACTTTTTGAAAAAGGAAATCGAAAATTTTAAGAAGTTGAATGCGAGACAAATTTAAAGTTTAAACTAGCATGCGGAAATGTAAACATATCGTTGATCACTGCGTTAAGCGAATAGAGAGATTAATTCTTTTAAATGTATATATATGTTTTAAAAATTATAGTGTGTTTACTGATTTCGATGAGAAAAATTACTGCCCTGAGATATAGAGGATTTTTTTGTGACATCTTTAGTTTCACTCATCCCAAATATGGTAAAATGAACTTTAGAACACATATATTGCGTAATGGCATTTTAACATTTTCTCCAATTTCCAAACATGGGCATGTTGTGTAATGTATATTAGCTAAACGATCCATGCATGAAGCAAAGTTTTATACTTGATTGTTTTCTTTGCACTTAGTAACATAAAATAGACCGGAGCCAACGTGGCCGAACGCTTAGGATTGTTTGTATTTTCAATCCTCCATAGTTTAAATGCCCGGATCTATGGAACTACATAGTATACATATATATATATATATATATATATATATATATATATATATATATTTTTTTTTTTTTTTTTTTTGTGAAGGAACAAAGAGAAAATATATCTGTACAATTAAATATAAGGTTTGATGACATTGATTGGTATGCTTGATGATCTCGCCATATTACTAGCCCGAATCAGATTTGAAAGGAAGCTTCTCTTTAATCCCCCAAATTTGTCTAAATGCATGCAAATGACAGCTTTACATCAATTTCAAACATATAATTATCAAGTTCTATCAGATTATTCGCTCTTTGTTCATATACATTAATAAGGTCTACGATCAAGGTACGGGCTTCTTTGTACCCTTTTTTTTTTGTTTCCTATCATTCTTGTGTCCTTCTATTTATATATACAAATATTATTTGTACATTTCTGCATGTTTTATAAAGTCAAACTTTAAAAGGCAGAAGACTTGTGACAAAAAAAGGTCAAATGATGTAAAAAAAAACTGATAAAAGTCAAACTTTGAGCACATGTTACATTAAGGGTGCTTTTTTTTTTTGTTAACTTAATTCATCGTCAACAAAAGTCCTCAAGTTAATTAAGAAGTTTTTTACTTGTTTTTTTTTCTTTTTCTTGAAATTGTGTACTAATTTTGAGTTTGCATTCGTTGATAACAAACTGGTTAATTTCACTGTATCGAGCAATATTTTCTGAATGATAAAGACTTTGCAATTTGGATGGTATGTTGACTCTCCATCATCATATGCTTGCTTAATAATCTTAATCCCAATTTTAATAGAGAGAAAATATTATGAGAAAAATTTAACTGGAAAATTGTTGATTGTTGAAGACTTGAAGTGATATTTTCCAAGAGAATTATGTGAATTATAAGATAATCCAGCATACAGTCATATGAGGTTTATTTTGGGTGCTAGACTAACTGATGAGGTTTATTCTCAGCCGTCAGAGTAGTATAGAGTAGTTGTATACTACGGTAGAAAATAAACATTATGATTATAGAGATGAAATATGCAGTTATTCCCCAAAACAGTACACATAAATCAAAATATATAATATATTCCATCCCAAAAAAATCAAAATATATAAAATTTAGGTACTAGTGCTGGCGATAGATAATTTTCCTCTTAAATGATATTTTGAAATGATCAAAACTCACTCGTGAAATGACATATTAAACCAACCGTTTTTATATTAGCGCAACGTTAAAAATTTTGATTAGGAGCACTAGTGTTCTAAGACATAATAATTTTCATACTTTTCACACAAAAAAATTATATCGTTCTTTTGGACAATTTGGTTTATGGATCTAATATAATAGTCTTATTTTCATCATTAGTTGAAATAGAGGACATAAAAGACAAAAATCATAACGACTACAACGAAGCATCATGTTGAAAGTATTCGTGTCCACAAGATTAGGGCTTCTCATTACCTATTTGCAATATTTTTTTTTCCTTTGATAAAAGGATTTTCAATGTAAGAAAAAATAAGGCCTATAATTTTATTTTCAGCTCATCTATGTATCTCTTCTCTTGTACATCGTGAAACAAGAAACTGACATGCGTGATCATATATACTCCTCTTGGCCAAAGGAAAATGCTGTTGCTTGAAGCAAGTAGAAACAGTTTAGGAAATACATATTAAAATTACAAGAAAATGTAAGTATTAATTAAGGGACAACGAACAGACAAAAAAAAACCAAAGAGGAAAATAAAACAGTAGATGGGAGAGATCCGAGGTCTGTAAGAAGTATTTATCAAGAATTGAATCGTTCCTTCATGTAATAGTTTATTAGATTTTTTCTTTCCCGAAGCACAATAATTTTGGTTCCATTAAATATGACAGTGGTGCCTAAACAACAGTAGCACAGTTAGATCCAAATGTTAGCTTCAATGATCAATGATGCAGCAAATAGTGCGCGTGCGGTGTGTTTGCGCGTGATCCTATAATCCCGAGGTCTCAGCTTTTCCAATTTTATAATTCTACATTGCATGCACTCTTAAGTTTTGGCTTGTTTTAGTTGCTGCTCTTTTGATTTTAGGCTTCAAACCGTACAAGTATGTTTACTGGGCTCATGTTTGGGCTTACCAGGATTACTAATAGCATCTGGACCATTTTAGAAAAATTTCTAGTTAGAAATAGAGAACCCATTGAAAATGAAATATACAAGTCCATTATGCATGTGCAACTAGTATGGGTCCAAATGTTGCGTATTTTGGATTCTTGACGCTTACAGTGATTGGTGGCTCAATGAAAAGGATGTTGCCATGGTTGAAGCATGTTAAAAGAGCAAGAAGAACAACTAGTGAAGATAATCTTTGAAGATATCGAGGTTAAACTCTTCATCTTGTTTTGAGATATCTGAGTATACTTGTTAGTCTTTGCGTATATTTAGTTTGATATTAGCTGCAAGTCTTAGACTCATTCCTTTTTTAAACCATTGAAGTCACACTATGTGTCATCAGCCTCTTGAACCAACACAAATCGAGGCAATGAAGGCTGAATTGGCTTCTTTTCTCAACAGAATATGTTATATGAATTTAAATCCAAATAATAGTGGATTTGGATTTATAAAGAGAAAAATCACTAATTACGTTATGAAAAATAATAATTAAGTTATATAAAAATCACTAATTAAGTTATGAAGAATGAAAAGAAAAAGGGAGAATAACACTTACACCCAGGAAGAAAAAAAGGTTGACTTTTGTGTAAGTCTTGTTATTCCACAACAACTATTTTAGTTTTAGTAGTGGAAATATTAATTAGTAATTAACAAAAAGGCCTTTGACTTTTTGATAAACAATTAGTGTTTTACAAGTGGTGTTCGAATTCTCATGGCACATGTATTATATACATCATACTTGTATTTAATTAGGAAACTGTGTGGATTTACCCCTCCTTAATTATTACAAATAGCCATTGAACATACCTTCTTGATTTTGAAATTAATAAAAACAGATGTACACATCGGCCGATTAGAACAGAAGTCAAACTCTGTCTAAACTCTTTTAAGATTTACATTCTCCAATTGGAAAAATAAATGAATCAGCTGTTGTTGATATGTTTTCCACAGGTTCGTATATTATAAAGAAAGTGATTAACAAAACAATGTCAATGTTATACACTAATAATCACTATAATACCTAACAATTTGGGGAAAACAAAGTTAAATTAATGATTTCAGCTGCCTGTAAATGGGTTTAATTTTTTAAAAAACAAGACGATAGTTTTGAACATTTAAAAAAAAACTCCTTATTACGTATAAGGAAAGAAGTACATGAAGGATGTTTCAACAATCTCCTTCAGCCAACCTTGCATGGTCATTGTTCACATAATCACAGCCAGTAATATTCAAAGATGAACAAAAATTAAGAATTATTTACCAAAATAATATTAACAATCCTTTTGGAAACTATTGAATAAGCAGAATATACCTGAGCCATGTCTACTATTCAAACACAACAACAGTTCTAGTTCTAAATTCAAAACTCTCAACGTAATGTTTAAAGTCAACGGTCAGAATCGTTGGCTTCGATATAATAAGACGTATTTTTATATATATAACCAAACTTACACGCAAATGTATAATATATATTTCTACATATACCAAAGATCTCCTTTTCATTTTCAAAACCTTCCTTGAATCTTTTCATTCTCCAATCTCTTGAGATATATTAGTAACCATGATTCCTACAAGATGCAATGAGATCAACGGCTCACGTCCTCCGTCGCTAAAACTAGCCGGAGGATCTCACACCATCAAGAAAACGACGACGTTGTGTAAGTCTCAGCCACGGCCACATGGACGGACAGGTCCGGTGATCATCTACGCGCACTCTCCGAAAGTGATCCACACGCGAGCCGAGGACTTCATGGCTTTGGTTCAGAGGCTCACGGGTTTAGAGGATATTATTAGACGGAACGCTAACGACGTCAGCGAATCATCATCTGGTGTGACGGAAGAAGTTAACGTAGGTGATGATGACACGGCGGCACAACGAAAAAAGCTAGCTGATATGCCATTGTTCACACCGAGCTCGATGACTTTGTTTGGTTCTCCAACTCAACTTCTTTACATGTCTCCGAACGGGACCGGTTCGTTTTCACCTTCGCTATTTAAGTTCAAATAAGACTTTTGAAAATAGTACTTCTTTGTGATATCGTTTTGTATGTGTTACTTTGGTTTGTTCATTCGTTTGTTTTTAAGTTCTTTTACTTAGTCGTAATTAGTTGGTGTAAATGTCACTTATGACATAAACCAAGAAAGAAATGTCACTTAGTTACTGTATTTAATTTGATTTAAAACGCAACAGGGCAGGTTCTCAAATACTTTTGTAATATATCAACAAGAATCTTTCCATGAATCAGATTGATTGATGACATAAATCGATAAATAAGTTTTGTATTAGTAAAATATAAAATGTACATGTAACTTAGAAATTGGAAGCAATAGAACTAGTGGTAGTTCCGATTTATTTTGATCTTCTTGTTAATTTTTCAATCTATTTTTTTTTTTCAAATACTTCTGTTACCAAAATATAGTACGATGTCACATTATTAATATTGGTACAGAATTATCTACCGCTCATCTATAAATAACTATCAAATAATCTGGCTTTGTTAAGATAATTTTTTTTATATGTGGGTTAAATTTGGATGGTATTTAATAGACAATGGTCCAAAAATATTCACGTCCAATAAAAACTATTTCCAAATAAATTTAGTTTTCAAGCTGTGTACAAATTTCTCGTTATTTTAAAAAAAAAATTAGAATGATAACGTTAGTAGATGACATTGTAGTTAGTGAATGTGGGGACGCCGTGAGTTGATGTTCTTATAGCACATCTATGACCAAGTTTAATTGCAAATTAAATTAGCAATTAACTTTTCTATATATGTAACGGTTTGAGAATCGTAGAGAGTCAACATGTTGTTTAAGAAGCTTCCATTTTGATGATGAACCCTACACTTAAAGTTTCTATTGTGACCTTCATATAGCAAAATTAGTTAAATTATACTCCAGTTTACTGTATAATTTGATATACATTTCGTTTTTGTTTATACAAATGTTATGTGAATGATATGTTCACTTCAATAAATTGATAGGTTATCCAAAATTGTTGGCAAATATAAATTGTAATGCGTATAGGGCCTTCTTGTTGAGCCCACATGACTAACTAAATACAAATCACTATAGATCCTAGGCCCGTTATTAACGCATCATTTAATTAATTTTGTTTTATTTGTATCGAAATATAAATCCCACTACGAATGTCTTTTTCCCACTAAATGTGATTGTGTTATGGATTTATTTGTAGAGAGTTTCACAGCTGTTTCACTATTTGGTTAGTGTCCCATATTTGATTGAATCGGTTGATACTTTTCAATTTTGGTTTCGACCGATCACCACTATATATATATATATGATCATGAAACAAAAACAAAGTCTAAAGTAAAAGAAACTTTATATATTATAATTTAGCAAATACGTTTAGTTCCTTTCATCTATAGTCACCACCTACTTACAATGATTCTAGTATTTGTCTTCTTTTTTTCTTATCCCACAAATCTATATCTCTACTTTTTTCTTAGTGACACTACGTTTTCGGAAGATTTACATACCAATATATAAATCCAATCTCTCTTCAAATCCTCAATGAATCTTGACTAATAAGTAAATACATGGTCTACCTACATGCAATAATATTCCAAACAAGAAAATTTATCAAGAAGAAAGAGACAAGAGTTACTTAAGGAGATGGAGAATAACAATGTTAAGCCTTTTAACTTGGTCAACTAGTTGGCCATCTATCCAATCCAGTTTCTTTATCATTGTTGCTAATTTTAAACATAATACTACTATCTTAAATCTGAATCACATTTGCTTTACAAAGATGGTGATATTACTTAGACTTTTCTTTTATATGATTTTAAAAGCAATTAGGGTGTAACTAAAATGTAAAACTAAAGCCTTATTTTTGCTAAATGCTTGAAGAGAGAGTTGTGTTGCGTGAAAATGTGAACCACACGAATAGAAGAAACATGATTTCCCGAAATCAAAGAACTGTTCATATCAATCCGGTCAAAAAGTCTCTCGCAAATAACTGTTTTCACTTGCCTAATGCAGTATTTTGATTAACACGTTTCTGTCTTTACGAATAAAATCAAAGTCGTATACTTCGATGATTTTGACAAACTTAATCGTATTGAAGAAAAATTACGAGAATATATTTTACATGTCTTCATTTTCATTATTATTAACTATATAAATTTTATTTAAAAGATTGTTGTATAAAAGTCTACAAAGAGTTTCGAGTTTCGACTGATGAGGCATGAGATTTATCCGAAAGAACACTTTGATATGATATCTCTCGTGTGACATCTCCACCAAGAACATTACAGTTAAGATGATAAAAAGCAGTACATGTCTCATTCCATTATGATCTTGTGCTCTGTTAGTTCGGTTGAGAGCATCAGTACCTTGACGAGATTTTATTAGATTAATCAAATTATTATTTTGTTGACTATACGAAACCTAAATATAGCTATGATTTTTTTAAATAACTAATTCACATTTCCCTGTCATAATATATCTCTAAAACGACTATTTTCATTAAAAAAATGAATTGAATTATTAAATAAATAAAATACAATTTTCTATTTTTTTAAAACTCTGATTGGGTTAATTTTTTAAGTTTCGGTTTCATTGGTACTAATATAATTTTTTTTTCGTTCTTTTTTGTGGTTTCTGACATTTCTGTCCTATATTCTAATCTCATCACACCAAACTCGAAACCGGCCAACATTGGCTAGTGGCTACGCATAGAGCCAGATAACAAGTGAACCAGTAGTAACCGACCAAACACACTTTTATTAATTAATCTTGAGGCTGATGTTTATTCAATGAATCGAACTCCAAAGCAAAGCAAACAGACAAATTTTTATTTACAAAATGTTTCAATCGTTTCTCGTTTTACACTTTTTTGGATTTTTGAATCTTTCAAACTTTTTTAAGACAAAACCAAAACCGTCCCACCACTTCTTTAACACATCCTTCTCGTCAACCGAATCAATCTCACCATCATCAGCCCGAGATAACGACGTCAGCGACGTCCCACCATGTCTTACCCTCACTCTCCGTCGTCAACACACCGTTAAACTTCCTCAAATCCCCGACGGCGATTTCTCCGGTCACATCATCCCTCACGTAAACTTTCTCCACTCCACCAGCATCAACTCCGATAATATTCCCTAACAACCTCCCCGGCTGCCTCCACTCCGCCAACAACGCCGGCATCTTGAACCCGGCGCGTGGATCACACGCCTTCACTTTAACACCGTCGACACCTTTCTTCTCCGCGGCCAAAAAAACCGGCGACGACGAGGCTGCTAAGCTACAATTCTTGAGAAACGTCGCCACAACATTCTCGTTATCCTCATCATCACCACCACCAACATCTAAATGATCCCAAAGCTTCACAACACCACTCGAACCAATCCCACCAAGATCAGGCCACGAGAACAAATCTCCAAAACTACCACTACACCTCTGCCGCATCCACGTACAATTACCACTCTGCCCCTCGTCGTAATCAGATCCTCTCACGCGGAAACCTCCGTTGACCCGTCGTCTCTCGCTAAAGATCGAGTCAACATCTTCATCCTCATCCTCATCCTCATCTTCTTGATCCTCTTCCTCTTCTTCTTCATCGTCCGACGAAGCCGCAGAAGAACAAGAAACATCGGAATCGCTGTCGTAATCATCAAAAAGAGTTGGGGAAGAGACAGAGACATCTATGTTTTTTCTTAACCTAACAACTAAACTATTGAGTTTACTAACAAAGTTTGTGAAATAAGCTAGAAACGCAATAATCAAAGCTCCCCATTTCCAAAACCCGTAAGCTTGGTGTAGCTTACCGATTCCGGAAACAGCAACAGATCGAGAAAGAAACGAAGGATCGTTAATCGAGTTTATACCAACAACTTCGAAATCCCTAATCCTATTTATCACCGGCACCTCCATTATAGGGTTTGCTTCTTTTTTTTTTTTTTTGGTTTATGAGATAAAAGAAAAAAAAAAAGTTTTGAGAGAGAGAAAGAGAAGAGATTAGAGAGGAGGATGCAAGAGGCTTTGAGCAAAGTCTTTAAAAAGACCAAAGTGAAGAGTTTAAAGGAGTAACCACACGTGTCGGAGATCTAGTGGGTTAATATGAGAGTTTTATGGTAACACGTAGGATAAAAGAAAGAGAGAGATAAGATACAATCACAATGAGTCAGCTTTCTGACAGATGTATTCTCTGTGTCTGTAACTATCTCACAACCACAATAAATAATAATGGATAAAGTAAAATAGTAATTTTTTTTGGCTGTTATTATTATTATTTATCGGTTTATCATAAATATTTTTATGAGTGGGTTTGAACGACCTACCACAAATATATTGCTTTATTTTGTTGTTTGTTTTGTTTCACAATTATTGAAATAAGGTTTGGATTTGAGGCGTCCAAAATAATTGTGTTGGTGGTTACTTTATGTAGCGGAATCATTGATGAGAAAAGATTGTTTTTTTTTTTTTTCGTTTTTTTTGGTTTTTAAGAATAATAATATAGACAACTCATAGCCAGTTTTTACTAATTAATATGACAACTCATAATATACTTTGCACAAAAAAATAAAATAAAATAATATACTACATTTGTTTTTGGTAGATTTACATTAATTTTCTTGTTATTCAAAGGAAAATTTGATATAGTTATTCAAGGATTTTATTACTTTAATTGTTTTTTACAGATAAATGAATTTTGACTATGATTTTCCACAGAATTAAAAAAATACTTCTTTCAATGGATTTTATCTTCAAGTTTGGGGTTGAATTTACAAATTCTGGCTGTATAATTCTGTTTAGGAAACTTAGTTTATGTATTTTATGAAATATTGACTCTTAAAATCGCAAAATATGGAAAGGTGCTAGAAGGACTCATATGGACCAGAATTGTGACAGTTTGCAATTGTAGGAACAAAGACATGTTCACCACAGAGTTTATGCCACGTGTAATCTCCTGAATGAAGCAGCAGCAAGAAAAAATAATTTCGCATTAATAAGGAAGGCTTTAGATTCTCACCAGAATGACCTGGAGTTTAGATTTGGTCTAAATATCAGATTCACAATAAACGTATATCTGAGGTTAGATGCACGCCACGGTTTACGTATCCGAGAAGGCAATAGTCAGATTGAAACTTACTAGAAGATCAGGTTTATCAAACCGGTTACGTTTTCGATTTTTGCTCTAAAACAACTTGTGTGGTGTTGTTTTGTGTTGTGTTCTACAATAAAAGTCTTCGAAGCAAATCTAAACTTGGTTTTGCTTTCTTGGTGAAATTTGGCACTTTTCACGGTTTGTGGTAGATATATAGTTATTTAGCTTAAATCAAATCATTTTAATGCGTATGCCAAAGATTAAATTAAGCCATGTGTTTTAAGATTCCTTTTATATTTCTTGGAAAAAAAGATTAAGTACTTCAAGTTAAAATGTTGGATGATGTTATCACAATGATGTGATGATGATGATGGTGATTGTGATTATTATGCATGAAATTGAAAGGTTAGGAAGCTGTGAACAGTGAAAGTGCAAGCAGTCTTCCATTGGAAATTATTAGAATATGTAAAATGATTACATGATTTGGATAGGAAAAGATCAAATAATTAACTAATGGTTTTAAAGCAAAGCTGATTTGACAGCCGGAAAAAAAATTAGAATAAATTATCAAATTAAAAAAAAAAAAATCAGAGTTGGGCCAAAAAGAGGCTTTAACTACAACGATCCAATTTGTTTACTTATTTAGCCCAAAAAAAACTAACTCTGTAAATACTAAATAGACCAACATAGCCTAAATCAACACCAAGGCCCGGTGTACATGGATGATGTTGTATCAGATGTTAAGCTAACTTGCTTTGACAACAAAACTGTTGAAGCTTCAGTAAATACTTTTCTAAGATGAACTCCAAAACATGTCTCTAAAACTGGACTAAAATGCAATAATTGCAATGTCAAACGGTAAAAGTGATCTCAAAAGGACGAGAGGCATTAAACCACAAAGTGTATATTTCACTAATCTCTGGATAAAGCATAAACCAAATTGATCCTCATCTTTATGCTTGCTAGTAAAATAAGGTAATCCTCTAGAAGTACCCACTTTGAGAGCTCTACGCCGGTTGGAACTTTTTCAACCTCAAATGTTCTAAAGGCTTAGGCCAGTGCAACACATCGTAAGGTTCTTCCAGCCAGCTGAAGGAGAGAAAACATACGAATCAACTCTTCCACTCATAGGTGTAAAACTGTAGTGAAACTGTTCATTTGAGTCTTACTCTAAACATGGAGTGAACGCATATTTATAAACACAAAACACACCTGATTTAATGTTAGTGTTCCAGTTTTATCGCTACAAATAATGGTGGCAGATCCCATTGTCTCACAAGAAGATAGCTTCTGCACCTGCACATCAACTTTTGGTAGAAAGGATAACACCATTTCCATCTGCCACTTTACAGCCAGACATTAGGAATGGGTCCTTGTTAGTCTTTGTTAACCTAGCAAGAAAAGGGAAGCCACTATTAGGAGTTATACCAAAGCCGGAAGAGAAAGTCAACAATTTCACTATAATAGGAAACAAGAAAACACACCATTTTGCTAAACTCACTAACCTCTGTTTTTTCTTAAATTCCAAGTGCTAAAGGCGGTACTGCAGCAGCCATCAAAGGGAGATCACAGAAAGCATCCTGAGAGAATCCTCTGTGATGAAAAACAAACAAAAACGAAACCAACAGATCATATGAGAGAGTGAGCAAGGAAAATAAAATTAACACAGGGTAGATAATAACAAACGTGCATATTCATACTAGAAACCATAAATGGTCTTGCGTCTTAGCAAGTCATCATCATCATCATCTCCACTGATGCCTTTCTCTGGTATTCCTGAGCAAATTTGACAATCCTTGAGGCTGATGTATACAACAAAAAACATGCATACCAAAGTTAGCTAGAGACAAGAGATAAAAAAGAATAACCAGAGATATATAAGAAAAACATACACACTCCATATTGCTGCTTGTTGATGTGATCCTTGACAACATTATCATGAAAAACTGTTCAGAAGTGAACTCCCAGCCGGAGTTGGCTGTTGGAAGACCATTATAAGAAACCAAGCATTCATTCACATATGAAACAACAACAATTTCTAGCAGATAAATTATATGTTGTGTTGTCACAATGATAGTACATATCAATTACAACATAAACTAGAATAAGGCGGTTAATTAAACTTACCAATTTCTCTTGGAGCTCAACCTTTGCATTAACCCCATTCTGACATTCATCCATGAAAGCCACGTTCAACATCTCAGTACAAAATTGATCATCAGGTATCAACCACAAGACCTAAAAAACGAGACAAAAAAAAAAAGATTCAGAGAAAATGAAAAATGTATGGCTCACCATCTGACAGAGAAAATGAAAAATAATAGAAACTTGATTACCCTGATAATAGCCTAGCGGCAGCGCGATAGGCAGCCATGGCTTGGTCACCCTCCTCTTGGGCGGCAAAAGAATTACCAAAACCTATCCAAGCAAGAGAATCTGGAAACACACAACAAAACACATCAAGAGAGTCCAGAAGACACAATAAGACACAGAACAGAGGTAATTGTGGTTGTGACATTGAAGTAATTTGAGAAGTAGAACAGAGGTAAAGAAGGGAGCATTTCATATTAAAAAAAAAAACCACCATCACAAGCATGATAGAAGATGAGAAACCAACAAAGATATAAGGCAAGAGACCAATTAGTTACCTGATGATTCTCTCTTATAGAACCTCGACTATCTATAACAAACGACATGGTATTAGGCTTGAAACGTAGATGCTAGCTCACTAGGAAGATCAGAGACATCAGACATTACTGTTAACCTGAAAAATTCAATAACAAGGCAAAAATTCAGTAACATGGCAAAACGCACCATGACAAGTATGATGTAGCATCAGATATATAGCATGAGAAACCAACAGATATATAGGGAAATAGACCAGTTAGTAACCAGATTTTCTCTCTTCAGACCCTTTCACACAGTAATCTCGGTGCCTCGATGGTCTGCATCAAACAGACATATGTATTTAATTTCACTTATATAGAAAGAAAAGAAAAAAAATTTGGTTAAGAGGAAGAACACTACCTTTAGATGTAGCGCAGAGAAGACAACGATCCATCAGAAGTTCTGATTCAGAACCATCACCAACCGAGCAAAGCATCCTCCATAATCTAAAATAACAAATCCAAGAGGTAAAAAATCACATGGACATAAGAATATGATCAAACACTAGAAATAGGTGCAGCATGATAGATACATAGAGAAAAGGGGAATGAGACCAGTTAGTAACCTGTTCATTTATCTTAAAAAACGTCAATTATTTATACCATGTCCAGCCTTGTGCATCAGAGGAGCTCAAACTTGGAAAACCTAAGAGACATACAAAAATGACATTGAAAACAAAAAACCTAAAAACCTATTCAGGTTTAGCTAAAATCCCAATGCACATAAACATGGACATTTAGGCTAACATATCAAAACAAAACTTCCAATTCCATGATCCAATCCATATACAGTACACAGATAATGACTTTTGTAGAAAGAAACAAGACAACCCTACGGAAAAGTGATTAGCATTTAAACCATAGATTCTAAAATCAGAAAGAGAAAAAATAGATAAGGGGGATGAACACTAATCACATCATACCTCACCAAGAATAGCAAATCTCAGAAAGTCATTAGGGGAAAAAGAAGATGTAGCACAAAGAACCTACCTAAACAGATGATGATATAAGAGAATATAGGATTCAACAGAGCAATCCTAATGCCTGGACGACGATCTGCATCAAAGAGAGAAAAATGATTTTAGCTTATGAACAACAGAGGGCAGCACAAAAACACAGATCCAGTTTAGAAACCAAATAGTAAATTCATAAGAGAGAACAAAGTAGAGAAAACGAGTGACAAAATTTTTGAAAACAAAAACAACAAAATAACGATTGATCACTGCATCATCTACCACAATATACAACAACAGAACAGATAGATAAGTAAAACTAAGATTTGTAAATCAAACCGTATGAGTGAATATTCAGAAGCAGGGAGTGATGATTGGATCATAAATTCGCTTCCATAACACCTACAAGACAAAGAAATTAACTTAAGGAACCAAAAACCTGACATAGTTGTGCTGCAAGTAAACCAAAACAATTAGAATGAGAATGTGTATTCATATTCAAAGCACCATGAAAAGTGTGAAATTCATTCCTCTAGTAACCACTGAAATCATGATTCTAGAAGCATAGGAAATAATAGTTTACCTGGCATCTGAGTAGATCCCGAGCTTAAGGCCCTTGCTGTGAACATAATCCATAGGCGTTTTAATACCCAAAGGGAAAGTTGACTTCTTTGGCACCAGACATCCCTGCAAAACAGATTTGAGAAACATAACATCAAGCAGAACTGCAAAACAAGAAATGAAACCAGGAATCACAAAGAAGTGTTTAATACCTCGTTGTTGCGAGCAATTTCAACCCATCAATCATCTTGAGGAACAAAATCAAGAATTCATTTCTGTGAAGAAAAATATAAACTCATAAATCAAATAAAACTGTTATATCATATTACCTTGGCATCATCAAACTTATGCCATGTCTCAGTAGCTGACCTCACATAATGACCAAGGGATGCTATATTCCAAAGATGCTTCACAATGGCATAGAGATGGTATTTTGTAGAAACCTATGGAAACAAAATAATAACCAGTTTAAGATGTCAAGACATGACAATGTCAAGATTATTTTATGGAACCACAAGGTCACTTACTTGGGAATCTTTGTAACTGCTCATGAAGGAAGCAAGTCCAACTCCAAAGGGAACTCAACAGGTTTGGATATCTTCTATATTAAAAAGGAGAAAAAACGTACTCAGCTGCTGTTCGAAGTAGCTAACTGTTCCAAAAAATTCACAAACTAATAAGAACGAAATGAATAAACGAAGAATGGTCACAGAGGAGTTACCTGTAAGACCTTTGGCAAGTTTAGTATCTCAGCAAGTTGTGTAGCTATAGCCAACACAAGTTGTTCCGGAAACAAGTGTGACGAGAAGCCCTCTTTGATGATGAAATCTAAAAGACTAAAACCCTGAAAAATATATATAAAATAAAATAAAATTTATTAACATAGAGAAAAGATGATCGAACAAGAAAAAAAACATACGTAGCGTATTACTTTGTCATCATGTTGTAATGATTAAATGTAGTCTTCCCCAATAACCACGTCGGTCCATAAGCAAGCTGCAAACTGAAATAATCATCAAAACAAAAGCGACAAGTAAGTAATAACTTTAGAAACCAAAGTAGAGAAAACGAGTGACAAAATTCACAATCTATATCAACAAAAGGACAAGTAAATCAAACCGTATGAGTGAAAATAACTAGTTACTAGTATTATTTCAAAGTTTTTTTCTATTTCCTTTTTCCTATTTTATATTTTAATTAGGTGTTGGGCCGAATCGTGGGCCTTGAACGTGGTCTTAATGGACTGCAATATCTAGCGATATTCCTAAACAAAACGTCGTCGTTTGAATTTAGCGTCTTTTTCATTTCTCGAGCTTTCGTCTTCGTCTTCCAATTTCCAGTTATCTTCCCTCCAGTCCTTCTCCATCGGAGCTCGTCGTCGCCGGCTCACTGTAAATCGCTGCCTTCGTTGAATCAACATCTCAAGGTGTGTATGTAACAATGGTAGTAATTTTCCATGATTTTTTGTTCTCCTTTTTCAAATTAGTTTATAGCGGTCCACGTTTTGGTTTCTGTACCCTAGGAAGCTTCTTCACATGCGTAAAACATCATGGACGCGAACAATACCTTCGATTCTGTAATCTTCACTCTCTTCTTCCTTTCTCATCCGCAATTTTGTCATCTCCATTGTTTACCCTCTGTTTTCATGGAATTAGGATCTGATTCACGCCATTTTCAAACACATTTGGGCCCGAAGATTTCGCGGTACAGATAGTGTTAACTTAAATTCGCTTATTTTGATCTTCTCTGTTTGATTTTCTATCCTCAATTGCGATACAGAAAGGGAGAGAAGCGATGCCATTGATGCTACGGAAGCTGAGGTATTATTATCAATGTTGTAGTTTGTTCACTAGATCCTGTAACAGCTATGATCTTCGATATGTTGATGCATTACATTTAGTTGCAGGTTGCCCTGGGAACAACCAAGAAGAACAGACTTGCTTCTGGTAACCTTGTTTATAATTCCTTTTGTCATGTAAATTGGGAGATGAGACATGGATGCTTATGAGTATTGGTTCTTGTAGCCAACGCAAATGCTTTAAAGCTCAGCTGTGAACTTCTCAAGAGTTTTGTCTCAGGTCAAGTATCCATCCATGTTTGCATTTTTAGATACTACTCAATCTTCTCCTTAACTAAAGGATCTTAATGGCCTAATGGGCATTGGCAGAGGCTGTGCAGCGCGCTGCTATAATCGCTGAAGCTGAAGGAATGGACAAGATTGAAGCTACTCATTTAGAGAGGATTCTTCCCCAGCTTCTTTTGGACTTTTAAAAGGTATGTATGATTGATTATAGCACATGCTTGTCCCTGCATCTTTTTATTTTTTATCCTTCGTTTTATTTTGCTTCTGTTTACGTCGATGTAGATGAACTGGTAAGAGTGAAATCTTGTTTCTTCTTCTCCTTTGTCTAAATGTACTCAACGCTTAGATCATGGCATGTGTTCTTCTAGCATTGATCTTTTCCTTTGTTAGAAATATATGAATATTAGCAGGTATTATTAAGTTCTTCTGAGTATCATACTACTTATTTGTTTTAAGGCTAGGCTAATGTGGTAGTATATGGTAACGAGATATATTTCACTTTGATCTGGATATATGCTCTATGTGCTTCAGAGCTCATCCCAATGCTATCACCCGTAACACACCAAAATACTCTGAAATGTAAGAATAAATCTTACCCATCGACGATCTTCTGCTGTTAGAGATTTTTCTTTTCTTGATCGTATAAGGTTGACCTAAAGCAGAAGAGCGAGATGTAGGAATCTTCTTACGATATGAAAGAGCAATTTGTTTAGCCTTAGGAGCTGCAGAAACAGCAAGCACAATATAAGAGCTCGTCTAAACGGAGGATACATAAGCTTTCTTAGTATCATCCACTGGTTTACTGTAATCAAAACTTGAGCAATCAATGAACTAATAGCAAATACATAGTACCTTACTACCTTTGCGTTTTGGAGATAAGTCTTGATTTTGCACAGGCACATATGCAGCTGGATACAAATTAGGATCTTCCTGGACAGAGGTCTCAGCAAATGAGTTATCCGCCTTAGGTGTGACTCGAAATCATCACGCTTGTAAGAATCACCATCACTGTTTGTTGAATGACACACTTTGTTCACCTGACTTTTACGAAACCCTTAAAATCACATTTTTATTTTTTTTTAATATCAGAAGTGCAATTTTTTTATATATTTATTTATAGAATAATTTACACTATGTTCCTTTCTTTTCTTCTTAGAACTTGTTGTCACCAATATTCCAAAGTTTCTGAATCTCAATAATTCATTCTTTTCTTGAACATCAAATCTCCAAAATTCCTCAAACTTGCCCTTTTTCTCCTTCAAATCTCTAGTGAGACTACCACTGCTGTCTCATTCCAAACACAGTAACACGACAAGAATTCTAATACAAATCTATGACCAAAAAACAACACCTGTCTTTTTTTTTTTTTTTTTTTTTTTTTTTTGTCGTCAACAACACCTGTCTATCAAGTCTCATCAAGTCTCACACTATTTCTTTCTCATTTCATTCAAAAAATTGGGTAAAAAACCAATAGCAAATGATTCTTCTTCTATGCGCATTGAGGAAAAAAAAGAAAGTAAAAGAGCAAAAACAACATGAGAAAAAGCAAAAGGAATCGAATAAATTAAACACTTTATCTTTTTCAAAATCTCATTCAATAATGACACAATTTGGGATTTTCATTGGAAACTGTGTCCTTACGGTCCACAAAAATTCCAATTCAAAGCACACACTTTCGAGACAAAGACTTGCTTCAAAAGAATCAAAAGGACATTTATTTAACAAGTGTCCCCAAGTTTTGGATCCTTTTATATGAACCTCACTTGAAAGCAAAGTTTCCAATCGCCACATTTCCAAATCCTATGGCTACGTTGCAAAGATTCAAGTTCTTGGGGACACAGTGCGGAGTGGCTGTACAGAGCCCTACACGAAGCCCGAGTCCGAGGACAAGTCCTTTGGTGCAGCTTCGACGCAAAAAGACAACCTTAAAGATGCTTTTGAGTCTTGCATCACCGAGCCGCCGAGAGCAGCAGCCGTTGATTCATCATAGTCACAAGGATGTAGCTGGACGCAAACTTAGAGACTTATTTGTCTCTTCGTCTTCTGGAGAGAAAGAAGAAGAAGAAGAAGAGGTGGAGTTAGAGGAGAGACGTAAAGGGAAAACAAAAGAAGAAGTTCTTGCAGCCATGGCAGCTAAATTGAATGCAGCTGCTAGTTTACAAAGTGAGTCCACCGATGCAGCACCTGCTTGGTTTGGGTTCAGCAAGCGGCTTCTTCAGCGATCTTGGCGGCCTAAGCTTGGTACTATTCCCGAGTAATGTTACCAATTTTCTTCTCTTTTATTATGTGACTTTGGAAACAATTAGTTTCCCATATGAATGAATAGATTTGTTACTTCTCAGAGTTGGTATCTTTCTGTTTAAATCCTTAATAAAGATGAACAAGATTTCACCTATTTGTTTCCTAAGGGGATGGGGAACTACTGATTTTACCAATGTGAGTCTAAGTTTTTCGTACCCAAGTCTTTGTGTTCTTCTTCATTCTCTGTTTTATCCGTTAACGAGACTACATGTAGAGAAACCTATGCATCATCTCATAGCTTGTAAATGTAATAAAGACTACATGTAGACTACATGTCATTGGTCGTGTTGAAGCATGAACCTAACAACTTGAAATGTTTACATAAGAGCATTGTGTAATTATGATCAAGAAGTGTGATGGAGAAAGCAGGGGAAACAGAGGAAGGGAAGAGGCCATTACTTAAGATAATGAAGAGGGCACCACAACATTCCTGAGGATTAACTTGTTGTCCAGACTTGTATTAACTGAGAGAACTCCACAACTAACTATGATTAGAAACTAGTGAGATTATGAAACAAATAAGATCATGGAGAGATCATTGCTTAGTTACTTTCAGCATGTTGCATATATTACGTGATCTTTTCTTATGGTTTGTAACATGTTTTACTCCTACCAAAGAAGGCAAATCGCCACACTGTTCCAGAACATTAGGAGCTGCGGCTCTTGAAAGTCCAGCTTCATTGGAATCCATTGATCTTTTGAGGTGAGAGACTTATCCATTGATCTTTTGAGGTGGAGCAAAACTTACCATCGATCTTGTAATGACATTTGACAACCCGGCACAAAAGTATATTTTTAGTTGCAAAAGATGTGGTCTTGTGGAAAGATCCAACACCATGTTCATAAGTAAACTTTTTCTCGTCCTCTTTGAACCTTGATATTGACCCTTATCAGTAGAATGCTCTAAGCTAGATAAGTTTTTTTATCTTTTTTTCTAGGGTAAGATTTAAGGCGTTAAAAAAAAAAGAAAACACCTGACCAAGTAATTCAGAATTTTCTGACGTAGAGGAAAGCCTCGTTGTTCGTTTACGATGACGACGAGGATCACATTTCACAACACACATGACACATCCCAAGAAGAAAGTGTAACCACTCTCGCCGCTCCTAAAATATTTTTATCAGCGACAAATTTTACACTAGTCCTCTAAAACTAAGCCCAATGTCCCGTGAGAACGTTGTCGTTTAACTGAATTTATGTACTTAACAATACAATTATACAAATACTAAAAACAGAAACTTACAAAGATTGTTTTTTTTTTTAAGGGTTAAGATTGTTTTTCCCCCCTTAATTCATCTTTTCTTCTGCCAATTTTATTTTCCTTATTTGGAAACTCAAATTTGTATAAAGTAATTTCAAACTAAAATTATATTTTGATGCAAAATCAAATAATCAGTTTATTATAAGCACTCCAATGAACTGGAAATAAATTATGTAATCAAAATGTTCAAAACCTCAAACTTCCAATGTTATCTTCCATCTACATTATAAAAAAATATACACTTTTTACATTAATTAAGTCATACATTAGATGGCATATTATACTTAGGAAAAATAATATAACAGTTGACTCTTGAAATTCTATTATGTTTCACATTATTGATTTCATACTACTATCAAGTATTGGCAAACAATAAGTTAAAAATACATAAATCCTTATATTGTAAACACTTACTTTGAACCAAAAAGATTAGGGAGCAGCAACGAATATGGATTAGTTTAAATGGGAAAAAAATAAAAATGAAATTGCTAATAAGAATCTATGTCACCAATCATAGCCTGAATGTGGGGTTTTTGTGACAGCTTGCTTTCTCACATTTGGTCAAGCGTTTAGCCAATTTCTCACCGGCACAAGTACTTAAACAAACATATCATCATCATTGTATTTTACTATATTTCTCTCTTAATCTAATCCATTTTGTCTTATAACAAAAACCAAACTTGTTTCATGTTTGGTACAAAGGAAGATGTTGAGAAACCGCCTTGTGTTCTTCTCCTCCTCCTCCTCTTCTTCTTCTTCTTCTACTACTCATTAAAGTTGCAATCTTTTTTTTTTCTTCTTCCTGGATTCTTGTTTGTAACCTACCTATAATTCTGGGTATTTTCTTATTCAGATTCTCCTTAAAGTTCTCCTTTTTTGTCCTTAGAAAAATCCCATCTTTTTTCTCTTTCCTTGTGGATTTGGATGATTGGTTTTGATTTTACAGTTCATTTCTAGTCACCATTACGCGTTTCTTTCTTCTTCCGTGTCGACCTTTACTTCTGACTTTGGAGATTCTTTAATACTTTCTTCCTTCTCTTTACCCTTTTTCTCTGTTTGTCTCAATCAGATCTGTACTTGTTGTCGTCGAAACAGAGAAGGAGGAGGAAGAAGAAGAAGAAGAACATCGAAGCAATCACTAAGTTAGTTTCTCTTCTCCTGGAGTAGTTTAAAAATAGATACTTTCTTATACTAAATGATTCAGATTTGCTCTTCTTCAATGTAATTTGCAGGTAAAGTTTGTATCTTGGGTTGCTTTTGGGGTTTCTTGGTTACAAATTCATGACTTCTTGGGTCAGAAAGATTGGTTTTAGTAAAGGGTTATAAGATTTTTTGAGAGCACAAAGGGTTAATTCGGAAGCTGCTGTAATGGCGTCTAGAGAAGGAAAGAGGCGTAATCATAATCATCATCATGATGAGAAGCTTGTGCCTCTTGCTGCTTTGATTAGTAGAGAGACGAAAGCTGCTAAGATGGAGAAACCGATTGTGAGATTTGGACAAGCTGCTCAATCTAGGAAAGGAGAAGATTATGTCTTGATCAAGACTGATAGTTTGCGAGTTCCTTCCAATTCTTCAACTGCGTTCTCTGTCTTTGCGGTATATATACTTCAGATACATGATCGTAATAGCTTATGAAATGTTACTCCTTTTCGCAACTAGACTCTTGAATTGAGTATTCTTGAGTAGCAGGACCATAGAAATGCAGATTAAGTCTTGGAACCTCACTGTTTGATTGTTCAACTAGATGACTTTGTATGGATAAGTTCCTACTGATGCACCTACCCTGTCCATGTCGTTTGTTTGACTGTATATAGTTTTATGTTGCCTTTGCCCATCTGTTAGGTATTTGATGGGCACAATGGGAAAGCTGCAGCGGTTTTTACAAGGGAGAATCTGTTGGATCATGTTATTAGTGCTCTTCCCAGTGGGCTTAGCCGTGATGAATGGCTTCACGCCTTACCCCGTGCATTAGTTTCTGGATTCGTGAAGACTGATAAGGAGTTTCAGAGCAGAGGTATGTTTTCTAGATATCATCACTTCCACTTTTGGTTTGTCTTTACTTGTGGCTGATGTGTAGTTTATTCCTCTCTTGATACTAGGAGAAACTTCTGGAACAACAGCCACATTTGTGATAGTAGATGGATGGACTGTGACCGTTGCATGTGTTGGAGACTCTCGCTGCATCTTGGATACTAAGGGTGGTTCAGTTTCCAACCTTACTGTGGATCACAGGCTTGAAGATAATACAGAAGAGTATGTACCTGAAATAAGGAATCTTTCTAAATTTTTTGTTTTTGGGATTGTAAAGCAGAATCTAAATCTAAACCCTTATATTATGATTCAGGAGGGAACGGGTTACTGCTAGTGGTGGAGAAGTTGGCAGGCTAAGCATTGTTGGAGGCGTTGAGGTGTGTTGTATTAAAACTCTGTATTTCCCATTTAAGCAGCTTACTTTTTAGTTTTGAGCCTTGAAAAAAACTATTGAATTCTGCAGATTGGTCCTCTACGGTGTTGGCCCGGAGGTCTCTGCCTTTCAAGGTCTATCGGAGATATGGATGTCGGGGAGTTCATAGTTCCAGTTCCCTTTGTAAAGCAAGTGAAGGTATATATATCTTCGAATGTTTTCTTACAGATTTGTCTCGTCATTTAAAAACAAACTCTCACACTGTTCTTCACAATTGGTATATGTATATAAAGCTATCAAATCTCGGCGGGAGGCTTATTATCGCGTCAGATGGCATATGGGATGCTCTCTCCTCAGAAGCCGCTGCGAAAACTTGCCGCGGATTATCCGCTGAACTTGCTGCTAGACAAGTAGTTAAGGTAATTTAATATGGGTAACACAGTTTCAAATTGTGTAACCTTTTTGCTTGTAAAGAAGTGAACTAAAGAGTCTTGAGGTTTCTGTTGCAGGAAGCATTGAGAAAGAGGGGACTTAAGGATGACACTACGTGCGTTGTGGTCGACATAATCCCACCCGACAACTTCCAAGAACCACCGCCTTCTCCTCCTAAGAAACACAACAACTTTTTTAAATCTTTGCTGTTCAGAAAGAAATCAAACTCATCTAACAAACTCTCCAAGAAACTCTCTAGTGTTGGTATCGTGGAAGAGCTCTTCGAAGAAGGCTCTGCAATGCTCGATGAAAGGTCACTCCTTTTTCTCCCCCTAAAAATAAAAGTCTTTTGGAAGTTATCTTACGTTTTGCGACCTATCTAACAACTTTGATGCTATTTCTTGCAGGTTAGGATCAGGTGATTGTTCTAAGGAATCAACAACAGGAGGAGGGATATTCACATGTGCGATCTGCCAACTAGACTTGGCACCAAGCGATGGGATATCAGTCCACGCGGGTTCGATCTTCTCAACAAGTCTAAAACCGTGGCAAGGACCGTTCTTATGCACAGACTGTCGTGACAAAAAGGACGCGATGGAAGGGAAACGCCCAAGCGGAGTTAAAGTCATCTAAAGAATGAAAGATGGTATCTCTGCTTCTCCTCACACAAACACACACAGACTCTCTATTCGTTCATTATAATTCTTTCTTCGTTGGTTCTTTTTTATTACACTCCATTCGATTAATAAAAAGTTTAGTAGACCTGCTGTGAATCGGGGGTTCATTATAGTGAGTTTGGATTGATTTGGTATACGATGTGAAAAAAGCTTGTCTTCATACTTAAAACAAAAACAAAATATATGAAAAAGTTTGGATAAACAAAAGCTCAAATGTCGTCTCTCTTTGCCCATTCTTTAAGAACGAATGATTTGGATTAGGTCATACTATATCTGATTGGACTCAAATCAAAGATGTTTGTTCCAAAACCTCCAAAGCAGAGATTGGCATGGATCAACGACCATTGCGTAAGGGATGGTCGTAATGTGGAGCCTAGGGAAGACACGAGATTGGTATGATTTTTTGATTCAAATGTACTAACTTGTAGTAGTAGGGACCTTATACCCTTTAAAGCATACGCTCCAATTTGTTCTCCTTTTGGCATATTTTTACTTGTTACTCAATCAAAACTTGGTTTTTAGTAAATAAAAGCCAAAAGATTATTCCAATTGCTTTTCTTTTTTCTTTCTTTCTTTCCATAACATATTTTGATATAAATTAAAAGTGTCATGAAATTATGGGACTTTACATTTTCATTATATTTTGAAACAACTTTGAAAAAACAGATCATGAAATTATGGCGCTTATACATATATCTTTATTGTTTTATTTATTACTAAACGGAAAGCTTTAAAGCTTTGAATGATAATGTACGATGCAAACGCGGAAAAAATATAGTGCGGTTCTAATAGTAACAAAAATATAAATGCATATATCTTTGTTACTAACCACACCACACTGTCCAGTTCTATTTTTATTTGGAGCCTAATCTGAATAATGGAATTTGTAAGGTTGCCACAATTATGTATGATGGTGGGGAACAATTTTGCATGAAACAAGCAAAGACATTGTTGAAGCCAAAAAAAGCTCAGCTTCTTCTGATTTATTATGACAAAAGCCAAAAAAGCTGCTGATACATCAATAATCATAAAAAGGAAAGCCCCACAATTTTCTCTTTATTTACCAGATTATCTCCTAATAAGGCAAAAAGAAAAAATATTTCTGTATAAAGAACTGAGATTTTGGGAATTTGTAAGATTTGATTGACAGAGAATTTAATTTTTTGGTTTTACAAACAAAGTAATTATGAGAGCATTAATCTTCTTCACATGTAGAGAGTTTAACACGTGAGAATCATAGTCACGCGTGTGAACATACCCAACTAATTTATTACTTTACCGTTACGGGGAAAATCAAAACCCTTTGACTAAACTATATAAACCCTTTGGTCAAATCTAAAGCAAGATCGTACGGTCCAGGTTTCATCACATACAGTAAAATATCAGAGAAGGGTACATTAGTCATTTTAGGTTAAGTTTACGTTACTGTTTGCGTTAATTACGAACCTATACCACTCTGTTCTGTCTTGAAGTCCTCAACGCTCGTTTCTATTCTCTCTCACTTTTTTCTTGTCTCTCTTCTCTGTCTCTGCACACAACAATGGCCAAAAGCTCTTTCTTCAATACACATTTGCTTCTCTCTCTTCTCCATCTCTGTATCATTTCCTCTTCTTCAAGCTCTGACTCAGAAGCTCTCTTGAACTTCAAACTCACCGCTGATTCCACCGGAAAACTCAACTCATGGAACACTACAACAAAACCATGCCAATGGACCGGAGTCACCTGCAACAACAACCGAGTCACACGGCTAATCCTCGAAGACATCGGACTCACTGGGTCAATCTCGCCACTCACTTCACTCACTTCACTCAGAGTTCTCAGTCTCAAACATAACAACCTCTCTGGTCCAATCCCAAACCTCTCGAACCTCACTGCTTTAAAGCTTCTATTTTTATCACACAACCAATTCTCCGGTGACTTCCCTACTTCAATCACTTCACTCACTCGTCTCTACCGTCTTGATCTTTCTTTCAACAACTTCTCCGGCGAGGTTCCACCGGATTTAACCGATTTAACCCATCTCCTCACTCTCCGGTTAGAGTCAAACCGGTTCTCCGGTCAAATACCGAACTTAACCCTCTCCGATTTACAAGACTTCAACGTCTCCGGTAACAACTTCAACGGTCAGATACCAAATTCGTTGTCTCAATTCCCTGAATCAGTCTTTACACAAAACCCATCTCTCTGTGGACCTCCATTGCTAAAATGTAGCAAACTCTCTAGTGACCCGACTAAACCGGGTCGACCCGATGAAGCAAAGGCTTCACCTTTATCCAACCCTGAAACCGTACCTTCATCACCAACCTCAATTCACTCCGGCGGCGACAAAAGCAACACATCAAGAATCAGTACTGTCTCACTCGTAGCCATCATCCTCGGAGACTTCATTATCTTAAGCTTCGTCTCTCTCCTTCTCTACTACTGTTTCTGGAGACAGTACGCAGTGAACAAGAAGAAACACTCAAAGGTTCTTGAAGGAGAGAAGATAGTCTACTCATCAAGTCCTTACCCAACATCAGCACAAAACAACAACAACAACCAGAATCAACAAGGTGGTGACAAGGGCAAAATGGTATTTTTCGAAGGAACTAGACGTTTTGAGCTAGAAGATCTTCTCAGAGCATCGGCTGAGATGTTAGGGAAAGGAGGATACGGGACGGCGTACAAAGCCGTGCTTGAAGATGGCAATGAGGTTGCTGTGAAGCGGCTTAAAGACGCAGTGACTGTAGCCGGAAAGAAAGAGTTTGAGCAACAGATGGAGGTTTTAGGAAGGCTTCGTCATACTAATCTTGTGAGCTTGAAAGCTTATTACTTTGCTAGAGAAGAGAAGCTTCTTGTCTATGATTACATGCCTAATGGTAGTCTCTACTGGCTTCTCCATGGTACGTTGTCATTTTTGATTCATTCCTTTTACTAATTAGTTTGCTTATTAGGTTAATGTTTCTTAGTTTCTATATGAGGAGAAAGAAACTATGGAACTTGGTTACATAGAGTAGTCGCCAAAAGTCATAAGAGTAGTAGGGTTTAAATCTTTTGGAGTTAGTGAGAATGAGATATCATATTTTTATATGTTTGAAAAACTGTTGAAATATCATTTTCATGAGATATTTGTTATTACTATGTTGTAGATAATGAGAAATTTAAGTCTGTTTTGGATAGACACTACCATTGGCAACAAGTTGGACAAATAAAGTTCTGATCTGTCTCATTTAAATCGATCTTTATGGGAACTTTATTCGTTTTTTGTTTAGTTTCTTGTGTTTTGTCCTTACCTAACCATTTGTTTATGACTTTATTCATTGTTTTTAGTAACTAATAAAGTGACTAATTACATTTTTTTTTGAGGTAGAGTGGCAAATTTGTAATGTTGTTGTTTTGCTTGGGTTTTGGACAGGTAACCGTGGACCGGGTAGGTCTCCGTTGGACTGGACCACGCGCCTTAAGATTGCGGCTGGGGCGGCGCGTGGCTTAGCTTTCATCCATGGTTCTTGTAAAACCATGAAGCTTGCACACGGTGATATCAAATCCACCAATGTACTACTTGACAGATCAGGCAATGCTCGTGTTTCTGATTTCGGGCTATCTATCTTCGCGCCATCGTTAAGCGTCGCTAAATCCAACGGCTACCGTGCGCCGGAGCTGATGGATGGCCGAAAACATACCCAAAAATCTGATGTTTACTCCTTTGGAGTGCTTCTTTTGGAGATACTTACCGGAAAATGTCCTAATATGGTTGAAACTGGTCACTCAGGCGGTGCGGGTGGGGCAGTGGATTTACCGAGATGGGTACAATCGGTTGTGAGGGAAGAGTGGACGGCTGAAGTGTTTGATTTGGAGCTGATGAGGTATAAGGATATAGAGGAAGAGATGGTGGGGTTGCTACAGATTGCTATGGCTTGCACTGCGGTTGCGGCTGATCACCGTCCGAAGATGGGTCATGTTGTGAAGTTGATAGAGGACATACGTGGTGGTGGCTCTGAGGCATCGCCGGGCAATGATGGGATCAATTCTGCGGTGGACTCGCCATGCTTGTCCGAGGACACGTGCGGTGGGACTACTAGTCAGTAGTAAGATTTGTTTACTACAAAAATGTAAATCACGTGCCTAGCTAGAATCTCAGCTTTTATCATTCTTCTAGAGTAGTAGACTTTGGTTTTTGTTTGTTTCGTTTTAGTTTGTAATATGATAATTATGTGAGTCTCTCACTAGTGTTTTTGGATTAGGGGTAAACAAAAATTTCAATACTATTCTGATAGTCCCGTTTCACACGCTTAGCTATCGTGCCTTTAGGCTTTAGTTATCATGTGGAACATAATTTATGGTAAAAAAAAGTATCGAGATTTGGGCACCAAGTATAATATTTATATGGTTTTCTAGTTTGTATAAACATTGCTCTAGTGTCTTGCAAATACCTTATTACGCTCAAACTAGAATGTTTCCGAGAATTTCTTGGAATTATCGGATATTTTGGAGTGGATTTTTAAGTTATGATCTTGAGAACAGTATTGTAATCTTTGGAAATGTTTCAATCTCCCTTATTGATTTGAATGAAATTTTTTATTTATAGAATGTACCTTTCCTATTTTGGATACCATTTCACTGAATCTAAATGGGTCAATTTTATATATTTCAACGATCATCTACACCAATCATCACCCTAGTCTAGGTATTAACTAAGGACGTGCATGCATACTCTAGAAAGCCGGGGCCTGAATGAAAGGGAACTCCCACAAGAAATGCCTTAAAGTCCGGTCCATTATTCTAATCTCTCTCGGACGATAGAAACTAGAAATGACTTTATAGAGTTATGTGGCAAGCATGTGCGCATGTTATCGTATAGTATGTAACATTGTTGCATAGACTAGTAATAGAGTTTACACGATAGTCAACTAAATAAACGTAAAATATCTAACATATGTAGTCGTTGAAGCTTGTTTTCGTCGGCTGATTTTACGGAATTAGCAAAAAGAAAAGTTTGATGGAATGTTTAGAGATGAATATCACCTAAAATAAATTTTTTTTTTAAACTCCTCATTTACGAATAATCAAAAGATTAATTATACAATAATATCACGGTGAAGAATATTGAAAAATAAAAATAATAAATGAAAGAAGAATAGTAAATAATCAGAAATGTAAAACAATACGTGAGAACCTGAGCAACCGGTCTAGAGCAGTAGGCAAGAACTTGCGAGCAAATAGATAACACATATTCGTCTTTTCTCCATTGTATAGACACTCACCACCACTCCTAAGGTTCTCCATGAACTCCGCAGTCACCTCGTGTCTAATAAACCGGTTCGGGTGAGGGCCACCTTTGGACCAGTCGACCCACGTGAGTGTCCGGTTCGAATTGCGCCGGTTCAGGTTTGTTTTGATGTTGAGGAGTGTAGGGATGTAATGTTCATCCGCGTAGCAACCATGGTGACAGTAACTGTAAAAGAGAGGCCAATAGATTCTATCGGAGATGACTTCTAGGGCCATGGCACGGTCCATCTCGAACCATTGGGAGCCTTTACGCCAGTGGTGTAACTGAACATGTGGCTGCATTAGAGGGCTGTATCGGCCACGTCCAACTCCACCAAGTTGGTCATAAGACTCAACGTGAGTTTGAGTTGAGTTCATGAGGTAAGAGTAAACGGTAGTGAAGTTGAAAAGAGGTATGCATGATTCAGAAAGAAGTACGAATCGTTCGTTTGATATGTCTAATAAAGCATTTGCTAGTAATCTTTGTTCTGCTTCCACCATATTCACGTATCCCCAATCCACTCTCTGCATTATTATAATAGTAAAATTAGAAACCCGTATGGAAAATTATAATATTTGTGATAAATCTTCGGAAATAGTGCTTTTACAAGTAACGCTACACGTTGCAATGATTCTCATAAAAGTGCAAAGTTAATTTGATGACGCCATGTTCCATATTAAGAAATCAAACTAAGTTTGACTACAAAAGAAAGATCCAAATACATGAGTAGCATAAATTTCTAAAAATCCGACTAGTGTACGTACACGTACATGATCACCTAAAATAAAACTATATTCAAACAACCGCGTGTAAGAATGGACCAAGAGAAGTAAAAGTAAAAGAGTCGCCATCGACTGAAACAAGATTAAAAGTCTAAATTGTTAACCACCTTTATGTAGATATTTCCTTATTAAGAAGTTCTAAAAGAGACACACAAAGCCGTCGTCAACAAAAGTCACATCGTAAGAAGAATCCTCTCAACTTGAGAAAGTCATGGTGGGAAATAATTAAGACACATGCGTTTGTGCTAACTAGAAACACATACAGGTACATGAGTATGTGTCTCTACTACTCGTCGGCAAAAGCGATATGTTAAACGAATGAAGCTAGAAACCATGCAATAACTATAACCAAATATAAAAAACGAAACCATGCAAGTTATTGTATTATAATATATGTTAGCACTAGGCACCGACGGACCACAAAAAATTGCTTGATTAAAGGTATTATAATTTATTTAACAAAAAGCAAATCGTATTGTTCAAGATAATTTACATTCCCTTTACAATTCCTTATCAATTTTATTCTTTTTAGTATGAGATTTTTGTTTGATAATTACTCAATCACATGAGTCAGAGCATGTTTATAACACAAGAGCACACATTTCTCGAAAAATCGAAATATGTAAAGAATATTTTTGACATCAAAAACTCCATTAATTACTAAATGTAAAATGTATACGATTTTTGGTTTCAATTTCTAGTTTTGAAATATGGACACTATTTTGTTGTATGTTAGGACAAAGGAGAGGTCAACTTAACGTTTTGATATTGTTTTACAGGACTAGTGAACTCAAAAGAGTAATAAATTTCATATTCCAAAAAATAAAACTCATAAAAGAAATTATTATATTGGAAATTGTAGGGAGCTGACCTTGCTTGGAACGTGGCGGCCTTGGAAGACTGAATCTTCAGGATCGGACTGGTTGTAAGAAGGGTATGAATGAACATAGATGCTGAAAAGGCCTTCATGCCCGCGAAAGAACCTGTCCCATAGACGAGCTAAAGGCAAATGACCCTTTGTCATGAACATGAAAGCAACCTTTGGTGTTCGAGGAAAAGGGTAATTCTTGATCTTGGGTGCCATTGAAGCTCTCCAAAGAAGCTCTTCGTCTTCCATGTCGTGCATAAGCTTCTCTGGTGGCTTAATAAAGCGTTCCAGCCCATCTTTCTCGGGCTGAGAAGGTGGAGGAGGAGGAGGAAGGGGGAGAGTAGGAGAAGGAGGAAGAGAGGAGACGACGAAGAGCTGAGAGATGCGTTGGATGCTTAGTGAAGACGTAGAAGAGAAGTCTTGTAGAGAGGAATGGAGAAGTATGCCAATGATTATGCCACAACAGAGGATAAGAGAATAAGAGAGGAGATTGAGAAAGTGATGGTATTGAGCATTGAGAAGCTTTGTTGTTCTAGATGGTGTTGAGGAAGACAATGATGAGTTTGGGTTCTTCATCGAGAGAGAGACAGAGAGAATTGTGTGCTTAGCTTGTGTTGATGTTCCAAAAGAGGAGTGAATGTAATCAACAAAGTTTGAATGAAGAAGGAGCTAGAGACAAGTTCTTTGCTTTAAGGGCAAGAGATACGATACCGCTTTTTCAAGTGGAGAAATTTTCAATATATATTTTTTGTTGTTGTTATTGAGTTCTCTTTATCTTTTGGGTCAAATTAAAATATAAAATTTTGGGGTTGAAATGTGGAATTTTCTTGTCGTCGAGAAAAAGAAAGAACTTTATATAAGATGTAAATAGGCAACGGTGGAATCTAATACAAAAACTGAATTTGGCAGCTTTTCATGCATAATTGATGGTGAATTTTAATTTCTAACATTTTCAAAATTGGTCAATTGGTAGAATAGCTGAAATTTAGTGACTATCTCTAAATTTAATTAGCTAATATCCCTAAAACTTTGGAATATACAAATAATTTTCTTAATTTCATCAAAAATACATTTAATCTGAAAAATAAATCTTACGCGTGACTGACTTTTCTGTAAATCAAAATGAAAATGAAAATCATTAAATATGTATTTAATATTTAACGAAAACCAATGAAAAAAAACGTCAATATCTATGTTGAGTGAAATTCTATTTTCTTACAATATTCAATGAAAAATAAATGCTAATCCGCCAATTCAAATAAGTTTAGGGAAAATATAGCTGGAAAATTTAAAGATAAAAACATAAATAAATCGACGTTTTATTTTCCATTTTATTTAGTAACGTTTCAACATTTTTAATTTCTCACAATAAAATGGTGTGTTACCATTTGCGACCACACATATTTTTTTTTATCTACCATGGTAAGATCAAGGTTTTGTCACAGATTATGTTTGTAAAAACCTTGATAATATTGTAAAATAACTAAAAATATTTGTGTTTTATTGGTCGACCATACGGTTTTGTCTTCCGTTCGCAGTCGCAGCCATAGACCATAGTATAGAGGGGCTTGTGTGCCACAAAGTTTCAGCCATCATTAGTCTTCGTCTAGTCTGACGGTTCTCAACTGATTCAAGAATAAAAATAAAACTAAGATTAGAGAAATATTATATCAAAGATTAATTTCGTTTTCAGGAAAAAAAGGAACAAAATCTTAATTACCCCAAAGAGAATGAAATTTCCAACTATGCGTAATGACTTCCCCGAGATTAATGCCACGTGTTGCACAATTATTCATCTCTTCATCATATACAACTTTTACACGTAAACTTGACCAATTAGTTTCATTTTCAATATTTAGTGCAACAAATTCCTATTATTATTTCAGTTTAGAATTCTCAAGGTTGACTTCCATATACAATATACATAATTCATAATTGAGTTTATAGAATTATATAGTTATGCATTTTGTGTTTATAGTTAAATTTGAATACTTTATATGACTTGTATTTATGAATATCGCTAGTTTGCTTTTTCCATCCATGTAACAGTTTTATACCGTTTAAGGGGTGTAATGTTCTTCATAGGAGTTGGTTATCATGTCATATAAAATTGCATACAAAAAATGTCGAGTATATGAAATTTTCATCTTTATTCTAAACGTTCTAATTTAGTGTTTTATTTATTATAATAGCAATCTGACCAAATCCTATATCTTAAGCCGCGTCATTTCATTCTAGTAATAGTTTACTTCCAACATTTATAACAAATCCCGACTTTGTTTTAACTTGTGCATGGTGCTAATTAAGTTTCCATAGAGTATTGTTTTCATGGCGATCTCATTTTGTTATATAAAATGTAATTGTTGCAAACGTTAAGCAATTTAAACTAGGACGTTTTTTTATGCATCGGTCACATTAACATATTATGGGTATATAACACGTAAAAGCGAGAAACTTAAACTTGCGACAAAAGAAAACTACTAATATATAGCGAAACTACAAATAGAACATTCAAATCCCCCATTAGTCTACTTTTCTCCCATCAATTCTAAAGTAAACTAATATTGATGTAAAAAGATTTAATGATAGTGAAAGATTAAAAATATTTAATGTAATCACCTCATTTCAACTAGTAAATGAGATCCATATATCCTCTCTTTGAAACCTTGAAATACAGAAACAAGAATTCTCTTAAACGTGTATCTCTAGTTGAAAATGGCGATCCGAAAGAACCAAAACTCAACATCATTGTCCTATGCATCGGCGTGATAGTTGCTGTCATTGTTCATTCTTGTCTACAAGCCTCCTTATCATTGCCTTCTTTGCTAAATCATCCAAAGCGTCTCCCAACTAGTCCTTGTAACCCCTTCTCCTTCTCCCCCTCCTTCATCTCAGGAAAAATCGGATCAAAATGTTTCTGAAGCCACCGGAGAAAACATCAACCACGATATGGAAGATGATGAGCTTCTTTGGAGAGCTTCACAAGATCCCAAGATCATAGATTACACTTGTCTCCTAGAATCCCAAAGGTTGCTTTCATGTTCTTGACTTGGGGACCTTTACCTTTGGCTCCTCTATGAGAAAGGTTCTTTCGAGGATATGAAGGTCTATAAATCATTATGATATAATTATTTCTTATGATAATTTCTTAATCAAATCTATGGCATAAACTTGTTATTTCTTGTATACTAATCTTATTATTATAAAATAAAATTGAACACTTAAATATCAGTCTAATAACGTCGTTATTTATAAACGCACGTAGAGGTGGATTGGGCAAACCCAAACATGGTAGAAGCAGAACGAAGGTTACTAGCAAATGCTTTATTAGACATCAACAACGAACGTTTCATTCTTCTCTCCGAATCATGCATCCCTCTTTTCAACTTCACCTCTGTTTACTCCTTCCTCATTGACTCCACTCAAACCCACGTTGACACCTACGAACTCTCCATTGGTCGTGTCCGCTACGAGCCTACGACCGCCGCATGTATCGTCACATCCACATGCACCACTAGCGCAAACGCTCACAGTGGTTCGAGTTAGACCGAGCCATGGCCCTAGTGATCGTCTCCGACACGTTCTACTGGTTAATGTTCAAAGCTTACTCTCGTTGTCCTTATGAGCACTATATATCCCGACGCTAGTAAACATGAGTCCGAGCCTCGATCAATAGAGATTGTTTGGTGAGTCTGAGGTGAATATGGAGTTGTTAAAGTGGGCGAGTGGCTAAAGGACGAAGAGTGTTAAGTTATATGATGATGACTTGTGTTGTGCATAATTAAAGACCATTGACATGATTCTTCTTTCTAGTTGTTTTGGCTTAACTAAAACATTTTAAGAAAATTATGAGTTGAAAAATAAACTTTGGCCTCTGTAAACCACATTTTTTTTGTTTTCACCATATTCTAATATTCCATTCTCATCCCAAATCAATAGTAAAGATTTTGAATGACCTAAGTTTGAATCATTTATCGTATTCATATATTTTTGGTCGTCTTCTATCACTAACAACAACGTTAATAAAGCTAAAGTATAAAACATGCATAGTAGTCACATGCATGTCAATTATCCATGTAACATAAACTTGTAATTTTTTTAATTTCAGTAATATAATTTTGGAAAATTTAAGTTACTACTATACCACAAATAATGTATATATCAAACCACTTGTAATTATTAATGTAATTAATCTTGTTATTATACAATTACTATATGTAATGTCCACTGGAATAACAAAAAATATATAAAAAATCAGTAAAAAAGAGATGTGAAATTAGCAATTTCCATTTTTCAGAAATTAAAGTTTCCAATTAAGTCGTAATATGTTGACAAAAAAAGGAAACTTTTGAAAAATCAACGAGTTATGTATTGTTTTTTTTTTATATTCTTTTTAAAAATCTTCTTTTGTTTTCATTATGAAAATTACGTCATCCGAAATAAAAAAATAAATAAAACAGATTTATTTTGTTTGGTCCTTTGTATTTTTTTGTTTGTTTGGGGACTTCTCTCCTTTGAAACCCTTTTGTTTCGTAAGCTTTTCTTCTCGATCTTCTTCCCCAATTCGCTCTTATTTGGTGAGCTTCTTAAGATCCCTCGTTTCTGGTTTCTTTCGCTCATCGTTTCTTTCAGAGTTTCAAACCCCTCGATTCAAGTTACCTGAATACGTCTTGGATCTGCAAACTTCCGTTTGAATTTCGAGACATCTGTGGTTGAGGCGGAAGATTTGGGTCGGCGGAGGATGAGTGCGAAGAAAGTGGAAGGTACGTCGGCTCCGGCGAATCGACGGGATCCGTACGAGGTTCTTTGTGTATCAAAGGACGCAAACGATCAGGAAATCAAATCCGCTTATAGAAAATTAGCTCTCAAGTAAGCTAAGTGATAGCAAATATATGTGTGTTTGTTATCAGACCTATAAGATTTATCTTATTTGATTTCGCTTCAATTTCATGGTTTTTGTGTGCAATTGATTTCTTAGGGTTTCTGGTTTTGTTATATTGGGAATCTGAGATTGGTCCTATTTTGAATCCTCATGTGTAGATTTCGTAATGAATTGAGAGAGGATGGTGTGTGTAGTTCATTCGTTTCACTGACTTTGATATGTTAAGAATCTCTATTGTCATGCTTTTGACTTTGTTTAGAAGATGCTTATTCTTTACTGGATCCCAAACTATTGATAGGTATCATCCGGATAAGAATGCGAATAATCCCGATGCTTCTGAACTTTTTAAGGAGGTTGCATTTTCGTATAGCATTTTGTCTGACCCAGAAAAGAGAAGACACTATGACAATGCAGGGTTTGAGGTATAAAATTGTATCTTTTTCGGTTTTTAGTAATGTGATACACATTCTTGTAGCTTCAGTAAGAGTTGTTTTATGATGTTTAGGCCCTTGATGCTGATGGAATGGACATGGAAATTGACTTGTCAAACCTTGGGACTGTAAATACCATGTTTGCAGCATTGTTCAGGTCGAGTTGGTTTCCCTTTTTCTTTCTTTCTCCAGAGCTCTTAAGAAAGGAATCTGTTTCAAATCCTTTATATTGACCTTTTATAAACCTCATAATTGTTAACTTCAGTAAACTAGGTGTGCCTATCAAAACTACTGTATCTGCCAATGTTCTTGAAGAGGCTATGAATGGAACTGTTACAGTTAGACCCCTTCCTATTGGAACGTCAGTTAGTGGAAAGGTGTGAACTCAACTCAGATTACACGATTATCTTCTTATCTCATTTCATCCTGTATTTGGAATTGAAAGTTATCAAATTTCTTATATCAGGTTGAGAAGCAATGCGCTCATTTTTTTGGAGTTACAATAAGTGAGCAACAAGCTGAATCAGGGGTCGTAGTTAGAGTAACTTCAACAGCACAAAGTAAATTTAAGGTATTACTGGAATGCCATTTTTGACCATCCTGATAATGTTTAGTGTATTTAGTGCATGCTCCTTGTCCTTGGCCACTAATTTGTAAGCTGTTTCACCTAATTAACGCTATGACTAACTTATAAAATTTTCCATCTTCAGTTACTTTATTTTGAGCAAGATTCAAGTGGCGGCTATGGACTGGCACTGCAGGTATAAATCATTTCTCTTTGTATTAAAAGAATATTGGTCTTAGTTTTACACCATTACTGAAAAGATATAGTTTTGCTAGTTCTTAAGAAAGCTTTTCCATTTCTCTCATGGTGATTCCATGACATCATTAAACGTCTATTTGTTATCTCAGGAAGAGAGTGAGAAAACAGGCAAGGTGACATCAGCTGGCATGTATTTCTTACATTTTCAAGTGTACAGAATGGATTCGACTGTCAATGCGGTATGAAAATTATGAGCTCTGTTCCTTTCATATGTAGCTGACATCTTAAAGTATGCAGAGGTATTAAAGCAATCCACATTGTGGTTATTGCGCAGTTAGCTGCAGCCAAAGACCCTGAATCTGCTTTCTTCAAGCGACTGGAAGGTCTTCAACCTTGTGAGGTTTCGGAACTGAAAGCTGGCACACATATATTTGCAGTTTATGGTATGAGTTATTTCGTTATTTACGATAGCTGGAGATTTTTTGAGACTGTAGTTTAACATGTCTCTAGCTGCTTTTCAGGTGATAACTTCTTTAAGACTGCATCCTACACGATTGAGGCACTCTGTGCCAAGACATATGAGGACACAACAGAGAAGTTGAAGGAGATTGAAGCTCAAATCTTAAGAAAGAGAAATGAGTTGCGGCAGTTTGAAACAGAGTACCGAAAAGTAAATTTCTAGTAGTTGAGAGCTCAGTCAGTATTTTAGGGAGACATGTAACCTGATAATTTTCTAAATTCTTTTGCAAGGCATTGGCGCGGTTTCAAGAAGTTACCACCAGATACACACAGGAGAAACAAACTGTACGTTTGATGAATCTCTTTTCTCTATATGAAAATTTTATTCCTCACTGCATTTTCTACTTTGAGAGATATTATTTTTGTGAACCTCTTGCACATGTATATATTACTTTTTACCATTCTAAAAGTGTTTGGTTTGTGGTGAAGGTTGATGAACTGCTAAAGCAACGGGATACAATCCATTCGACCTTCTCTGTTGTGAAGACACCAAGCAGCAACAACTTGAGCAATGGAAGTAGTAGCAAAACTCATGGAGAGGAATCGAAAGGTGGCGATGGGGATAGTCCAGGAGAAGAAGGCGGAACAGAGAGTAAAGACAAAGCAAAGAGGAAATGGTTCAACTTGAACCTAAAAGGATCTGATAAGAAGCTTGGTTGACCCAGAAGGCTGATTTGTTGTGAGTCATTTGGTATTTTGTTCATTCGTTAGACAGAAGTGATTCAGTGATTGTTCATCACTGAGTCGCTCTATGTAGGCATATATATATTCATGGGAATGGTTTGAGATATTGGGCGAGAGAGAGATGCAAAAAGCTCTCTTTGAATGGGAAGTGTTTTGATTTTGTATGAATATGCTTTCATCAATTCATTGTTTGTTATATTTATTATATAAAACAGAATTCTCATTGTCACGGTGGGTTGATGATATTACTCAAGATTCAAATTGAAAAACGCCTGACTTGCTTCAGTTTCTTATGTATTAAAACTACTGTGTCTGCCAATGTTCTTGAAGAGGCTATGAATGGAACTATTATAGTTATAGTCCTCTTCTGACTGGTACATCAGTTAGTGGGAAGGTGAGAGATTTCAGATTACACCACTTTCTTGAAGAAACCGTAGTAGCAGCAAAGCTCAGGCGGACCAGAGAGTAAAGACAGTTCCAAGACAAATTGGTTCAACTTGAACCTCATAGGATCTGATCATAAAAAGCTTGATGGACCAAAAAGTGTGTTTTGTTCATTCATTCTATTGTGGTTCTAGGGAAAATATATATGTTCATCGGAATGGTCCATAAGCTCCATAAACTCTTTTGTTGTAGAAGGGTTGTTGTGGTCAGAGGAAAGTAGCCTATTCACTTTGGGTTGGGCCATATATATCGGTTAGAAGAATATGAGATTTTTGATTCGGGCCCTTGACTAGAACATTGGACAAGTTAACAACAATACTTTCCCTAAAGAAAAACAAAAAACTACAATTAAAGACACTCGATCAATTTTTTTTTTGGAATACAGTATTTGGTTTTGGTATTAGTGATGGACAAATGGATTGATCGTGAAGCTATAAGTATGTTTAATATGATTCTAAAACTTTAGTCTCTATGCGTATGGTAGAAGTTACATGGCCTTTTCCTTATAATGAAAGTATTTTTTTAAAAAGTGATTTTGAAATGTCAAATGACTAGATTTCAACTTAAACATCGTCAATATGTGTAGTAAGGGGATGTCAAATTATATAAAACTCAACGCACAAAGTAGAGTGATTATTGGCTTATGTTAACATTAATTATTAATATCTCAAAAGGTCGACTAATAAAAAAGATAAACTTGTTTTGACTTTTGAAGCCTTTTGGACTAAAACAACAATGTGATTGAGTTTTGTGTTAGTGCGGTTTAGAGAGGTTGATACGAGAGAATAGTTTAAACATGTTTTAGTAATTGAATAAACTTTAAATCAAAGTGAACTAAGAAGAATTAGTACAAGACATTAAACTCAATGACATTTAATAACAGAAGAGAGTGATCAATCGACCAAGCATCTTAGCACTAGACTGACACAGTTCAGGCAACTAGTTCGACCACATGATTTCAGAGAATATTAAAAGTAATTCAATTATTTGTGCCGGCGGCTAACGAAATGGCTATTGGTAGGATTCATGGTACTAATCAATAACTTGTAGTAGATGTGTTTTTTTGCTTCTCATCTTTGGGATCATAATTAACTTTATTTAAAAGAGAAAATTATAATTATAAGTTTACTTTTAAATAGCCAGTAACTTTAAAAATCATATGTTATCAAAAAAGTAGTAATCAAATTGATACAACCATCATTTTTTTATAAGTGATGAAATCAGTCTGACATACACACTTGTGACTTTGTTTACCTCTTCGTCTTACGCAAAACCTAAGAAAATTCTCTTTTTATAAAAAAGTCTTTAAAGAAATATATATCAGCTTTACATGGTTGCTTCCTCGATGTGAGGCATAAAATGTGGCTGTTTATTTTATATCTGGAAATCACGGATCGATATGGCACCGTCTATGCAAAGGCAACTATATATATTTTTGATCATATGAATTGTTTACTAGCAAATGCTAAACCACATGCATCACGGCTTTATCAGAGAACATTGCAGAAATGTCTAGTAAAGTAAGTAAAGACTTGGATCATATGATTAATATTAAAAAACCATTATTGTTGTTCGACATCGTATTAGATCTATAACTGGAGTATTTGCATGACCAAAACATATAGTTAAAGGATTTGTATATTAGTATCACTATCTTTATCTAACATGCATTATGCATAGTGTTTTTCTAAAAAGGAATTTTTAATCACAAGAGGTCCATTTTTTCACATTATACAATGTTATTTTACACGTTAAAAAATCATTTAAAATTTCAGTTTCATCCTTCACTAATACACAATATCATTTTTATCGATCAATACACTAAAAAAAAAAGATAAATCAGAAAACTGTAACAAATATTTACCTTGAGAATTTAAAATGATATTTATTGTGAAATAAAATTTAAACTCTAATACCACTTTTAATCTAAAACGAAGGTAGCATTTTAAATTTTCAACTTTATTTGGGAATATTAAGTTAGCACTTGGCATTGAGAAGTTAATATGTCTTAATGCAACCACTTGACGTGTCCCACTTGGATTAATGTGTAACCTAAAGCCCTTCTGCTTTAAGAAAAGTGGGAAAATAAGTGTAATTAAAGATTTAATTAGCTACATTAGGTGTCACTTGGAGTTCATAATGGGACTTTGTGATGAATCATCACACCCCACCATCTTTGTCTGGCTTACATAAAAAATACTTAAGAAGATATCCGTTAAAGGAGATTTAGACTTGAAAACCCAAATGTCTAATTTTGGTTTTTTCCTTTTTCTTTTCAAAAACTGAAAAGTCGACTTCTACTCTTCCTGATGTGTGGGTTATAGACTAAATTAATCGCACTTGTGAGCCAAAAGCTACATTATATTTTTATAATTACCCCTTTTGTGTGGGAGCTAGCTAGTACTTTATTTTTTTTATGCATTAGTTTAGTTTATGCTAAACCCCATTGGTTGTATTAACCCTGCTAATCAAAATTTGGTGGGCCATTAATTTGATCTTGGAGATCTTATAATGATAAAATATATATATAACATCATATCTAATCAAAATTGATAGACTTGACATTGGTACCTAAATGGTGCTAGACAAGAGCATTGAGATATAGACAGCTGGTAGTTCTATTCGTCAAATAATAACACTTTTGCCGGGACATGTAAGAAGAAGAGATAATAAAAATGTAATTATGAGTTTAATCAAAAGAGAGATTAAACACCACTATATATTTCAGATTGTCAAACTTATTGGCTTATTGGTTGTCATCAATTTTTGTATTTTCTAAAATTATTCCACGAGTTGGGATGTCGCCATTTCTTTTGGAAAATTCTGTTTAAACCCATTATTAGTCATGTGGTAAGATTTTTTCAATGGAATCGCATAATCGTGAAAAAAGAAAAGAAAAAGAAGACAATATGCTTTCATCTCATTTTCTTGTTTTTAAACTGTTATTCATAATTAAGTATATACTGTATTATTTATTCCAAGTGCTTAAGTCTCGACCTAAAGTAGTTTTATTTTCTTAGGTCATATCTTAATATAAAGTTGATTTGTGAAGTAATCTAAACAATGCAAAAAGTTAAGCCATGAATCATAGGCCAAATTATTGTATTGTGTGGGCAGTTGCTGGTGAAACCAGTTCTCAAACTGCCTAAGACTCAAGATTAGTAAGTCTTGTCTCCCATCCTAAGAAGATATATGCAAGTTTGCTTTTAAAAATCTAGAAACTAGAACCAACATGGCTTAAGGTTCCTAACTTCCTATACTCCCTAAGAGAATAAAATAGAAGAAGAATCAGAAAAAATAATAATATCAGTTTTATGAAAAAAGGTAGCAAGAGATAGAGAATATGGATCCATAATCACATGCGTAATCCTTCATTAGTGGAGAAAACTTACGTGCCTATGTCCACTCACTTCCTCACATTTCACAACCTTTCTCATTCCTCTTTTTTCCCTTCTTCACTTTAAAAGTTTCCAAACTTGCTCCCTCTCTTATGTTGGCAGGACCTAAAAACCAATATCGTTCAAATCGGTATACGAAAATAAAATCGGTTTTAAAGTGAGATTCAATTTGAAATAACATATACTTCTCGTTATCTTAAAAAACGTATAAGGATCTTATAAATTTCCTTACTCATTATCAATTAACCTTAAATTTAATACCTACAAAAATTTAGATATTAGTTACACTTACAAACAATGATTTAGTAAATACTTTAACATAAGTACTTAGCTAGTTTTGGCTTATGATAAAACAAAGAATGAGAACTTAATGAAAATGTCAAGTTCAGGTAAAAAAAATGACTTAGACCATCTCCAATGGTTAGAACCATGGGAGGGTGCTTATTCATTTTTTTGCATTAATTTTTTAAAAATAAATTTATAAGTAGCCCTTAGTCTTTGCTTAAAGAGTTAATTAGACAACAAAGCTTATGAAAAGTGCTTGATTTGTATTAAATATAATGCAATAAATATAGGCAATGTCTTAAGCTTCCCATTAAGCAATGCCAATGGAGTTGATCTTATATGTCTGGTCCCCCCACAAGAAAAAAAAAACCTATGACATACATTTGAACACTTAGATTATTAATTTTAGGATAGGCCAATCCTTGTTTTCCCTAGTCATAGGATAGGCCAATCTTTATTTATTTTTCTGTCATAGGATAGACCTATCTATCATGATTGTATGTGTTTTTTTAAGTAAAAATCCATGGTCCATACACACATTATTAGCGTCCTTGAGTTCGCACTAGAAAGGAACATATAAATTACTCGATGCACAAAACATATTATTAACGAAAGTCAAAAACAAAGTTTCATTGGATCCGCTAAAGATAAAAAAGCAGAACGTTAATTGCATGTTGTGCATCTTTTTTTGCTTTTAGTTATAACATGATTATAATCATACACCAGAAACAAGTGACAATTTTAGATTATTTTAGGTCTTCTCTATTCGAAGTATAACATGTGTATTGCGTATCGAGGAGCGTATGAATTCTTCGTAATCAACTCTCACATTTATCCAAAAGATCCATTATATAAGTTTATGTTTATACAGAAAATATTAGGTCTAATCTACAAAATTTGGAGTATAGAAATATTATTTGATTATATTTAAATGTGTTTAGGCAAAATTTGACGTTTGACAAAAATAGAATAAATGTTTTAGCAAACCCACCGAGCCGAATTCTATGATCATGTGCTCCATCTCCATTAAAAGAGAGATCTCAAGAGATTTAAAAAAATAAAATGATAATTTAAAGCATATCTTCCACACACTTCTGATTGAACTTTATAATATCATTTCATATCACACCATATGTATCCCAAATCATTTCGATAAGGCTGCAGTGTGGAATTTTCCTAGATGAATACTGTAAACAAGTAATTTATGTAAACACCAGTGATTTGTATATATAATGTAATACCATGAAACTATGTTGATTAAAATAAAGATTATCTGTGAAAATACATATAAAGATTCGTTTGGTAATCCCGTATTAATGTGTATGAAATATAACATTGTCGTAGTAATTAATCATAAAAGCCATATGAAAAACAATACAAAAGAAATTACTTTTAGATGTTTTGTACTCCTACATTTATGTTTTACTGTGTTTGTTGATTTATGTAACATTTGTCTTATAAAAAAACTTTTAACGTCGTTACTAACCGGATCGAAAAAATTACATTAGTCTTTGAAGTATTTGCTATAATTTATTTTATTTATAGTTAATTTATTCACATGTCGATATTTCATATTTCAATTGTAAGCTATTTAAGCTATTGCTTAGGTGAGAAAGAAATTAAAAGAAGATACAAGGAAACAACCAAGGAAAACGAATTATGTAGATTCTCGTGGAAGATATATAATTAAAAGAGAGACAAGATGGGACATTTCTCCAGCCCCAAACAAAGACTTTAGTTTATATCAGGGTTTTACACAATTATTAAGTTTTTTTTGGTACAAAGAAAAAGCCTTAATCAAATCAGAAACCACCCAATTAACTTTTGATTGAGTTAGTAAGATTCGCAGATCTCTGTGATCCATCATCTATAACATAATTATATCTCTAAGTATGATAATTAATATAGGAAAAAAGTGATTATGTCCGTGTGTGTGTGTATGTGTATGTGAATGTTGACGTCAATCACGCAAACATACTCGTGAAACAAGTGTTGGTCACTTGGCACGTAATTCGTGGGGAACATGTTAACATCTGAGACTTTATCTTGGTCCTTCTTTTCTTTTCTTTCTCCTTAACAAACCCCACTTTTAACTAGTTTTCTTTTCACATTACTTACTTAGAGCTTTGTCTTCAAATCCACTAAGCTATCTCTTTGCTTATTCAGATATATTAAACTGAACATTCTTTCAAAATCTTGATTTCAAAATTGTGATACATGTTTGACTTGATATTCTAAGTACTATGGTTGAATTTGTCTAAATATTATACGTCACTTGTAACGTGATGGTTTGTGTAAGTGTCCTTGCATCATTTAAATCTGCATAAAACATAGTTATAGGAAAATAAAAATATACATGGCCAAAATATATATAATTTGTACCAAATAACATAAGTTTTATGTCTTAATTAAAATGATTGATAATACACAAGAGTGCCACACTAACAAAACTCACTTTTGAATACAATCCAAATTATATATGATTAGTTAAAATAATCGTGTTGACTTTTGAATACAATCCAAATTATATATGATTAGTTAAAATAATCGTGTTGACTTATTTTACCTTAGAACTATTAAAAGTATATATGGTTACATGTAAACATAATTTTCTTAATAGTCATAATTAAAGACAACCTTACATAAAGTAATAATGTATCCATAAAATTTGAAGTTAATTTGACTTTGATAAATATTTATTGAGATCGTATCTGAAAAATAGATACGCACGATAATGCGACGGGGACACGTGGGACATAAAGAAGTGAGATGTGGGACTTTTGTTCTTTTACATATTTTCTTTTTTCTTCACATCTTCAATAGATTCTCATGTTTCTTTCTCACACAGTTTCAAACTTTTTGGCTTCTCGGTCACTTCAGATCACATCTCATACTCACATTACCATATGCTTTGTTTGTTTTTTTCTTTTTTTCTTTCTTTCCAATACACAATACTATATGAGATAACATTGGCATTGCATCTACTTCGTCTTGACTTTACTGATCACTTTCCGTCTGTCGGCATCTTTTTTTGCTTTGTAATAATAATTTTTTTGGGTGAAATCTAAATCAGCAATAAAAAAAATGAAACTAAAAGCAAATTGTTTAGGTGGTTCATGAAAAATCATCATAAATTATTATCAAAGATAAGTAATCTTATTTTTTATAATAAATATTAGTTTTTTTTGGTATAGTCGACTGAATCTTAATATATTAAAGTGGACATATATTTTCGCATGTTGAGTATAAACATTTTGATATATTACTGGAATTATTTATCATATTATAATTTTTGCTACGCTTGAAATAATTTCCAAAAGTTTATGATATATATATATATATATATATATATATATATATTTTGGTATCAAATATCCAAATGTCTTTTGATTCGATAATCCTAACCGGAAAACGTGATAATTTCTTACTTCGCATGCATATATTCCATGTGCAAGGCTCGTTTTGTCTTATTTGTATGTGTGCATAAGTTTAAATGTTTGCGAGACGATTGAATTTACTGCATGTGGAATATAATACTGAAAATTACCATAATTATACGTAGGATGTTATTCCAACTTAGCTCTAGGTTTTTTTTTTTTTTTTTTTTACATTTATATCATAAAACTTTTTCATACAAAAACTAAAAATTTAGCTCTAGGTATCACGGGTAACTCTTGATTAGACTGTCCTATTGTGTTTGTAGGTTACTATTAAACTGATGTTATAGTCTACGGTACATCTAATTTGGTCTTTCTTGGAAGCAATAGGTATTTTGATAATCTTCCGAGGTTTTCCACTTTCCTCTGATCCATATTGTTGATCTTGGATTGTTGTGCTTTTGAGATATATCCATTGGCTTAGTTTTTTTCCTTTGTCCATCTAAGGGTGGTTTAATTATTTCTTTCACCTTTTGGTTGAACGAGAACTTTGAATTTTCAAGATGAAAAGCTTATGTATAGTTTATAAGATCTAGTCGGATAGATGTAAATATAGGAAAGTGAAGTAAATATCTGTCCAGATATAACATTTTCTACACATATATAATAGCATATACTCATGCTAAAGCTTTATATGTGCATATGCCGGCATACAATATTAAGTGATGACAAATGAAAACTTATTTTCTAGATTTAGGCATATGTGATGACATATTTGTTTTTGTTGTATGTACGTGATTATGTTATTTGACCGATGACATAAGGAAGAATTATTTGGTAGATTAAGAAGATCATTCAAACGTAAAGGAGATGAATAAAAAAACAATGGGGAAAAAAAACATTATTCAATTAAGACATAAGTATTAAACTTGAATGAAAATGATATGTTTGCCATGACAATGAACAAGCATGTGTGATACCAAAAAAAAGAAGAAGGAATAAGCCTGTGTCACAATCGTATAAATTTGTTTCAAAATGCACTTTTAATTATCAGTATGCTTTGGAATTAAATATACTTTGATACAAAATTTCCAAATTACAAGTTACGACCATGAATTTAAGGTTACAATAAGTCTGCATTAGAGCAAAAACTTGTTATGCAGGAAATTCGTATTAGATGTATAATCAATAATAATATTTCTCGAATGTGATAATCAAGTATGCGGAAAACTCTACATAAAAAAATCTCCAAAATTTAGTCTTTCCATCACACCAAAATATGGTTAAAAATTTGGAAACAAAATTGACGGAAAAAGCAAAAATATGAATAAAAGTTTTTTTTTGTCGCAATAATTTTTTTTAATAGAATTATTGAACATATTTTTAAAAAATAATTGGTGGTATAGTTCGTCTGAATATAAATAGTTTTTCTTTGTAATTTTACCAAAAAAAAAAGTAGTTTTTCTTTATAAAAAACTTTAATTCTACATCAAAAACATAGAGATTACTTTTTTATAAAATCATTTTCCAAACAGTGTACATATATGTTCATCGTAATTATTCTCTCTAACTTATTAGAATCACATTTAAAAGAAAAAGTAGGTGGAAACATATGAATTTTCCCGAAGAGAACAAGTAAGAATGAACACAAAAAAAGTGGAGCCGAACTTGAAACTTTCCCTTCACATGAAATTAAAGGAGACAGATGAAATCCAATAGGGTCCCCTAATAATCCATGTCGTCTCGGTTCGTGTGTTCCTCAAACTCCCACTTTCACTACTCTCTTCTCTTTTTTTCTTTCTTTCTTGGGATGTCCGAAAAATTAAAAAAAAACAAGAAAACAAAAACCAAAGTTAATCAACCAAACAAAACAAAACAAAACAAAAACAATCTCTCATATATTTCCACACACAACACACACTTGCACAGTGTCTCCCATGTTACTGTTCCAAGTCCACACACATCTCTCTGCCCCCCCCTTTATATATAAATTTATATGCCCCCTCTTCCTCACTCATCATCAAACCCCTCTTCTCTTATTATCTCTCTCTCTCTCTTTCTTTAAAGACTTGCATATTCTAATAATGGAGGAGCTAGATTTTAGTTCTAAAACAACTACTTCTCGTTTAAAGCTATTTGGATTCAGTGTTGATGGAGAAGAAGATTTCTCCGATCAATCAGTCAAAACAAACCAATCTTCCATATCACCTGAACGTGGCGAGTTTCCGGCGGGTTCTTCCGGAAGAAGTGGCGGCGGTGGTGCAAGAAGCCGAGGAGGAGGAGGAGGAGGAGAGCGTAAGTACGAGTGTCAGTACTGTTGTAGAGAGTTTGGTAACTCGCAAGCTTTGGGAGGTCACCAAAACGCACACAAGAAAGAGCGTCAACAGCTTAAACGCGCTCAGCTTCAAGCTACAAGAAACGCAGCCGCGAGTTACTCAAACGCTGCATCAGCGTCGTCTCACTTCTTACGGAACCCTATAGTCTCTGCCTTTGCTCCTCCGCCTCATCTCTTACCATCATCTTCTTCCGCCGTGTCTCCTCAGCCTATGGCAGGTCCTTGGATGTATCTTCCACGTGTCTCTCCTTCTCAGCTCCAGGTGTCACATGGTTGCGTGATCCAAGATAGTTCCGGTGGTGGTGGTGCGGGTGCGGGTGGGTTCTCGTACGAGTATGGTGGAGTTCGTGAGTCTGGGTTTGGGATTGTTGGGTCTCAGATGAGACACGTTCAGGCCCATGGGCCGAGACCATCGGTGAATGGGTTTTCAAGAGAAGTGGGAACTACGTTCGATGATGGTTTAGGGTTGGATTTGCATCTCAGTCTTGCACCAGCTGGTCATTGACATTTTCTTTTTAAGCTCTTGTATATTTTCTACATTTTTAATTAATTTATTTATTTTTAGTCTTTATTTTAACATTTTAGTGAATTTTAAATGCCAGTAATTTGTTTGTTAATTAGTAAAATATTTAGATTCCATATATGTTTCCTACCCAAAAAAAAAAAAGTAAGTCTCAAAATGGTTAACCAATTCCTAAACAAAATGTTCATGAGAAGGTTATTATTGTTCTGGAATGTTGAGACTCTAAAAAACCAAAATAAACAATAGGACATCAGACTATATAATATAAAAAATATAAACGTTAAGCGTTAGGACATAACTCATAAGTTGTGTCAGGTGTACTGTAATAGAATGTATAAAAACAAACAAAATAATCATTCCACTATTCAGATCTCTTTTAGATCTTAATTTTACTGAAATCTCAAAAAAAAAAGTTATTATAGTGGCCAAATATATGATTCAAAGGTGAGTATAAAAACTATTTTTCACAAGCTTGCAGCAAAACTAAGCTCAAAATTTAGGCAAAAGGGGCACGTTACGTTATATAACCTTTTGAAAAAGCCTAGCACATGGAAATTTGTATCGTGTAGTAATTAAGTACGTACGGTTTTAGTCAGATTCGGGCATGTTCTTGTTAGTCGATTACCAAATCTTAATTAGAAGTAAAATTTGGTTATAATTAAATTTTGTCGATTACCCAATTTGGTTAGAATTAAAATTACTAGTCCAACACAATTTGGTTAGAATAATTTGTCACTGAACCGTTTTTCCAATTATGGGCACTTTCTATGATTCAACTCAAAGTTATCAAAGTCAATTCCTCTATATATCTTCTTAAGTTTACTCCCTCTTGCATGAGAACATACATGTACAAATTAATTAGCAAGTAGTAACGGCTATGAAAAAAAGATGTAGAGTTACTCTCTTTTGGCTAATAATATTGTATTTTTGTGAGCTACAAATTTTGCCAATCACGGAATTAAAAAAAACGCGAATCGAAGTATAAGACTTATACATATACCACAAGTTGTGTGTGTTGGTATGAGTCGTCGAATAATACTATTTTTTTAAAAGTGATACGTTTGTTCGAAATAAAATATTAGGCAAATAATACATATGTTAAAAATTTAAGGCATATAGAAGCACTTATATAATGGAGGAATCTTGCACTAAGTTTATGCTAACATTTTTTAATTTTACGTATGTACGAATGTGAATGTGTATTACCAAAACAAGAACAATTGTTTAATAACACAATGGCTTAATTGGAGTAACATACATAAATAAATGTATATGTCACAAGCTGTAGGAAGAATCCCCGGGGTATCCGAATTTTGAAATAATAAAAATCATTCTAGTCTACTACTATATGATATATTTAATATGTAGAGGGTAGACCAGCGCATTTTCGTGTTTAAAACATATGAAATGGGATCCTAGTCACCATGAGCCAATAAAATATGTGTAGGACACAAAGTATATTTTGTTTTAGATCTTTTGTAATGCAATTGGCACGTATATTTACGTCCCTGTCTCTGTTTATATAGTATATGATGGGCATAGATGTGATTGGTATTGGGGCAGCTGGGCATTAAGATAATTGTGCTCAAACTAAAAAGTTTAGGAAGTAGTTTTATGGACATTGACTGGTTAGTGACTTAGAGGATGCAATGGGATACAATTTAAATTCGGTATCATAAGTTTTTGGTGCCCCAAGTTCAATCCCTTTTGAGACTGAAAGGCATTTTGTAAATCAAAATAGACTACAGAGGTTGGTTCCAAGTACTAATGGAGATTATAGTATCAAAAGTTGTTTTAACATGTTGAAAGTCTAAAGATGACCTCGTGTATGGTGTTTAGGGGTTTAAATCAATGGATAAAGGCCTTTTATAAGATAACAATATGCAAGCAAACAATGATTCAAGATATTGACTTAAATAATATCTAGGTCATAAAACACTTAATGCAAATTCACTTGGTTTTTTCAGCTTTAACTGAGTCTGTTGGTCTAAAAACGTCGTCTAGGTAATTCTCTCGTGCAATTGTATATGTAATGCAAATTGTTTCTACCAATAGTGCGATGTTCCAGCAATTTCTCCCTTATACTTGTGACTAGCTCAGCGTTAGAGGTCAAATAGGTTCTCATTAGATAGAGATAAATTTATATCAAATTTTTTTCAATATAATGCAATATTTTGAGAAACGATTATAGTGATTATGGCAAATGTTCACTTCTTTTTCTCTATATTTATGACATTGTTTTCTATAAAAATTTTACATACACAATCACTCATCATGCATGCGTACGTATCCACATACCGTCCTCTCTTTTTTACGTACACAAACAACATATCTCTGAGCTGTATTTAACATCATATATATATATATATATAGAACTCAATTAATATGATAATGTTGTCACAAAGTTTTTTGGATGGATAAATTTTACAAAAGATTTTTTTTTTGATAATATTGTCATCAAAAGTGCTAATCCAATAAACCCACATGACCTTTTCCCCAATTAAAACGAAAAACAAATTATGAATGTGCATGTATTTATTTAAATGTGCTAATGCTTTGTTACTATCGGCCCACATCTCATCCGCATCATTGACAAACCTATTCGTATAACCGCGCTTAGTTTCATCCTGAAAACATTGTTCTACTCTGAGCTATGTCTTTAAATTTTTTGTGTATTTCTATTTAAGCTTTTTTTTTCTTTGTTTTACTAAATGAATCAAATAAACTTTACACTGAAAATTAACAATAATAAGTGTATAATTTGTATGAAGGAAAAAAAAAGGTGGATATGTAAAAGGAACCCTTATTGGAGGGAAAGTTTTATCATAGACGCAAAACGTGCTCTTTCGCTGAACCATGTGTCCTTTTTAAGGAATCATCAAAGTCCTTATCACACCATCAATCATGCAATATATATACCCTAATCTAAAAGACACCGCACTATATATTATAACTCTTGAGGGTACGTGACTCTTATTTATGCTTTTGCTTTTACCAGTCTGACAATTACACATTATACATTGCATATAATCTCATTGTCGTAAAATATCAAAAACATTGGATCTTCATCAATAATGTATCATGCATGCACATATGCATCCCCACTGAATGCATAAACACGAAAATAATAGATAATAATGGTTTCTACTTTATTATACACTTAGCCTGCAGTAGATAGTAGTCTTGATGACTTTTAACCTGGCGATGACAGATTCTCTGGTAACACCGTAACAGTTGTTTGTATGGTCCTTATCATGCATTTTGCAGTCGGATCAGTGGTGGAACTACGTTATAGGTAGGTTGGGCACGTGCCCTACACTGATTTTTATTTTGTATTGAATAACTCTACACAATAGTTTCATATTAGTTCATTTGGTAATGTTTACATGTAGATAATATGAGAGGTGGGGTGTTCTAACCTTTCATGTGGACTATTTTTACCTTTTTACTTCATATTTTTATCATATGGTATACTAATGTAGTATTCATTATTAGGTATATTTAATATGTGCCATTGGTTAATAAGTCTCCTGGATCCGCCACTGAGTCGGATTGTAGAGCAAACACAATTACTACAAGAAATTACAAGAAATTTCTCTTACTAGTTAAAAGGTTTGTTCACATTAATGAGAAAAACATAACATTGTTGTATTTATATCAAAAATTATGAAAGCATATTTTTTGTTTAATTTGTATTTGTATTTTTTTTGATAAAATTTAGTTCCTAAATGATGTTTCATAAAGAATGAAAATATTGGATTAGCGGAAGCAAGCGTCAGGCTGTTGTGTTGGTAGAAGTTCGTTGTATTTATTTATTTTTGACATTGTTGGTACAAGTTCTTTAACACATGTTTTGTTTCGGTTTCCCTTCTCTAACAAACCAAGACAACAATTGTTAGTTTCGGAGTAATGTGGAGATAGGGTAGTGGTTAAAGTACATTGTGGTAGGTTAGGGACAAAGCACTAAGATGAAAAATTCAGATTCCATCTAAGAAACACGATAGGGCTTACGTGGAAAGTGATTGAAAGCAGGACAACCCTTAGGGTTTGGCTTTTGTTTGACGTGAAATATGGAAAGAGAAGATAGATGCGTTGGATGTGTGTCGAAGCCTCGTTGGTTCCATGTAAGTTTATGGCTTAAGTATATCCAAAGAAAGTTCCTTTCTCTTTTTAACGTTTTTTGCAATGTAGTTACAATTATGATGTCGATGGATCAATTCTATATAGGATAAGAATAAAAGTACTAGATCTTGTCGGGGATACGCCTTTTAATTTTCCCTCTTTTATTTAAGATTCTCGTTAGTTAGAAAAATTGAAAACAAATGAGGAAGTTACATGTACATTGATAAACAAATGAGAAAGTTACAAGTTCTATATGTGTATACGAAACAACCTAAATACATACGTTCTATGGATTTGAATAGAACATGCTCTTAGAATTTAGATTGATGTACTGGCCTATTAACTAAACTTTAAATAGTGGCCCTTCATGTATAAATAACATAATTGAGGTACAAGAACATTTCTTGGTTGAGTTTGAAAACACTGATTGCTTGTAGTATATAGGCACAATCCAAAGAAGAATCTATAACTTTAAACTCACATGGAGTGGGACGTAAAATGTTTGCTAATTTTAGAGTTCATAGCTTAAGTAGTTGGTCCACATAAAGATATCTTTTGGGAAGCGAAGTGGCATGAGGACCCAAAAAAACTAAAAACAAAAGTGCACGTATGTACTTGGTCAATACATACATAACAATATACTGATACTGTCACTTATGAAGACACTAATTGAAGTGGACTAGCGTACGATACTGTCCTACCAGTTTCAGAACACTTTACGAAGCCAAAGTAGTAAAAAGACATGTCTTCCTCTTGTCGATCTCTCATTCGTTGCTTCAACAACTCTCCCTTTATCTTTCTCCTCGTATAAATGTTTATCTAACCTGCGTATAATAATATATAGACTGCACCATGCGAACATGCAATAAATGGACAGCCCAATAGAGTCCACAACCTTGAAAATTTTAGACGACGTGAACATCGACGGCCCAAGAGGGATTCATTTTCAAAGAAGTGAACATCAAATTCAAACAGGGCCCAATTAGACGAAAAGCCCAATGTTTACTTCCTTTTGGTGTTTACAAGAGCCTCTAATTCTAAATTCCATATAATCATCAATCCACCAAGCAAGAAGTGATAAAACTGATATTGTAAACTGATAGAATCAGAGATACTCAAATACAGAGTGAAGAAATAAATGAGTCTCCAAGGTCTCAAATATATGATGCAAAGACAAATTAACAAAGAGAAAATATAATATTCCAAAATTCAAAAAAGTAAACAAAGTTTGGTCAATCAAGCAAATTCCCGCGCCTGCATCCTCATCTCATCGTAGAACTTTTCAATGAATCTCTCAGCCTTCAGATCAATCGAATCATCCTCGCTAAAGTAATCCAACGGCTGCGGAAGCTCCCTTGCAGGAGAAGCAACTCCGAGGGCATAATGGAAAGGCTCCATATCCATCCAACTTTGCGTTATTGTATCATCGTTCCAGCCAATGCACCGAGAAAGAAACAATAGCTCGTAAATGCGTTTAAGACTCGATCTAGATACCCGAATTCGCTTCCTACAACAACGGATAAGCGATGTACGTGAAGGCGAGAATTGATACTCTTGGAGAAACTTATAGTTGTAGTGCTGAAGGAGTTTGACTCTTTTGGATGATCTTCTTCGTTTTATGGGAATGAGCTTGAGTCTAGGGATGGCTGGTCTTCTCAAGATCGATACTTTTAGTAGTTTCGTGACCCTTTGGAAAATAGGTCTTCTTCTTTGAGACATTTTGACATAAAAGAGTACTTTAGAGTTTAGTTCTTGGAAAGGACATCAATGTTCAAGATTTATAAAAGATGAAAAGTTTTTGAGTTTTTTAGATCTAAGCAGGAGCGCCAAGCCAAGCTGTTAAAGTCATGGTCGGTTCGGTTGTCTACTTTTTTCAATTATTTGTATGTATAGTAAGTAGCCGTTGGAGGTTCCTTTTCAATATAGTTTATACTTTTCTAACAAAATGTAATATTTAAAGTTACCTTTTCATATAGGTTTGAAGTGGCAAACAATGTTCTTTGCTGCTGACACATATATTCTGAAGATGTATCAATTACCCTTTGTATAATCTTAGTAATAAGTTCGAATTTGTTACACACAAATATTTTTTTCGTGGCATATAAGGGAAAAGAATGAATTTTCACAAGTTCTTATATTTTAATTAAGGATTTGTAAAACAAAAACTTTGATTTAGGATAAATAGAGTTTAAGTCTAAACTAAAATAGTGGTTACGTCAGATTGAGATAAATAAAGTTTACAAACTGAAGCAAAGCTTGATTCGTGGTTGTGACGGTGGATGATATGCCACTTTAAGCTAAAAAAGGTTTGGTTCAGAAAAGTATGGCTGTGATTTCTTTCTTTTAACCAATTTTACGTACCATAGATCCATAGCTTCACAAGAGCTTCACAATCTTTATGTCGTGGACCGAGCTGCCTGAAACTAATTAATATATATATTCTTTCATAGTTTAGCCAAATATCGTAATGTCATATATAATTATTTTAGGATGTAATCTTAGTTTTATTGATCTTAACATTAAACCCAAAAAAGAAAGAAAAATTATTCTTATTGCTCAATGTATCTTAGTCTCATAGACCAAGTTAGAAATATGGGTTTGATCCTACAAGCCAATCAATGTTAGCGGTAACAACTACATGTCACTTGAATTTCTGCTGACTGAAAACTGGACACCGTTATTATTTGAAGTGTTTAGATGATTAAAGTGCTTTCTAATCTCTGATTATAAATCATATCAGATAATTCCTCTAATTAGTTTTCTCTAGTGTTTTTTCAAGTATTTATTTGTTTTCCTTTATATTACTTGAAAACGAATACTTGAAAAATTAAGTATTTTTCTCTAATATTTTTCACGTATTTGTTTTTCTCAAATGTTTTAATCAAGGCTTTGTTGACCCCGTTTGTCAAAGTGAAGCAATTGACACATCATTGCATTTCCTTCCCGAAGAGCTCGAAAGTGAAGGAAAAATATTGCAATGCGAAAATGCTCATTAATTTGCTGAAAATAATTGACTTACAACTTCAAAAAATCATCTTTACAAATTAATAAACATATTAAGATATGGTTGAAATATGTTCATTTATCGGACAACATCATACCATGGTTTAAATTTATTGATAATCAGTTATATAGAAACAAAATCTCAATGTTGAAACATGAACACAAAATTTATAAAAATTGGTATAAAAGAGTTTACATTAAAATTAAAAGACATTTGATTAAAATTCAAATACCTATCAAAATCGAAATATGTCAACTCATCTACTCGTATTTAAGATTATGTTATCTTATTTATAAACAAAGAATTCTTAAAAGTAAATAACTTGAACAAAAATCCATATTCAACATATTAAAAACCTTTGACTAGAATAATAAAATGAAATCTTTCTAATTTACTCTATATGACTATTTACATTTCCTAAAATCGATCTTTAATTATCCTTTATTTAACTTTTAAAATGATTTAAAATGTAAATTCATATATTCGTGAGGATAGTTTAGGTATAAGTGACAATTTTATATTAAAATATATATAAACAAACCTGGAAAAAAAATATTTTATTATAGTTTCTCCACAAGTACGTATTAAAAAAAAACTTAACTCTTTAAACGAGTTATAGATTCTACAAAGATTGTGCAATGAGTTAAGATCTACGGATACAATCACAATTCAAAAACAATCGAACGGTTATAATCCATTCCCATCACTTAAACCGACATCTCTCAAACCCGGGAAAATAATTCACTCACAGCGTATTTTAGCAAAAACTGTACACATAATTTATAATTTACCAAACTACCCTTCAATATTAAAAACGGAACTTCGTATATAAACAAACTCTTCCTCCGTTTCTCTCAAAAGCGACAGACAGAGAAGAAAAGAAAAAAAAAAAAAAAAAAATCTAAACGAAGAAGACGAAGACGAAAGAGAAGGTTTAGGTTTAATGGCGACGACGGGAGGACATGAGAGATCGAAGACTCTTTCGAATTTCTCGTTACCGAACTTATGGGGCACTCGAAGACAACTACGGTGTATGAAGGTCGGTGATGATTCCGACGGCGGTGGTGGTGGTGGTTCAAGCTCCGGCGGTGATCAACGACTCCGACGCCGATCTTCGAATTCCGAATTCGATCATCGGAATCGACGGTTTCAGGTCGATGAATCGTCTGAGAGAGAAGGAATCGAAGAGTTTAGGGAGAAGATTATGTTAGATCTTAGAAACGTTGCTGATAAGATGACCGAATCGATTTTTAGGGAGCAAGTCCTCGGAGAAGAAGACGAAGAAGAGAAAGAGCCGGAGATGGAGAGGGAGGAGTCTCCGGCGGAGAGAGAGGTTTCGCCGCCGGGAGCGTTGGGAGCGACGGTGGAGGTACGGCCGTGGAATTTGAGGAAGAGGAGAGCTGCTTGTAAAGCTCCGATTCCGAGGATTGATTCGAATCAGAGTAAGGGGTTAGGGATTGAGGAGAAGAAACGAGTGAAGGATTCGGTTACGGGAGATCGGATGAGATTGTTGTATACTTTGTCTAAGAAAGAGATTGAAGAAGATTATATCAAGATTACGGGGCAACGACCACCGCGCAGGCCGAAGAAACGATCAAGAACCGTTCAGAAACAGATCGATGTATATGTCGAAAAATTCGATTCTTTTTTGTATTGATTTCGTTGGTTGGTATGTGAAAGTGTTTATACTGATTTTGGGTTTGTTTGTTGCAGATGTTGAATCCAGCTTGTTATATTACTGAAGTTACTGAAGATCTTTACAATGTTCCAGACCAAGCTGAGAGGGGAAAGGTATGATCTTGTTTTCTTGATTTGTATTTTGTAAACCAAATCATGTGTGTTTGGCTAAATTTGTGATTACTGATTGATTCTGCAGAGGTGATGATGATGATGGGGTTGCAGGAAGTTCTCTCGTAGGCTAATTTGCTGACTTGTGGAATGGCTTGAAGCTTGTGAATTTGGTCTTTTTTTAGTGTTTCTTTTAATTATTCTTTGTTTAGTTTTGGGTTTCTTCGGTCTGTTCATTGGCTGAGAAAATAACCTGTACAAAGATATGGGAACAAAAAGTAGGTTCTGTTTCATTAGAATTTAGAACATACTCTTTTGTTTTTTTCAGTAAGGCAGCAAAGAAAAGCCAAATATTAATCAATAATAGGATTCACATTTTTACCAAATCTTTTGCTTTTGTGTTGTGATCTAAGCTCAAAGATTTATACTGTTGTTGAGTGTCGTTTCTCATTCCTTGTTTTTATATCGTTCGCCTATCGATGATTTGCCCTTTTCGACGTTCTACCTATCGACGATCGATTACTAGCCTGTTCAGAATCAAACTGCGCGGAATCGCCTTTTCTCTTGGAACAACTTTTGTGTGTATTCTTACTTAGTTTGGGTGTCTATGTATAGTAGAAGGTGCAGCAAATTTGGCAAGAGCGTGTACCAAAGTGTCAATGAACCAAATGTCAATAATACAATTCAAGGCGGGTGTGCTTATTATATATACACAAAGAGTGGACTAATTGATTCCGTGTGGTGGCATTCGTTTTTCCCGCGTTGGATTGTTTCACTCAGTGTGACTCGGTCTCTACCGGTTTGCTATTTTCGGTCTGGTTCAATTTCTTTAACCAATGGCTACTGTCAGGTCAACTAGTAAGACTCTTAATTTTATGTGTTAAGAGTATTTTTTTTTTTAATAATTAAAACTTAACAGTGTGAGACTATAATTTTTTTTATAGATTATTTTAGTTAACTAAATGGCTATGGTAAACATTATTTTAAAAACTTAACTTTATGTTCATATTGCCGATATTTTTTAAAAACACTAAATACAAAAATACTATTCTTCTTTTTTTTGGTTATTGATAGAACGTTCAAAACTTTCAAAAACTATAATCAGCTTCTTAGAAAGGATCAACCAACACATGAATAATATATATAGATAAACCAATCAATTTAAAAAAAATTTAAATTGTTATCTTAGGATTCGAGATAAAAAATTTTAAAATGCACTTGGAGTATATCTCTGATATTAGAAGATGTATAGATTTCAGCCTACAATCTCTTACGTAACAAAACAAAATGTGAAGTCACAAAGAATAACTTGTTTGGAATGTTTGGTAAATTTGGTATTTTTAGATACCATAGAGAATTTCAATAGTCTATATTTGAAAATAAATCTTATCAGCCACACTATATTATTTATTTTTTCCGAGTTTCCCATTTTGCGGTTTTATTAAACATATGTGATCTTAAATATACATATGAATATATAACCCCTTTTAGACATCTAATTGATTGTATATAAATTAAATTTTTTTATATGAAAAATCTTGTAATATTTTACCAAAACAGATTCAAAAAGGTAAATTTGATTGTGATAGATAAGCAAAAATTAATCACTTCTTAAAAATATATATGAGACTTTCTTGACCAAAAAAAATACATAAATGAGATTTTGTATTTCCTATATTAACCTTTGCCTATCACTGTTATATAAAATAAGATAATTTCGGCGGCCAGATTAGGGCGAACACTTTCTTCTCCTGTTTGTTTTCGTTGATCCAATGTAATTTCAGGCCCAAGCCCAATTAGTATATACCTCATGGTTTCTTAAAAAATACTACGATTAACAATTTTTTACACACCATTATAATTCTATAAACCTAGAATGATATGCCTAATATTTTCATGTTAATGATTTTAATAAAGTGATAATACACCGCGGATTAATGATATTTCGAATTTCTATTAATTTCTATCCAAACTCGTCTCATCATATAACCCGTCCCAAAGTAATTTAAATGTTTTCTAAGTCCAAAAGTTCAATAATTAAAAAGAATAAGTTTAAATCATATCAATAACAATATTAATTGAAAGTTTAAGTTTATAAGATAATGTAAATTAATCAATTGATTACTAATTCTACATACTCTCTACGCGTTAACAAAAAATTGTCATTTTTGACATGTTTCACATAAATTAATAAAACTATATAATAAATTTCTACAGTACCATTCATAAATACAAATTAAAGAAACCATGGGTAGAATTTTGGGACTAACCTCATGTCTAAGTTTACAAGTTTGTTTACCAAGGTAAAACATTTTGTATGGCAATTTAGTTGTTAATCATTTTGACATATTTAACGTATGAAATATCATATGTCACCGATGTGTATGTAAAAGGGTAAACTTATCAAGAATATTTTTATACAATTAAACTATAATTTATAAGCTGACTCGTATAACTAATTACTTAATTACCGAACCCAAGTCTAACGAAGCCTATCATCCCAACTCTATTGCGACCTCTCGAGCGACGTAAAATGCCAGTCAAAGTCAACCACGACGATTTCATGTATATATATGTATCTTATCTTTTAATCATCAAGCTATCACCACGACGACCCATTTTTTTATTTCTTTACATATTTTTATCTTATTTTCATTTACGCGTTATACAAAACTAATCTTATGATATGACCACAAAGATCCAACATCAACTTGAATCAACGAAGAAGGCGTTCCTATGCTTCTGCTACGCCTCCTAGTTTGTGAATTATTCTTGTTTTTTGGTTTTTGAAATCACAGACAAAACCCACATGCTGTCTAATCTTCACATGTGCTGTCTATATTAATATTCCATCATTATACAACACAGTAAGAAAAAAATAAAAATAAATAATAAAGACATTTTTTGTTTGAACTTTTTTCCCCCTCTCCGGCCACAAAATTCCAAAAGATGTTTTTCATAATTTTGTCTTTGTGTTTGTCTTACCACTACAGAGAGATCCAATGCTGAAGAATCCGTCGGCGACGTTTGAGATGAACGTCGGAGGTGGGAAGTTCAGGACCGGACTGACTCGGATCCCACCGTTTCCGTTTCCGAAACTCTTTCTGCCTTGTGGCTTCGAGTGATAAGGGACTGAAGAAGCTGAGAGCGAAGCTGATCTTCTTAATGGAGACGTGTGTTTAGGAAGATTGTGATGAGTCTTGTGTGGGTGATTGGTTTCCTTGGGGAGTAAGCTAGGTTTAGGGTTTGGTGCAGAGCCTGTTGAGTGGCTTCTTGAGAGGAAATTAAGCGATCTGATCAGCCCTTTGCTGTTTTGGCTCTTGTCGTAGTTTTGACTTATGCTTCTCTTGAACTGCAAGAACAGTCCTCTTGGCTTGTCTTCGAAATCAGATTCAGGATTCAATAGAAGCTCTTTGAGTCTCATCTTTTTTTCTGGTGCTCTCGATGAGGAAGAAGAGGAAGAGGAAGAGGACGAAGATGATGATGAGAGAGAAGCAGATCTTTGAACACGGAAGGGTACTGGCTGTGGTAAATCTTTCTTGATCTGTACGGGAAGAATCTTGCCATCGGAGAAGAGTTCATCAGCCGGAGAAACTTCTTGAACAGAACAACTTGAGCCAAAGCAGAAATCGAACTCTGAACCTGATTCAAGAAGTGTTGAGTCTAATCTGACTTCACCGTCGTCCGTTGAGTCTATATCGTAGGAGAATGAGATTCTTGGACTAATTCCAGAACCAGAAGCCTCCGCACAACAAACGTCAATAGCCATAACCTCTCTTTCTCTTTCTCTTTATCTTACACACACACACTATATATCTCTCTCTAGCTCTCTCTCTATCTATGTATATACCTTCGTTTGATATCATTCAAGAGCCAAAGCCCGGGAAAAAAGAGTAAAGAAACCTTGAAGATTTGAAAAGGATGTTAAAGAATGGAGAAGATTTTGAAGTCAAAGAAGTGAAAGAACAAATGAAGATTCTCAAGTCAAAAATGGCAGCTTAACCTTTTCTTTATTTGTAAAATGTTCTTACGAACAAAGGGAGACAATAGGAGATGGAGGGACTAATCAGTTGTTGTAGTTTTTTCACAATAAAACAAAAAGAAAAAGAAAAGAGGAACAGCGAAAGCAAGATAAAGGAAGAGTGAAAGAAGAAAACAAAATAGTAAAAGTAATGTTGAGATTTCAATCTATTTGCCAAAATAAACCAATACAAAAAAAAGATATTTTACCCATTAATATTTGGACTAATAGGATATTTAGTACATTTTGAGAATTTAATTGGAGAAGTAATACATTTACTATTCAAAATTGGCAAAGTAATACATTTGTGAGATAGAGAATTTGAGAGATAGAAAAAGAAGGAGAAAAAAAATGACAAGGGAGGGCATTTTTTTTTTGTTTTCCGATTTTCGTTTTTTTTTTTGTTTTTTTTGTTTTTTTTTTTTTATTTTTTTAAATATTCTTACCCCAACATTCTAATAACTAAAAATTCTTGATTTTGTAATTTTTTTTCAAACTTTTTTTTGATTCACAAAAATCTATGTTTTTTTCTCAATAATTTGATATGCATTTTGCTTAGTATAGTTTAAATATATTTCATAAGTATATATTTTTTTGTACACTTTAGCATATGTACAGACGTATTTGTACAATTTAGTATATGTACAGACGTTTGTGTACACTTGATTAGATGTACAGAGTATATGTACAGACGTATTTGTACAATTTAGTATATGTACAGACGTTTGTGTACACTTGATTAGATGTACAGAGTATATGTACAGACGTATTTGTACAATTTAGTATATGTACAGACGTTTGTGTACACTTGATTAGATGTATAGAATACCCCGTACAGCTTGCTATATGTACGCATGTATAAAAAATTACACATTTTTATCTGTACAACTACTATGATATATGAATTTATGCATATTTATGTACATATTCGTACACTAATATGTTGTACGGATGTTATTGTGTAATATTTTTATTATTGTACAAATATATGTTTTTACACTTCTGTACATAAAATATGATGTACGAATTATATTATATAATCATTATATAATTATTCTAATAGCATACTTGTAAATAATATGTTTTTTGAGTGCTTAAAAGTCAATCAAATAGTAGCAAATAGTGATAATGTACTAGTTTCCTAATTGTAAATATAGTGATTGTACTAGTTCTATAATTAAGTTTCAAAAATGTACTATTTCTCCAACACACCCTTAATATTTTTGTCCTCGTTCTTAAAAAGATGCTTACTAAAGTTATGTTGATGTGTTTCAGCAGTTTATATAACATCAAACTATTGTTGATGTGTTCAGCATAATCCATATAAGACAAATGATAGTATATTATTACAATCAACTAACTTTAATTATTATCTTTAACTAACTGTTTAAGAATATGAAAGTTAATATATATAATCAAGAATATGAAAGTTAATATATATGATGCAAGTCGCACGAATACTCTTATCGGTGATCACTTTGAGGTCCTCGACTTGCACACACAATACATTAAAAAAAAAAAAAAACATTACATATTCGTCCAAATAAGTCTAGATTCATCACTCTTGTTCAGTCGGTTCGTAAATAAAGTTATTGTTTTCTCAAATACCAAACTTTTCATTATCATAGAGTGATAACATTCTAAAACAAAGAGAGGATTCATTTAAAAAAAAAAAATTTGAACTGTTGATTTTGCTAACGATTATTTCTTCTTTGGTAGTAGAATTTCAAGAAAAGTAATATTATATCGACCAAGTGATTCCTTCTGTTTATCTTTTAAGCTTTATGTTGGAAAAGGCATCTGATAATAGTGTTTGTATTTTGAATCTACATAGTACCAAACTTATTATTAAACCGACGGTATCCTTTGATTCATTGTACTTGATCATTGCCATATCTTATTTCTTAGATACAGTATTCTAATATACATATATTTCACTATCACATATGTCAGTAAAGGACAGTAGTAATATCCACTTAGATAAAACTGAACAACATGTTAATCAGCAATGCATGCATGTTTTCTAGTTTGAAACATTGCAGCTATAAAGTCGCTCAATCATCTGTAATAAAAATTGTATATACAGTATTATTTAAGATCGAAATGTTGATCTATAAACTAAGGTACATATATAAGTATTTAACTCTAAATCAATCGTAACTAGACCAATAATACTTTTACAACAATAGTATATTTATTGCTGGCGACATCGTTATACATAGTAAATGAATAGTCAGGAGATGTTTATGTGAATTAATTGAAGCCATTTGCTCTAATCATGTGAAGAGAATATATAGATCATCACGTACGTACGTGAGTATATATATACTAATCTTTAGAGCATGTGTGTTGTGGTTTGATCCGATCTCTAGCTCCTATAACGAACAAAGATCGATCTAGAGAAGCATCTTAGATTTTTGTTAATTTTCTTATATTGATTTTGGTAATTGATGAACGGTATAAATACGAACAAAGCTGAGACGTAGGTTCAATCATATCAATCGAGTCATGCAAACTCGTAAATTATTCTCTGTGTCTATGTTCTTTACTCTGTTTTCACAAATTCTATTTTAATTCTTGATCTAGTGCAGCTGAGAGTTTAATTCTCAAATTTTTAAGTATGTGCGCGTCTAAAAACTAATATTCCATAATCTATATATACACATATCTATATATTTTAATTCTTTTGCTGTCCATGTTAATTAACACCCACCACAATTGGCAAAATAATAGAAATAAAATCGAAAATTCTTTAAACATATTTCAAAACCTCTAATTCATAAAGAGTATTTCCTTTTATTTTCCAAACCCTTAAAAATCACAAACTGAAAAGTATTAAAAAAAACCACTCTCCTCCTCTTTCGTTCATCACACCGAAACCTTCTTATTCAATCTCCGGTGCTATCTTCAAAATTGTGAGTTCGTATTTGATTTACTTGTACCATCCTCTTCACCATCTCTAGGGTTACGTTCTTCCTCGTTTTAGTTTCCTCCTCTTCACCATCTCTCGCTGATCAGTCTCGTTTGCTTCCTCTTCACTTCTCTTCTCTCCATCAGTTATACCAACTCGGTAATTTAAAAATCCTGGATTTTATGTTGCATATAGATTCTTTTGATGTCTCAAGGTCAGGATGATATTTTTTTTTCACTTTTATTTTATTATGCTACTGAGTTGGCCTCTTGTAAAACCCTAGGGTGAAGACGATGAGTGTTAAAGAAGAAAACTCAGCAAACTCTAAGGAGCTTTTCCTAAAGATTGGTTTGGATGAGAAAACCGCAACCGACATCATCCGTTTCAAAGATAAAGCATCTGATCTCACCGACATCATCTACGAGGTTATCTTTTGTATCACTCTTATAAGTATCGCTATACCTAACTTGATCAGTTTGGTTCTATACTCCAACATATCTCCTTGAATTCTACTGACTTCTTAGGGTTTGTTTACAGGCTGGTGTGTCTGATGGGTGTGAAAAAACTACTGGGGATCTACTTTACTCTGTGAGTTCATCTAAATTAAACCCTAATTTAGAATTGATTCTTGTTAGCCAAGAATGGTGGCTGAAGTTTACTAATGGTACCAATTGATGTTTTGTTAGGTTGCAAATGGGTTTCCTAAAGATGCTCTTGTGCATCGTTCAGAGTTGATCAAATACATCATGTCCTCTAAGGTATGTTATCAGTTTACATGTTCTGTTCTTCTTCTATTTTTTGTCCCATAAAAACAATCTAAAACTTGTTTTGGTTGTCTTTTGTATTAATACTTATGCAGATTAAGTTATCATCTTATCAGCACAGATCGAAGCTGCATTTAAATATTTTAAGAATCTTGAGTCTAATGACTTCAACGTCAACGAATTTGAAGAAGTATGTGGTGTTGGTACGGTATCTTTTCGATGCAATCATGAGACAGGTGTTTGAAGTGACGAGTACGTGTTGATAGTTTCATTTATGTTATTGGAACAGGGGTTGATGTTTCAGCTGAAGATATTGAGAAAACTGTTTCTGACATCATTGAAGAGAACAAGAACACAATATTGCAGAACCGTTACCGAGAAGGTTAGTCTTTGGTCCAAGATATTTTTTCTCTTCTATTTGGTGGTTATTTCTTTGTTCTTTCACACACAAAGTGATGCATTTACGTTTTGTAGCTCGTAAATTATTGGGAGATGTCCGGAAAAAGTTGCCATGGGTAGATCCTAAGATTATAATTGTAAGCATATATTATGTTTCTTGGTTTAATTTGACAAAAATACCAATCTTGACATTACTGATTGAGATTCAAGTTTTAATAGAAAGTCATAGGTGAAAAATTGTGTGAAGTGCTTGGTGAGAAGACAGCAGCTGATAATGAGAAACCAGCAAAAAAGAAGGAGAAAAAAGAGAAGCCTGCTTCAGAGCCATCTGAAGAGGAGCTTAATCCATATTCTATATTCCCTCAGCCAGAACATAACAAAAGGGTAATGTATCACTTTGCCTTTAGTCTTTTGCACAACTACTTTACCATTTGTATTGTCTTTCTAAATACTTCCAAGTAGTCGTTGCATGAGAATATAAATAGAGACCATATATGTTTTGTATTACTTATAGGCTCTTATTGTGATGAAATGGAACAAAACTGCATTGTGAAACAAATAAAAGATATTTGGTAATTCTGTTGTAACCTTGTTATATTGTTTTCATCAGGTTCACACAGAGGTGCCTTTCAGTGACGGCTCTGTTCTCAGGTATAGCAATACTAGAGAACTTCTTGATAAGCATTTGAAGGAGACTGGAGGAAATGTTTACACCCGCTTCCCCCCTGAACCGAATGGGTATCTTCATATCGGACATGCTAAGGTAAGTCTATATGTAAATGAGGTTACTGTATTATGGATCATTATGTTGTATGCTTGGTAACACCAACATGTTAAATTATGTTTTAATTTTCAGGCTATGTTTGTAAATTTTGGTCTTGCAAAGGAGCGAGGTGGTTGTTGTTATCTACGGTATAGGAGCTAGTTCTTATAAGCTTTTAGTATATGATTCTAGTTTCTTCTATAAACACATTTGTTTACGATTCTTTTTCATGGTTCCTCAGGTTTGACGACACGAACCCTGATGCAGAAAGAAGAGAGTATATTGATCACATTGAAGAAATTGTTAAGTGGATGGGTTGGGAACCCTTTAAGGTATTATTATCATCTTATACTCAACATACATAAACTTAGTAGTTTTTTGTTTAGAGTTGTCTCACCCTTACCTTTTATTTATATCTTGTAGATTACATACACTAGTGATTATTTCCAAGAGTTGTATGAATTTGCAGTGAAGTTGATCGAGAGCGGCCACGCATATGTTGATCACCAGGTTTGAACAGAACAAAGTTTAAACTGATACTGGATTCTTCAGAATCAAACTAAACGCAGAACTGATTCTGATAGTATCTTGTTTTTTTTGTAATGTCAGACTAAAGAAGAGATCAAAGAGTACAGGGAGAAGAAACTGAACAGCCCTTGGAGAGACAGGCCTATAGAAGAATCTTTGAAACTCTTTGAAGAAATGAAACGTGGAAACATGAAAGAAGAGGAGGCTACCCTAAGAATGAAAATGGATATGCAGAATGATAATTGTAATATGTATGACCTTATTGCATATCGTATAAAGGTTAGTGAAAAAAGAAAAAACAGAGTTTTATGTCTTGTTGCATAATCAAGATTTTCATGTTTCTCTGTTTTTTTATTTTTGCAGCTTACGCCTCATCCGCATGCTGGTGACAAATGGTTTATCTACCCAAGTTATGATTATGCTCATTGCATTGTTGATTCTCTTGAGAACATAACACATTCAGTTAGTTTTCTTGATTCTTAAACTTATTCTATTAGTCTTATTAGATTTCTATAAAATATATTCTTATGTATATATGTTATGTAGCTCTGTACACTCGAATTTGAAACTCGTCGTGCTTCTTACTACTGGCTGTTACATTCTTTGGGACTCTACATGCCCCATGTGTGGGAATATTAACGGTTGAATATAACCAACACTGTGATGTCAAAGCGTAAGGTTGGTCAAAACTCAACCTGATCATACATTAACATCTAGAGAATCATGATTATTTATCAACTTGTTTCTGTTGTTGTAGTTGCATCACATTGTGAGAGACAATCATGTGAATGGTTGGGATGATCCGCGTCTGATGACACTTGCTGGTTTAAGACGGAGGGGTGTGACGCCAACCGCGATCAATGCTTTTATACGAGGACTTGGCATTACTAGAAGGTTCATTTCTGTGGTTAGCTGTTTTTGTTCACTAGAAATTTTGATTATGTTTTTGCTAATAAACCATCATATATTGTAGTGATGCTAGTATGATAAATGTGGATCGTCTTGAGTTTCATATTAAAGAGGAGTTAGGTAAAACCGCTCCCCGAACCATGGTGGTGATTAATCCTCTTAAGGTGGTCATCACCAATATGGAATCAGATAAAGTCATAGAGTTTGATGCACAAAGGTGGTACGATGGTCGTGACGACCCCTCAGTGTTTTACAAGGTGAGAAACTCTGTTTGGTAAGGACTTTTTTATCTATACACATAATGTGAAATGCCAATTCTAGTATAATGTTTTTGGTTTTGGTTCTTGATATAGGTTCCTTTCTCTAGAGTTGTATACATTGAACGAGATGATTTCCGAATGGTGGATTCAAAAGATTACTATGGGCTTGCCCCTGGTAAAACAGTTCAACTAAAGTAAATGCAACGCTACACATATAGACACATGCAGCTTTTCTTGAGTTACAAGAAAAAGATAAAAGATCATAATAAGATGGCTCATGTTTTTGCAGATATGCTTACCCTATCAAATGCATTGGTGTTGTTCGTGCTGTTTACAATGAAACTATTGTTGAGGTCCACGCAGAGTATGTTCGTGCTGACGAATCCACGCAGAAGAAACTAAAGGTTCTAATTATTTTAACAAACACAAGATCTTTTACCTTGTTTGGATTCGTCTTTATATTTTGAGTTTTATTTGGCAGGGATGTTTACATTGGGTTGCTGAACCTTCCCCTGGAAAAGAGCCATTGAAAGTCGAAATTCGCCTTTTCGATAAACTTTTTAACTCGCAGGTATGCAAATTTTCCTATGTTCTTTTCTTTCATTTTCTTGTTTAATTTATAGATCATTTAGCCAAGACTTGTCACCGTTTATATTGTCTTAAACAACAACAGAACCCATCAGAACTAGAGAATTGGCTCGACGACATCAACACAAACTCCAGAAAGGTTGTTTCAAATGCTTTTGCTGTACCAACCCTTAAAGAAGCTGTCCTTGGGGACAAATTCCAGTTCGAGAGGAAAGGTATATATATTGAAGCATCAAAAACATATATCCCAAAGTGTTTGTTTCCTTTTTTTGTTTATTGAAAACCAAAGAGCTTGAGATGAGTGCATTTTTCTTGAACAGGTTATTTTGCTGTTGACAAAGATTCTACACCGGACAAGCTAGTGTTCAACCGAACAGTCGAAATGAATAAGAGCTCCAGTAAAGCTCGCACACCCCCGGTCTAGAGGACAAATATATTTAACCTTTTTTTAAAGGGACATTGTAATATTTTCTTTAGGGTATTCGTTACATATTGATGATCACCAAACTTTTTGATTGTGTACTTAAAAGAAGTTGTTTAATTATAAAATATTAAGGAATAGGTCTTGATAAAAATAGTTGTAATATATTGGCTTGTTTTTTTTTTTGTTGAGAGAGTTTGTGAAAGTCTTTGGTCAAAATTTTTAGCTCGTCAACATTACGAACCATAACCATTGGATCTTCTCTGTGTCTCTCTATCTGCTATAGTGTGATGTTGATACTTACTGTCCTACAAAGTAGCCGAAAGCTTTTGTGGTAGAGAGACTAAAGAGAGTTTAGTCTTTTCACGCATGTGATTTTGATTGACTTCAAAAGATTGAAAGAGATTGTTGTATGTTACAGCTAGCTTTTCTTTTACCTCCATCGACATCATTCTCAATATTTATTATCTACCTCTACATTGCTCAAAAGTTTAATAATTGGTTCGACGAATGTGGAATTTATTGTGTAAATGGATATTCTATAGAGGGCACATGGAAATATTACTTGATTTAGGAAGGAATAAGGTGCCCTTTGCCATTGAGGTTTAAGGATAATGCTGCTGACGTTATTGTACTTCTTCACTAGGCTTTGATTCTATGCTCTCTACATGTGTATCAGTGCAGAAGTGCATATGGCATCAGTACTTATCTTTTTTATATTTTGTTATTCTTCCTTATGGCATCAGTATAATATTTTTTTCACATGATCAGGATAACTAGACTTAAAAAGAATATTTGTATCCCCAAAGTATCGGTTCAATACGAAAAAAAATAAAAGAAACTCTTGATTTTGCATATTACATATTACATATTCAAAATGCATCGTGGAGACCATATGAGCTACTAGCTGTTGATAGAATTGTGCACAAACGCACGTGCCAATATATAAGGTCTCAATACACAGTCGTCGACATGTGAGAATGAGATACGAGGTTACTTCACTGTACCGGAACATGAGAATTTGCTTCATGTCTTAGGTTTGACTAAAAACTCTGATTTTTTTTTTTGAATAGTTTATGATGGAAGTGAGGATTTTAATGTGTTTGAAGAAATGTGAACAAGATGAAACACGGAACAAGAAAATGAGCATGTATATATGCGTTATACGTGTAATGTGTGGTTGTAGAAATTGGTGCCAAAATAATACTGTTTGCTTTTAAAGAGATGGTCATAACTTTTGTTGTTGTAAACTTGTACATGTCTTGTTTCATGAACCAAACCAGCTTGTCTTGTTACGTTGGTGTCTCTTCTTAGACAATCATCTTGACTTTTGACTTTCGACTTTCTATACATACTAACTTGCCTAAGACTATCTCCAATGTACATACTAACATTAGTATACCATTCTACTTCATCATAGTTTGCTTGTCTTATCCAAAACACATAGTTTCTTCAACCAAAGGCAAGGCCATATGGTAAAATGAATGTGGTTATAATTAAGTTGGGAAAATATGGTTTTACTTATGGGATTAAGAATTCTAGTTATATATAGAGTTTTGTTTTTTGTTAACATAGTTATTGTAAATATAGAGCATTACAAAATTAAATTGTATAGATGCAAATGATTTGGCCGCAAGAATTATCTTCTTATTAAAACTGAAAAATCTATTGAAGCCAAAATCTATTGTATCCGTAGTTAATGAATATTTGACCTATACAGTAATGTTTCTTTTCAAATTGGGTCCATCTTATACATGTCTTTTCTAAAACATTATTGGCGTTTATCCACCAGCTTTGACATATAATGAGTGTGATTAGGTACATTTGAAGTAATATAATGGATTCGATAATAGATAGTAGTATTTTTCTTTGTTCTTACGATTATACACTTTCTGAATTACTAAATCTTTATGTGGAAAGATTCGTTCATTATTCGAAAAAAGTAACATGAAATATATGAAGTAGCATTTACATACAAAGTGAGTGTGATCTTTCGTTTATGACCTCTCAAAAGTGCATCAATGTTTGTTCCAACTTTTTAGTGGTACCTTTGGCTTTGGGGGTTCAAATCATTGTGGAGTTTCTATGTACTTGTGATAGGCTTTTTTGAAGTGACCTCCAATAATTCTATCCCATCAACAAGACTTCTCCAAAGCCACCTTTCTCTATCGTTTTAGTTGAACCTCTTTTTGGGATCAAATAACACTAAATAATTGATGATAGGTCCTTTCTCCTCTATTATCTTAAATAAAAGCATTGAGAATATATATATAGAGTTCTTTTAATTTTGATAAAACCCTTCGAATTATAGAGTGCAATCCATATATATGATTCTTTGATTCCACAAAAAAAAAAAAAAAAAAACGATTTATGTCCATCAATCAAGCCAAATCTTCTGTAATATCGTCAACGTTCTTCTAAAAGATCACATCAAATTTTGGTGAAGAGACATATGATTATGTCTCTATCCTCATCGTTTTAATATCTTAACTATAGTCCCTCAGAGCTATAGGTGATCCTCTCTCACTAAAATATATATCTCACAAAGGATTCAAGACAAGGGACTACCTTATCCTATTTAGTAATCCCAACCTTAGTCGTGTTTTAAACTTGATCTGATCAATTCATACAAATTTTCATGAATTCAAAGATTTCATTATATAACAAACTATTACTATTATAAATACTTATCCAAAGACTTTGATCATATACTAAAAAATGACAAATATATTAGTATTTGAGTACTTGTAACAAAGTTTTAAAAAAACTATAGTACTCCACTACTCCATATTAAATAAAGCCATGATGGTGGACTCCACCCTCTCATCTTCTTGACGACTTAATTACTCCCTAAACTGCCAAATGTCATCCATGTTCCACATGGGATCTTGTGTGACATCCTCGTACGTTGAATAACCATCCGCCACATGGCATTCCATTGAGATGTCCGAGTTTCCCAAGTAGTTCTCCATGCCAATAGGGACATATCCTCCCAGTTCTTGATCATTCCCTTGATGGAAACACATGGAGCTATCGATGATATTGGTGTTGTTATGATCCATAAAGTGTGGAACTGCCCATGTTGAAGTACTAGAACTGTCCATGTTGCTTAAGCTTAGGTTTTGACTCGAGAAATCTTTATCCTTTTGTATGGTACTACTCATCATGGAGTCTTGAGATTGAGAAGGAAGAAGAAGAGAGTTGTTGTTGTTGTTGCTTTGGGGACAACAATAAGTAGTAGTGGATGAGTTCTGCTCCATCTTCTCCATCAATCTTGGGACCCAAAAACTACGAACAGCGTCAAAGAACTTGTCACTGTTAGATTCGATGTTGAGTTGACGAGCTTGTTTCTGAACTCTTGTTCTCCAATAGTTCTTGATCTCGTTGTCCGTTCTTCCAGGTAAGTACTGTGCAATCTTGGACCACCTTATAGGATACAAATACTCATTTAAAAAAAAAAAACCAAAAACAAAAAAAAGACTCTTTGAGATATGATCAGATTTGAGAGTGACTCACTCACCTATTACCCCATTTAGAGTGAAGCTCAAGGATCAAAAGCTGTTCTTGAGGAGTTAGATTCCCTCTTCTGATGTCTGGTTTCAAGTAGTTTAACCATCTCAATCTACAACTTTTCCCGGTTCTCTTTAGTCCTGTTTTTCATAATTTTAAAGATAGAGCTTATAATAAAGTGATGAGAGAATCTAGCTACTTGTATAATAATCACTATCATGTATATATTTTGATTTTATTACCAGCACATTTGGCGACGTGATTCCAACGACCTTCACCGTTATGGAGAACGTAATTTGTGAGAAGAGTGTCTTCTTCAAGAGTCCAAGGCCCTCTTCTTAGCTCTACATCTTGGTGATCACTTTCTTTAATGAAGCTCTTCTTCTTCTTCATTGAGTTTTCCATCTTTACTTTTTAAATCTCTTCACACACTAATGCTTCTCTACTTTGTTTTGTGGGTTTTATTGTATCAGCTCTTATGCATGCATGAATGTACACATAGAGAGATATGAGAAGACTTTTAATGAGTGCTTTGGGAGGTGAAAGTGAATCCCACAGGTTCTTGGGAATATATAGAGACTCGTGGTATTGGAAAATGTTCTTACTTTAGCCATCAGCTTGCTTTTTTCCAATAAAAATTTAACTATCACACGTTTCCATATTTAATTAAAAACTCTTACTATTGGCTTCTCGTTCTCCTAATAATATCAGTTAATGATAAATCGATGAAAATCACACATCTTGTAATTTTAAAACAAAAACATGTTTGAAATTCTTAATTATAATTACATCTTTACTACAAGTTTCTCTACAAATAATTTTTTTGATCTACCATATATTAAAAATGCAAATATCTATATTTGGACTAGTCGAATCATGCGATAAAACCCTGGTCCAGATATACAATTCATGAGAAACATAGAATATATTCATACACAGTTTCATCAACTTTTTTATTTTTATTGTGACTATGAAACAGAAATGAAATGAAATTTTGGTGTTCACGTGTAAAAGAATATGGAACATAATTTAATTTGGAAGATGAAAGTACAATTTCGATTCTCAAATAAAATAAACTTATACAGAAAGAAAAAAGTTTACAATACTATTATTCTATGCCAAAGAACTCATCTTGATCTACTTCTATAATTGTCTTTACCCCAACTTTTGCCTTTATAATTTTATATATATTTGATATAATGTTCCTAGACCATCATAACATAATTATTGAGTATATAGTAAAAGAATCATACATATCCTGATTCGAGCCAAACAAAATATTACAAAAAACCTAATAAATGATTGTCCTATAAATTATTGATTAGAGAAAAATTGTTATGGAAACAAACAAAAAATTGGAACAAACACCCCAAATGCTTTAAATCTAAACTAGAAGTCTTAGCTAGTGGTCATGATTCATGAATTACTGTGGTCGATGCGTCACTATCCCACACATTTATAAAATGTAGATATTTGTGGATAGTTATGAGTTTAATTCATTATATTCTATGATTATGTTTACATTATAAAAAAAAATGAATTATATAAGTTGCAACTTTTGTGTAAATGGTAAAAAGCTAGAAGAAAATTTCTAGAAGCCAGCTAATTTATGCTGACTTCGTATTAGTATCATATATACACTTTCAAACTTTGAATATTCAAAGTTTCTTTCTTAGCTAAAACTAGTTTTCATTAGCTTATATACTATTTTTGCTAAGCAAATAGTATAATAATATTGGAAAAATAAGGAAGGGTCGTGTCGTTTTGTTCTACCGGCAAGTCAAAAATATGTCTATGTTCATGTATTTATAAAACCTTATGGTATTTTGCTAATAACTCTAGTTAACTGTTCAACTTCAACCCAATCTTTTTGAAGATGATGATAACTCCCAAAATCCAAAAGAGTTTCTAAATAAAGCCTAAAGACCAGGAAAAGGGAAAAATTAAAGTCGATTTTGACATTTGTGTCTTCATTATCATCTTATTAACAAACGATATTTTAATCATTCGTTTTGTATGTGTTATATTAGCTAGTAATGATCGACTCTGGCCGATTCTTAAGTCGGCAAAGATTTTAGTTTAACCAACATAAACTTTTTCTATCAAAGATGATTGCAAAAGTATATATCATAGTTACAAATCATGTAACTAAGGTTGATCTTGAGACCAAGTTGCTGCAATGCTGCTATATACTAGATTCTTGTTAAAGTGAGATTAGAGTTCACAGGGTTTAACAATACGAGTCATATATTGTGGATAATTGTAAACATAAAGTCTAAAGATAAGTTGGGACACAAAAAAAAGAACGAGTGTGTAACAAGTTTACATATCCTTTCCAAAATTATCCATCTCACTATCATAGTTTCCTTTTTAGAACAAGAGGATGAAATCAATACCTCATTCTGTGGATAAATTCTTAAGAGTTCAATAGTCTGCTTTTGCTTCATAAACAAGTTGCTGACTTTGTAATAATGTGTTAAGAGATACTAGATGGAGAGCGAGAAGTGAAGTACCCAACTTGATGTAATGTAATGGACTTTGAAATCGAAATGACAATTCAACTTTTTTTTTTTTTTTTTTGAAAATAGTTGTTGAGACTTTATTGAAATGATTGGGAACAAACTTGAAATCAGAGTAAGAGTTACAATGTAAGTCCTAGTATGGATAGTGATGGATCAAAATCTTAGCAGATAAAACAGAGACATGTATGGATAGTGTACCCTGAGAGACCACCAGGCTTTGTGTACTCACTTGCTCACAAGAGAGTAAAACCAATTCACTCATCTGAAGGAAGCAGGCATTCATCGACCATCTCCACGAGGTTTGGATTCTCTAGTGCAGCTGCGACACGTTCTTTGTCGTTAAGTTGTTTATTCACTGCATTTTAAAGACCAAGAAACCAGACATCATGTCTCAAAGAAGTACACTTGTATAAGTGGTGCAAACAACATACGGATCCATTCATAGAGTATTTTTCATTTGCTACTGTGAGGATCAACTGTAACGTATTTCATTGGCAACAAAGGTTAATTTAAACCAAAACATGCATACTAAAGACAGCTGGAACGGTATAAAAAATGACATACCTGCATCCTCTGTTGCATGACTACCAGGTGCTACCCTTATATCAATCTGAAAAATATAGAGCCGTTTCAGAACATTGAGGCACATCAAACATTGTGTGTGTGTGCTTCAAAGCAGTCGTAGTGACTATATGGACGAGGCTAAAGCAATATTCCCTTAGCAAGTATCAGAAGAGTTACTGAGGAATTAAACAAAAAAGGTCTTTGCCTCACATATCTGAGGAGATATGTGTCGCTGAATGTTTATTTAGTGCGATTATTCATGAATGCCAAAATATTCTTTCCTTAATCATGTTCAAACTACTCTCAGTATTGCGCAGGGCAGAAAAAGGGCTCAGAAGAACATCTTGACAATGCTCAAAATACGCAAGAAAAGAGAACCAGAGAACTAAAGAACACGATTTTCACCAAATGTTGCTAACTTTTATAATGTTCAACCCACTTTCAGTAAATGCATAAATCAGAGAAAGGGATCAGAAGATCATATTAACAATGCTCAAAAGACGTAGGAAAAGAGAACAGGGGAATCTAAGATATGAGCTATTCAGAAAGATTGTACCTTGTATCGAGCTGGAAGGCTTCGTAGAAGTTTCACGCGAACACAAAGACCGATAATGGTTGCCATGCTACAATGTTCCACAGTTGGCGTAAACGTAACCCTGAAAAGGAATGGCAATAGCTCAGCAAATTGGCTCAGGGTAAAACTAAAATCCATACAAAAGGTTCAATCCCAACGTTTACCTAACATAGCTGTTCTCATCATCCACTTCAACTGAGTCTTCTGTGACAACTCTGAGATCTTCCAGAGAATTAGGATGCTCTGGATCTTTGATATCTCTTATATGATGTGTAGATTGTTAAGGAAAAAAAACAGAGATGATCCCAATATCTTTCTACTATTATCAACATACGAGAACAAAAGCTTCTGATAAAGAAGCAAGCTTCAAGCTAAGTGGCATGTACAAGTTGTTCCAAAACCTAAGCCTACACTAGCTACTGCTAATCTCAGGTCCTAAAAACAAACATACAAAATCAAGCTTGGCAATATAAGAAAACTTGATAAGGAAAGAGTGTTCAAAGTGCAAAACGAAAAAAAAAAGGATATCAAAAATCTCAAGTTGATCAATTGGCTCAGGTGTAAACTCATCTGTATTGCTTGAATCAGATCGGAGACGCCTCTCTTTCTTCGGGTAAATGATTGGGTTCTCGTTAATCAACCCAGACACCATTTTCTTCTTCTCCCTACCAAAACTTGATCCAATTAGTACAACGAGATACACAGAGACTCGTCTATGAATCAACAACAACCAAAAAAAAATCAAAGCTTTTCCAATTGGGAATCAAAAACCCTAGAACAAAAAAAAAACCCTAATTTCAGAAAGCAGCGAATTAAAGAAAGAACAAAAACCAAAGAAGAAGACATACCCGAGTTCAAAATCAATCAATCAGTAAAGTTTGAAGCTTTAATTTTGGTAAGAGAGAGGCAAAAAGTTTCAATTTTGGCAAAGTTGTAAGAAGAAGCTTAACTTACAGGAAAAATAAAATCTGAGAGATAGGTCAAACAAACCCAGTTATAGGCTTACGAGTAACCTAGTCGCCAATAGGAACCGCGCGAGATGGAGCTGATGATGATGAATTGATGATGGTGGTGCTACTTTATTATTCTTTTCTTTTATTTTTTTCCAGTCATAAAATTTTGAAAGTCACCATTTTTACATCTCAGCACTATTTTTGTCTATAAATATAATTTTAATAACAGTAAAATATTGTAGGCATATATAACAGTAAAATATCTATAAATTAATAATCTCTATAAATTAATAAAAAATTTCAGACTAATGTAATTTAGACATATTTCAATATAATAAAATTATATTTTTGTAATATATAATTCCAATAATACTATAAATTAATAATTATATAAAATTACTAATTTATATTTATATACATGTAAAAAATTTAGTGAAATATGACTGTTATGTTGTTATTTATTCTCAAATTTATATTCATTTTTGTTAGAACTCAATTCTAATAGATTTCATGTATCAAAATTTTATAATGTTTTATTCATTCATGATGATTGTTGTTTTGATGATTGATTCTAAACAAATATTGAATATAATGATTAAATCTTATATATATATATATATATATATATATATATATATATATATATATATATTAAAAAAATTTCCAAATTACGAAAATATCTCTATAACTAAATCGATAATTTAATACATTTATAAATTACTAGAATTTTCTGGTCTCAAAATTATTAATTTATAGAGGTGTACGGTGCATGAACAACTAAATTGTTTTAAGTAATATTGGCAATTTATTTTGTTTATTACCTTTATAAAAAACATTCTTATAACATATGATATTTTTCTTTTTAAAAATAGAACGTCCACTTCTATCATAATATGTATAATTATCTCGTTTATTAACAAATTATGTTAATTAAGAGACTAGGAAAGTCAAATCACCTATGTAGGCTACTCTAATGACAATCCAAATTTTACTAGTAAATCTTTTCAACTCATAGATTGGATTCCGAAGCTTTACTGGTAACCATCAAGGATAACACGCTTTATACTTTTATCTCTAAATTATTGGGTGATGATATTAAGAAAATCATAAAAAATGTTAGCAACTTGTCAGCATTGTATCATGATGTTTTTATGTTGCAATATCATACCAAGTTAGTGCGTCTTTTTTAACATGATTAATCTTGTACAAATACAGAGTGGTTTATACAAAAATAGGAATGAGAGTGAGTTTTTGTTGACGAATATTGTTTATATAATGAATGAACGTGAAGGTTCCCCACGGAAAACTCTTACACAATTCCAAATCATTAACAATATTTACCAAGAAAGAGTCTATATTTGCACTATTTTTCTTCTTTGGATTGATCACGGATCCTAGGAAGTATAAAACTGTCATTTTCAATCTATTTTCATCACCTTCTACTTCCTTCATCGACTGTAGTTTTTCAAACACAGCTTCGACAGATATCTTATCTCCCTCTTTAAAGAACTTGTTAATAAATCTATCACCACCTAATTTTACCTCTAATTCTGTCTCCAATTCTTTCTCATAATTATCTGGAAGCTTTCTGCAATCTAGTCCGGTAATTAACGCGTGTTGCCTAATCGAGTATCGAATAGGGACACTGAATAGCCAAAATAAAATGTTTTGTTACATGACTACTTTTAAAATTGGAAAATAATAAATTCATATACCTAAAATATTTTTTTGCCGGTACATGATATAGTGTAATCAAAACAACATATCTAATATATATTTTGGTTGCGCTATCTTTGGATACAAAGAATTTGATAAAAGAAGAAGATATTATGTTTCTCAACTACCAATCTAATTTTTCTTTTAATAATATGGATTTTATTTTCTTTATTACTTTTTACTAAACATAAGGTTTTATTGAAGTTCATAAGGTTATTTTATTTATTCGTTTTTATTAAATATAAGAAGAATGGAACTTCAACTTTCATCATAGTATATAAAAAATATTTCTTATCAACAACTTTAGGATAATTAAAAGAGTCAAACTAGAGAATAAATGAATTATTTAGTCTCTTAATATAATACAAATTTAATCTCAAATTTACATAACTTTTTGTTATCTCCAGTTATCATATTTGGTAACAGACATTTGATGTTTTTTTCTTTTAATTTGAACCTTCTTATTATCAATTTATCATATATCAAAATTAACTTTTAAAAATGTCATTATAATTATAAAAGAAAAGAAATACAAATTTGGATATCGAACAAAATATTAATAATAACTTTTTGTCCATCTTTCTCTGGACCTTGAAGTTGTTAAGGGATAACAAAGAAAGGCCATGATATACGATAACAACTTAAAGCCCAAGCCCAGCCTAAATGGGAAGTCGGAGAAAGATGATCGTCTTCGTCCCGTCATCTGCTGCCTCACAAAATCTGATTTATGAATTGATCCGATACGAGTAAGTTTGATCATTTATTATCTTTTCTTGTTCTGGTCCGAACATAACAAACCACTTTAATAAAATAGCTTCACGGAAGGTGAAGATACTGCCCTTAAGCTCCACCACATCGTATGAGCAAGGTAGGTTCCTACTTACTCTTTTACTTTCTGCTTTATGCGTTTAGAGAACACCAATCACTCGTTTATTAACTTCTATGGTGAGAATTAATCATAATTCATGTCACAAGATTATGACATATATTTACATGATCACAAGTTTGAGACTTGAACAACATCATAGACTTGTTATGGTAATACTTGTGTGATCGATCTCACACTTTCAAAGTAGATTTCTTTGACTTTCCTCTCCCCATTTCTGGATGAGCTGTTCATATAATTCATATAGTACAATGAGACTTTTCTTGGTCTGCTTTATCCAACACTCTGCTACAAAGTGTATAGCACACTGTACAGTAGCATCTTTTCTCTTGTTTTGTATCTATGGTTACTTGACTCCTCATGGTTCTTGTTTGCTTTCAAAACATGCCTTTTAGCTTTTATTATTCGTTTCTAGCAAGGATTTAGATGAAGCATATGTGAAAATTGGTATTTAGCTTAACGTTCATTAGATTTAGGCACAAGCCTTTGGCTAAGCTACACCATTCCTGCTCGCTTATTGAGAATCACAGCTAAGGCTTCCGCAATTGAAACGAGTCTTTTTCAGCAGCAACCGAGAAAGGAAAGACGACAAGAACCTGTCTCTGAACAGGTTCATCCACTTCCCTCTACTTTGTTGTATGAAACCTACAATATATGCTGTAGTTATCAGATCAATGCTTCTCCATTTCCTTTCTTTTGCATACTTCTTCAAACCTTCGCCAATCCTCTTATAACTCTTATCTTCATCTTCTGTTTCACCTTTCAGATCCTTAGCTTCACCGAGACAACGAGCTAGGATAACTCCATCCTCCATGGCAGAGCAACCACCTTGTCCGATATCAGGAGTCATTGGGTGAAGTGCATCCCCTGCAACACATACATTGTCTTTTACAATGTTTGCCCAAAGGAGTTCCCACGGAGGTCGATACTTCAATCGAGACATCACCATGCTATCAAGATCGGTGGTCGCCACTACAGTCTTGATGTCTTCAGGTAAATCTTTGATCTTATTCAGCACAAACTGTTTCATGGTTTCTGTATTTGTCTCCTCATCTAGCAAGTGCAAGGAGATGAGTCAATGTCACAGTAGTAAATATGAGCAAGATCCTGTAGATATTAGAGTTACCTAAATCAGTAGAGCTGTGGGTTAGGAACCAGTGGACAGTGTTTTGGTCACAGGGGATGAAACCTGAGCGAACTCCGTTGCCATAGAACTGAAAGAACCTTTTTCCAAATCCGTGGCCTGTCGGGAAATGAGTGAACCCTCGGATTGCTAACCGGGAAGTTGTTTCAGGATTCTTGAAGCCTAGCCATTTACCAACCACTGAGTTTACTCCGTCACACCCAACCAAAACCTGAATGTCGTTTAGTAACCATACAGTACTGTAACAAGACCAGTCTCAGGTAGGTATGTAGAGGACAAGTAGTTGCTACCTTGGCTTTGAGAATAGTCCCATCGGAGAGATGAACCATCTTGTAGTGTCCAGACAGTTCGATATGAACAAGCTTAGATGAGAACCTTATGGTCCCTTCAGGCAATTCACACGCTAGAGCCTCTAACAACAGCTTCCTCTGTACGCATCGAGCCTCATATTCTCTGACAAAACCTCATTCAACAAGATTAAAAAAGTTTTATTCTTTTGGATATTCATATGTTTTATCCAGAGAATAAGAAACATACTCAGATTCTGGAAACAACATCTCTTTAGGAGGATTTTCTGAAGAAATAGGTCCAACCACCCATCTAACATCAAGATCAAAGATAGGTTCCTCTGTTACAGAGTTGTTGACATTGAGGAACATGCAATACTAGTGTTAGATGTTACCCTTGAAGGCGATCATGGAGATTACGAATATGCTGAGAAACGCCAAGAGCATCCATGGCTTTCCAAGCGTTGAACCAAGTGATGAGTGCAAACCCTGTGGCTCTCAGCTGCTCAGATGATTCAAGAACCATGCTTCTGATCCCAAGCCTGTGTAGATACACACACCACGTTGGTTAAGTTACTCTACTTATAAATCAAAGGCAGCTACTTTAACAAAACACACACCTGTGTAGCCCAACGGCGGTGGCAAGGCCAGAGATTCCGGCACCAACGATAACAATATCTTGTATGTCTTCAGCTTCCATGGTGCGTTCTTTGCTGATCTCATAAACCTTCTCTGCTATGTTTTTATATTAATAAGATGAGGAAGCTGGCAAATCAAAGAAGGCACTCATTCCCAAGTGCAACATGATACATGGGCTCTTAACCACTCTTACCAAATCTTAGCAAAGTACATTTGGTCGCTCTCATTTCAAGAAGATGGACTGATAATTTTTTTATTTTGGTTTGTCCAAATTTTTATGATGTTAATTTATTTATACCGTCACAAAAATTATGCGAAATCAATTTATTATAAAATCACCATTTATTCCTATAAATATATTTTCAAGTTATATGAACTTTCCTATTAATAATATGGGCGAGTTTATTTTGTTTATAATTTCTTTTACCAAACACAAAAAGTGGTGTTTTTCTATTTCAAAATGGAACATCCACTTCCATCCTTATTATATATAAAAAAAATATGTATTGAAACAATATCTATTTATTTAATTCATACCATAAACATTTCAACATTGTAGTGAGTTTAGAATTTACTTACCTTTAAAATGTCATTAGCTCATTATTAAAACAAAGATGAATTAGTAAATCCAAAATCAAAAAGAAAAGAAAAATGAAAATAATAGGGAAAATTCCTTTAAAATTCCCCATCTAATTTTAGTTTGGAAGTTTAATACCCAATGTTATTTGATTGGAAATAAAATGCATGGTTTATTAAATTTTGGTCTATTAATACAATAAGTATATAAAAATTGTCGAATCGAATAAACCGCTTAATCGGATTGACGGAATCACTAAACCGAAATTGACGAAATCACTAATCCCTAAACACACGAGTAATTTGGGGTTATCCAAAGATTGCATTGTCCTTTACTATTACCCCAAATCGAATTGGGAGCGATAAACCCTAAGTTTAGTGTAATTCCATTAACCCCGGTTTAGTGATTACGTCAATCCAATTATCGTTTGTTAAGCGGTTTTTTTGATTCGACAATTTTTATATACTTGATGTATTAATAGGCAACAAATTAATAAACCATGCATTTTATTTTCAATCAAATAACAATGGTATTAAGCTTCCAAATTAAAATTAGATGGGGAATTTTTAAGGAAGTTTCCCAAAATAATAATAACGTATTTTTCCTTGTCTATCTTTCTTTGGACCGATCAGGCCCATTTAATTTCAAACTCTCTCCAGAACAACCTCGTGCCTTCCTCTATGGATCAACACGTCACACCGTTCTGACTTCACCAAGTCAAGTTAACAACTATTTCGTTGCCTCTTCACATTTTGGAATCCATTGGAAGATCACAGAGAAGAAGAAAGAGAAGAAACCATGGCGGAAGAAGAGAAAAGCGTGAAGAAGCAAGTGATGGTGGCGATTGATGAAAGCGACTGCAGCAAACACGCTCTCAAATGGACGCTCGAGTATCTCAAGGATAGTATCGCCGATTCCGATATAATCCTCTTCACCGCTCAACCTCCACTTGATCTCAGCTTTGTTTATGCTTCCTCTTATGGAGCAGCTCGTAAGTATTTCATCTGATAGATCTCCGCGATTCGATTTGTTGTTTATGGTTTGGATTTTGGAAATTGAGTTTTGGATTTTGTGCTGTAGCGATTGAGCTTATAGACTCAATGAAAGAGAATCATAAGAACGCTGGATTGAATCGGCTTGCTGTAGGAACCAAAATTTGTGCTGAGATGGGGGTTTGTCTTCCACACATGCTATTCTTTGTGTGTTTAAGATCTTTCCGTTTTATGAAATTAGTCAGATCATGATTTGGTTGTGTATCAGGTTACTCCAAGGAAGGTGATGGAATTTGGAAATCCTAAAGAAGCGATATGTGACGCTGCTGAGAAGCTTGGTGTTGATTTGCTTGTAGTTGGAAGCAATGGTAAAGGAGCAATACAGAGGTGTGTAGTAGACCAAACTTTGATGTTTTATGACGAGTTGAGTTTTCGATGATTATAATGTTTCGTGTATATTGTGTGTGGGACAGGACTTTCCTTGGAAGTGTTAGCAATTACTGTGTTAACCATGCTAAGTGTCCAGTTCTTGTGGTGAGAACAAAGCCTTGAAGAACTCGTCTCTTGACAGAGATTGAGATCCCTTGCGTGATGTATGTGTTGTATACGTATTGTGATAATGATGCTCTATTTGATTACTACTGTTTGAAGAAACTCTGTGGGTACTTTTTGTTTATTTTGTTTGATAAATAAAGAGCTTTGCTGTATTTGGAGCTTGCAATCTGCATTCTTTGTTCAACATGCAGTTCTTAAATCTGGTAAATGCTATAAACTCAGCTTCAACCGAAAATCCTGTTGAGGGTTGCTGCCAGTCTCACCCCTCCTTGTGCTAAGCGCTGATACACTATCGGTAAACGTGAATAAAAGTATTCATCTGCAAAGAATGCATAGTGATGTTGTTAGCTTCTTTATTTTGTGAATCATAATAGTTTTGAGGTGCATTATGTACCTTCTAGAGTGTCTCCTTCAGTTACTCCCTTATATGCCCAGTCACAGGCTGCTTGAATTCCTTCGGATGCGTATCTGTATAGTTTACAGGGGAAAGCATTGGAAGTTAAATCTGGTTCGTGCCGGCATGAAGAACAATCACTTCTACTCAAAGGTACTGTAATTTTGTATCTGACTTACATATCTGGGCATGCTGTCTTCTTTGTGCAACTCTCCCATCTCTTGACTTGATCTGCCCATTCTGTCTGCAATTTATTAAAATATGTCAGCAAGTCAAAAACACCTTGTAGTAAACAGGTAGAGAACAGTCTTTTCGATTCAAGAGTACCGTTATGTTCTTATTGATTGCATCCACTATTCCTTCTAGTTCGGAGTTATAGAGATCTGCTTCAGCTGTTTCGATAATGTTGGAATCCCATATCTGCATTAAACTTAATTTTTGAGGCTTGTAATATCTAATGCGCAAATTATATACGTTTGACAGTTCTTACATGGTGGAGGTTAGCTTTTCTCCTGTACCAGTGCACTTCGATGGTGTTCCCTCCTTTGTCTGAAGCAAAACCCACATGTAGAGGCTGCATTTTACAACTATGGTATTAGACATATCTGGCTAAGAAACCGGTCATCTTGATCAAACTTGTAATTATACCTGATGAATATCACCCATGAAATGGGACACGAAGAGCAGGGCCTCGGTTAAGTTGTCTGATGACAAGAAATATAGAAAAGGAACATGAGAGGGAGATAAAAGATGAGGGAATTGGTGAATAGCAAGAAGGTGGGAATGTTTTGGTACTACATTGTGACGTAGATGAAGCAGCAGTGGTGTAGGAAAGAAGCTGTGTGGTGTAATTGTAAATGGCTCCTGCAACACATCTTCCTTTCTCTCCATCTTCGTCCTTGCAGTCCCCTTCAGACAGAAAAGAAGACAAAATCCATTATACACTGTAGTTTTTTGGAACCTTCTCACTTATGGTTTTTGATGATTTTGTAAGAAGTGTCTTATGAAAACACTTACTATTGTATTGGTAGGAACAAACATCAGGAGTGTTGATGTAGTGAAGAGGAGAAGACCAGTGGTATCTAAACTTGACATGATCAGCCCATAGACACAAGCTCGACAGATCCCCTTCTGCAGATTCAGGTAACAGCTCTCTCACCGCCTTCGCTGCAGTTTCATCCAATCTAGCCTGTTCTTCTCCTTAACTTATTAGTTTTACATATTTTGATTCAAAACTAAAAGACGAAAGAAGATGAATAAATCAAAACCTGCGCGATTTTACAGGTGATTTCATGACCTTCTTTTCCCCAGCCATGGATGTTAGGTGCTGCATAAAGAAGCCAAACAGTGATGATCATCATAACTACATGTAGTAACCCTCTTTGGTTTGCCATTTCAGAGTTCTTTGAAAAATATGTTGTTATCTTTTTATGAGATGAGTGCGTGAGCTTTCATTTGGTTCTTGTATATACTGATGAAGAATAGAAACGTATAGAGGAAGTAAATCCAGAGATTAATGTGTTTTAGGGAAAAGTGTTTTATGTGTGAAACGAAAGTATCTTTCTATTTTTTATTTTTGGCCAAGTGTGTGAAAAGCTTTTAATTGTCAAAAGAAAGAGATGTGTATACTATTATGATTTGGTGGATACGGTATCTTTTTTGTCTTTTTCCTGTTTAGGAAATGAATCGTGTGTGAAATCAAATGGATTCACTTGAAAACATATGTCACTTCTTTCTTGGATTTGTGGTATAGCAACATTATTGGTGGGATCTTAGCCATAAGATTTAAGATACCCTATAATGTAAATTTTATGGTTAAAATTCCACCAATAATGTTAGTTTTAGAGGTCTTAACAAAAATAAAATCTGAAATTAATTTTAGCAGATATACTAATCTTAATTACTCCAAAATTCTGGAGTCATTTGTAATTATGTGAGTGCTTCAAGCAAAAACCACATGATGCTTGTTTGAAGGTTTCAACAATCTAGTTTTTTTTTTTTTGGCTCAACATCAACTATTCATTCACCAATTTGATATTACAAATCAACTGACCTCGACAATTTTTACTCAAATACAATGATTTAGTTTAATATCGCCCTGAAACACTAGCGAATCCAACGCTACCCGACTACGAATCATTGTATCTTTTTTAGTATCGCCCTAAAACACTAGCGAATACAACGCTACCCGACTACGAATCATTGTATCTTTTCTACCACTGCGAGATGAACCACACCACGACTCTAGTTATGTGCATTTCAACAATCTAGTTATGTGCATTTCTTGTATGGAAACCAAAAGGATTAATTCTAAATAATGTGATAATCAAATAATTAAATAATCTACACATTAAACCGGTCAAATATATTTGGTATGTTATGTAAGTTAACCAATTTGGTTCAGAATTATAAAATTAATTTAAGAAAAACTGTGATTTCAAAAAGGTCGCATCGTTTCTCTCGAAAAGCCAGAAATGTTTCAGGTGACCGGTACGGCCGCTCCGGCGAATCCGACAACGTCTTTGATGTTTCACAATTCATGGAGAAGACCTCGTATCCTTCCTCTCCGGAGCTCAAAGACCTTCAAGCCTCTCGCATTTCTCGATCTCAAAGGAGGCAAAGGGTACACACACATCTCGCTAATTTCATATCTGCTTCTCTACTGTGAAATCGGATGCGTAACTGTGAAATTGCGCTTTTGAATTCAATTTTTTTCGAATATATGTATCTGACTGAGTGATGTAATGTCTCTGATTCATAACCTCTGATTGACAAGTTTTGGTATTGGCAGAATGAGTGGGTTTCATGAGGTTGAACTCAAAGTTCGTGATTATGAATTGGATCAGTTTGGTGTTGTGAACAATGCTGTTTACGCAAATTACTGCCAACACGGTTAGTTTTAAATGTTGCTGTTTTATATTGTTCAGAATGTGTTTTGTAAGATCTTGCTACTAAGTTTAGATTCTTGCTAGTAAATCGTTTAGTTGCAATGTTGTTGCTTCAGATTTTGTTTGTCAAATAGGAGTTTCAGAACATATTCTTGACTGAATTGGACTCTGCATGATCAAAGTTTATTCCTGTTTCTGCGTCTAAATAATCTAATTGGAACATTTGTGGTGTGGTTGAGTTAAACTTTTGAGTATCGGAAGAATAAGTGTGAATATGTCTTGTTGGTAAGTTATGCTTCTTGCTAGAAGATAGAATAGTTTAATTCGGTTGCAATTTTGCTGTCAAAGAAGAGTTTCAGATGTTATGCTTGTAAGAATCTGGAATGTATGATCAAAGTTACTCCTTTTATCAGTCTAGTTGGAACACTTGTGAATGTGGTTGAGGACAACTTTACAGTGTTGGAAGAATAAATCTATCAAGATCTTTCTACTAAGTATAAGTCTTGCTAGTGAATCGGTTAGTATAGATTGCGTACATATATATGGTCAAAGAGGAATTTAAAATTTTACGCTTGAAAGAATGTGAACTGTATAATCAAAGTGACTTTTTGAGTCTGATTGGAACATTCGTGATTGTGGTTGAGTAGAAATTTAGAATACTTAGTCGAATAAATGTGTCAAGATCTTGCTACGAAGTTTAGAGTCTTGCTGGTTTGGAATCTTTCTGCATCAGATTGTATACATTTCTATTGTCAAAGAGGAGTTTCAGCTTGCCTTTTTGACAGATTCTGGACCACATGATCAATGGTTACTTTAGAAATGGAAAATATTTTCATACGTTTTCTGAGTGTGTCAAGATCTTGCTAGTTAAGTTTGCAGTCTTTCTTATTCAGCATTTACTTTGGCAAATTTTAGGAAGTGAATGACTTCTCTAGTAAGAGTCTGAGGCATGTGCTTATGTATAAGCTATACCCCATTCTTACCAGCTGTTGCTTGTTGATATCTTTAGGTCGGCACGAGTTTCTGGAGAGTATGGGTATCAACTGTGACGAAGTAGCTCGTTCTGGTGAAGCTTTAGCAATTTCAGAGTTGACAATGAAGTTCCTTGCACCTTTACGTGTAATGTCACTTCTTCTCTTACATTTAGCACCATGTTAACGAAATTTTTTGCACATTTACTTATATTCATTGTTCATTGCTTTGAGCAGAGTGGAGACAAATTTGTTGTGAAAGCGAGGATATCGGGAACATCTGCTGCGCGTATTTACTTCGATCATTTCATCTTTAAACTTCCAAATCAAGAGGTTAATAATAGCCTCACTAACCCTTTGCTGTTTTGGTCGATCAGCTTTTTACATTTTCACTAATTTGAATCCTTTTGATAACTTTGAAACAAAGCAGCCTGTACTGGAAGCGAAAGGAACAGCTGTGTGGCTTGACAAGAAGTATCGTCCTGTTCGTATCCCATCTCATATACGCTCTAAATTTGTTCACTTCCTACGTGAAGACGACGCCGTGTGATTGACCTCACCTCATTAGCCCAATTAAATCTACTTAATGGGCTTGTAATTAGCTCATATATGCTATAAATATAAAAATATGTTATATTCGGATAATGCAAATTCCAACATTGGATTTCTCCCGCCGTTACAAGCCAACGAACTTGAGCGTAAGCACCTGACCTGAGGAACTGGCCGGCCACATGAGAAAACAAAAACATAAAACTAGTAAATATACAAATACAGAATAACCAAATATTAATTATATCAAAGCCGTTGTAAAATTCATGTGGCTAAATATTGCAATGAGTCATCAGGCTCGTACGTTCATAAATCTTATATGTACGTTTACCTAGCTAGGCTCCAAAAATGTGTTACATATTAGGGCATAAACAACAAAATACTGTTATATATACTTATTTATGTAAACGTTTCTGTGGCTAATGTTGCGGTGAGTCATGAGGGCTCGTAAGTTCATAATCTTATATGTACATTTCCTAGACTCCAAAAATGTGTTAGAGATCAGGAGACAAACAACCAAATAGTAATATCATATTTTATGTGGCCTAATGTTTCGGTGAGTCAAGAGACTCGTAAGTTCTTCATCTTGAAGTAACTGTAACATTTCCTATAGACTCCAAAAAATATATCAAATAGATAAATTCGTGTGGCGCTGATGTTGCGGTGAGTCCATGAGATTCGTAAGCTCATGATCTAGATAAGAAGCTTCAAATTGAAGGAACCAATAGATAAAGAAAACACGTAGGTCATGAACACTAGAAAACCTTAGATGATCGAAGAGTCCTTCACTGTTCTTTTGTCTTTTGGTTTCGAAACCAAAACAGTAGATTCTATATATGATATCGATTACACAATGCGTCACTATGTTTTACTTCTTTTTGTGTGCACAATGGCGTCATTAGAATTTGTCGTCTTTATGTGTGTTTGGATGATGATCACAAGAAATAAATAAAATAGTATTAATAAAGAAATACATATTGAAACTTGAAACATTTCAGTTTCAGGTATATGGTTTCATCAGGCGAAAACTCAGCTGCTATTCGTGATTTGTCTTTTTTTACTCTTTATTAATGGATTAGGAAAAAACTTTTTTTAATCTAATATATACCAACTAAAACTATTATTATTAGTCCTTTAATCCCGGGGTCATTCAACAAATCGTGTTGAGATATATTTTTTCTTAATCGCGAACTACAAAATAACTTATCGAAGTTTGAAAGAAATTAATCAAGAAACAACAAGTTTTGATTGCTTAAAAGAAAACATTGGATGATCAACAATTATATACAAATATGTTAACTTCAAATCTAAGCATGATTATCATTTTATTACTTTCTACTTCTTGCCATCAATGATTTTTAGCAACTGTAATTTGAATTTAGTGGAATATATTGAAGTGGTAAAACTGCTAATAAAAAAAGATTAGTTAAAAATTTTCGCAAGTTATTTTTTAAAAATTAAATAGAAAGGAGACAAATCTCCTCATATCTAGGATCAAATCAAATCACTAGACTCTCCATATATATTGGATTGCGTAGTTTTTTGTATTTGTTTATTTTTATAGATATTTAAACTACCTCTATTTTTTATTTGCTAAAATATCTCTCCATTTTTTATTTTTTTGGCAGCATTTTGTTTACTTTTTTTTTTTCAAAATAAAAAGTCCTTGAATCTTCGTATTTAGTTTAAACTTTTGAGAGGAAAAATATGTTCCCGTGAAAACACATCTGCTTTGTTTCAGTTTCAGCCCCAAATTTATATTGAAATCATTGGTATCAATAATATTAATATCACGTTATTAAGGTATTTATATTGTTTCTTTTCCGAAACTAGTATTTGAGACATAAGAATATAATGATAATCTTAAAATTCCTAACATTTTAGTAAATGTAAAATGTAAAACTGTTGACAGAAAATTTCACATTTAATATGTTACCCTCTCTCTCTTATTTTTGATTAAAGCTTTTCAAAAATGTATTGTTTTGTTCTTTCTATTCCTAATAGTTATCCATCAATCCTATTTTTAAGACATAATTCTTATAAATAAAACATGACTCGGCAAATTTTATTTTATTTTGAACTATTTTAGTGTTGAAAACATACATATCATATTTTCTTAAACTTTTTTGTGCCCTATTCTAATTTCTAAGTTATATAATATTATTTTTTAAAGCTAGCTGTAAATATTAATTTCCAAGGAAATGCTGAAATGTCGGCATGTTTTGGTATTTTGTTAAAATCCATAATTTTTTTTATTAATTTTAAAGTTACAGATATGAAGATAAAAGAAAAACAAATCTCCACATATTTTGGAGCAAATCAGTTGACAAGACTCTCCGTATATATTAGATTGCATAACTTTGTATTTATATATTTAAATAATTTCTACTAAACTACTATTTTAGCTCCTAAAATATCTCTCTACTTTTTTATTCATTGCAACATTTTATTTGATTTCTTCAATTTTGTTGGAAATATTTTCTTCAGTTAAAAAAACTCCTTATTTCATTTCCTTGAGTGAAAATACCGTATCAATTTTCTTAGCGAACTAATTCAGATATTAATTAATTAATGTGTGAGAAGGTTAAAAGTAAAACTAATCAACACTATAATTTCCTTTTTTTACTAAAACCTTAGCAGTCAATTAGATTAAAAGAAACAATAAAAATATCAAGATCATGTATATATAATGTATTTTGAGTTTTTTTTTGTAATGGTATCTTTCTTTAGATTACATTTGAAGTAGTTCGTGTAAAAGTCTTAGCCTTTGCAGAAAATTATCATATATAACTGTATAATATTGTAAATGTATTTATTTTACATATGAGAATTGGTAGTTTATTAATAATTTTTTTCAGAAATATTTAATGTGAAAACATCCATATCGTGTTGTGGCCACCCCCACATGCGTCTCAGCGTTTGGCACTGTTCGTATTTCGTAAGTTTTGGTTTTTTACTTTTGTGAAGTTTCATAAGATTGTTTTTACCGTGAGTAAGAAAATAAACTATCAAAGTGTTGTAGGGACTTAACTTATAGGAAATTAATGTATAGAAGTTTAACATAGGCATCAAACAAAAAATTATACTTAAAATTTTAGGGTATTTCAGTAAAAGAAATAACAAAAATTATATTAAAATACTATACTATACGTCTATACTGTAATTCCATTTTATTATAATACTTTAACTAGATGTTAACCCGCGGTATACCGCGGGACAGTTTTTTTAAACTAAATTTTTTAATTTTGAAGTTGTATTTGTTAATTTTGATAGATAAGTTTTCATAACTAATTTTGTTTTTAAAAAAAAAAATAAGTTGTATTTTTCTTTTCTTTTTTTTGTATATAAGCTTGTACAATTGTATTTTGATTGTTTATTTTATAATTTAACCCGTGGACCGCGAGTCAATCAAAATTTTTATAATTCTAATTTAATCAACTTAATTGAGGATTACATAACATCTTTTAGTTCAAGTTATTTGATTTTAGACTAAAATATTTTGTATGTAAACAACTCATAAATATATATATATATACTCAAACTACTCTATCACATGACCCATGAACATTGAAGTTTTTCTTTTACATTTTCAAAAATTATACTATTTTGTAATAGTATTATAATATTTAAGTGATTTTTTTATTAAAAAAACACTCCATTTTATAAGTTCATGTAAAAACTCCATTTTATAATCTATATTAACATTTTTGAAGTACCTTTTGTGTTCTATCCTATTATAATATTTTCATAATTAAACATTTGCCATTTGATTAAATAGCAAAACTTTAAGATAAATATTGTAATTAAATCATAATTAAATTACAAAATTATAAATCACTATTTATTATATTTAACAAAATTTCCTAAAATATCTCCCTAATAAATCAAATATTTCTCCAACATCTTTATATGATTTTATTTGCTTTTAAATTTATATTATTACATAAAACATATGCATAGTAAAAATATATATTTTTCTTTGCATGTGTTGCAATTTGAATTTTTAAAAACGGATATATATTACTCAGAAGATACAAAAAATGGATGTTCTAAAGTATTATTGATAATTGTGTATCACGGGTCATGTGATGGAGCGGGTTATAATTTACATAATTATGATTATAGATATTTTTACGGGTTGTCTACTATATTATAACTCACAAAATTTTTAAATATGAAGTTATATTATGTCAATATCATTTCATTATTTTAATATTAGACTTATTTTAATTAATTTGATCAAATTACGATTATATATTACAAAATTATCAAATAATATTCTACGGGTTAAATCATATAATTAACCATCAAAATATAGTAGTACACGCTTATATACCAAACAAAATTAATAAAAAAATACATTTTAAAATATCGTGCTGCGGTGTACCGCGGGTCAAAATCTAGTTTCATGTAAAAATAAATCACATGACCCGTGAACTGTGGTTACAAAAATAATATTATTTTCATAATTATTTTATAAATCATTAAAAATATGGGTAAATGATTGTAAATTATTTAACGAATATGGGTAAATTATTTTCCGATTTTATGCAATATGGTGTTTAATATATTCCTTAATTTTCTATATACGTTTTTTGGTCAAAATTATATTTAATTCAACATACCATAAATGTAGATTTAATATAGATTTTATAGACATAATTTAAATTTAAAAACGATTTTTAGAATATTACTTTTTAGACAAAAAAATTGATTTAGGAAAATTCAATAAATTTAAGAGAGATATTGTAGGAATCAATTTTGTTTGGCGATTTTATAGCCATATTATTTTAGGAATATCAAAAATATTATAGAGAGATTTTAGGAGATTTTAAGTATTGGTTTTATAATTTTATTTTCAAAAACAATTAATATCAATGGCATTATTTGTAAATACGGTTGAAACCCAGGATTTATTTCCTAACTTGCTCCACAAATGTTAATATAGATTTCAGGAATCAGAATTGTTTTACAATAAAAATTTCATATTTTCAGTATAGAAGTTTAATTGAAATAAAAGACAAAAACAAATCTCCACATATTTTGGATCAAATCAAATGATAAGACTCTCCATATATATTGGATTACGTAACTTTTAAAATATATTTTGTTCTCTTCTCCCTAAAATATCTCTTTTTTATAAATTATATTTGTACTTTTTAATTTTTATTTACTTTAAAAAATCCATCATATTTGGCCTATATTGTCGTTAAACTAAAACTAGATTTATATTGTTAAGTACGAATTACTATTTTATATATCTCAATTTCTCTGTAAGAAAATTTTGAATTTTAAATTTAGTAAGTATTTTCTTCTGTTTTTGTTTTGTTTTTTTTGTTTTTTTTGTTTTTTTTTGCGTATTAGAAGACACCGAAAAATTGTTTTCTTTGACGAGTTAAAAGTTCTGGTCAAGTATCCATTTCCTCAACAAGTATCACAACTTTGTCATTGCAAATGATAGTTGATTATATATTACATATCGTTAAGTATACGATTTAATCAAGATTAAATTTTACTTAACAAGTATCCAGTTCCTCCTGTGTAATCATCCTTACATCGAACCCTTCCATCAAATAGAGTAAAAATAAATAAAATTGGTATGGTTTGTTTTGATGAAATCAATAAACTTCATGTTTTGTTTTTTTCTTTTATTTTTATTTTTCTTAGGAAAAAAGAAAAACTTCATGTTTTCTACAACTTTCATATCTGGAAGCAAAAATATAAAAATAAAAACAATCAAAGGTTTGGTGTTTATTCCTCAATGTATAAATCAAGAAGATGGACCATATAATACATATTTTCAAACTACTTTTTTTTTTTTGGTGAAAGATATTTTCAAATGATTTTATTCATTTTAACGTTATAGAATTACAAAATGCATAAAGAAATAACATTAAAAAAAAGAACCATCGCTTTCCCGCTCTCTTGTTCACTCTCCTATATAAAATAGCTCTTCCTCCGGGCACAAGCACAACCTCTTCACCAGACCAGAGTCTTCAGTTACTTCCCTATATCGATATCATCATGAATCTCAACTACTAACAAGACAGCCACGAGTTTTGGTCCTCACTTTACCATTCCTTCGCTGATTCAGACCCTAAAGCTGATCTCTATCGTGAGATTGAAACCCCGATTATGTCTATGCCTGTATCGATGGCCGTCGATGTACAGGCTGAGCCATGGAAGGTTCTTGAAGATGGTAATAAGGAGGCTGGACCGGGGAATGCTGCAGTTCAAGTTGGAGCTGTGAACAATAATGAGGTTGGAGCCATAATTAAACTACTTGGAAAGCGATGGTTGCGTTATTAGTTTTCTTAGATGTATGTATATATACACACATGAGTTGTGTCTTGATACGTTTTTCTTATTTTAGGGTAAGGAGAAGGATGAGGCAGCTAAAGATGAAACCAAGAGTCTTGGTAAGAGGCCACGTGGTAACGAAGATCGTGTTCGCAAGGGGAAGGTGACACACTCGTTTCTTTTGTTTCATACGTGTCTCTCAAATCAAGCAAGTGTTCATGAATCATGTCGTTTTGATTTCATAATGCAGAGGAGACGCGCGGATATAAGATCCAAAATTGAGACGTTGAAGGAGTTGACACGTTGTCATGGAAAGGTTTACACCAAGTTTTTTGCCTCTATATTTTTCATATAGTTGATATGAATTACAAAATCAAATTTGTGTTTGAAAACTTATTACATATATGTCTTTAACTTGTAAGAATAATACGCTAGCTAATGAAAAAAAAAAAACAATTTGGCTATGATGATATACATACATATGTTATGTTACTAATACAACTTGCTTTGTTTTTAATTTGTTATTTGCATGAACGTGTAGCAAGACTTCGTCTCGACCCTTGATTCTATCGGCGATCACATACGGGATATGAAGTTTTGTGTAGAAGTAAGTAATCTAAATCTTCATCTTATTGTTATATCAACACATGCATGATACGCTTCATGACTCTTTGAGTCTTGTTACGCTTAATAATCAAAATCAACATAAGCCAACTCTTGCATGTACGTACGTAGTTAAGTTTTTCTTTTTTTTTTTTTTTTTTTTGGTGCAAAGAAAATTAAAATGGTGTTTTGGTTTTAGTGCAGTTTTAATTGCTGTAACGTCATTCTTACATGTTTGGATTAGACTATAAAAAGCAGTTATCAGATTACTAAACTCAAAATTCAACAATGCAGAGTTTTTACACAAGTCCTCCTATGATGCCAATGGGCATGGGGATGGAATATTCAGGTCCATGGATGTATCCTCCTTATGTCTATCCACACTACATGATGCCTTATAATCCCTATATACACGGAGAAAGTAGTGGCTACGCCAACCAAATTGTACCTTCAGTTCCCATGACCACTTATCAGGTTTTATTCTTCATGCATGTCTTATAATTTTGTGATTGTTAAGCTTAATGTTAATTGATTTATTCCTTTTTTTTTGTAAAAAATGAAAAATTTACAGGGATTCAACTATCCACCTGGACTACCATATACGTCAAAGCCTATGTAATAATATATAAGACCGGTTCTTTAATAAGAAGTTGTTTTTGAAGCTAGTATTGTTGTGTGTGGCTTTCTATTTTGTCGTTCGTCGTCACAATGTAATATACTCATCATGTAGTAATTTTATATATTTTTTATTGTCGTAACCTTTATGTATATGTTGCCATGTTAATTGTTTAAAATACAACGTTTTCGTTTTCAGTTCAAGTGCGCAACATCATTGATATTTAATTCACAATTATCACCAAGAAAAAATATATATTATGAAACTAAGGATTAGTGGTTCCGAACAAAAAGGAAAATGATATTTTATTATCATGTTAACAAAAGAATTACTATACATAAAATTAGATATTTGATGCGTGTTTTCGGCAATTATATATATAAAAAATCGATTGATGAAACCAATTGGATAAATAAAATAACTAAAGTAATAATTAAGTTTGTATATATGACACTTGATAATGAAATGATAATCATAATATTAGGTAAGCAATATATATGGTCACAACTCACAAGTAACTGTAACATTTATTATTTTTAGTTTTAACTCAAACTTCTAAATATATTAAATTTTGGATAAGTTTCTTTATTTTTTTAAATACTATAGAGAATCCTAATACACGTATTAATCTTTATTTTTATCTTTATATATGTTGTTTTTGTTTTTATTTTCAATCTTTGAGAAAAAATGTATCTATTCATGTTATATAAATTCATTTCTTTTTTAAAAAGCATATAATATATAAGATTGAATGATATCGGAAAGATGTTGTTACCAAATTAAATAATAATAAAAAAAAACAGTATAAGTTCATCTTGCATATGATGACATCTTGGGTAAATAACTATTTATGTTCATAATTTTTTTTTTGTTTTCATCTCTTCTATTTTTTATTATAATATATACTTTAATTTTAAGAAGATAGTTGAGGTCTATTTTTTAAGAAGTAATGAGATGCAGCTCTTTGTAAGAACAATAGATCATATAATTTTAAAATATTACACCTAGAGAAAAGATTTGTCTGCCGAGGAAGCAGAAAAGTTAGCGATATGCATCACCAAGAAAATGTCCCTTTACATTGAAGTAGCCAGATACGATGGTCTTATGATTTTGGGTAATGATAGCGATCAAATTATTTCGAGAGTTCAAGATCTATGATCAGCAAATATGAAAGATTTTGGTGGCTGAAAATATCTATGAGAACTTGACAAATATACTAGATTTAGATTTTTTTTTTTTTTTTTTTGGTCAAACATATAAGCTATAGCTTGCTTATATATAGTGTTCAATAAGGTCAATTTTTTTCTTTACTATGATCATTTTATTGCCCTTGCGCAGGTCTTGCCCATGCATGCATTTTGTTGGTAGACGGCAACTTTATCTCGTTCTCAACCAAAACTATAGAAAAAATTATTACATATGGAAATATGGAATTTATGTTCGAGCATATACTAGATGTAGAGTTCTTTTATATTCTGGTCTCATATTTATGGTATCTTAATTGATTAAAACCAATTTGTATGGCATATTATTATTCACCAAGCTCCCTTGCTAGAGTAGCTCTATGATTTGTATTGTTTATATTTACATTGAACAAAAGATCCATTTATTGCAAATAAATATAAATTTCATTTTTCATCAATTTATTGTAAAAGTTTGTAACTATATATAGCTAGCTTAAGAGTTTTAAAAAGAAACACTAAAAAAATTAAGGACTGCCGTTCAAGAACAAGAACGACACTATTTGTTCCACTGTCGTTTTCAAATTGGTGCTTAGAATTTCAAGAAAGAGTGAGAAAACATATGTAAGAAAACAACAAAACATAAATGTCTTCTTCTGTCTCGTTGATGTGTGTAAATACTGAACACACAAAAACCATCTAACATAAATAAATATTTTAGAGAAAACCATAAGACGAAGCAAAATCATATGTTTTCTTCCCGCTTAATTGCAGGATGATGCAACTTACCAAAGCATCTAGCTTCTTATATATATACATATATATATAGCTTTTTGGCTTCACAAGCTTCTCGTAAGTTCATGAGTCTCTACTCTAAACTCTTTCACAAACTCCAAAAAATAAAGACACAGATCTTTATATAATCTTGTTCATCAATGGAGGGAAACAACCACACGGAGGGTACTAATGAAGAAGAACTATGTTCGTTGCCTGAAATGATTTACGCCTTGTGTTCAAAAGATCGTAGTGACCTAAACCCTTTGCAAGAGATATTTGGTGCTCACACGAGTTCACCAATGCCTAAGGATGTTGTTACCAAGAACTGTGATCATGATGAGAAACTCGACGAGGAGAGTAACCGTATGGCTAAACGGCAACGTTCCATGGATTATCGTGTGATGATGGAGAAGGTACATGAATCATGATGTTCTTATCTTACGTGCTTCCCAAGCTAAGTTATGTATTTGTTCCCCTAAACTATGCAGAAAAGACGACAGGTCATTAAAGATAAAATAGATACATTGCAGAAGATGACACCTATTCCCCCAAAGGTTTATTACTACTTCACGAGTCTAATACAATATCAAGTTTCAAATATCTGAGCTTGCTTCTTGTGTGTGTGTGTGTGTGTTTGTTTGTTTACAGCCGGACCTTGCAGGGAAGCTTGAAAACATCATTGACTACATTAAGAGTTTGCAGTATCAAGCAGATGTACGTAAGCTATATCTAATCATTAGTAAGTGTACATCTAATAAGTATGAAACTAAACACAAGTCTTTTATATGTTATGTGGTATATAGATAATGTATAGGGCATACGCAGCTACTCCGGTTTACTCGTCACCATATTATGGAACTCAACCACCACCATGTATGTCTCCATGGGGATATTATCCTCCAGGTATCCCAATGATGCCTCAGCAAAATATGCCTTATATCCCACAATATGATCAGGTTTGCTCCAAATATCCCAACTTCAGTTTTATTAACTTTTATCTGATTTCAACAGATTCTTAATTCTGATATCAATCTACATCATAGGTATACGACATGGCGCCTCGTGATCAGACTAAACCTTAAAATAAGCTTTTAGCTTTATGGCGTTTTATGATCATTGGGATGTGGACTCGTTTCTTTACATATATATACAGAAACTGTCGTTGTGTACTAAGATATGTGCATAGATACATAAAGATAAAAATGTGTATAGTTTTAAATATGAAGGTTTAGAGTGATGTTCATAATATGTGAACACACTTGTTCCTCTGTTCTGTTATCGTTGAGCATTGTTCCTCTGTTATGTTCTGTTTTGCTCAACCTTTTTTGTCTTTTTCGTATGTAAGTTAAATAAAACATGAAAAAGATATAAACATACGTGTGGTGGCACGGTTATGTTGGATCCTAGGTTCGATTTCAATATATGGACCAGGACCACTCGATCACTTAAACTTTGGCTTATGTGTTTTAATCTGTGGTGGACTAGTATAAAACTCTTGACCAATTGGTATGCTTCACCTTGTTATTAGTCGGACACTTCAGTGCAAGAAAACTCAATACTAAAAAGAAAAACACAATACTAAAACTCTTATCTTTAATTATCGAAAGCGTATTAGATCAATACATTGTTACATTCAAGAAACCAAGAAGACAATATGGTTAAGATATTCAAATATTACTAAAGTGAACAAAATATATATCTCCCTTTTAGCCTCCACAACCACCACCGCAACCAGCCGCGCACGTAGAGCCGTTGACGTCTTCAGTAGCGTGAGGTTTAGAAGCTCCGTCGCTACATGAGAAAATCACGGTGGCTATGACCGAGAAAGCCACACATGCTACCCAAATGTAGAGTAAGATAACGGTGGTTTCCTCCTTACCAGCCACAACAACCGCGAGTTCTCCTCTCACCATCTACAAGAGTTTTGTGTGCATTGGTACTCTCTGAAAATGGTTGGCTAGTTGATAAAGAGAGTTGTAATTGGCATATTTGACAAATGAGTGGTTTTGCGATTTCGAGTCAGAAGTCACCCAACCAAAAAAGATGCGACGACTCTTTTCTTACACTGCCCTTTGGTTTAACTATAGGGTCACACTCACACTAGTTATTATACCCATTGTGCATGTGTGCGGCGATTTGTCATGTCTCACCACTTACTTTATCTTTTACAAAAAAATTCTTATTGTTATCCAAAGAGATAGAGTTTGTAAAATGGTCATAAAAAGTATATAACAAAAATAAAACAGTAGCACTATGCCACTATGTAGATGGCTTTCTAGATGTATGAATGTAACCATTAAGAAAAACAATTTTTCGGAATTGAAAACAATTCGGAATCGAGACAAGGAAAATAGATAAGTCTAGACGAGTGTAGAAACCCAATCAAGCTTCGTTGCAGCCTTGCAGGAGGAGGATGACAAAATATTAGTCTTATCAGATAACATTTTCATTTGCATGAGAAATGTTTCAAGGACTTCGAACAAATCTTGATTGCTCATTTTTTTTTGTATAATAACAAAGATGGATATATAGACTATACTCTATAGTATTAAAAAAAATATATAAAAGATAAAGGGCTGATAATGCAGATCCAAGAAAAGAAAAAAATACTTATATAATTAAAGTGTTTTTAACATAATTTTATAAATTGAATTTCAAGACATTAAAAAATTGGGGGGCCAATTTTGCAGTTTAAAAATAGCATATGACCAAGTAAAATGTCAATTTTTTTGAAACATTAATAAAATAAAATAAAATAGATTTGAAAGAAAAATAGGTGAAATGGTATTTAGTGTGATTTATAAATGTGACAAATTTTTACAGATGATTTGATATATACACATAAAGTTTACATAGTCTTCCTACTTTTAGATTGAGCTTTAGGAATCTTGTTAATGACTTTGGAGTTGAAGTTGTTTAGGAGCTTCTTCATGTCCCTCCCGCTTTTACTTGCTGCGTAACTCAGTTCTTCTTCGTATAGCTCATACAACATTGGTATTGTCTCCAAACCCACAAATACTTTACCAAAACACAACACACAGTTATAAATAAACTTAGAATGAAAGGCAATAAAGATTTGTAAAATGTTTGTTAGATAAAAATCATGAAGTCTCACCAATGTATAACAGAGTTAAAGAGCTGAAATAGTTTCCAACCACTGATAATATCCACAGTGAAATAACGGCCTGAAATGAAAATGCAACATACAAGTCTTAAAAATGCAAACATATTTGGGTGTGAAAATGAATGAATAATTGTGTGTAAAGTTAAATTTTGTATATTGATTTACCAGAAAAAGGAGTCTGAAGTCTTTGCCACTTGAGATATCATGCAAATTGATGATGAACCAGTTTATCTTGGTGAACAAGAATCTCCAAGTAGATTCCGAAACCTTTAGATCATTGATACTTGGAGGTTTTCTGCGAAAACAATGGCGTTTGGTTGATTCATATTAAGAAGTGTCAAGTAGTAGTGTGAATGTTATTTTACCTCTTGATTAGTTGTGAGGAGCCAATGTACGACCAAATGAGGAATATGAAAATAGAGATCAAGAGGATCTGGCAGAGGAATGTTATAAAAGGATACTCAACCACTTCGAACAAGAACCATATCAATGTGAATACAGCCAAGATTGTTCCTGATTCTTTCTTGTTCTTCCAGAACATTATATCAGCAACTACAATATTCCAAGACAAAATCATTCAAGAAAAGAAGATTGAAGAACAGATGAAAAAGAGAAAGAATAAAAAATGTATGTTACATCTCCCTCCTCCTAGATTGTGGTACAAAGATCTTCGTCGTCTCGATGAAGAAGCTCTATGTTCATCCATTTCGTATCCATAAACAGCCATTATTGTTGTTTTGGTATCGGGTTTCGAAACAACTGTAGCCTTTTTTGTGAGCTAAGGTCTAAGATTCAAGGTTTACTATATAGTTACAAACTCTTAGGATAAGAAAGGTTTTGTTCTTGGATTCATAAAGAAGAAAGCAATTTGAGAAAAGGGAAAGGTATGGCTTTAGCATATTGCAAAAACTCACCCTTTCATTACTATATGAATAAATTAGAGAATCGTTCATAACTTGAGGTAATGATCAAAAATGTATTCCAAAAAGTTATAAACATTTCTGATCATAGCTCTTGGTAAACCCTTTTTCACATGCAAGTATATTCCAAGTTGAGAGGCTAAGAATCTTCCGAGTGCAATCATTGGGCCTATTCATGGCCCAGTTCATTATTAACCCATATTGTTTTTCTTGTTCAAGGGTTGACTCATGGTCAATCCGGACCAGACCAGTCTTGAGTCTCTTGACCCTTTATGGACGGAGCCAGCTCGTGGGATGATAAAACATCTCTAGTTAATGTCAAGCAATGATATATGATTGAGCCAATCCAATTTTTTTTTAATAAGACACATATAAGCCGACATTACCATCTTACATCTGAGAACACAAGTTTATATGAACAATTAACAAAACATCTATTTTTATAGTTTACCCTGTCTTTAAACCATAGCCATCATAAGACTAAACAGAAACTGGTCTAGACCTTGTTGAAGTCGGGGTTCTGTTGCTTTGGAGCCTCTGCAGGACTAGTCATACCAATGTTAATGCCATCGTTCTGATGCTTCTCCCATCCACCAGTGTCAGCCTTGGAATGAGCCAAGTAGTAAAGAATGGTTGCAATCAAAGACAAGAGAGTGAAAGCAGCTCCAGCAGCAAAGACCCCAACTGGTAAGACAGCACACGAAAGCTCTTTCCCTTGGTAGATGCCTTTACTTTTAGTGTGGTACAAGTTCCTTGCTGATCCAGCCAATAAACACGCCTCAGCTCCTAGAAAGCTCACCCTGAAGTTAGACAATACGAATGAGTAAGACAAAACTACTCAAACACAGAGATGAACTAATAAGTCATTCTTATAGAATCCCCATAGTTTTGTAAGATCACATATTAGGATATTCAATTGCAACGATGAACAAGCCTACCACTATCATTGTCTTGGGATAGAGACATACACAACTCACAAGTAAGAGTTAAGGACACAAAAGTTATGAACTTTCTAAATCATGATTACATTACCAAACTTTCAATAGCTACGAATCTGGAAGTGAATACTTTCAACTTCACAATACCAAAAACTTTCTTTTTCACTTCAAAGTTGAAACCCATGACACAAACACAATCAAATCACAAATCCTTTTAGCTCAAAAGAGAGATAAAATCACTCCAATTTCAATCAGAAAATGTCAAATCTTGCTAGCTAAAAACACCTAAATCCACTTCAATTTCAAATCTTGATGCACAAAAGATTCAATAAGAGAGTAAAGGATTGAACTTTACCAAGAGACAACGAAGAAGACAATAGCCCAGACAGTGTAAGAAGTACCAGAAACAAGACCCTTTCCGAAACAGAGACACTTAGTAACGCCGTTAACCACTGTCTGACTAACAAGAAGCAACCCAAACGCCGACATACCGTACACCGTCGACGCCTCAGTTCCGTACTTACAAAAAGTCTGGTCATCGTACTGGTCCGGCACCGCCACAGCCTTCCAACAAAAACCAAGAAAGATCGATTAAAGAAACACAAATCGAAAAAAGATAAAATTAGTAAGACAGATAGAGAGAGATATAAAATGGGTACGGTGCTACGGCGACGCTCGGCGCCGAAAGCGAAGACGAAAGCAAGGAGGTGAAGAGCAGTGACGACGACGAGAATAGAAACGGAAACCGCCATTGATATTGGTTCGTTCTCTCCTCTCTGCTTCTTCTTCTTCTCTCTCTTATTACTACTGTCTTTACTCTTTTTGTCTTTATCTTTTAGAGAGAGCTTTGGTTTGGTCAAGAAGAGAAGAGACGTTATTACACTGATATTTGTTTCTTTTTTTATATGTTTGAGCACTAATATTTAGACTTTGATGTCAAAGTGTCTACATCTTTAGTTTTTTTTTTTTTTTCAATGTGGTTTACAGAATGTTTTGGGGAGAATTTTTGGGATAGATTTTAGGAAATATGCTATAGATAGCTAAATTCTAAACACAAATTAAGAAACTAGTCATAGATAACATAGCATTCTTTCTTCTGTTACAATTATATTTATAGCTCAAGTTATTCTTTCACTTCTTCTATTTTCAATAATTTTAGTTTAGTTTCTCCATTGGATTGTTTATTCTTCTCACAATTAGATTTCTTGCTATCTCTTCAGATTTTTTTATTCTTTTGTTTAATCTAAAAAGTAAATTATAGAAGATCTCACTTTAATTCCCAGGATATCACTCTCTTTTGAAATCTCCGTCGTCATGATTTTTAAAATTATATATGTCATTTGCTTTTATAACACGCTAGTACATCTAATTACAAGTGATAAAATAAGATATATCTCATTAACATGTTACTTTATAATATTTCATGTTAATTATAAAGATTTCATGTGATTTATTGCAAATATATATATTATCCGTCTAGTTATTTTTTACAAACATGTCTTTTTTGTAAAACATAATATGTTTTAACAAATAACATGTTATTTTTTTTTATTACTATATGTACTGACTTAAAAAAATATATGGTTGTTTGATAAATATGATGACATGCTAATGATTATCTGAAAAATATTTTAATATTTCAATCTACAATAAAATTTTTGACTGAAACTAATAAATTTTACCACTACAAAATGGTAAGATTGATAAATGATAATAAATTATGTTTCTCTTAAATTTATGATCATTATTAGCTAATTCTAGGTGGATTTAAAAATACATAAACCAATAACACCCCCTTAGTTCTTCATTGCAGGTTTTACTATAATTAAATTTCATGAAAATACTAACCTCAGTCAAAGTAAAAAAAATATATTTGACTAACTTATATTCTGACAATTAATGAACAAATTTTTTTTAATGAATGTTAATTTGAAAATAGTATGATCAATAATTTGAATAACTTTTGGAATCAAATGAGTATCATAATACAGAAGCGGGGAAACAAAGTGATGGAATCAAGTGAGTATACGATTGGTAAATTGGTAGCATCTTCCACGGTGGGAAGGTTGTTAAAGGGTGAGTACCTGGGTTCGAGGAGCGCCAGACACACCAATAACCTACCTGGTGGACCAGGAGAGAGCCTACATGCGCAGATTGGACCCATATGAGAGAGGTTAGAGTTGATAGACTGCAGCGCTGTAAGGATGCCATGTGGCGGGTGTGCCACATGGCGGAGGATCACACAGGGCGGGTTGTTACGGTTATCATCATTTGCAAACTCTAAAATAACTCCATTTTGTTGTATATGTCTTAGTTTCATTTACAAAAACTCTATTACATTGATGTCCCTCATATGCGATTGGGTCACAGCCTAATAAATACGGTCTACAATTCTTACAAAGATTCAATATTAAATATAAGAATCTTGGTGTTAATAAAGAGATGTGTGCTAGTTTGATCTAATACAACACAACCCCAACACAACTAATGATTGCCCTAGTCTCTAAATAGGGCCAAGATATATATTCCAAATTCTTTTCAAGGATTTATGTTTGTGTTAAAATCTGTCTTTTATGGTTATCTGAAAGTATTAAATATTTTAGATGCATTTTAACATTAATAATAAATTGATAACTGACTGTAAATTTAAAGAAAAAAAATTATTAGTATATTTCCTTAAAATTTTGATCAGTATTAGACCATTTAATAACTAATTATATATTTTATTGGAATTGAATTCAAAAGAATATATCAATTTTAGTCAAAATGAAAGTATTTGACTACATTGCAATGTGAAAATAATGATTGAAATAAAAACAAAAATAGAAAATCAAATATTGCGAATACAAATCTGAATAATTTTTAGAATCTCATATATGATTGTTTATAATTTAAATAAGCAGTATACAAAGAAAATATTATTACATATCTTTTTCTTCACGATTAAGAAACAAATATATCAATATATGTCATGCATCTTTCTTCATCACTTCTTCATCAATCCAATCTATGTAGTCACGATAATCTTCAAAATCACCCCCTCCTTCTATATTGTCATTTTGTTTCCCCGCTTCTGCATTATGATACTCACTTGATTCCATCGTATTATGTGGCATACGTGCTGACCCCATATTCATAGCAATAGACTGATCATGGCCCACCACACTAGTGTCAGGGGTTGAATCCATTGGTTTTCTAAAGGCAACGTTGTGGTTAAGATAACTCTGAGACAAATGATTGTTTCTCTCAGAAAACCCACTTTCTTCTAACCAAGAAGCCATATCCTTCTCGATATCAGTGTCAAAAGAAATCAAGTCTTCAATCGGAATGTCAAAATCTTCATTTGCATTGGTTTCAAAATTGGACATATTGGTTTCACAAGAAACAATACCCATATGGTTTGTACTTTCCTCTTGAGGAAGAATACTTACTTCAGAAAAACCTATGTCTATTGGATTATCCACCTCAGATTGAATTATATTAATTCCATGATGACTATGGTTTTCTATAGATGGAGCTAAATTCATCTGATCTATATTGGTTTCCAAAGGGCTCATGATATTATTTGGAAGAAAATAATTTTCTTCCAAATTGCATGAATCTGCTTGAGGAAAAAAAGAATCTGGTATAGAAGTGAAGTCTAAATCTATTTGGTTTACAGAAGTTTCAAGGACAAGGTTATGTGGGTGAAGTGGATTAGGATCATAGTGCGGGATGGAAATCCTTGCGGTCTCCATCTGAGATGCACATGTGTTTGGTAAATTAGAAATCATAGGAAGGATTTCACTACCTACGCCAGTAGAAACCATACCAATATGGTTGGCATTATCAATAGGATAATTGTCGTAAGCTAGATTGCTACTTATGGTTGAAGGAACATAATCAACATTCATGGATGACTTGTTAAGTATGTTACCAGAATGTGAATGGTTGCTCAGATCCAATTTTTTGCCTCGATGAAGTTTTGGCATACTTTTCTTTCTGGCATCAATCGGATTTTTCAATGAGACTGCATATAAAAAATCATATAAATACTAATATGACACAAAATGATATAATGGTGAAAGTATATATAATGAAAGAATACATACATTGATTGATGGATGATGATGATGACAAGTTTTTCTTTCTCAAACAACACCACAAGGAGTTACTTGCAATGACATTTTTCGTTAAGTAGGATGCTTTGAAAGGATAATCGTAATCCGAAGGGTATTCGATTGTCTTATCTGTCGACTTCCATTCATTTCTAGGTAATACATCGCTTATCCGCTCAATTTGAGCTTTGTATTTCTGAAAATTATAGAATATAAATGTTATAATAAGACTAACAAAAAATATATTATATTGAAAAATATTTAAATATTGTATCTATGAACCTGAAGGTGGCTAGCGATTTGGCGTTGAGTTAAGTTTGGGTCATTCATAATTTCCAATATGGATTTGGGACGCAAATCTGAAAGATTAAAAATGTAAGAAATTAGTATATGAAACATATATAAATTAAAAAAAAATCAAATGTGAAATATAAATTTTACCGTTATCACCCAAAATGGAGATAGCAGCTAAAAACTTCATGTGGCGCTCATTAGTCCATAAACTCATACGCCTTCCAACATTATCATCTACTTTCATCCATTCTTTTCTCCTATTCTCAACCTCATTTTGATAACATGGTTTTGTTTTCCATTCAATATTTGCCATACCTTTTCTCTTATGATATGCTTCAGAAGTTGTGTATGGCTTGATGAAATTTCGTTGACCTAACAACGAAGCTTGACTTGTTCTTTGCCTCTTAAGGCTTGCCCTGAAATTTTCAATCTCATCTATATCTTTGTCGATAGCATTTTCTTGGTTTTCAGCCATGTTGATTTTCTTGAACTCTTGACTCTGTCTCGATAACACGCGTTGCCACATGTTTTTGATATCGATTTCTGAAATTGGCTTATCTAGAGAAAAACATGCACTATTTTTCAGAAGATCTGATGGTTTCTTCGTCCTTATCTCTGGATTGATCACTTTCACAAAGAGAAAAAAAATGTCAACTTGTGAAATAAAAATATAGTGGAAACAGTAAACAAAAGAGAAAGTGTGAATATGTTCGTACATATGAGAGGGATATTTCTCTGAAGCAAAGCGGTGAGAAATGAATGTGAGTCTATTTGAGGCATTTCTATGTTAGCTATGACAATCCCGATGTCCTTCTTTTGCTTTTCAATCATCGATAGAGCCTTACTTGCTGCATCCACACTCATCACTAGTACATGGATTATTATATAAGATATTTATAGTTAAAAAAATGATTGAAGACATATTTAATAATTTATATTATTAGGTTTTCATTCATTAATAAAAGTTTAAAAGGAATATAATGCATGCACACGTATTAGTTAGATAAATCGCTCAAGAAATACATAATTAAGCATATTATAATTTTTTGAGGTATTTGTCTGGGTAACAGAAACCATCCATAAATCTTAATATACAATAAAAATATAGACTATAATTTAACTCAAAATGATTTTAAAAAACAACTATAGACTAAAACACATTTGATCCATCATAAACCTTTTTGAATATGAATTTTGGTAAAATATAAATTTACATGTAAACTGAATCATGTAGATCTATGACTAAATAGCCTTAAATATTTCGACAAAAAAGAGATCTACGACTAAATATAGCCTTACATAATTCTTTTGCATAACAAGATTATGAATAATATTTATATATGATTTAAGTTTCTTTAATTTGGTCATAGATCGTGATCGTAAATCCAAAACAGAACAGATCTAGAGATTAATATTATAATCATCATGGAAATTTTTTAAGAATGGTAAAATTTAACATAAAAATGCAATCACTTGAAAAAATTAATATTAATTTGATATGTTCATGAAAAAGAAAACTACACAATTATAAATGATGAAAATAAAAGAATTGTTTGGCGAGGAATGTGTTGTTTCTTTACCTCGTTTTGAAAATTGTTCCAGCATTGATGTGAGAGATGCGACTGATGTAGCGTCATGGTCGATCAGCAATATAAAAATATCATTAACACATTGAGGAATTACGTTTTCCGCCATTTTCTCTGAAAATTTTCACAAAAATTATATGATTTAGGCTTTGAGAAAATGAATAAGTTGTAAGAAAGAAATACTAATGGCCGGTACGGTCATATATATAGAAGCAAGGATAGAATCAGTGGACCCGATTAGGTCATACATTGCGACTAATAGACATAAGAATAATATATAAGTTAATTTCCTTCCTAATTTATATTTAATCAATTTGACCTTCTGATATATAGAAGAAGATTATTCTATCTAAAATATAAATTTTTATTTTATTTTAAAAATAAAACACCTACTGGATGAGATATAGTTTGAACAACTTAGTTTCCTTTAGGTTTTTTAGAAATTGCATAAAATTAAATCAGTTTTTAGTAAGATTATAAATCATTTGACTAAAGTCTATAAATTTATGATATTTTCAATTTAGTAAAATCCAAATATAGTTAGTCAGACAATCATTTATTAGTTTGACTCATAAATTATAGTTATCTGTTTTGAATAATATCTTTCAGAAGAAAAACAAATTGACCCATTAATTAGTCAAAAGAAATTACAGTATTACCTTTTCTGTTTTTTTTTTCTTCCAAAAAGATATTGATATGGTTTTTTATTTCAATAATTACCATATTTTATATAGATCCCTATAATTTTGTGTAAATTGTGTGTCTTGTCAAATTGATAAACTCCCTTAATTAAATTTTTGGAAACCAAACAATTTCCGAATTCGGAGAACATGTCTGGTATTATGTTCGCTAAATCATGTCTAATAAATTACTTTTTGTCATTTGATTCTTTTGTCGTATGGTGAATGATGAATCTACAAAATCCCAAACATACTCAACGTTAATATTTCTTCGATCGGCCTGAATTTAGACCTCAATGTAAGCCCTTCGCTTTGTTCAAGTAATCTCTTGTTTTGTGGAATTTGTTGTACAAGTACATCAATATACGTATCACATATATGGCCAAAATGCTCTGTACGTAGTAACCAAACGACTCCTTTTATAACTAGTTTGATTTATCACATTTGAACAACCGATGATATATACATTCCTCGGTTTTTAATGTCTCAGGAAAATATTAGACTCAAACTCGCTCTTACGTATGCACATTATTCACTTTTTACCAAATGCTATTTGTCGATCGTTTCAGTAGCTATCATCTCTGTACTATCTGTGGAATATTATGTATGTGTTTCAGACCTCTTTTCTCGTTTTACCTTTGGGGTCATATATGTAAACAAGCTGGAAGGAGGAGGAATGGGTCAGGTAAGGAGCTTCAAGGATGACTTGGGTTTGAGACCAGCAGCCACGAGCTTCTCCTGCTCGGATAGGGAGTGACGGAAGTGGCAACGGTGACCATAAGGACAGTTATCACCAGCAAGAACCATTCTGCAAACCTCTGTCTTGTAACGGGGATGGCGGATCACTGGGCGGAGTTCCTTAATGCCGTGAGCGAATTGGCAGTGGTTACCATATGGGCATGCCCCTGTCTCTTGCCATTTGTTGCACAGCTCTGTCTTTGTCATCCCTTGGTTGTAGACCTCCACTTCTATTTCCTCCTCTTCCTGATCTTCTTTCTTCCCTCCTCCTCGCACATACACCTTTTGCTGCAAATTCATTCATCCAAAAATATCCACCATTACTCTCAACATCTATACTTCAAAGAAAGCAAAAGACTAGAGGGCAGATCATATATGCAGCTCCCTCTCAAGTAAAGTTTTTCCTGCATTTCATTCATTCATTCATTCATTCATCCACCAGTACTCTTTTTACATCTACAGTTCAAAGAAAGCAGAGTGATAGAGGATTCTGGTATCATCAAAAAAGGACAGATTTGAATCATGTACGTAGCTCACGTTCAACAGTTGATCAAATCCTAATACATATTTACCAAAACACTAAACCAAAAGTTCCTGCATTTCATTCATTCATCACCATTATAATAGGGCAAGCATATCTAGTCTAGACTTCACAGAAACCAAACAGCATCAAGCAGTGGTGTTATTAGTTTCTTAATGGTGCATTTGGTAATAGTGCTGCATTTGGTAAAATGGTACTGCAAAGAGTATTACCAAATGCAGCAGTCAAATTAACATCGCAACACAATCATATATTAACCCTACACCACCAAATGTACAAATGTTACAAGCAGAACAGTCAACTATTACCAACAGGTCAAATTCAACAGTCAAGATTCTCAATGATTCTATAAACACTAAACCAAATTCACTCAAAGAAGAAATATGCAGGTCATATTCAACAGTTAACTAATTCAAGATTCTCAATGATTACCAAATTCTCAAAGAAGAACTGACTCTAACCAAAAAACACAATCCTAAAGAAAACAAAGAAGCAATAGAAAAATACCGTCGTACTGAGTTGACCACCACAAGTCCCAGTCTTAGGTACGGCTCCACGAGATTTTCCAGACTGAGCAGCCCCAACACCTCCTTGGCTCGCCTTAGAGTAACCGCTAGATCTCACAGAGATGCTCTTTGGGAGCGAAGAACGGTTCATATCCTCATTCTCCATAACACTCGTCGGACTCTCATCACTAACGTCATCTCTCTTAACCGTACGGTTCTGGTTGTTCTGATTCTCCACTTCGTCGGCGTCGTTACCTCCGATGGAAAGATTGCTAAGCATCCGCAGCGGAACCCTATCGTAATCGAGTCTGCTCTGGATCGAAGACCTGATGAGACTGTTAAGCTCAGTCTTGAGGTGACGATTCATCGATCGGAGTTCAGTGTTCTCAAGACGAAGCGCTTCTGCTTCCAGCGAAGCCTCATGGAGACGCGTGTAACACAACGCCTCGCGATTCACCATATCTTGACGCTGCTGCTGCATGATGTTGCGACTCGATTTGTAGAGCTGATCAGAGAAGAGAGACGACGATACGACTCCTCCGCCACAGGACGAATCTCCTTGGGACTTCTTGATTCCGACGACACCGGCGTAGCTAAACGGCGCGATTTCGTTTGTCATCTTTCCCCCCGGTGAAAAGTTCCGGCAGTTCTGTTACACAATCGCCACAAGAAGAAATCAAAATCAATCGGAATTTCGAAATGAAAATGAAAATTTCTTCAAGGAAACGATGATCGGGAAGTTCAATTTCCGTTCAGAATCAGGTCACGTTTCCCGAGAAAAATCAGATCTAATTTTCCGAGAAAGATAATCACAGCAAATTCGAAATTCAAACGAATAGATTTCAAGAATCGGAGACGAAATTGACAAGAAAAAGCGATAGAAAATTCACCTGGAGTTAGAGAGAAAACGAAAGAAACTGCCGAGAAAATGTAGAGAAAATTTTCTTAGCTACTGAGAGAGAGAGAGAGAGAGAGAGAGATCAGAGATTTCGAGTTAGAGAGAGAAAACAACTCAAAGAGAAGAAGCTACAGAGTATTTATACACAGCCTTCTGATTCGCTTCGCCTCTTTGAGAGGGAAATTATAATCATTTAAAATAATTAAATTAAAAAAAGAGAAAATTAATGTGGTTGTTACGGTTATACAGAGAAGAAACAAACCAGAGTCTTCAAGTCTTTTAAGCTCTTGATTAATTACGGCTATGCCACTACATTTTTTTTTGGAGCATATGTTAAAACTTTATATTAAAATGATATAATCTGATGTAGATGATTTAAGAGGAGTGTAAGTGTTGTTATAATAATAAGTAGCTGGAGATACTAATAACATGGCCCAAGTGTGGTTAAGAGAATCATTTGTTTCAACTAATTGCTTGATTTTGAAGAGATCAGATTGGTCACTCTTTTTTTTTTTTCACTAAACTTGCAAGATAGTGGAACTTAAGCTAAAAAAAAAAGAAAAGAGAGGTTTTGCTTATGTATCACAACAACTATAACTAACTCTTTTTGTAATGTGTCTTGTCAAGATTCATCTAAAATAAAAACAGTACTAATTATGGTTCTGGTAACACAGAAGTTTCCCTATTTACACTGTTTCTTTCTCATCATTGTCAGTGTCATTGTTTGTTAAGTAACCTTTTGTGATTTTATCATTACTGATAAAAAGTCAATTCTGGTGATATTTGGTGTAAACCCTGTTTGTGATTACAAAAGTGGATGATGTTTAAGCAAAATAATCAGTTTCAAGATACACAGTTACATGCAAGAAACTGAGAATAAGATGAAGTGGTAGATTAGTGGGTCTTATGTACACAAGGCATGGTGCAATATCCAGTAGCTTAGTACTTCTTTGGGACCATACTAAGCTTAGCTTATTTCTCCTCCCTGAATCAACGAATATGCAAATTACAGTATGAAAAGTTTAAAGACATGTACTCTTTTTGTATGGCTATAAAATGGGAATTAAGTTCATCTATGTTAAGACTTACGCTCGTGCCCTCTTCTTCTCCTTGAGCCTTGAGATGGCCTTTTGACATGCATTGCTTGAGAGTGGGGAACAAAATGAGATTACTTGCTCTGAGTGATTGTGAGGGTAATCTGTTTCGCTACTTGTGAATGAGATAGATGATGAAGCTAGTGTAGGTGCAAATGTGGAAGTGTTGAATGAAGAAGAAAATGTCTTCATCTGAAACACATCAAAGGTATAGATATCTTAGGTTATGACAAGAAAGTATATAAAATGGTTGTAAAACCGATTTAGTGTAGAAGCTTTTCATCAAAACCTCGTTTGACTTGTCTAAGGAAGAAACAAAGAACATGTTGTTACTGTCTGCGATCGGCTCTGGATCAGCTTCAAATTGCTCTTCAAAGTTTCTGAAAGTGAGATCAATGTCAGGTATATGGAAGTCATCATCATCGCAAACGGTCTCTTCACAAACTCCAATGTCTTGTAGATTTTGATGCCACAACTGCAGGAACAGAGCTAATCTCATGTAACTAACTGTTCCACAAAGACTGTGTAATGTATGATATATAAACCAAACCTGATTGTTCTTATTATAAGGGCTTTTGCATTCCCAAAAGGAGTCACCAAGTGTGGAAGACGAGGACAAGTGTGAAAAATCGACAACTAGCTCTTTTCCGGTCTGCGGAAGATCAACTAACCGTTCTTCAGATTTCTTAGGAAGCTCCAATGGAGATGGATCAGCTCGTTCTGTCAAAGACAAACCATCCTTCTCTTCCTTTAGCTGAAGTTTCTCCAATTCAAGAATCTGTTCCAAGACAAAACCAGCTTCTCTTTGCACCTTCAACAATCAAAATCATCGGTACATTAGCTACAGAGAGATTTATTCATCTACAAAGCTTAAAAATATATGTACAAAACAACTAAGAGCATATGGCCTAGTGATTTGTTCGAGTGGGTTGAGGACTCGCCAAATAAATCAAGATCGTTGTGGTTTCCTCTTGGCCACTGTAGACGCCTTAAGGATTAGTCTACTGTCGACTTTTTAAAATCAAGAAACGAATATATATACAGATATACAAAAACAAGATTCAAACCTTGTTCATCTCGGATCGTCCCTTAGATTTAATCATTCGTAAAGATTCCTCTAACGAAACATTATCATCATCCATAACTCGAAAACCCCACATAACCGCGAAATCTCTAGCACGAGGACACCCCGTGTAACAAGCCACATCCCTTCTACGATGCGCAGAAGAGACACCACCACCACCACCATGGAACTTATCATTACATCCATGGCAAAGAAACATTCTATGGTCGAAACATCGAACAACACAAGGCTGGTTCTTACAAGAATCACATAAAACCGTGCGTAAATGCCGTCCAGATAATGAATTAGCTGAATGAACCTTTGCATCACATGTCAAACAAAGATTCGCTGCATCGGCTATACAATAAACCACTGCTCTATACGCTTTACAAAACTCGCATACTCTTTCCATTTTTTTATTGTCCATAACATAATAAAAAGAGATTCTTCGTCCCTGTTACATCAAAAAGTTTAAAACTCCATCAGACAGATCACAGAGATCGAACAAACAAAGGTAGATAAAACAAAAAAGAGAGGAAAAAGTGTTTACCGACGAGAGGAACTACAAAACCAGAGATTGGTAGTGACACAAAAAGCTTTAAGAACTTTCCTATCTGATAAAAGAATCCGTCGGTTTGGTTTTTTTTTTTTTCCTGTGTGGTTAGGATGACGTGGCTAAGCCACGTAGATATATATGTAGGACTTTTATTTTAAATTGGGTGATTACGTTATCCGTATGCACGTGAGAGATATGGGGAAGCCACGGACGTATCTAACACTGTGACAGCTTCTCTCTCGACCCATCATCTCTAAGCTTACCTTTTCCTAACCAATAAGTGAAAGCCACATGTCGTACCCAACTCCAGACCAAACAAAACTGCAAATATCCATTTCAGAACTAAACTTGAACTAAGAAGATAAGTTATTCAATGCACTTTTTAGGAAAAGAATATGTTAAAATTCTTGAAATTTTGTCATATTTATTTATTTTCTCAATGAAAAATGAGATAGCCGATGATTCCGTAGACATTTTGTCAGACCGTAAAGAAGCTTTTACTGCTTACACAATAGTAGTTTTGATTGTCATAAGTTGTCTGAAGATTCAAGTTTTTCAATTAGTAGTGAAAGCATAAACGAAGCTTAGTTGGGGATCAAAATGGTTCCAGTTTATCTTATATATTGTACATCCTAAACAAAATGCTGAATCTACTATCCAACCGATGAAAAGAGAGAAAGAAAAATTCTGATAAAATAAGAAAGGTCACAGATACACCACCAGATTTAGCAGAGATCCATGTTGATGTACAAAGCTCTGGGTATTTTACAAAAGTTGAACCGGATTGAGATTCATCCAGGTGGTTTCAGTCTGCTAAGAGCTTCACCACCAAGTCTGACTAGTGCCTGATTGAATCCAATCAAAGATAATATTGAGCATCATTGTATCACAATAAGACTATAAAAAAAAAACAAAAAGATAAAGACTTCATCAGTTACCTGTTTGTCAACTTTTTTTGGTGTGTACTTCGATCATATCATGATCCTCCATCTCAAGTTGAGAAGGAGTGGTCGATGGATCAATCTTATCACCGTCAAATAGAAATACAAGATTTTGCGGGTTAAGCTTAACTTTGTCTGCGTACATTTTGAAAACCCGCTCAAACTTCTCATCCTACAAGAATACGGGAAATACCAATCCCACATCAGTATACAAAGGCTTCTCATAATTTACACATTGAGAAGGACAGGAACTCAAATAAATCTTTCATTATTACTTTAGCGACCCCTCAAATAAGCCTCTAAGATCCAGACATACTTCTGAAAAACTCAACCCCTTTCAATATTTTCAATGATCTCTTCAATCCCCTAATGTTTTCCTGTATTACTCGTAATATCTAGCTATCTGGTAGTGAAGGTGACATAACAACTGACTCTTATGCCTACTTATCCCACATACAAACATTGCCTAGCAAGGTGCACGTTGATGAAAGGTTGGGTAGTGAGCCGCAACAAAAAACTTACCGCAAACACTCGGTATTGCTTCTTTTCATCTTTGTCCTGAATTGTAATGACAATCTTGGGCCTGTCAATCGTAGGCTCTGGTGGTGCCTCATCAGCAGTCTCTGAAGGAGGATTGAGTGATGCTTCCATTTCCCTTTTAGCAGACTCTTCAACTTCCTGCATCACATCTGCTACAGTTTTTGTGAATGACATGAGCTCCAGCTTCTTCGACCTACATTACATATCTCAAATTAGGAATATGGAACCAAAGTATTAAAATCAGACTCTTCATGGATAGTAAAATAAAAGTAGAAGGAAATAACACAGCACTCACTGAAATCATATCGACAGGGTGCATTAACAAACACTAAGATAAATGCAAGGTCTAAAGTTAACACTTTGTGGGAAAGTTAAATCAACAAAGAGCTATAAATTTGGAATAGAAAAAAACTACCTTAGTGCTTTAATAGTTGAATCTTCAACAGACTCTTTATTTTTATCAAAGATAACCTTTGGCGGTGGAAGCAACCAATCGTCATCACCTGTAACTTCGATTACATTCACAACATTATCTAACTTGTCAACCTACATAAACCAAAAACAAAGATTTGACATAAGGACTTAAAAACTTAAAAAGAAACACAAGCTGAAATAAGAACAAACCCAAAAGTGAATCAAAATTCCCTAAGGCTCTGCAACAACCCAATACCAACACTGCCTAATCTGTTCTTCTTCCCCATATTGTGGATTTAAGCTAACACAAAGACCTCACTCAACCAATTATAGAAGATCACTTCTTACAGTTTTTGAAGTTTTTGCTTTCTTTGGAATAGGCGTCACCGAGGCATTATCGTCATCATCGTCTACAAAGCGAGACAGAGCAATTAAGGGAAAAAAAAAAAACTCATCATTATTACTCTTACGCTCTCAGTCACCAAAATTAAAAAAGAACTGAAACCAAAACTCACCATCAATACAAACAAAATTCGCTGGCTGAACACGACGATAATCAAAAAGCGGCTCTAGATCTTCTCCTTCACCTCCCTGATCACACTCATTAATACAAAATTCAGAAAAAAAAAATCAGGAATCAAACACAATCTCACAAAATAAAAATTAGGGTTTCTGAAAAAATTAAGATCTCTATAAACCCCAGAAATTCTCACCATTGTGAATCTTCTTCGTCTCTCGATTTAGAAACCCTAGATAGATTTCGATTAGGTATTTTTGATTGGAAGAGATCGGTTTTTTTTAAGCTTCACGAGAAAACTCTTGAAGTGATTTTGAATTTTGCGATGGAGAGAGTGAGGGAGACAGAGGCTCGGCGATTCGATAGATGCGCGTGGGCCGTGGGAGGTTTAGAAATACGTAATGGGCCTTAATATTGGGCCGAGTTATGGTGTGAATAATCGCCGACTATAGAGCTATATCAACGGTCAACCTTAATTATAGAGTTTCTAATTTAAAGTCTATTTTTCTTGTTTTATAATGAATAGATTTTAGGAAATTGGATAATTAATTATATCTTGAAGTTTTATTTATTAGATTTTACTTTTTATGTATATTATTGTAAGGAAATTAAAATTTATTAAAGGAGAAAAAAACAAACACTGAATCAACAAATTTTATTCGGTCGGATACACACAATACATATTTTTTGATAAAGTGTTACAAAAAAGAGAGAGTTCATGGTTAGACCATCATCATTGGGAGAATCTTAGAAGTAAGATTTACCAAAGAGAGGATCTTATATAAGATATTTTCTTTGATAAATCTTACTTCTAAAATCCTCCCATTGAAGATGCCCTTACGTGACTGACGGTTGGTGACAGGACTACAGAAAACAAACCGAGAAATCATGACAAATTCGGTTTTACAAACTCAGACCAAAGCAAGATAACCGACAATAAAGAAACAAAGCGATTTCAGACTATTGATGGATCATGGAACCCTATAGCTAGCTAGTAGAGGACCACTAAGCTAGCTTATAGCAACTCCATTAGTATTGCTTAATGGTAAACTTAAGACATTGCTTATATTTATTTCATTATATTTAATGCAAAATCAAGCACTTTTTATAAGATTTGTTGTCTAAATTAACTCTTTAAGCAGAGGTTAAAGACCACTTATGAATTTATTTTAAAAAAATTAATGCAAAAAAATAAGTAAGCACTCTCCGATGGTGCTAACTTATATATTACCAAGAATTTTTATTTACGTGTTGTTACAACTTACAACATACAAATGAGTGGAAGATGATTAATGCATATATATACTCTTGTTTATGCCATCTTGTTTTTTTCTTTTGATGTGTGTTTCTTCTCCTATCTCTCATAATTAACTTAATATGTAGTCAATATCATAGTTTCATACATTCTTGTTTGCGATTCTTTTTTCTTTTTCTTTTTTGTCAAGAGTTTGTTATTCTTAAATCTGCGAAATTATATATTTTTATTAAGAGTTAAATATCTTAGTTAAAAAACGTAAAAGCATAATAGGAAAGCCATGAAAGTTAAATCAGGAGATGGAATCTTACCAATGAGATTATGCACCCAATCAATCATCATACGGAGAGGCCACAAAGAACAAACCCGAGTCCGAAGCCTATTTGGTAGATCATTGTCGTGGTGATGATGAGAGTGAGACCCTCCTTCGTCTACGTTACTTTCGGAAACACCTAAGTTAACCTCAAAGCGACAAATGGGACAAGTGTTGTGAATGTTCAACCAAGACACAATGCAGCTTGAATGGTACAAATGCATGCATTTCAACTCTTTTCCTTCCTCTCCAACTTCAAACTCCTCCTTGCATATCGCGCAAACCTTCTCTTTCGCCATATCCTCTTCCGTGATTGTCACAGTCCTTACAGCCTCGATGGCTGATTGCGAGGCCGGTGGTGGACCAATCTGTATACTAGGCATCACATCAGCGAATTCTTCGTCGGTATTGTAAGCTATATCATCATGATCGAACCGGTTACTTCTCGGTTGGTTGATAAGATGAAGCGTGATCCAATCTGTATCGCTATCCCAATAGGGCCGGCTTGGCCTCATAATGTCAAGCTCATCGTGAAGATTGATCTCTCTAGAACAGAAAGGACATAAAGGACCGTATAGACCAAAGCTGCTCAGCCTAATGGAACGGCTACAATGACGACAATAAAAGTAATGGAACGTTCTTGTTCTTCTTGTTCCATTAACAATGACTCTTGGACTATTTCGAGATGTCATGTTTCCAATCTTTTTATTCTTTTGTTGGTAGAATCTAAATATATGCATTTATACTTAAATACGTGTACATGTTTTTGAAAAGAGGCAAGACAAAGCCTATACGAGTGAAATGAGTTATTCTTTTCTGTGTCTAGGATGGTGTCGTATGGTCTCTGCTATGTCAACTCGCGAATCTTTGGTGATTTGTCTTGTACGAGTCCAAGATTTTTAAAAGGATGCTTGGAGAATCAATTACGACCAAGTGTATAGGTTTAGCTGAGATGATAGTTATTTTACCGGCCCATTATAAGCCCAGTCTAGATTTATTTTTTATTATATTTTTAAATATCTAAAATCTAGCTTATTTTGGTTACATATACTAATAAAAATTATTTAATATTAATACAAATAAATTTTGGTTGACTAATTTGAAGTAAACGTAACGTAGCCTAAAACTTGATATATACATACATACATACATAAAAAATAATCAAACATCTAAAAATATGGAGTTTTAATTTGGTATAGAACAAAAGGCACATTCATCATAACTTGCATACAAGGGTTTAAGAAATCGTCGTTAGATAGAAGAATCATGTTAACAATCACTTGTGCTCCATATATAACGAGCATTATATAGAAATGATCGATGTTTGATTTGTAAGACGATTCAAGGGACATTTATACTTAATCTAGGAGGAAGAGTGTTGAGGGTGATGTCTTTGCTAGTCTTATTTGTTTCAATATGATCCGATGAGTTGATCGTAAGGATACTCTTCATTTCCTTGTTTTTACCCCATAGTACAAGATATAATCCTCCCACGATAATCACTGTACCAATGATGCTGTAATGTTCCCAAATAAAACACAAACCATATTATATACATACGATACATCAAACCCATCTCCAAAAAAAACAAATACAATATACATGATCAGTTTTGTACCTCCCAATATGAAGTGTTTCATCTAGCAAAAATGATCCAACAAGGGCAACGATCACAAGTCCTATAGGGCTAAACACCGATACAAACAACGGTCCTCTAGACTCGACGCACCATGCGTTAACAGCTACCACCATCCCTGAAATCACAATTGCCTGCAATGTACAACTTATATGAATCTTAGACTCGTACTACTTTTATGATATATATACAAATATACCAACAAGTTTCTTAATTATTGAATGGAATGATATTTTACCGCATACGCAATGGTTAAGAGTCTAATATTCCATCCTAATCTCCATTCATACAAATCTCGCTTCCAGCAAAGAGCGACAATCATAGCCACTATGCCTCCCATCATGTTCATTAGTGTCGCGTTCCAATAAGGCCCTCCAAATTTTTTGCTTATCTTAACCTTTAATGTACAATACCCAAAAAAAGATATAATAACTACAAGCATTGGTACATGAGAGAAGAAAGCCGAAAAAAATAAAGGATAAAACTTGCCTGCAATAAAAACCAAAGTGAGATGGAAATGTTACCACCAAAAACTAGAAGAGCTCCAAAGACAGAGATATGGTGAGTGGTGGTACTAGCATCACGTGGTTGGCTCACTAGGTTAATGTGAGTTGACCATAGATGAATCTCTTTTCCTCTGTAGAATATAAAGACAAGAGCTCCACCAACACCAAACAATGTTCCAAACACCTTAGCCAACCCTACGCTCGACCCAAGCCGTACACTCTCCATCCTACATATAACAAAATGTGTCTTTTGTTTAATAATATAGTATCTAATGTATATTAATTAAAAGGTTACAATGAAAATGATAAGACGTGTGTCACTTGCCTAAGAAGTGCAGCGAAGATGAAAGTGATCAATGGAGTGAGAACGGCAGCAGCGGAAGTGAATGTTGCTGACGTTAGAGCCAGACCCGCTATGGTTAGGATACTCGGTATTACCACACTGTTCAATTAGCTAAGTGTTAATTTTAATCCCAATATTTATTTGTTTTATTCTCTTCCATTTTAATCAGTATTATCAAACTACTAGTTTCACTAGTATTTAAGTGTTATAGTCTTCTATGTTTTTGGTATCACGTTAATTAATTGGTTCTTAATGTAAAAAACCACTTGTTGATTACAATATTAATTGAAATGGTTGACACTACTAATTACAAGAAAACATTGCATTTTCCGATGGATATATATATTTCCGGCGGAATCACGACAGGTTTGCTTTTGGTAAGGACTAATTACCAATTTATATGCAACCAAAACTAAGTACCTGAAGACCTAGCTAGCTAGTGGGTATGTATTTTTGAAAAATCTTTCGAGACAAAAAGAATACATAAGCATATATACAACTTTGGGACACAAAAGAACAAAAAAAAAACGAACGAAGCTTTCAATTCAAGTTGGAAAAGTCACAAAGACATGAACACATATAACTTTGGGATAGAAGAGAACCAAAAAAACGGAAAAAAAAAAAAAAAAAAAAAAAAACTTATTTCTTCTTTGGTGTACATGTTTGTGAAAGTTACATACCCGAGTAACCCTGAGAGTAATGCTAGTAACATCAAACTCCATGTAAACTCTGGTTTCCTCTTCCTAATCGATCACATGGAGAGTTAAAAACGAAACACCTAATTAATAATATCAAAAGCATACAAACACAAACCATATTATATACAAGAAAAAGAAACCTTTGAAATATGAAGGACAAAGGAAGCATGAAAAGTGTAGCGAACAAGAGACGATAGGCCACGAGTACACTTGGGTTCATACCATCTTCCATCGCAAGCTTGAACAATATGTTTAACACTGCCGTAGCTATTTGAACCACTACCATTGCCGTTATACTTCTCATTTCTTTCCACATCTCACATATTCTCCCAAACATTTTTTTGTTTGTATTCCTTGTAGCTAGCTAGTTTCTTACCTCACACTTATCAATTTATAGATAGTGAGAGAGAGAAAGAGAGCACAGCTAGCTAAATGAGTTAAGTAACCCTGACTCTCCTCTCCTGAGTCCTGAGCCCCCTGAGCTTTATTTATCACACCAATACTTCACCTTTCCTAGCTGTGGTGCACTAAAATATTACTACCATAAATGAGTTATGTGATATAAATAGATGCTAAATTCAGATTCCGGAATATTATTATAGATATGTTATATCCCACCATTGTAAAGTTCTTCTAAACTCTTATAACTTATAAGTACTCTAATAACATTAAACTTATCTCATAAGCACTTAAAAAAAAATCTCCTCTCTACCACAAACGGGTTGTGAATCAAGAGAATATATTAACATATAACATGACGAACGCAATTTAAGATTTTGTTCTTAGCCTCATGATCGTGAACACCTCATGATCATAACATAAAGTATATATGTTACTTTACAAAGGAAAGAAATAAATTATAATTTGTCTTAATACCTTTTTAAATACAAACTAAAACGCAATGGAACAAAATGAGAATCCAGCAACCACACCATACGTACACCTCATTTCTAAAGCTCCACAAATATGAACTGTTGCACTCCACCTTATAATGCATAGAGTAGACGTGTTAGAGTTGATATTGTTACTTCACAAAAAGTAGAATTTTCAAAAAGTAATTATATATAATTTGTAGTTTACAGTCGTTATATACAAAAACTGATGATATGCATATAGGAACAAAAAAAAAGACAAGAATCCAGCAACGTGTTCAGATGCTGTTGACACGTGCAAGGCATGCTGTGCTTTTGTGGTGTTCTCCATTACGTACGTACCACTCAAAAAGGCTTGTAAGTTGTAACCATCAATTCTACTTGTAATTGTATTCTTATTTTCCCTAATACAGAGTGTTTTGAATTGTAGAGGGTCCATGCATGTAGCTAGTTCCATGCATGGCATTAGTATGGAAGGTATGAAAATATATATGCTTCACCCTTGGCCGTTGATTTTTTTGTTTATCTAAAGCTTTAAGGAATCTCTCATCTTTATTTCTATTCACGAACATAGTTCTAGTAACGTACGTCAGTTTTGTGTTATACCTTCAGTATACACCGGTACTTTTAAAGTTACAGATGAATAATTTATCTCTGACATATTTTACACTTTTGAGGTTTTTCTTTAGTGGAACAAACTTTTATGTGTATTCAGAAAACTTTTAAACTTTTATGGGTTCTAAAATTATTATTTTTCTTTCTAATATTACGAAAATAGTGGTTTCAGAAAAATTAGCTAGGACTTACTTACATTACATGAGAACTATATATATGAGACTGTGAAATTAATAAGGTTGGGGTTAAAGAAATCAACACAAGCAATGAGATGCTAAATCAGTGAATTGATAACATGTGTTTCTTTAATTAATAACATTTTAAAATCAGCTGTAAAACCATTATAACCTAGTTCCTGCCATTTTTGAAATTGAAATGAATGGATCAACCTTATTGAGCTCGTGAAGAGTGAGCATCAGTTCCAACACCAATGTCTTTAATTTCACATTGCAATACTTCTTCTCTCTTCATTCCCGAGTCATAACATACATATATATAGAAATGGTGTTGATAGTACAATAGTACGTAAAGAAATGGTGTAGTTAGCCCGTATTATTTTAGTATATATGATAATCATATTCTAGAGCCCAAATTTTAGTAAGTTTAGTAAACAAAACTTCTGAAATATTGCACACAAACCCAATATAATGAGGCAGGCCTAATGGGTGATGGATGGTACATATTATATGTTTGCCAAATTACCAACCTTGTCTATATGAGTAACTGAGTAAGTATAGAAGTGATGTTACAAGTTTGTTTTTGCCTTCACCCTTCAGGCTTTAGAATAGGCTAATCTGAAGTTGACACATCAGCCAATGTATACAATTAGTTAGAAAGTAATGTATAGGTTCAAATTATTTATTTCTTAACAAAGGTTCGAAGTATTATATGCTTGTTTCAACTACTTTATTAAACTAAACAACGTCTCTATCACTTTCTATGAACTCGATAGTGCATTTTAATGATACTCTATAGTATATACTATCTCTCTATGTAACAAGTAAACGAGGCACTTCCTCTCTAAACTCTCCTTCTAATTGGTGAAATCATACAATCGAGTTTTTCGTTGTATATTCCACATTCCCTTATCGTTAGAACTATACGGATTTCGGATTATAGGATCATCTTTACCATATTAATCATACAAATTAAGAACTCTCTTCTTGGTTCAATCTTGTAATCAATGTATACTTCAATTCTAGTTTCTTATCTTGTAATCAATGTATATATGTTTCTGCCTCCCAATCGGACCCTAACGAAATGACTGGAACAAATCGATTAAAATCATATCACAATTTAGTATGGTGGAAACTATTTATTTTGGTCATGTTGTGAAAAAATTATGTGTTTTTTTTTTTGATATATAGTATAAATTTAGTTTGTAAATTTTCAAATTTGATCATATCAACATTGACATCGAAAAAAAATGAAAATTGTACGCACATCAACGAAAATTGAACATTATATAATTTTCGTTTGTAAACTTATAAATTTGGTAAATTGTATTATAAGTTAATAACAAGTGGTATTTTGAAATTGAAATCTGAGTGATTGTTTTATGATATTTTGCAATCTCTATTTCTTTTTAGATATTTGATTAAAAACAAGATTTAACTATTTGAGATTTGTAACCATAATGCTTACCAAAAAGTGATGACAAAAAAAAAAAAAATGCTTACCAAAAAGTATATATGTACTATTATTTCATAATCAAACAATAATAACTTCTTTATTATTAAATGAGATTTTTGTTGTATTGACAACAAATATTTGAATATTGTTACTCAAATTTTTTATAAACCCATGGAGAAACTAAATTATTCTTAAACCAAATAAATATCGAAGTTCCAAAGCAACTCGATCGATCAAGAAAATTCCAATATATAGCCGAGGCTTTATAATTCGTACATAACAATTTTTTTTTTTTTATAAGAATACATAACAATTGACTCCAATTATTTTTTTCATAAGTCGCATATAATTGTAAAAGCATTAGTACGAACGGATCAGTTTATCCCACAATTATTGGGATCCTAAGATAAAATTTTGCCTATAAAACATGAATCAAAATCAAATTATTTTTTTTGTTTAACACATCAAATATTTTGTGCTTTCGACAACGAGGACATACATTGACATTATTATTATTATTATCATAGTATAAAAAATAAAATAAAAATGTTGTCTACTTGATAAAAAAAAAAAAAGTGAGGTAGAAGAAGAAAAGCATCAAATGCTTTATTATTGGGATTCGCACTGTTTACTAAATTCCACGATCTGCCAACCATCAATTTACTTCTTATTTTATTTTTTTCTTCTAATTTTGTAGTAAATTCCAAACAATTATTAAAAAAACAAAACCATATGAATATGTTCTTTAATCTTTAGTCTTATCTTATCTCCCTTCAATTAGGAAGAGAATCTTTATTTTTATTCCCATTTTTTCCTTCCAGTCAAAACAAAAAAATTCCTCTTTTTATTTTATTTCATTTTACATACAATTTATTCCTTTTTGTGTTAAGAAAATAATTAAATTTGGATTTCAATTTATATTCTTTTCCATGAAATTTGGTGAAAAGTCATCAAGTATTTAATTAATACCTTTTTCCATTATTTGTCTAAAAAATCCTCCATTGGCATAGAAGCTGAGAAGGCTGCTGTCAAATACAGAGAGGAGAAGAGAGAAACCAAAAACAAAACAAAAAGCAATTCCACAAACTTAAACAAACAAAAAAAAAAGTTGTGATTGGTAAAGAAAAATCAAATCTTTGGATTCTTCGTGAGAAATGAACTTGGGCTTGAGAGGAAGGTGAAGAAGTTTCAAGCTTTTTTCTTTTATGCTCTTCCATGGCGTAAGATGATTCACCTCCTCAAAGTTTGTATCTTTCTTCTTAATATCTGATCATAGAAGGGTTTCGGGTTTTTGCTTTGGGATTGAGCTTGGATTTGAAGGGTTTGATCTCTGATTGTTAAAGTTTCAATCTTTTTTTTTTTTTTAAGTTAGAAAATTTGGGTTTTGATGGTGTGAAGGGGTTTAGGCTTTGTGTTTGATTATGTGGATGGCTACTCGATCTAATTCTGGGTTCGAGTCTTTGAGTTCTATGATGAGCCGTCACGCTTTTGATTTCCAATCTAACAACTCTTCTGAGATGATTCCGATGGGTCCTTACTTGGGGATGAGTATGATCAATGCTGCTTCTCCTGGAACTTCTTCGAATCCTCTTGATTTAGTTTCTGCTCCAAAGGTTGATACTTCCATGGCTAGTGAATGGTCAACTGAAGAACAATACAAATTGGAGGATGGCCTTGAGAAGTGAGCCTTTTTTTCTTTTGGCTTTTAATGTCCTGTGAGGCTGAGATAGTTTTTTTTAGTTGAATTTTTGATATGACTGAAGGGTTGATTATGTGTTTTTGCAGGTACAAGGATAAGCCAAACATCATGAAGTATATTAAAATTGCGAGTACTTTGCATGACAAAAGCGTTCGAGATGTGGCTTTGCGGTGTAGATGGATGACAGTAAGCATCTCTGTTCACATATATGCCATTTTAAAGTTTCGTTTGACGGTTTTTGTAGATTTGTTGTGACCATTTTGCAGTCATGTAGTTCTAAGGTATAAAGCTTATACCATGCTATATGTGTCTATACATAGGTTCCTCCTAAACTACACTGCACAGAATGAAATGTTTTGGCTTAGGATGAAATTTTTTGGTCTTATTGTCCTTGAGTTGTATCAGTTGAGTTCTTGGGATGAGGATAGGGAGCATAACAGATCCTTGAAGTTGGAGTTTTGAGCAAAATATTCTCTTCTCTTATCTACTGAATTATTTCTTACTTCTACTTTTTGTCTTTGTTTGTTGATATACTTAATTTTGTTTTGTACAGAGGAAAAGAAGAAAATCAGAAGAATTAAATTGTGGAAGAAGAGCAAGTTCTAGCAAGGTATGTTGGCAATTCTTGCCTTTTGTTCAATTTTGATGACTGATTGAACAACAATTGAAAGCGACTTTTTGCAAGTTAGATTGAAAGATACTGCTAGGATTGAGATGGAATCAATTTGATATCTTTTGATAAACTGAGGTTTTTAGTCCAGAGGTGCTTTCTAAAAATATTTATATTTCTTCAGGACAAGCAGGTGGAATCGTCTTCTACATCGAGCATACCCTCTACTTTGCCTCATAACATGGCTTCGTACCCTTTCTCAATGCCCTCTACAAGCTCCAGTAAACAAATTACATGTGAAGGTTAACTTTCATTTTTATCTGAATTTGCAAACTACAGGTCTTTTTTCTCATTGACATGCACACATTCATATTATATTTTGTTTTCAAAAAGAGGAGGCAATACGTTATTTTGCATGGTGTATATATTATGATTCAAATATCGTTTGGGTATATGGATGATCTTCTTTAGTTAGATAAATAAGAATATAAGATTACAGGGGCCTTTTGTATTTCAATGAAACTTTTGATCTCTTGGGAGGGTGAATAAGATAACTGCGTCTCTAAAGAAGTTTAGTCTTGTAAGAAGCCTTTATGCATAGGTAGTGAAGTTGGTGAATTTTCTTAACTTTAGTGTCAGTTCCTCTGGATTGCATTCTTGTAAAACTGAATTGAACAGTGGGATCCATAAATACTTCCAGCATTTTGTCCATCATGTTGATGATGCGGAGAGGAATATCTGAGTTCATTTATGTCATAAATCTCGTAAAGGAGTATAATTTCTGCTGTATGTTTATATGGTGAAACTATATTGAAGTCCTCTATCTGATCCTCTTACTTTGTAAAGATGATTCCTTTAAGCTTTCTTGCATATGGAGTTTAGTTGAAATGTCAGTAATTTGTAGTCTTGCTATTTGTCCTTACTGATTATTTCGTGATTCTGTCTCAGATTTAAGTGGTCATGCAATAAGTCTCTTAGAACAGAATGTAAGAGCTTTTAGTCAAATTAGAGCTAATCTCTCCTCATTTAAGGTAAATTCTAGATTACTTTGTTTAAAGGAATGCAATTGTGTACTTGGCTTCTTGCTAAAACAGATGTCCTGATAATTGCAAACAGGTAGAGGATAACCTAGATCTCTTTCATCAGGCAAGGAACAACCTTATCACCATCCAAAACGAGTAAGTTGATACTTATAACATTTTCTGTAAGTTTGGTGGAGCTTAGTGTACTGATATCTTAATTTGGCAGCATGAATAATATGCCTGGCTTGATGAACCAGATGCCACCATTGCCTGTCACAATCAATGATGATCTCTTGGTGAGTAATTCAACTTTGGTAGTAAGTTAATAGGCTGCTCACTTTTGCATTAACTCTCCATTGTGTTCGATATCAAAATGTGCACATCACTCTTCGGCTTGTTTAATTTTGAGTTCAAACCCCAGATCTCTGGTTTCAGAGGCTCAAAATATATACTTATTGTTCTTTTAATTAGCCAAGTATCTTAAGACCAGTTTTTTAATGTTTTGGTTTGAATATTAGTCTATTAAGAGCAAATATATAATAATAATAATAGCTTCCCAACAGTTCTCTTTGGCGATAGCAATGACTTTGGTTTCCTTGATTTGTACCAGGTGTTGCCATTCAACACGATGCAAATTGGTGGCTTCCATTCGAAGCAGGAGCCGTTGGGGTGACATAGGAAATCATCTGATTTCCCTTAGTTACCTGTAAATTATCTTAAAGAAGCTGGAGGAGACGAAAGATTAGCTCATCACATGTTGCGAAGTTTGTAGAAATGTGATTGTTTCGTAACACCAACGATCTTTATTAACGCTGCGCTGGATGTTGAAACAGGACATAATATAAAGAATGGACGGGTCATGGTCCTGGCTCCAAACTAAAAACCCTCTTAACTAGGTTCTATTAGATCAACTTAGTTCATTAATGTCTTGGAGATGTGTAAAAAACAAGATTTCTATTGAAGATAGAGAAGTAAGAGCGTGTGTTGAGGTTTGCATCTGTAATCTTTTTGATAATTATGGTGTGTTATTTTGGTACCCATTTCATTTTAACATGTCAACACACCCTTACATAACATAGGAAGAATTAAAACAGTACCTTCAATTTTGTATGTACGAAACACAAGTGATACGAAACAAGAACAAGGCATAGGCAAAGAATCCATGATGACTTCTACTAATAGAAGAATAATGTGACCAGAGGAGTAAAGCAGAGTTGACGATTTGAGAGACATGAAAACTCTACATCATCCAATTTAATCGGTTTTGGGAAGATGAAACATGATCTCCTCTAGATGGACCATCAAAGTTCAAGCTTCGTATGGTTCGGTTGTTGCTGCTGCTGCTATTTTGTGGGTATGTAATCAAGGAGGAGTCCATGATTGGAGGAGTTTGATGATAATAGGAAGAAGGATGAGTGAGGTTGTCGCTGGAATCGAGTAACAAGAATGGAGAAGTGGAGGCAGTAGATGCCATGGCTGTTGCTCCGACCGGAAGTGGATGGTTATGTGTTCCTTCGTAGGTTGTTATCAGTATTGACATGTCTTCTAAACACCTTTGCACCTTCACCATGCAACAACTCATGATTAACAATTAACTCTATATACACATAGTTTCATATTCATTCAAATGTACGTAGTTCTGACATGCTATGAATTTTGCATTGAACTATGGATCTATAAAATACTACATTATCAATAACTTGATCTAAAATGGTCCCCAAACATTAAACTATATAATATATCGTTAATAAATAAATTGTAAGACCCCGGAATTTGAGGGTACGTACGTGCAATAGAACTTTTCACACATCGTACCTGTTTCCTAACGGGACACCCTGGAGCCACGGTGCATCGGTAATAAGCTCGTGGACATGGATTCCCTTTTGCGGTTTTCTGACCATACTTTCTCCATTGGCATCCATCATTCATCTACACATTCATCTTTCTTATTATAAAGATCATGTTACCAATCTCCAAATTGAGTCCAAGATATGAGAGATAAAGAAACACAAACTCACAGTTGCGGTCTCACATCTCGCCCTCACAGACACCCTGGCCTTTCTATTCCCTTGAGAAGATGATATGATACGTGGTCCATTCATATCTAAGCTGTTATTATTGTATCTTTGTTGATGAGACTGAACAGCTTCTTTGCTCTCTTCTTGTTTTTGCTTTTTCTGTAAAGAAAGCGAAAGCCCTAACTCTCTTTCCACGGATGGAGATGTCTCAGCTCCTCTTTTCCGAGCCTTACTTGTTATATCCACATACCATTTTCCTTTTGCTCCAAGGAACGTTTCAAGACCCTAGGTTAAAGATTGAGTATTTACATGTTAATAATATCAATTTATTACCACACGTGTATGAGACGTAAAGTTCTCTCACCATCTTCTTGGTTTGATCGATAACCGGGAATTTCATCTCCAGATGGCGATAATCTTCAAGGGTCTGCTCGACAAGCTTCCTCAGCCTAGTATTCTCTTCTTTCACACTTTCCATCTGGATCTGTAGCTGCAAGAGCTGATCTCCCTCCATAGATGTTAACGTATTTTCACACAAATTATGGAAATATATAATATCTACGTACGTAGGTACCTCTTCACGTTCGTTCTCTTCTTCCCGGGTTCTTGAACCTAAACAAGAATCTTCTTCTTCGTCTTCTTTCACCATTTGTTCGTCTTCATCACCACTAGCATCATGCTCTTCGTCATCACCACTATGTTTTGATTCTTCTTCAATATTTTTCTCTTTCTCCTCGGCCTCGAGCTTGAGAGAAAGATCGATCCCCATCAACGGAGATGCAAATTAGACTGCTTTGGATATTGAAAAGCTAAAGTCAAATCCCATTTTCTCATCAGAATATATCGTTTACTATTTGTATTATTCACTCTAGTACGCATCTAAAGCTAGCTTTGACTTTCTTTAAATAATGATCAGTTTATATCTTTAAGAAGAAACTAAAATCCATGTTACTTAGTAAAGGGCTTGATTTTGGTCTTTGAAGCACTTAAACCGGAGTTACGATGGAATCATGACTTTGGTTACCATCCTAGTAGTCATATAAAAGTGTATACATATATTCCCCTCTTCTATTTTATACATGGTTTGTTTATTATTGACAATTCGTAGCATTTTTTAGTTTTGTCATTTCAGTATATATATGAAGCATTAGGTTCCACGAAATTTCCAGTCACATGGATGGTAACATGTGAAAATACACAAGACCATCGACGTGTGTATTTTTTTACATTGATGTGTTTATCAAGTGCTAGATGAAATAATCTCTCTTGAATTAGAATTATAATTATATCGGAGGACTAAACAATCCAAGCATCCAAAATATTATACCGACTTAGATTTATATATATACACAACCTTGAATAATTTTGGTGAAGTTGTTTTGAAATCTTCAATAGAGATATCGTCTTAAAGTCAAATGGTATTATGATGAGATTAAAAGTTCGGAAAAAAAAGAAGAAAGAAATTAAGAAAAAGCTTAATTATAATAGTAATTGACAAAACACCACATGACGTTGTATATCCGACAAAGTTTAATTACATAAGCGAGCATAGCCCTAATCTAAGTCGTATTTGTTGCGGTTTACTGTTTAGGTTGGCGAAATTTTACGTTCATCATTTGGATTGAACAATAGATGTCAACCATATATTTGTGTTCGACTTATAACCTTAAATATATATAGATCTTTAATCTTTTCTCTTGTTTCAATAATATATAAATATATATATATATATATATATATTTATATATTTACACAGTTGATGTGTTGATAGATTTTATGACATATATGAAGCTCAATAGCTCATGAGCTTGATAGATTCTTTTAACGATCTTTTTTGTACGTGTCGGCACCTAACTTGATGGCGAGAACGTCGAAGTATGTGATGTAAACAATAATAAACTATGGTTTACACTTACATAGTATACAAAGAATAAGAAAGCCATGTCATTTCATTTTAGTTAGTTCGTTTAGGAAGAAGTCTATATGACATGCATGTTTATTTGTTTTTATTATCTCTAACGTGAAATTCAAATTATTATTTTTTTCGTACGTAAAAAACCCAGAACAAGATACGTTTGCCTTGGGATCGGATCTTAAAAATAGTCAACTAGCTAGCTAGAAGACTTATAACTTTTTATTATTTTTCATACAAACTCTCACTTTCATTTTATATTCACATGCATATTTATATAATTTTTTTTCTTACCAATAAGTTTCAGTTAGCTAGGCCTTTGTTCCATAAATTTGTTCGGTAGATATATTAGATAGCCATCTCTCGCTCACCGAAGCAAACTCGATCGTGACTATTATCAAAATTCACCCTTTAGATAGACATTTAGATATGAGGGTGCAATTTAACACAATCAGGTCAATCCTATACATATAAATTGCTGTGTTACGCAATGCAAAATGTATAAGCATGTAAAAAAAACTATGCATATTTTGTTTTACTTACCTTTCCAAAAACGAGCTTTGTGTTAATATATATAGAAATATCATATAGTATATTATACTATATAGTAGTGGATGCATGGGACAAGAGAGGAAGCGGCGCCGCAGCCATATCTCCCGTCCGAATTTTATAATTTACAAACTAGAAAGAAAGGTCAAATGCATTTCCTCTCTCCTTTAGTCCCTATATATAGTCAACCTTCAAATAAGTTCACAAACTTCGTAAAACTAGAGATTGTATTCTCTAATAGGATTCTATCTTAGTAATGATTTGATAAACCAAGTATATATATGATCAGCTTCTTAATTAGTATCGTTTATATCTAATTATATATTGCACAATATTTTTCCTTTCGTAAGTAGACTTCATGGAATGTCATCTTATATATTACTTTAGATTTTTTTCTCAAAGTTATAGTTTCTTTTTCTGCTAATGATACTACATATAGCTCATGCATGTATATAAAATGTAACATTACTACCACATATAAATCATCACTTCGCTTCCACAAAACCTATCTCATAGTCATATCAATATCCAAAAGTTTTGTTATAGAGGTGCTGTCTGATCTCTAAAGTTGAATCTCTCTCTACTGTGTGATACGTATTATATGTATGGTCCGTTTTCAGGCCCAATAGTCAATCAAAAATAGGGCCTTGAAAAACAAAAAGGCCTTTTGAAAACCATGGGTGTGCGCGTCAGTCTTACGCACTCTGCTGGACGCGTGGAAGTCCTATCTCCACGACACGTGACGTGAGGAAAGAGAAACTCCGATTCCAGAGCTTAGTGGAGCCGTGGAGACGCTTCCACGCGAATCTCGCACTCCCACTCGTCTTCCTCGTCCCTCTCTTCATCTCTTCGTTACCTTACCTCTCTCGTTCACTCGCTCGCACGCTCGATTCAGGTCTCTTCGTCTTCTTCACGCTGCGTTTCGAAACCCAAATCCCTAAAGGTGAAGTCTTTGTTGCCTTTCGTATTCCTTATCTTCGTTTCTACTCATTTCGTCGAATTAGCGATCTGGGTTGGTGGATATTTTCGCGGATTTTAGTGGGTTCGTGTTAGATTATCATGGTTTTGATGTAAAGTTTCTGAATTTTTGATTCGAACTTAAGAAGGTCACTGGAAATTTCGGATTTTTTGTGTAGCTATGACTTTTCCGATTAAGGATTTGGTTCATGGGTCGTTGAAAATTTGTTGGAAATTGTATAATAGAACTTGTCAGGAACCATCTAGGTATTTCAATTATTTTGATTTCCTGGGTAATAAGGATCAGGGTTATGTGAACATTTCTATTTTTTTCTTATAACCTTGCTTACATTTTTATATAAATTTCTCTGGATCTGAGATGTGTCAAAGGCCTTTGCTCCATGTGGCTTAGATTAGATTCTAAGGTTTCTCCTTTGTTATTTTAATAATTGATTCACTGTCATGTCGCGTGAGTTGTTCGGTGAAGCATGTTCCTTTTGGTTGTCTTGTAACATGTAGGCACACCTTTTGTTATTTTTATATTTCACGTTACGTGATCTTATTAACTTCCATTTGATCAGATGCGACTTCGTCTCTTCATCTGTTTTTTTTTCCCATAAGTTTTGAATTTGGTTGCTGAGAGTCTCTAGTCATTGTGTTATCTTGGGAGTTTGAATTTCCTACTTGGCTTCCAAAGTTGTGAGGTATATTGCTTCGATTGTTTGATCTCTTTATCGTTTGGTTTAGTCATTGTGTTCTTAGAGTCTAGTCGATATGTTATCTTGATCTATTTGAATTACCTTACTTTGATCTCATGGTATGATTTGTTCATCATGCAATTCCAGTGATATTTGAGTTCAACAAGTTTCATTTTAGCCATCTTTTTTGAGTGGATATGTATACTGAATGCATTCATTCCGAGGAATAGATTGATATTGTTACTGCTATTGATCATTAATGTCTATTGATTTGTTGTGATTCTGTAAAATTTATGGGGTTTATTTGCTATTGATGCAAGATTGTTCGATATCTATTATTAAATGCATATGTGGATTGCTATATTCAAGAAGCATCACTATTACATAATTCCTAAATCAGAGTGTGGGATCATTCATAAAGAAATATCTCCTTGTATTGTTTCAAACTTTTATATTGATAATTTTTTTCCTAATCTTTTGCGTCTTTGAACAGGTTTGATTTTGAGATTATGGCCAAAGCTAGGAGAACAAGACGCAGGCTTCCTTCCCGACGCTTGAGGGCTAGAGCAAGACCATACAAATTTCCATCTTCTAATCGGCGTGTGGGAAGGAACATGTTTGCAGATGATTGTTCAAAGTGTCTAGAGAAGAGGGACTGGGAGAATGTTATATGCTCGGTTTGCATGGAGTGTCCACACAACGCTGTTCTTCTCCTCTGCTCATCCCATGACAAGGGATGTCGTCCTTACATGTGTGGAACCAGTTTCCGATATTCCAATTGCTTAGATCAGTACAAGAAAGCCTCAGCTAAGCTAAAGTCATCGAGCCATCAACAGATCAATAAATCTGAGCTTGGAAATCTGACATGTCCACTTTGTCGAGGCCAGGTGAAAGGTTGGACAATTGTACAGCCTGCTCGTGACTTTTTAAATCTTAAGAAGAGGATCTGTATGCAGGAGAACTGTGTTTTTGCTGGAACGTTCAAAGAGCTGAGGAAACACATGAAAATGGACCACCCTAGTGCAAAGCCGCGTGAAGTGGATCCTGATGTGGAGCAGAATTGGAGAAGGCTTGAGATTGAGCATGACCGAGATGATGTTATGAGCACGATTAGGTCGACTATGCCTGGTACAGTGGTGTTTGGGGATTACGTGATAGAAAGGACCAACACTGATGGTTCAGATTCAGATGAGGGTGATGGTCATGGTCTTGGTGGGATCGATGCTGTACTTGGTAGGAATCTTGTGAATGTCTTCCTTTTGTTGCACGCTATTGGGGCACCAGGGAATCATCAATCAAGGCGCTCTGATTCAGATCCGAATGACTCGACAACAATCAACCACGGAACAAGTGAGATGAATTTCTCTGGAGAAGAGGAGCAAGAAGAGGAGGAGGAGAGGCATAGTAACAGTAACTCTTTGGCAAATCGAATGAGGCGACAAGGACGCATTCTGCTGGGACGTTCAGGTAGAAGACGTAGAGATAGAGAAGCTAACCAGAACACAGGTCATCCTCCTAGATGAGAGATTTACACGGATTCAAAACAAAACCCATTTGTCTGATTCTGGGTTCCAGGTAAGTTTTATGGTAATGGTTAGTAGGTACAAATGTAGTTTCGTTAAGTTTCAAAACAAACACACACAAAAAAAAAAAAAAGAAGGCTTTTGGCCTTTCTGCTTTCACCATTGGAGAATTTGGGGATTTGACTCCAATTTGTTTTCATGTGCTCTTTTAATGGCCAGAGAAGCAAGCAGGCTTGCAATCCCATTTCTTTTCATTGTATTCTGATGTAACTCTTTCTGGGTAGAAGATGATATTCACATAATATCTATCTATCCTTTTGTGAATAAGCATAATTAGTGATAATGACCAAATGAAGTCTGTTCACAAATTATGAATGGTGGATCATGTTTCCTTGTGTTTATAAGTTCCATCAGTATGTTATGCTTTTGTTCGTCGGTATCAAGACTTTAACCTTGTACCGTTGGTGCAACACATGAGTTTGGTTTACATGTTCTTGATTTGGTGCTTAGTGTATTATTATTATTGAGAAAACGCAATAAGCAACAAAAATGGTTGGGGCCATAACTCTTACTATGCTCTCTCACTCTCTATCCATCTCTCATTTTGTTTAACTGGTCGCTATCGAGTTTCTTTGTCGTGTCCCCAATTTTTTGGGCAAATTACAGAACCAATAAATTGTAATTGTGAACAAATTGACAAAAATAAAAAATTTATAGAAGAGACTCAGATGGGTTTGGAATTGAGCAAAAAGTGGCATCCACCAAAAAAGCAACAAAAAGAAATAAATATGGAAGATAATGTTTTAATGTGAAGATTTATCACCATGTTCTTGCTAGCTTACATCATTTTTTATGGATATTCAAATTAACAAAACTATATACAGTCTACAAACTATACACTATGGACTCTTTAAGATCACTCAGCCGAAAGCGTTATCGAGAAGAGAGAGAGACAAAAAAAAAAAAAAAGAAGAAAGAAGAAAAACGTTTTAGCTTTTTAAAAGTTTGAGGTAAGAATAAAGTGTTTTACTTTTATAAGTGTCGGTATCTTTATGAAAATTTTAGCATTATATTGTCTTTTCTTTTTCATTTTTGCGTTTGCATAATTTGGCATTATTATTGATAAATAGTAGTATTAGAACTTAGAAGACTATGTGTGTTTTTTTCCTTTTTTTTTTTTTTTGGTAATGATCATTCACGTACGTTCTTCTTGGTAAAGAGAGAGATATGCATGAGAAATTTTTTAAAAAATGATGATAGCAGCTTTTGTACTTTTGTTGTTATGTTTGCGCATCATGTGACATATAAACGAACCAATCCTATGAGATTGACGACACCCACTTGAAACATATATACTACTCATTCAAACTACAATATGATACCTAAAGATACTTTAGTTTGATGATAGACCACACTTCACTTTGAAATTGGATAACATAAATGGTTTGTTTCCCCTATCAAAAAAATAAATAATAGACAACACAAGTAATTAATTATTATATACCCCAAGAGTAACAAAAATCTGATTATGTAAAGTTAAATATATCATTATAGCACTCCATTATTTGTTTTTCCAAAATAGCTATATATCAATTCTATGTCATGATTCAAATCTTGTCTTATCAACTACTATATATATAAAAGACGAAATAAAGGTTGTGAAAGAAACGAAAATTAGATAGGGCCAATGACAAGCCTATTAATATTTCTGTAACAAAAAAAGAAAAGAAAAATGAAGTTAATATATTAAAAGATTTTGGTGTGTGTGTGTGTGGTAACGATGTGACATGACCGCATAAAAAGAGAAGAGAAGGAGAAGGAAATGAGAGCATGGAAGTGAGTGAAGAAGAAAGAGAGAGTGAGAGAGTGAGAGAGACTGATGCCTGACTCCTAACCATTTCTAACCTTTGGCACTGAAATCCATGGCCTTCTTTATTTTTTGGTTGTATTCTTATTATTATTATTATTATTATTATTATTATTTGTATCGTGTAAAAAATGAAACGACACCCACTTCTTCTCTTCTGAAAACGACTCATCTCTTCTCTTCTTCATATTTTACATTTTACATATAGTACTGTATATTATCTTCTCTTCTCACATTGATGATTCCCACTATTGCATGAATGGGCAGTTGATGAGCATTTTTGTTAGTTTTGTTTCCTCCCAAACTATAGCAAATGGTCCTTCAGATGTTTGTATCAAGAATAATGTCCATTTTGGGTCGCCACTAATAGTAGAAACTGATTATGTACATCTAAGTACATCTATTTAGTTGTAAATGGTGCATAGTGTAAAACAAACAAATATATATATAAAGCTAGCTAGTACATATGAAAAAAAAACAAATATCTAGTACGATAGATATGATGAATACAAAGCTAGCTATATAAAAAGAAAAAAGAAGAAGCCAATATAAATACATATAGAAGAAAAAGTGGGGATTGGGTAGCTTTAGTTGAATCTGAACTAACCACCACACATGCATGTGTCAAAGCAGCAGCAGTAATGCTTCATCAGGATCAGTCCTTTTCTTTTCTGTATTACTCTCCGACATACATGCACACTTGAAGTTTAAATACGCTCTCCTTTCTTCTTATTTAATGTCCCTCATGACTCCTATAGCTTTTTTCCATGTTCACGGCCAAAAAGAAAAAAGAAAAAACAATAATACTTAATAATGAACACCACTCATATACTTACACACTATCGTATACATTGTTAAAAATAGGGAAATTATTCTTTCACCAACCCTCGTTTTCTAGGTTTCAAAGTCAATACTCTTACTACAACATTCAAAAACTTACTGACCTCTTTTCATAGTAAATAGTAAAATGTACATGTACATAGCACTTTCTTACTGTTTACTGTTTGTGTTGTACATATTGTTGTTGTTCTCTTAAACTTTTTCTCACTTTTTGTATTTCTATGTAATTTCTGCTCAAAACTTGAGAAAATAATATATCTATGTACTAACATATACTTCCTTAATTCCTTTTTTCCAACTCACATATACTCCTTATATTATCAGTATGTGTATATTGCATTTGCATATGCGGGTGAAAGAAATAACTAATGGTAGTAGTTTTGTTTTTTACAGCATAAGTAACGAATGATAGTTAAAACTTTATTTTTTTTGTCAACATGTACTACATATCAAATTCAAATTCCGAATACACTAACCATACGTACCAATACAAACCACACCCACTTGATTACAGATTCTGTTCGCGTAATAATGATTATAAGCTTTTTCTTAGAAAACGACGTCTACTATGTAGTATTTCAAATTGTAGTACATTTTGATACCATAGATAGTGAGGCATAATTATAACCTTGGAGGAAATATTTTTTAAGAGTATTCAAGAGACCCACATGGCAACCATGCAAGCGTTTAATTTGTAGTTATGACTCGCACCAAATAAAATATCTCTTCTTTAATTTCGCCATGATTTTTTTTTTCCTTTCTAAATTTTTCTTGATTCTAATAATGATTGATTGTAAGATACTATAAAATTTTGTATCTTTATGTGAAACTGAACTTCGTAATATCCTTTACTTTGCTATATATTGTTCGAACGAGATTAGATATGATACTGTTTGTAGAATAAACTAAGTATATTTGTATGGCATAATATTAATAAAGTTGCAAGAGAAAAAACTGATAAATTACATTTTCTATATAGTAAGAAAAATTAGTAAATATATTTTAATCAAAACAATTTTTGTTTTCATTTGGTTATGAATTGCAAGTTTTTTTCTGATTATATAGTAACTTTTGATGAAAAAAAAAATTTATATAGTAACTTTAAAAAATACTCTAAATGTTAATTTGTCTATTACTATATATATTAGTTCATGCAAATTGTTGATCGAGATAGAAATCCTAAATTTTATATATCAAATACTATATATGAATAAAGGTTTGCTTTACAGTTCCTTTTTGTTTTTCTGTTTTGCTTAATCAGATTTCTAAACTTTTAAATTGCTTAGTCAATGTAAAAAAAAAAAAATCTTTGTACAAAACTAAAGTCTAATGGAGATTTTCATACGAGTCTAAGTTTAATTATATAGTGTTTGAACTACACATGAAACTGTAAGGGTCAAAAGATACCTCATGATATTTTGTCTTTTACGTGAAAAGATATGATTTCTTGTTTGGTCACATTGAGACCAAAAACATACAAAATCTAGATAAAATCTACAAACTAATCAAATTAAATTTTACCATCCAACTTCAATAGACGTTTACAAACTACAGTCTACACGTACGCGAGAGATATGGAGGCAATAGTTTCTACCTGAGAATTTTACTCATTTGACCTAATCATTACCCCTTGCATTTAATGCAACTATTTGTGGGAATTGGTAACGTTTTTATTTGAAATGGTGCAGCTAACTAATAAACGTATTTGTTTGAGAATTATAACATGTTTATTACATTAACCTAGTTACCGTATCCAGCAACCAACAGACCCAACACATTGGTACAACAAAACTCTTATCTTCTTTGGTTTTGTTTGAGAAAAATACAATCAAACCCAAGTGAATACCCAACCCTGGTTACCCACAAACCAAGAAAATATATATAAAAAACCAACGAATATCAAAAGATGATCTTCAATTCCAATCAAAGAAACGAAAAAAAAAAAAAAAGAAGAAGAATACTTTTTTTCCTTTTGTGTTCTCTCTTCCAAGGTCTATGAAGATGCTCTATCACTTGCCTTTTCCCCTTCGGTAGTCGCTGATGACACGTAGCTAACGGCGAGAGACGTGCTCTCATCGGTACAATGCGGCTGAGGAGGAGGAGGAACCAAAGCAGCTGGGGCTTGAAAGTGTTGTTTGCAATTGTGGCAAGTGATTTGCATCATCGTTGCACTAATCCTTCTACTTGCTTCTTCTCTAAAAATCTGAGCCTTGTGAAGCTCAGCTCTCGCATGTTGCCTTATTCTCTTGGCTTCAGCAAACTCCATCTCAGCTATTTCAATCTGCCTCTTCACTTCTCTTCTCGCCTCCTCCGTTTCCATGCTCGTCTCTCCCTTCTCATAGCTCTTCCTCTCAACTTCAGACATTGTCGTCTGATCCAACGTTCCTATAGACAGACTAAGACTGGTCTCATCAGCACTATACCTCGAGGGAAGTAGCTGAAGCTCGATGCTATTGCTACCATTAGTAGCGCACGAGGAAACGAAAGGATAGAGCAAAGATGATGGTTGTTGATCGGACGGTGAAGATTGTGTTCTTTGTAAAGGATGTCCAGACAATATATGACCAATGGAGAGGTCAGCGTTTTCGCTGTCATCCGCGGTTGAAGCGGTTTGTGTAGTAGCGGTCGTGGTACGTTGCTGCTGTGGTAAACGGTGGTTGGAGGGTTGGGATCGGCGTACGGTGCAATTGTCTTGATGCTCTATGAAACTCTCCACTCTGATAAACAAAGATTGTATTATATATAAGTTAACCAAAATGGAAAGTAGAAAGGAATATTTGTGTCTCGTAGCAAATAATATAAAATATAATCAAGTTAGTGGAGTTAGGTATCTTTTGGATTATATAAGTATGAGATGCAAAGACTTCGAGGTTTGGTATGGTATATACTTAACAAAGTGAGATAATGAAAATCTGTGATATGGGGTCAACGTAAGTAATCAATACAAAACATAGTTCCTAATTATTAAATTAATGACAACAGTCCAGACAAAACCTCATCAGGTTCCATTAGTGACGTTGTTTCAAGATCTGTGTGCGTTATCTATAATCAAAACTTGTACACGCCATACTAAGAAAAAAAAAAAACATTCTTTCGATTTACTTTAAGGATTCGAATATTTATATATATATATCTCTCTTAATTCTAAGTATATAATAAAAAATAATAATTAGTAAGTTAGGGTTTGGTGCTAAGGAATGGAACCTGGAGAAAACACGGCCGCAGTCACAGGAGTGACCACGAGTGCCACAAGTCTTGAGATGAGCTTTGTAATCAGATTGAACAGCGTAGCCTTTTGAGCATCGCTCGCAGATCCATTGCTTGTGGTTGCTGTGTTTTCTCCGGAAGTGTTTCTTGATTCCCACGAGATCTCCGAGCGCGTGACAAGGGTTGTGGTGGAGACATGTCGGTTCCGGACAGACGTAGACTCTCTTCTTTACTTCCTCGTTGGTCTCTCTTTTTAGAAGCTTCCATGGAACTTTATGTCGTCTCCTGTGCATCTGTAGATTCTGGTCCCTTTGAAACCCTTGGTTACAGATCTCACACACGTACCGATCCGACTCTAGTAACGTTCTTGGTGATAAAGATACCACTTCAGCCTCTGGATCTGCCGCAAGAAAAATAAAACTATAATCGAATTGTAACCAAAGTCCTGAATCTTGAAAATCTTGAACGGAATAAAAATAAACCTGGTGTCCCGGCGGGTCTTCGTTTCCGTTTCTGAGTAACGGCGGCTCCATTACCGTCGGGAAGAAGATCGGAGGAAGATGAAGAAGGAGGAGGGTTCCGATGATGATGGTTGTTGATGTTCTTGGTGGTGTTATTGCTTCTCTCGTAGTCTATCATCGGATGAGGTTTTTTTTTTTTAATCTCTCTTCTTTTTGTTTTTTATCTCAAGACAGTGTGGTTTATAGTGAGAAGAGTAATGTGACTAATGAAAAATAAGAACAAAATTGAGGAATCTTTTGTTTTTCATGTATTAAAGAAAGAAGAAGAGACTGTTCTTTTTTTTCTTTTCTTTTCTTGTGTGTGTGTGTTTATGTTTCCTTATTTGTTTGGTAGAGAGAGTCCTCAATACTCATCTTTACTAGTAGAAGAAGAAAAGGTAAGATGAGTTAAGAGAGAGAGAGAGAGAGATATAAATCATCTTTATTTTTATTTTATTTTTCATTGCATAAAGGGAAAAGCTTTTTCTATTCCCTTTTTACTCTATTCCATCTTTTTATAATTTTCTTGGAAAAGAAAAGAAAAGATAAAGAAGAAACTTTCAATTATATTGTTAATTGTTTCATTGACCTCTCACCTTAGATGATGGAGAGAAAATGCATTTGTATGGTCTTTGGTGCTTCAATCTTCTTCAGAGTAGTTATGAACCTCTCTCTTCTCTATCTGTACACTGTTTGTTTTACAAGCACAAAAACATATATACGAAGGAGAGAGAGAGATAGAGAGAGAGATGTTCTTATACATATAAAGAGAGTGGGACAAGGAGCAATGAGCCCCCACATTTAGCATCAAGACAAGAAACAAAAAAACATCCCCTTTCACTACAAAACAATTACAAGTCATTATTATTTCATATCATACAATATTCGATCAGAACTGAGCTGAGTAAGTTATTTTTTTTTTTCAAAGAAAGGATTGGTGAAAATTCAAATGGAATCTTGAAAATGTGATTGTTATAAAAGAAGTAGTACTACATGTTTTTTAATGGTGACAAATTAATGTATGTGACTATATATGTGTAGCTAGCTTAGCCTTTAGGGTTGGTGTAAATATAATGGAAGGGACATGATGAGAATATTTGTTTTGGAAAATTAGACATTACATGCATATACCAAATTCATATATGTAAACAAATATACAATTTGGTGCCATCATCTGATGCTTGCCTTTTTTTACAAGAAAAACAAAAACACAAACCCTAGATCGAGTCAGATTTGGTTTTTGGACTGTCATGAGCTTGAGACCAATTCTATCTAACAATATCTAAAACAAAAGAAAGAAAAAATGTAGATCTAGAATATGTTCTATGTCGTCTATAAAGTGTGTGTTGTGCGTATACCATATGTATAAAGTCCACCATCTCATTAAAGAGCATTTGTCTAACCAAGTGGAACTGTAAGAAAAATTGAAGTAAATACAAATCTCTTTTTTGGTTCATTTTAAAAATATAGAAAAGTTGAAACAAAAAGAAGATGATACTTTATTAATAGGAAAATGAAAAAGAGAAGGGTTGAGTTGGAAAGAATGGGTGGGAGGATGGGGGAGATGGATTCTCATCACATGCAATGCTTCACAATCACATTCTTACTTAACATATGATTAGTATATAAATAATCATCTTTTCCCTTTATTTAAAGAATATATGCACTAATGAATAACCCTATCTTTGGAAGAAAAGAAAAACTCAATTCACGATCCCTTAATTAGTTTTTTTTTTCTTTGGTCAAACATCCCTTAAATAGTTGTATTTTGAGATTTAGCAACATCATATATATATATACACAAATTGAAAAACAGTATTTGTATAAATAAAACAAATAATAACACCCCAAAGAAGCCTTTAGTGGAGCTGTGCACTGAAACCCTGAGGCATTTGTCTCGTTCGCTCTTGTTGCTATCTGAAAGTTTGCAGCAACTTGAAAAGTAAATTGACATTTTATTAGATTTCTCACTGAAACCCAAAACTGAGAGTAATGACTTTATGTAGCCTTTTTACAGAAAAAATTTAACATACAATGTAAAAAGTGGTATAGTACGACTTCATGTTATAAATACGAATTGAATGCTTTACAAAATTTCCCAACAAAAATTTCCAAACTAGTTTCAATGATTTGTGTTCTTAAATCTACAAAAATTTGCGTAGGTGGGAAAACTTTTTAATTATTTACTGAGGTGTAGATTAGATTTTTTTGTTTCGTATTATTAGTTAAGAGAAACCTATAAAGTGAAAAAAAAAAATCACCATAAAACATTTGACATCCCATTACTAATTTCAAAATTATAATTAACCAAGTTTATCACCAAAATACACCATTATATCGATTTATTGTTTAAACAATTCAAATGATATAGTCTGTAGCAGATTTAACAAACTTTGAAAAATGTCCAATTAAACATATTAAAGCGACATCGTTTATTTTGAAAAAAATAAAATTTGAAACCCGCTTTAGTATATACTTTTGCATTTTGATATTAAGAAAAACGAAAAATAATCTCTAAACTCAAATTTGATACAATGGTGAATACTTTGTGATTATCCTTTTAATATATGAACATTTTAAATTCAGAAACAAATAACGACCAAATTCATCAATTAAGTAATACGAAGATTGTGTTTTGTATTCTATATGCGATTTAAAATCGTTGTTGCTTTTATTATATAGTCAAAATATATCATGTTTTAATTCACACTTAATAACTTTTGTTTCTTTTTGTGTGTGTTTAATTTGAAGTCTTTTTGTGTGTGCTAAACTATAGTATTATACATAATTACATTGTATACTACATCACCCATATTTAGCCTATATATGAATCAACACTGATGCAAACCAAAGTAGTCATTATATATAAGATATAAAATAAGATCGAAGTAGAGGCATTCCACGAGATTTGAGTGATATGGACGTGATACTATAAAAGCAAGATTTAGGGGGTAATAAGATTAGATGCGAGATTCGTTTATTAAAAAATTATAGAGAAAAGAGAAGTACGAATAAAGGAGAGGAGTACAAGAAAACAAACCAAAAATTAAAAAAAGTGTTATTAATTAATTAGGTTTAAATTAAGAAGTTGGAAGAGAGTATAGTGATGACAACATGGGAGTTGGACCCTTTGGCTTTTTTGCTTTCCAAGCAGTAATGATGAATCGGTGTAAAATAAAAACTTATATATTGACAACGCATAAAGACTAATTATAATATATATATCTATAGAGTTATAAGCTTTTTTGTTGTTGTTGTTGTATAATAATTATATAGGGAGAAGAAAAGTGACTTTGTCTCTATGTCATAATCTTCATAGAAAGCATTGCCAAATCTTATGGCCACATGGACGGTGTAAGCCTTTACCCTACTCTCTCATCTATTTGCCTTTTGCATTTTTTTTCATCATTATTACAACATCTCTTATAGTATAATGTGTAACTTTTTGTATCAATTGTCATCATTATAATGAGGGGTTTGTTCATTTGTTCCATATACAATATAGGCTGAGCCTATTAATGCTCACGGATGAACATGACCCCTACTTCTTTTTCTTATTTTGCCTTTCTTGTCTATAGATCTTAGATTGCTTCGTGTGATGATGTTAAGTTCCAACTGGTTACGACGACAATGGTACAAATGGGCTGGTCTCTAGCTAGTTCACTTGGCTCGTCAAGTACTAGTCTTTGATGGAGATTGGAGAGTGCTTTTACACTTTTGATAGTAAGGTTTCGTAATAAGTAAGGTGTTAATGAGAGGATAAAGGATCGATGCTTGTACAAACATTGTAGAGAATATGTTTAAAAATACTTTTGTTAATGCATATTATAAAATGTTAATAAGTATCTCTTTTGTTTTTGCGTAATATATATGGCCAGGGGAAGTATTATGAGAAAGTAGTAGTAGTATTCTCTAAAAAGTTGGAAGCTTATTATGTGGTACATATGCTTAAAAGTCTTTGCTTTGGCCATACCAAGTTTTTATATGATTGATAGTGATCTCCCATCGGCCTTATTGCTTCCGTTACAAACATTTCATATCAAAACAAGTCAACAACACACGTATTTCATATATATTCCATGATCGATTAGCTTTCTATAATCAAAACAAACACAAAAAGTCTAAAATTACATTTGCAAGGATCCTTAAACTCTAACTAAGAGCTTTGTTACGTTAAATGGATGTTATATAAACCCAAAAAATAGATCCTTCTAAGAATATAAACCAAGTCTCTTGCCCTTATTGCATTATGAAAAATCACTATCACAAATTCTAGTAGATATATGCAAGTATACACAAAGGTGATGTTATAATAATTTTCCTAAACTGTGAAGTATAATGCTCATCGAATAAATCCAATAGTTGATAAAATTGTAAAAAAAAAAAAAAAAAATAGAAGAAGAAAAAGAAAACTTAAAAGAGTCCCACATAAAAAAGCTTATTATGACTTGACTTAGGAATCAAAAGATCAATAATGCCAAAACACACATTATTGATTTTTAGTTTTGCATTCCGGTACGCAACATTATCATTATAAGATCACAAAATGGTTAAGACAAAACATCTATCGTTTTTTCCCAAATTAAATAACGACATTAATCTTCAATCAGACTGGCAAATTTTCAAAAATACAAAAGCAAACTATAAATAGAGTATAGTATAGTGAAATGTAAAATGATTTTGTTCAAGAATAAGATAGGATTTGTGAATTGTGACGCCGCCATGCTCATCATAGCTAAAGATGTCGCTGAAACAGAGTTCTACTTCTACTACAGTGAGAAAAGGACAATTACAACAGCAAAGTTGCATAATCAAGTTACAAGTAATAGAAAACATAATAATATCATTTTCAACTACTGTTATCTTTTTTTTTTTTATATCTCTTGTTAAAAAAACTATATATATATATATATATATAGAGTAGACAAAAAAAATTATAGACAAATACCCTTAAATAACACAAAAATATATTTTATGGATAATAATATCACACACTCCATAAATTTTCAAAATTATATATATATTGCTGTCAAGAAAAATTATATATTGTTGCCATGACTAAAAATTAATATTTCATGTTTTTATACTTTGTTCTCTGTAATATTAAGATTTATATATTATATTAATTTTTTGTCAACATATATAAAAACAAAAAAAAAACTAAAATAGTATCATTCTCATCCATTCTACTACCATCTTCATCTCTACCGTTCCCCTTTATCTCTCTCAAAAAGCAAAAAAAAAAAAAAGATCCAATTCACCCATCCTCGGTAAGTTTCCTCTCTCCAATTTCATAAAATATTTCGTATTTGTACTCTTCCTACTTCCTCATCTCTTTATCTCCATTGATGACGTATACCTCTACAGTTATTTATATGTCTTTATATCTCCTCTGTTCATATACCTCTTACCTGGAACAATGTCTGATTTCGAAAACCCTAGTTAACGAATCTGACGAACTTTGGTCGGGTTTTAAGCTCCTAGATTTCGATTTTGCGAAATTGACATAAGCCCATTTATAAAGTTGTCTCCTTTCGAGGATTGATTTAGAAATTTTTCGAATGTTACTGGAACAGAGATGATTCTCAGATATGAAAAGGAATGATCTTTATCTTTGTTTGTTTGCAGTGTTGTTTTTCGATTATGATGGGTGAAGATGGATTGAGCAATCGAAATTGGGGTTATTACGAACCGTCTCAGTTCAGGCCAAATTTAGGGTTTCAACTTATTCCAAGTATCATAAACAGAAGCGAGAAGCCATTTGTTGACTCCCCTCAGAATCAAAATCCAAACTTTGTCACTCCTACTAATGTGTATCGTGGCGGTGGTAGTACTAGTAGTAGTCTTATGTCGTTTCCGCGTGATTACACTGTCTCTGATGCACCTTTCATGAGTTATAGTTGGTTGAACCAGCATAGAGATAGCAAGTTCTTCAGTAATGTACCTAATCCTTCTAATCATCATCATACCGGCCTTCTTGTCCCGGAGGCTTCTAGGATGACTCAACCGATGCAGCTTTTGCAGCCCGAGGTTGTGGGTGAGGTCGATGAGTCTCTCAAGAGAAGGCAGTACAATGTTGGGCAGAGAGGTGCTCCTAAGGTGAAGAAAGAGAAGAAACTCAAGGATAACAATATGCCGAGAGTGCAAAGAACAAGAAGTCCGTTGTTGAGGAAGAGTATAGAGATGGTGATTAATGGGGTTTCTATGGATATTGGAGGTATACCTGTTCCCGTCTGCTCGTGTACCGGGATGCCTCAACAGTGTTACAGATGGGGTTGCGGGGGATGGCAGTCTGCGTGCTGTACCACTAATGTTTCGATGTACCCTTTGCCAATGAGCACGAAAAGGCGCGGTGCGAGGATTGCTGGAAGGAAAATGAGCCAAGGTGCCTTTAGGAAGGTTCTTGAGAAACTCTCTACTGATGGTTTCGATTTCTCAGTCCCTATCGATTTGAAGTCTCATTGGGCAAAACATGGAACAAATAAGTTTGTTACCATCAGATAAAAAAAATCGAACCTCTATTTTGTTGAAAAGCTTTCTTTTGTTGTTGTAGGTTTGCCCGTAGCGACATCGTAGATCTCGATTCAATTTTTTTTTTTTTTTTTTGTGTCCTTGTGTTCAGTTAAAGCTATGATATGAACTCGGAATCAAACTCGGCAATGTATCTCAAAATGTTGTACCTCTTTTTGAATTTACTCAGATACGGGTAAAGAAAATTGTGTTATGTACAGAACCAAACAAAAAAATCTCAATCTTATCCAGATTGTTGTAATGTCACACTAGAAGGTAATCAAATCTGGCATTGGGTAGTTGATATAAAGTGGTTGGTTCGTTACTATAAGAGGCAGATGATTTTGATAATACTCGTTGTCTTTTCTGTCGAAACAACGATAGTCGTCTTCGAAAGTCTCCCATTTGTCTGTGATGATGGTCTGCAGCTTCTGCGGTTGCTCCAACACAATCATAGCTTTCTCATCCTCTACTACTTTTTCTTTTTTCTCTGGCTTCGGCTTCTCTTCAGCGTTTTTGATCATTTTCTCGATAGCTTCTACTTTCTCCTCGGGTATTCTAACGAATTGAGGGGTTTCTCGCGCGTTTGAGACACCGAAACCTCTGCAGAAGTCGAAATAGATGGTGAGATCCTCTCCCTGAGAGGTTGCCTTCTGGACTATCTTCAAAACCGTTGCAGCCTCTGTTTTTCCAGCCAATGGAAGGATTCTGATAATGCCGCTGCAAATTCTACCGTAGATGCTGATACTCTCGATCACGAGACAATCCATAGCTTCTAAAATCAACGTCTTCTTCATGTTGTCAGCAATGGGCTTAATCTGAAGAACCATATCGAGGAGAGACTGAAGCTTCTGTATCCTTTCAAGATCTTGGATCATGGTTTCGCCTTTCTCGGCCGATCTCATTCTGTTACTACGGAAGCGGTGAATCTGATCGGACAAGAAGAAAGAGTAATGATGAAGAAAAGCGAAGTAAGTCCGAACAAAGACGTTGAATCCCCAAGTCTTGCTAAGACAAGAATGACCATCGGAGAAACCTGAAAGATCAAAAGGAAGACGACGGATCTCTCCGATAACAGCAGGAACTTTGCAACAAAGAACACCGTGAAGAAGCATTAAAGATTTGAGCGCAACGATCCAGCTCCGCGTGTGGTTAACACGAGAAGAGATCGCATTGATAAGAGTCTTGAGGTTGAGAGGAGAAGAACGTATCCATTTGTAGACTCGGTGAGCGTTAGAGTAGTCGACGGAGGAATCGTCGTGGGAGGTGGCTTTGATGATAGCTGCTTCGAGATCCGCGTTCCGGTAAGAGCTGTTTCGCCGTGAGAATCCCACGGCTAATAAGCTTTTCCGGTCTTTGATTGCGGCGGCAGCTCGTTTCCACAGCTTCATCCTCAAGCCCCCTCCCTCCTATCTCTTTCGCTCCTCCCTCTCTCTCTGTGTACCCTTTTCTTCTTCTACCTTGAGAATCAAAAAGTCATCTCTGTAAATGTTCTCTCTCTATTTTGAGGTTCTTCTCTCCTTTACCATCCGTTACAACCGTTGTAACCGCTCTGTTTTTCAAATACTTTTTCGATTTTTTTTAAATAAAATAAAGGCTGGCACGTGTGTGATCCTTTACACAAACGGAATAACCGAACCAAACCGCATCCGGCTGTCATTTGGGTTTCTGAATTTCAAACCGAAACATATAAACCGAAAACGAACCAAAAAATCGGATTTTACATCCTTTGCTCTCCTTATAAAGTATCTGTATGTAGTTAAAACAACAATAACCCGAGCTTGGGTATTCTAAAACAATTTGGCATGAGATCATTCATTCTATAAGAGAGATGAAAAGAGCAACACTCATGCCAAGAATCAAAGATATCAAATGGCCGGCGGTGTTTTTAAGTGTCGATTTTCCAGAGTTGTTCATCTCCGCAAGAACACCAGCAACAGCTATGTATATGAATCCTCCTGCTGTGAATCCCTGCATATATTTTAACCACCAATCAACTATAGTCAAAAGGAACATTTAGATGTGTGTTACTAGATCAAGGCAATGCAAAATATGTCATTTACTACCTCGATCAACGATGACTGTCCTGGTTCATTTCCCCAGAGCAAAACCTGTTGCCGGGACAATAAAAGCATCACCAGAGTTAGTTTGGTTTCATTATTCTAGAGATCTTCCAGGTTTTAAGATGTCAAAAGACTTGCCAATGCAGTTCCTGCAAGTGCCACTAGTGCTGAGAGGAAGTTGAAGAATAGTGCTTTCGTTACTGTGAAGCCTGACCTCACTAGAATCCCAAAATCACCTATCTGCAAGTAGTTTCTGGGGTATCTTCTAAGTAATCATACTTGTTGCTATGCACATTTTCAATTTTGTTTAGGAAATAGAGTAGGGACCTCTTGGGGTAGCTCGTGGGCGAGTAAAAACATAGTTCTGGACCATCCACCAACTGATCCATATATGAGAAACGCGCTTCCTAATGCCATTCCATCAGTAAAATTGTGCTGCAAAACAAAAAGAGTAAACAAATATCATCTTCTCAGATGACGCATCTCTTTTGCAGTCTTTCATCAGCCTGATCAAAGTTATTTCTCTAATAAATGAAAAAAAGAGCACGTACTTACAACTCCATCAGAGAACAAGTTGAGGTAACCAAAGACTAGGCTTGACGAATGCGTCTCCACTTCTTCTGGTTTGTCCAATTTTCCATCAGAAGTAATATCTGCGCCTGAATCTGATTTATCAGCAGCATCAGCAGCAGAAGTCTTTCTCTGCAAATAGATAAGATTACTCAGTAACCATAGTAAGATGAATCCTACCTTTGGGTTCATGTAAAAGTTCAAAGAATAGATGTTTGCATATAAAAGAAGAAATAGAAGCTCATAGTTGAAAAGAGGCCAACTTAAGTATGCTAAACCTCTCATAGAAGTGTATTTCTCACCTTACGGAGAGATTTATTTGTAGAGCCGCTAGAGACTTTCTCTGATGAATTTACAGTTGCATCAGATTGGTCCAAGTCGTCTTCATCCTTAAGTTTCTTACTGCCTGCATGGTGGTGGTGGTGATGATGGCCCCAGGTATTGGACCCAGAAGAATTTTCTTCGACATACCGCACCAACTTCTCCACAAGAAGGAAGACCACAATCCCAGCTGGACAATCAAGAATGATGCTAGAATATTAAAGTGTCAATTCTGTCAAACTATTTTGTTTGATAAAACACTAGAGTAAGTGTTTTTGTACTTACCAAGAACAGACAACCCAACAGACAGATCTTGTAAAGAATGTGAGTGTGAAGGGGAATCCGAATGAGAATGATCATGATGGGCATGATTCTCATGGTGATCATCAGAATGAGAGTGACCACCACCTGCCAAGCCAAAATATATTTTGCATTTCAAAAGATACACTCTTGGGACATAATTAAAATCCACAAATTTAAAAGAACAAGGAAAAAACAACAAGAGAATAAAAGAGCAAATGAAATGAGAGGGTTTGAAAGCCAGATTATCAAAACATGCAAATACTAAACAGAGATCAGATAGTTGTATAAATGTACCAAAAGCATGAGGTAACTGGTGAAGAAAAGCATCCCCCAACATAGCTCCGGCCTAGTAAACAAATAAATTAAAAGAATTGAGAGTATTTGAAGTAGCAAGAGATCATATAATAAACACACTTCTACCTAACTCAAGCGATAAATTTGTGGCGATACGCAGTGAATAGAGATTACAAAATCAAATATTCATGAATTCAGAATCACCCTCACCAGAGAAAAACTACTGTAGTAGAAAGAAAAAAACTAAGGACTTACCCCAAACAGAGCCAACGCATCCACAAACCATTTTGATGGCTTCCCTTGAACTGTAAAATAAAACATAAACAAAGTTACAACAAAAGACTCCAAACAGCTACTCCCATCTCCAGGACAATTACTAGCTTTTTGGTTATAGGAATATAAAAAAAATTAGCTTACCAAACATAATGGGAAGCAAAACAAGGCAGATGAGTGAGGCCAAGCTAACCAAAAGAGAGCACCCTAATGCATTGAGCCAAAGAGCTGAAAAAAGAAAAGTAGAGATATCACCAAAAAGAGTGGAGCAAAAACTATTTGCTGAAGTACTAAAATTTACAATTCTTCCACTAAATTTGTGAAACCCAATGAAGAATGTTAGCTAAAGGAACCAAATTTACCAAATCCCGTAAGATTAGAACTAGATTCGTGATCGTGATCGTGGTCATGATCATGAAGACAAGGCCCAAACCCACATAACCTCATATCCTCTTCTTCAGCAAGCTCTTCCGGTAACTTCATCTCCACCTTCGCCGTCGTCTTCTTCACATGATGATGATCGTGGTCGTGGTCGTGTTCATGAGAATGACTACACCCACCACCATGATGATGTACGTGATCGGCACGCGCCGGCGTTGACTGAGAGAATCCGGTTTCTACGCACAGATCCAGAAACAGCACCATAACCAGAATCCGAACCACCACGTTTCTCAGCGAGAACGACATCTGACTAAGACTAGAGTAAGAGAGAGAGAGAGAGAGAGAGAGCTAAGAAGAGCGACGGTTACAGCAAGTGGCTTCAATGGTGATGAAGCAGACGATGCAGAAGAAGAGAATGATAATTCCGATTATGATTCCGAAAGTGAGAACATCCATTTTTGTGTAATAAAAATCTTTAGAAAATCCTTTTTATCTTTTTATAATTTGTAAATTTGACCCTCTGTTTCCAAATTAACTAGAGAAACCCCTCTTGTTATGATTTTTTTTTTTTTTTTTGACATCACCCCTTTTGTTATGATCGTTATGTCATAAACAGGTCGTGTAAAAATATTTTTTGTTACAGATGTGTATATAATAAGTCTGATTATCTATTTTTGACTACTTTTTAACCATTTTCATGCATCTCATGCGTCCCCAAGGCATTGGTAATGAGTCTAATGATGTAAATTGTAATGTGAAACATATAGAGAGATTGGACCCAAAAAAATGTTATCAGTTCAATTTTATTCATCAAAGCATCCATTGTCACACAAAGGATTCAAACTCCTAAAATCAAGGTCTAATGTCCATTTCCTTTGCATATTTCAACACAAAACACAATCAAGAAAATACAACCAAAAAAACAAAACAACCAAGAAGAAGAAGAAGAAAGGTATAGAGTTGTACAATAACTTATATTGAATCTTTTGGAGGAGGAAAGAAACAAACAATGGCAACAACGAAAATACCAATGACGGTACCTTCTCCTCGTGTCGATGCTGACCAGCTCTTTAAGGCCTTTAAAGGTACATACATATTCACTTGTTATGTAGTTTTCATATAACAACTGGTTTTGTTACATTTCCTAATCTTCGTGCAAATATTTCAGGAAGAGGCTGTGATACTTCGGTGATCATCAACATCTTAGCTCATCGCAATGCAACGCAAAGAGCTCTCATCGAACAAGAATACGAAACCAAATTCTCAGATGACCTTCGAAAACGTCTCCAATCCGAGCTTCATGGTCATCTCAAGGTAAAATTAATATGAGCCTTACAAAGAAATATATTATTCATGATTTTTATTAACCACAACGGTTTTGATTTTTAGAAAGCCGTTCTTCTGTGGATGCCTGAAGCAGTGGAGCGAGACGCTTCAATACTGAAACGTTCCTTGAGAGGAGCTGTGACTGATCACAAAGCGGTCGCTGAGATTATATGTACACGATCTGGCTCTCAGCTTCGTCAGATCAAACAAGTTTACTACAACACATTCGGCGTAAAACTTGAAGAGGACATCGAATCCGAAGCTTCAGGCAATCACAAAAGAGTATGTTATATCTCTATTTGATTTACATGCTTTTGATTCAGATGGTAATAGAAATTGACATATAGATATGAAATGTATAACAGGTTTTGCTTGCATATTTGAACACAACGCGATATGAAGGACCAGAGATCGATAATGTGAGTGTAGAGAATGACGCTAGGACTCTTAAGAGCGCGGTTGCGAGGAAGCATAAATCCGATGACCAGACTCTGATTCAGATATTCACAGACCGAAGCAGGACTCATTTGGTCGCTGTTAGATCTACTTACCGTTCCATGTTTGGCAAAGAACTTGGAAAGGTATAATCAAGAATCAGAATCTTGACTTAAGACTTTTCAAAAAAGCTTCAACTTCTCTTCTTTTTTTTTAAAATCTTGATAGGCCATAAGAGATGAGACCCGCGGGAACTTCGAGCATGTCCTTTTGACGATCCTACAATGTGCCGAAAACTCTTGTTTCTATTTCGCAAAGGTAACATAACTTGATGTTTCTTGAATCACAAAAAGCAAAAAGTTTTCAAGTTTACAAACTATAATCTGAAAACGCAGGCGCTGAGAAAGTCGATGAAAGGGTTGGGAACAGATGACACGGCGTTAATAAGAATGGTGGTGACAAGAGCAGAGGTAGATATGCAGTTCATCATCTCAGAATACCGTAAGAGATACAAGAAGACTTTACACAATGCTGTTCATTCTGATACAACTGGTCATTACAGAACTTTTCTCCTCTCTCTTTTAGGCCCTAACGTTTGATCTCTTTCTGTATCCATCCCCAATATTCACTTTGATTCTCTGTATCATACTACATTCTCTTGCAACAATCTTGAAGGTATATTAAGATATGTTTATATGTAAGTTTAAACAAAAAGAGAGCAATTCAAACTGAAAAAAGGCAGAGAGATCCAGTAACAGAGCAACCAGACAAAAACTGAGAAGCTCACTTCAAAGTTGTTAACTACTTAATTCATCATTCACTTTGTGTATAGTTTGATAAATTTTCCATTGAGGCAAGGATAATAGTAGCACCTTGAGTAACTTAGAGGTATATTCTTCCCAAGAGGTAACCGCTAGAGATATACCCGTTAAGTCGAGTGATTCCTTCAGGTCCTCATTAGAGCATGAATATCCAAAAGTTGTGGTTACGAGTTTCTCATCAGGTAGAAAAACTGATTTGAGGGAGTTGAGAGTTTCCAACTGAGGCTTAGACATAGCTTCCACCTCTTCTACCGTGCCATTTTCGATATTAAAAGTTTCGAGTTCAGAAGCTTTCCAACTGTAGTATTGAACAACCTGTTATCCAACAAAAGGAAAGAAGATATAAAACATATGATGAAAGAAACAATCTATGACTGAAAATGAGCTCAAACTGATCACTCAAGGGCTTGAAGAAACTCGTGTAAAGGTCTTAAGTGAAAGTACCTGAAGAGCATGAAGAACGTTGGCAAATTTTCGGGTGAGTAACACTCCTCCTTTAGCTATTAGTAGTGGTCCCATGAGTTGTTCTGAAACATCAGTAGAATGATCTTCGCCTTGTAAGCTATGTACACCGAAACCAAGAAGGTGCAACCTCGCAAAGCAGATATCAAAACCTATGTTTTGACTCAACACATCTGGATGAGGACAGAACCAGTACATGTTAGTGGATGCAGGCAAAGGGAGGCAAAATCCATGTAATGTGCATTGGGAAAGACGAGAAAGAAGCTTTGAATCTTCGTCATGGGATGAGTCCCGGCTAAACCAGAGAGCAAGAGTCAATCTTTCTCCATCTGTTACCTGTATAAGTTCCATTAGTAACTTACATAGCATAGAAACAAACTGAGAGGCTACATTAATGAGGCAAACCTCATCAACAGAATGGATATTCCTGTCATCAGCTGTGTACATGATAACATCCTGGTCAAGAATACAGACTCATTATTATTCAATCTTGAGTAATAACCATTGCTCCAACTGAAAAAAGGACATATACTTACTCCAGCCGAGGGAGCAACAGTTGCTGGTTCCCCACTTTGAAAACGAAAAAGCCCACCTTTGAAGTCTTTCTCGTAACTATTCAAGTAACAAACTGCCTTCAAACCAACTAAAAACCAAAGTCATATAACACATAAACCTCATATCAACAAAGACGTCTCTAGAATACTAAATCAACAAAACTACGAACCGCGAAATCCCTTTGTTTCAGATATGGTCTGTTATCATCACTGTGCCACCCAATACTCGCTCCTCTGCACCAACTGATTCAATATCAAAGAGCAAAAAGGAATCATTTCTTCATCTCATTGTTCCTAGCTTGTTCTGTGAAAAGAGAGAGAGAGGAAAATAAACTACTAACCTTATCAAACCAGTGAATTCAATGAAAAGCTCAAACTCACATCCAAATGTTTCCTCTATCTTCTCTTTCAACCTTTCTGTTTACTCAAACACACAACAAAGATCATCACTTTTAAACATATGTAAGCTGAAACAGAGAGATAAAAACAAAAGTAGGGAATGGAGGAATCTTGGAGTTGTAAAGATTGGCTGACCTCGAATGGAAACGAAGGGGATGATGAGGTGAGGTGAATTGGTGGCAATGAGATGAGAGAGAGTAGTGGAGAAGACATTTGGTCTGTACCCAATTGTACTACAACTCTTGTGTATGAACTCAAGCTCCTTTTGTTTTTTACCGCAATAGTAACCAAACCACATGATTAGCACAATCTTACGGGAGGAGAAAAGACACAAAATTTAGCCAAAAAAAGAGACAACCTTGCACTCTGCCGGCGACAAGAAATTGTGCAGAATCAGCCTCGGATGCTCTCCTTCCGACATCTCTCTCCTACTCAAATCGGTTGTTCTAGGGTTTTCTGATTTATCACTTTCTACCGACCGCATTAGGGAGTTTAAACTTTTTCAATATTTTGTTGTGCTGGAATAGTCCTGAGCATATTAACGGGATAGAATTAGGCATGTCAATTAGGGCTAAAGTCTGCGGGGTAGTTTGACCCGATCCTGAAAAACATCGGGTTTGGATTTAAATATATATGTCCAGAAAAAACTGGGTTTTTTGGGCTAAGCCCATTCGGGTTAAAGGGTTTTTTGGGCTTAGTCCGGTCGGGCTCGGACCGGCCCGAAAAGCCCTTATACAAATATATTTTGAATTTTTTGAATATTTTAGTTTGATTAAAAGATTTGATTAATGTTATAGTTTTCATATTTACTTACTACTCTTACTTATTACTTTTAAAATCTTTATACAAAGCTAAAACTAGGGAATTTTGTTAAGTATGCCATTTTTGAAACTCAAATTTGTAAGACTGCCATTAACAAAAGTCTCTTTCAAAACATGCCACAAAAGATAAAATTTGGACGATTTTGCCCTTAGCATTAGAGAGTGAAATTTTGTTTTTTTTGTTTGCAGCAGTAACCATTAATTGCTAGGATGTAGCCTAATATCCTATGGGTAATGGACCATGTCATAAATAATGGACGAGTATATAATATATGATGGACAAAAAATATAAAGTAGATGTGGTCCATCGAAAACTCACTTTGACATAATTCAAGAGACAACTCTGATGCGTGTCCACCAAGGATGTTCTATAGAAGAACACAAATAAAGTTTTGATTTATTTAAGAGCACAATATAAACCAGATCTGTACAAATTGGTGGGTGCTAATAGAGGACAAGTAGAGAGATTTTGTGGAAGTTGTGGGTGGTGAAGGAGCAGAGACAAAAAACGATAGACAAAAAAAAAAAAAATCTCGTCCACAATATCTGGTCCATTACATCTGATCCGCCATAACTAGTCGACCAAAATTGGTTCACCGAATCTTGTCCATCTACAGAAAAATGTATTGTCCATAGTATAATAACCGCATCACTTGTTTCATCGTCTGGTTGGTCCGCCGAATCAGGTCACCATAACTGGTCCGCCGGATTTTGTTACGTAGAACAAGTCTATCGTAACTAGTTTTTGTCCGCAGGAAAATGATTCGCCAGATCTGGTTTGCCACAACTAGTCTATCGTAACTGGTCTATCTGGTCCGCCGGAGCTGGTTAAAGTTCGTAGGAACTGACTATGGTCCGCCTGAACTCGTCCGCCAGATCTAGTCTATCGCAACTCGTCTTTCTGGTTGGTCGAAACTGGTCCGCCGAATCTGGTCTGCTTGAACTGGTTATACTTCATCAGAATTGACTGTGGTATGCCAGAACTCGTCCGCTAGAGTTATAGTTTGTCGGAACTGGTCCGTCGAATCTGGTCTGCCGAATCTGGACCAGAATTGCTATGGTCCGCCGGATCTGCTCTATCGACTCTGGTCTGTCATATATGGTCTGTCGGATCTGGTCTGTCGGAGTTCGTCCGCCGGAGTTCGTCCGTTGGATTTGGTCTGCTGGAATTGTTTGTTGTTGGAAGAAGAAAAAAAAAATGAAGAAGAAAAAGAAATAATAAAAAAAAAAATTGAACAGTCACGACACTGAGCAGCTAATTCGTCCAGGGATACATTAGTCTTTTTGTAGGACTCTTGTGGCAGGCGGGAGAAGAGGTTTCTCAAAATGGCATTTCTTACAAATTTTTTTACTGTACATGGCAATCTTTACAATTTTCTCCTAAATATATAAGTATCATGATTTTGAAATCATCAAAATATCTATTAAATTTTGACTCTATCTTATACTTTAAAGTATTTTAGTTCCATGTTTTATTGGGTTAAAGTGTAAATAATTTATTTAGCTTTTATTTTTTCTCTTAAATTAAGTTAGTTTTATTGAATATTGATAAGTTATTTAAAATTTGATGCATTATTTTTATAGTAGACCTTTAAATATAGTTTTTAAAAAACTATTATGAACTTAGAAATTGATTTTTTTATCGGTAAATAAAGGCCAAAAAAGCCCGAAAAGCCCTGTTAGGGCCGGGCCGGGCTTTGAAATATAGGCTCGGAAATTTTTCGGGCCGGGCCGGGCCGGGCTTACATATATGAGGGCTTTACGGGTTTCGGGCCGGGCCGGGCCGGGCTAGCCCGATTGTCATGCCTAGATAGAATTGAGTCAATTGACCAAGCCAATTATGTATAAGTAAAACTTTTTTTTGGGCAAAACATTATAAGTAAATATAACTAAGATTTTTTTATATATAATTTTATTTTAGATTTTTTATTCACAATTCAGTTTTCGTTTCAGAATTCAAAAATTCAAATAAGAAAATTTATTATCCGTTTGAGTTTTATAACTTTTTGGGTTTGGTTTCGAAAATCGAATTTCGGATATTAGATTTTTATGCTCAAGCCTAGTTCTACTATCAAAAACTCAATAACATTTAAAATTGAACTGAAACCAATTTGAGATAAAGAAAATATTTTTTTTTTGTAAACATAATATATTTTACAGCTAAATTGACAACATAATATATAATGTACATAAATACTTAGAATACAATTATATATCCAAAATATTAATTATTATAAAATTTGATATGATTTAATTATCCAAATTACAATTACAAAATCGGAGGACCTCAGTTTTCTAAATTTAATCCGAAATATTATCCAAAATCGAACCAAATAATGGAAATGCTCAAACGTCGAAAACGCCAAATCTCAAATTCCTACCCACTAGTCCAATTACTGACTAACCAAATGGTCACACATTAATGATCCAACACAACTGTTAGAAAAAGGCAAATTAAAAAAAAAAAAAACAAAAATCAACACATTAATGATCACACACCGATAACACCAAGTAAGTAATAATAATAAGTACTCTCTTTTTGTCTATTTTGACTTTCTTTGACATGTACCGGTAGGTACAACCCTAGATTGATCTCACTTTCTTCTCATCTCTCAGTTCTGTTCTGTCTGAGTTAACGAAGAAGACCAGACCAGAGGAAGAAAGAATCAACGATGTCTTCACCTCACTCACCTTCCGGTTCCGACTCATCCACACCACTTCTCCGTTCACGGCAATCTTCTTCACCACGGCGTCAACCTGTAATCGCGGTGCTATTAGGCCGAGCTTCAGGTAGACGAGGAGCTTCGATGTTGGTCAGAGAGACAGCTGCTCAGGAGCTTGAGGAGCGACGAGCTGACTGGGGTTACTCGAAACCTGTTGTGGCTTTGGATATGCTTTGGAACACTGCTTTCGTTGTTGTTGCTTTTGTGATGCTTTTGGTTTTTAAAGATGAGAAGCCTAATGTCCCGGTTAGGATTTGGATCTGTGGGTATGCGATTCAGTGTCTTGTTCATGTAGTTCTTGTTTGGCTTGAGTTTAGGAAGAGGAACTCTAGAAGCCGAGAAGGGGATTTAGAATCTGCTCAGCAACAAGCTACGAATCAGGATAGTGAGGATGAGGATAGCGATGAGAGGATCTTGAGGTTAGCTTGGATTGAGAAGACCTTTCGTTTTCTTTTGGTTCTTGATTTTCTTGAAGTTGTGGTTGAGTTCTTGTGTTCGTTCTCTTAGTCTTAGAATCATTACTTGCTGTTAATATCTATGGAAATTCGAAAAGGGTAGATTCAAATTGTGAACTTTGTATCATCAATGATGGAACTCTAGAATGTGTGTGATCAAGGGAGAAAGTTACTAATTATGTCACAAAATCAATTTCTTTTGTTTTGTTTCAGTACTAAGACTTGTGAATCATTGAACACTATAATATCATTTGTCTGGTGGATCGTTGGCTTCTACTGGCTTGTATCTGGTGGTGAGATACTTCTTCAAAATGCATCGCATTTGTACTGGTATGTGTTGATCTGCTTGATGTTTTGTTACTTAAAACTCTTTTTTTGCTTGCTGAATGGTAATGACATCTTTATTTTTATTAATGTTTGCAGGTTAACTTTTGTTTTCTTGGCATTTGATGTGTTCTTTGCCGTCTTTTGCGTTGTGTTGGCGTGTCTTATCGGAATCGCACTCTGTTGCTGTCTCCCTTGTATTATTGCTCTTCTCTACGCAGTTGCTGGGCAGGTATGAGCTAAAACAGTTAGCAACCATTTTGAATGTCGACTTACCTTTGGAAGAATCGAAAGCAATAAACATAATTTGTGATGTGTTCTCAGGAGGGTGCATCAGAAGCAGATCTCAGCATCCTTCCCAAGTACAGGTTTCAAAGGATGAACAATGATGAAAAGGAGAGTGATGGTGGTGGGAAAATGATACCGGTCGAGGCAGGCAGTGAGGATTCGGGAAACGAACGTGTGCTTCTTTCGGAAGATGCTGTAAGTCTCAGTGTATTCGAATGTTTTGGTTATAGAAAATGTGAGATGGAAATTGAATAACAGAGTTTTTGATTGTGTAGGACTGTTGTATATGTCTGAGTTCATATGAAGATGGAGCAGAGCTGGTGTCACTACCTTGCAACCACCATTTTCATTCGACGTGCATAGTGAAATGGCTGAAAATGAATGCGACATGTCCACTGTGTAAGTTCAATATTCTCAAAGGTAATGAACAGGAATGAAGTAACAATATAGAGGGAAACTTTTTTTTTTTTTAATATAATGTTGTGTTCTTGTTGTATATAGAGATAGTAGAGAGAAAAAGAAAATGAAAATGATTGTATCGTTTGTATTGTATAAGTCATAAGACAATTGTTTCTTTGTTGAAAATTTGGTGTCATTCCCTTTATTCGTATAATGTAGCTAACGGAATCAGACAAGAATCAAAACCTCAGGTGTGACATTGTAATCCATTTTTTTTTCCAAGTATGCACAACGATGCAATTGCCTGCCAAACAAAACATCAAGGAAAATATATGTTTGATACAACCAAGACCCAAGAATTTGATTACGTTCTCAAATATTAATTAGTGGAGATTATAATATATCTCGAAATAAAATTAAAGAACTAACTCTGGATTGGGCATGTCGAAGAGATCAGATAGTTCATCGATCTCGCCGTAGATAGCTCTAATGAAATGATGTCTTGTGTCACGTTTATGATTGGTACCCAAAATTACAACCCAACAATAAAATTGCTTCCACCATATATATAAGCAATTCTAAATTTTTTGTTTTGTTTTGTTTTTCAATAAAGCTAATATTTGATACACCAATCATATTATAAAAAGAGAAAACACAAACATTATTGATTGTCCCTTGAAAAAAGAAAAAAAACAAAGAGATCTCTCAACTCAAATAAGACATTGTACACGTATTTAGTTCAACATCAAAAAAAAAAAAAAAGGACAGATAACACGTTCCCTCATCTCACGCGCAAAGGATTCTCTTTGACTAAAAAAAAAATCACACATGTATTCTCACTAATCACATCACTAACCATAATAATTAACTATCCACCTAATATAATCTATTTACTAATCCTCTCTACTTTACATTATTAATTTTATTCATCATCAAATGAAATGATTAATTTAACAAACTTAATCCAATCTTCTTCTTTTCCCTCTTCTTTGTCTCTCTTGTCACTACTAAAGACTAGAGAGAGAGAGAAACAAACACTGTGACAGCATTTAAATCTCACTCTCTCTCTTCTTTCCATCACTAGCCTTAAAACGATCTCTCTCTCTCTACTCTCTAGGTTACAATCACTCTGAGTGGTAAAATCATACATTACATTTTATTGTTTTGGTATAGATCTTGAGGAATTTTGATGTGTTGTTCAGTTTGAAATCCGGGGAAGGGATTCAGATCGGAATCGGGAGATGACGGATGACGGTGGTTTGTCGGTTCCGACGACGTATCCGTCGTTGACGGTGTCGGCGTCTTATAAGGAGAGTAGTAGTGGTGGTGGTGGGAAAAGTTCGGCGAGGAGGAGACCTGTTAGGCCTAGTTTTGATGCTGCTGCTGATAATGAGCTTATTACTTTGCTTCATGGTTCGGATCCAGTTAAGGTTGAGCTTAATCGGCTTGAGAATGAAGTTAGAGGTTTGATTAAAAATGTTGCTCGATCTTTTTTTTTTTTTTTTTTTTTTGGTGTTTGTGACGATTCAGATCTGATTTTGTGACAATGGTTTGTAGATAAGGATCGAGAATTAAGCGAAGCACATGCTGAGATCAAAGCTTTGAGGTTATCTGAGAGGCAAAGAGAGAAAGCTTGTGAAGAGGTCTGTTCAATTCTCTGATTGCTTTAATCCAGATTAGGCTTGTTTTGGATTTGTGAATTTGTAGAATCTGTTTTGTTTTTACATGGCTTAAGGATTGATTAATGGCAATGTTGTTAGAGAATAATGAGAGTTTCGTTGTTGGTATGAATCACTTGCTTCTTAGTTATCATGAATGGTTATAGAGTGTGTAGCGTCAAGTTCTTGTTTTTCTGCTTCTTGTTAGCTGAGTTTAACTCAGGCTCTTTGGGAATTGTATAGCTTACTGATGAGCTTGCTAAGCTGGATGGGAAGCTCAAGTTGACTGAATCCCTTCTCCAGAGTAAAGTATGTATCTAAATCCCTCCTTATGACCAGTTTTGTTTTTCTTTCTGTTTTCATTTCGCTAGATATTTGATTATTAATTATGTTGCAGAATCTAGAAATCAAAAAGATTAATGAGGAGAAGAAGGCTTCCATGGCTGCTCAGTTTGCTGCTGAAGCCACTTTGAGAAGGGTCCATGCTGCTCAGAAAGATGATGACATGCCTCCGATTGAAGCCATTCTTGCCCCATTAGAAGCTGAACTTAAGCTTGCACGCTCTGAGGTATTTTTCGCTCATTTTAAGTCCAAATTTTGTGATGTCTACTTGCATTATCGGACATTCATCATTTGTAATGTTTCTGCGTAGATTGGGAAGCTTCAAGAAGATAACAGAGCATTGGATCGTCTCACTAAATCAAAAGAAGCTGCATTACTTGATGCTGAGAGGACTGTTGAAACTGCTCTGGCAAAAGCTGCTTTAGTTGATGATCTTCAAAATAAGAATCAAGAGTTGATGAAACAAATAGAAATCTGTCAGGTACTGTACTCATTATCATCTTCTTTGTATCGAGTTGGTCAGGCTTTGGTGCCTTCCACTTATCACTCATTGTTATTAAATATCTATTTTCTATTTGATGCTTTAGGAAGAAAACAAAATTCTAGACAGAATGCATAGACAAAAAGTTGCTGAGGTGGAAAAGCTTACTCAGACTGTACGGGAGCTGGAAGAGGCTGTTCTTGCTGGTGGTGCTGCAGCAAATGCCGTGAGGGATTACCAGCGGAAATTTCAAGAGATGAACGTAAGTAAATATACTTCATACGATAACCGAGAAGGAAGAATATAATATTTACTTAACTGATGAAGGAATACTTGTCGCTCTTCTTTCCAGGAAGAACGAAAAACTCTTGACCGCGAACTTGCGCGTGCAAAGGTTACAGCAAACAGAGTTGCGACGGTGGTTGCAAATGAATGGAAAGATGGTAATGACAAAGTGATGCCTGTGAAGCAATGGCTTGAAGAAAGAAGGTTTCTACAGGTTCACTTTAATATGATTCTCCTTCTCCTTAATTCTTGGAATGCAGATTCTTTGCACTGGTAAAGCACAATTCTACATTCTTAACTCTTTAACTCTCTTCTTGCAGGGAGAAATGCAGCAACTTCGCGACAAGCTTGCCATTTCAGATCGAGCTGCAAAATCTGAAGCACAATTAAAAGTATTCATTTTCTTCATGCGTTAGGCATCTTAAAAAATACTGTTCTTGTTTAATTGAACTAAATTCTAAAGTACACTATTTCTTTGTTCAATTTCAAGGATAAATTTCAACTACGACTTAAAGTGCTTGAAGAGACACTGAGAGGCACCTCAAGTAGCAGTTTTAGGAGCACGCCCGAGGGAAGAAGCATGAGTAATGGACCCTCTCGAAGGCAGTCACTTAGTGGATCAGATAATTTACAAAAGTTCGCATCAAATGGCTTTTTGTCAAAGAAAACACCGATGAGAAATTCATTTAATTCCACCTCGGTATTGAAGAATGCGAAAGGAACATCCAAGTCATTTGATGGAGGCACAAGATCATTGGATAGAGGCAAAGCACTCTTAAACGGACCTGGGAATTATTCATTCAACAAGGCTTGTGACGAACCCAAAGAACCAGAGTCGCCTAATACCTGGAAAGAAAATTCAGAGGAAAAGCCACCAAGCGAACTCCCTGCACCAACAACTGAAGACAATGTCCCAGGTGTTTTGTACGATTTACTACAGAAAGAAGTAGTAGCCTTGAGAAAATCTTCACATGAAAAGGATCAAAGCCTCAAAGACAAGGATGACGCCATAGAGGTAAAAATCTCTGAATACGCCAATCTTATATGTGAAGATTGCTATAAAGACATTTGTGTAAGGGAAGTTTTGATATTTTTGTTGTAGATGTTAGCAAAAAAGGTTGAAACTTTAACAAAGGCAATGGAGGTTGAAGCAAAAAAAATGAGAAGAGAAGTAGCTGCGATGGAGAAAGAGGTTGCTGCAATGCGTGTTGATAAAGATCAGGATAACAGAGCTAAAAGGTCTTCAAACACCAAGCCCTCATCCAACACCGCCCAGATTCTTGCAGCAAGGTATCTAGCAATGTTTAATATCTCTTTGTGCATTTATAATTATATATTCGAGTTGCGTTTTTGCAATCAGACTAAGCTTGGTTTTCTAAATTTCTGCAGAGCTGCTGGCCGAAGTGGGTTAACGAGGAGTACACAATGAGATGAGGAAGGAGAGTGGTTCTTATGAGTAAAACCGTTATAGGCTGGTGTGCTTTTTAAGCTCTTTTAACCTTGCATCTTCTTATTTTACTCTGCTTTCTTACATCCTCTGTGATTTATTGTATTACCATAGAACTTAAGGATGAAAAAGATGAGTATGCCTTCTGACTTAGATCGGCTTACACTGCTTAGCAATGACGGGAAAAAACAGGAAGGAGAGATGTTTGACATTTTGGCATAACATTTTCTATCCTACGGAAGTAGTTTGTCTGGCTGTATAGGTTTTTTTTTAGCTTTGTATTGGAAATTTGCGTACTTGTTCTGTTTCTTCATTCTATACTTAAAAGTGTTGTGTGATTATTTCTACCCTTTCGTTTGTTGATATATGTCCAAGCTCAGTGTCTTCGTTGGAATAACATTACATAAAAACCTAAAGCATACAACAATCACTAATTCACTATGTACACTATCTCTTTATAGTTTTCTTCTACATGTCGTATGAGTTCGGAATGTGACAGATACAAAAACCACAAACCAAATGAAGATTAAAACAGAAAACAGTGGCTTCGAGGAAGATAAGAGAAGCTTTACAGTTCTGAGTCTTGGCGGCTAGCCAAGCAGAGTTCATGTAACTCATTGAGTATCCATTCCTCACCAGTGTGACCACCAAGGACCAATACTCTAGTTCCTCCAACAACGCATGTGCTATGTCCCCAAGCTAACTTGGGTGGTTTCCCCGGGACATTCAAAATCCTCCATGACGGTTTCTCTTCCGCAGGATCTATTAGGAACAGCTGGGAAGGTGAGTGAAGCCCCGCGATAGACCCTCCAAAGATGATGACCCTCCCACAGGGCATGCTCACAGCCACGTGGTCCAGTCTTGGAGGAGGTACAACCGCGCCTGTAAACGCACTACACTCAAGCTCTCTCCATGTTGGTTCTTCATCCTCCAAGTCCATAGTGTATGCCTCCCCTGACCTTAGCTTTAGATGACCGCTGTTTGCAAGCCCACCAAACATCAGGATTTTGGTCCGACCAAAGACCGATAGAGAATGCCCAAGTCTAGAAGGAGGAGCCCATGATGTCGGGATCTCTCTCCATGTCGGTTTATCTGTTGTCAGATCCAACAAGAAGGTATCACTGAGAAGCACCCCAGCGTCTGTGCAGCCCCCTGAGACAACCAGTTTAGAGCCTTCGATGGTGCACGAGCTGTGCCAAGATCTTGGTAATGGAGGAGTTCCTCCTGCTACCTCCTTCCATGTGGGATGCTTGGCATCTAGATCAAGCACAAATACGTCATTCAGCAATCCTTGTCTTCCACACCCTCCAAAGACTACCAACCACGACCCGTTGAGACACGAGAGTGTGTGTCCCCAACGTCCTGGAGGGGACGATGTTACCCTCACACGTTGCCACTCAGGATACTCTGCATCAAGATTGAGAACAAAAGTATCATCCAAAGGCTGCATGTTAACCCCTTCCCCACCAAATAGCACAAGCCGGTTTCCAACAGCGCACGCACTGAAATTGCAGCGGGAAGGTTGCACAATCCCTCCAACAGTAAACTTGCGCCAACACACAGCTTCAAGAGTAGTGAGCTCTCTAGCTAACCGACCCCATCCTAGTTTCTTAGTCATAATCTCCAGCGTTCCAGTTATCTCTTTTCCCCATGCGTTCTGACACACCATCTTCCTCACACTTTCGTTTTTCGTCAACTGACGCAACCTCCTGCAGGCAGAACCAATCGAAGCAACATCCCTTGGAGTTAACCGAGATAAGATGTTATGCGCCAAGACTTCGTCAGACAACTGCAATATCCCACAGAAATCTTCATGATGCTCCCTAAACCTTGGGCTTCCACTTTGGAACATGCACTCCGATGTCTGATCAATCTCCTGTTTATGTTTAAAGACAGGATACGAGACACGGTCGAGGTCTATAGTCGTTTCAGAGAAGACCTGTATCCCAATAACATGTGTAATGGTTCCATCATCGTCACGTATTGGAGCAAGCCGTAGTCTGTTCACCAAAGGAGTACCGTCCTTTCTGAAATTGAGAAGCTCTCCTTGGAATTCAATACCTTCTTCAAGGCATCTCCTAATCTCAGATACAACCACAGGATCTACCAACGGGTGACGCCTTTGAGCAAGAGGATCTCTATACTGTAAGAATCGGCTGCAAAACAAAAACAAAAGATTCTTATTAGCTAAGTCCGTGAAGATCAAAGGACTTACGAAACAATGTATCACCAGTAACTTCATCTTTCAGCTAAACAAACACAAAATCTCTTCATCAATCAAGCTACAAAGACACATTTCAAGCAGATACAACACCAAATGCAACATTATTCAAGAGAATCAATAACATAAACCAAAAACAAAAAACACATACACACGACACAGAACTCAATTTCTCATTGCTTCCTAACAAAATTATAAATTCGAAAGGGGGAGAAATCAATATACCAGTTACGACCAAGAACTTCATCGGCACGGTAACCAGTGAAGACTTCAAAGACTCGATTAACATAGATCAGAGGAAAATCTGGTTCGAGAGCATCGGAAACAATAAACGAAGGCGGAGTCATTGGGTAATAGAACATCCCAACCTCTAACGGAAGCTTCTCATCTTCTACTTCATCTTTTTCTTCTTCCATTCCAATAACATCGTCGATGTATTGATCTTGCTGTTCTTCGACTCTGCCGCGTTTCTTTCGTTTTCCGGTGGCTTCTCCGATCGCTTCGTTCGCCATTTCTTTTTTTTTTTTTGCTTTGCTCACAGGGAAAAAAATTAAATATCTTTCTCTTCTGACACGCTCAGCCTTATGATATCAAACGTTTAGAATTTAAAAAATATCTTTGCTTAGGTGGAGATTTATTGACGAAAGTACCCTTTAAATTCAAATACGAGAAAGAGAAATTTTGGGTGGCAAATTTAGTATTTAAGTAGTGATATGAGGGGTAGTTATAAGAAAGTAAGTCTACGTTTATTGGATTACAACACGTCACCAGACGATATCCCGAGAAAAATATCTAGCCTACTCAACCACTCTGCTTCTCCCACGTCATCGCGAAGATATTTTATTATATTTTGTTTAAGGTGAAGATATTTTGTGAAGTGTTGGAACGCAACAGGAATCAGATGCACGTTGACTCTGGTCAGAAATTTTTAGATATTTTATGAAATGCGATTGTTGTTTTTTTTTACTATGTTTTAGGCACTTTCGAGTTTCGATGATGGTGTTAAGTAATATCATTACAAAATTTACTCCACATTTTTTGGTATTTATAAAATTACCCCACATTTTTGGTATTTGACCATTTGCGCCATATATTTTGGAATTTTATCAAACTATCCCATATGTATGTTGATATTTATAAATTCTCCTACTTTTTACATTTATAAAATTCACCTATATCTTTTTGTATTTTATCGAATTATCCAATATCTTTTGAAATATTATACGTTTAGTAGAGCTGGCTAGTATTATTTTCCCAATTATTGTGCTAAATCAGCAAAAGACAATATAAAATGTTGCAGGGGTGTACTGCATGTGCTTTTAACGTGAACAGTTTAGTAGAATTAGGAAATAAATTAATACCGTAAAAAACTACTATTAAGTTCTAACACGAAAGGTATATTCACGTTACATAGCCCTAGACTAGAATCTAGCTTACTTCCTAATTCGAAAATTTTGTAAATTATTAAACTCACAAGTTAGTTAGATATATATTGTATTCATTTTTTTTTTTTTTGGCCACTTTATATCATTTTTAATCTCTTTTGGCCAATATAGGAATGGGTTCATCCAGATCGAGCAATCCCAAAACAATGGTTCCAACAAAAACAAAAAAAACAGTTACAAACTTACAATATAATGTATACAAAAGACTCATTGGATCTTGGAGCAATGTGGAGTTTCCAGGTTTCCCATGGTATCTTGAGACATGAAGACATAGAAAGAATCTTATTGCCTCAGCTTAGTAACATTACAAAACTATGAATTATGAACTTTGAATTGGTTATTTTATTTTTTGCACTTGAGCGTCTAGTCGTATATATACTTTTCTTTTTTTTTTTCTTGTTTCGTTTGTCTAACAAAAGCTCTATAAGTAAAGATATATAATGTAACTAGATATCAATAGAGTTATTTTAGCATATACTATATTAATATCGATAATCGTTTTTTTTTTTTAACATCTATCGAAAATCATTTATATATTAGTTTTATTTTTTTCTATAATTGTCATTAGTTATTATTATATTATTTTATCTGACTTGATTTATGGGGGGGAAGGGGGGGACAAGATTCCTTAAAAGAGACAAATCACATTGTAAAGAAGAAGATAAGTGAAAGTCAATGTATATGGGGTTAATTGCGTGTGGACACACTTTCAAAATTTTAATTGTATTATGACACACTTATAAACTCATGGTGCACTTTGGAAAAGTTTGTTTACTCTCTCACCCTCACTTTGACAACATATTAACTCATTTGCCATCCCAACTAAAATTCCACACAACTAAACACTTACGTTCTCTTCCTCTTCATTTTCTTCTTCCTCTTTTTCAATTCTTTCCCTTTTTTTTCTCTTTCTCTTTCTCATTTTTTTTCTTTCTTTTTTATAATCACTTTATCTTGTTATTATAACAATATTTTATATTTATTTTTGTACAATACTCAATATTTCCATTTTTCCTATATTTGAAGATACATTTTACTATATTTCTGGATGAATTATATTATATATATTATCCATTTGTAATTGACCATTTATTCGCTGATAATTGTATGGTCAATTGTAATATCATTTCTGGATATACATACTTGTGTTTGGACATTTTAGCAACATCTGGTTACTTTTTACATGTTTTAGTATATAATAAGTGCATATATACATGAGAACATTCCAATAAAAATGAGTGTAAATGAGTGTCTCTGTACATGTGAACATATGGGCAATAATCGCTATCCAACATCGAAGATGAGAGTATTAAGAATGATTGGAAGTATTTTTGGACAGAATAGGTCATCGATATCCAAAAAACCTCATCCACATGATCACAAAGAGTATCGTCACTACCGATTTAGATCTGTAAAAACAAAAAACAAAAACTAAAAAAACTCAGAAGCACTTACCTAGATCTGTCATCCAAAGTGATTGAGAAATTAGTATATACAAGTTTAACATAAACGAGAAAACTCAGAAGCACTTACCTAGATGCTGCAATGGTATAGAGATGGTGTGTGTGTGTGTGACTTTTCGATTTGTTGGAGAAGACGAAACAGGGTTACCTTCTCTATTTGTTGGAGAAGAAAAAAGCTATAAACCACTTAGTTTTATTGATTTATTATATTCTTGTTTAATTCAATTATATAATTAATAGTAACCAAGTTACGAACGAAGTTACTCATCAAAACGGACGACGACGGAGGGAGTTGGAAACATACGAGACACAATTTCACTTTATTAGGGCAGTTTGTGTCTTTTTTTGGGACAAACAGTGCCAAAAGTACATAACAATTGCAAAATGTGTCTTTTGTAACCTCTCCCCCTTAAAGTGTGTTAGGTGGTAAATCACCCATGTATATGTTTGTTAATCAAAGTCAAACAATTTAAAGTTGACTCTCAGTAATAAGTGTTATAGGCTTATGAGGCTAGCTAAGCTAGGATGTATAAATGATCTTCACAGCTTGTTTAATCTAATCTGACATTCACATGTTTATTGTTTACATATGATTCAAATGAAAATACATATATGTTTTCACTTTATTAATTGGAACAAATTTGTGATTTAATATTATAAATATATTTAACCCAGTACACCAGTTGTGTTTTAGTTTACAGCTCAAATCAAAATTCATTCACCAAAACAACTCTAATTTTATGTGATCATTTTTTTCTGTTTATTGATAAAGTTTTTTAGTGTTGCCAAACAAAAAAAAGATAAGAGTTTTTTTAGTAATTAAATTTTTTAGTGTCGCTTGTTCTTCAGTGAAAAAATATATACTTTTACTTCGAAGCAACAATTTTCAGTCTATTTCATAATATAGCCATTTTATCTCATCACTCTGATTAACGTACACTTTCACTATTTGTTAATCTAATATGATGCATAATTAGATGTACATTAATTAGGCTATCAATAATGATACAAAAATTTAGTCAACTATAAATCTATTGTGGACCACCTACACTATTTGCATTATTTTGTTCGCATTTACAACTTATACAAACACCTTTTTTTTTTTCGGGCAAACACAGTAGAGTTTGAATTGTTAACTAAATGGATCCCAAAAACTATAATGATTTGTGTGTGTGTGTAATGAACATGAAGTAACATTTTAGTCTGGAATTGAAGGGAATAACAAACAATGCAAAAAAAAAACATTATTTTAAAAAACCTTAGAATTAATAATCACACATACTACAGTATTTTCTTCGACCGGATTAAACCGATAAAAATAAATAAAACAAAATACACATAATAACTTTTTTTTTTCTATTGAACTCTCGTGAAAAGTATATACTTGCCAAATATATATTTATTTTCGTTTCAACGCAAAGAACATCATGAGCTTCTCACGGTAGCTAGATTCAATCTTCTCAGTAAGTCCAACAAGTTTTACAGTGAGACGGTCGAAAATCTCATCGAGGACATGGTCACCAAAATGGTTGATGAAGAGAGATCCCATTGTGGCCTTTATGCAAACCATCCATTGCCTCACATCCTCCACGTTCATTGGCCGTTTGAGCCAGGCTGCAGGGTTCATCAGTTCCATCGATTCGATTGTGAAGCATCCATTTTTCTCTACCAAGAATGTTACCTCCTCAGGCGATGGTGAGTAGATAGGTATGTTGAAGGTATCTACTTGCTCTTCTGTGATCAAACCCTACATGCCAATTACACCACACATAACGTACAAAACCATAATTAAAAATAAACAAGAGACGTATACGTTATGGGTAATATATAATATTGTTTCTTTTTTCTCTTACCTTGGATTGCATTTGAATGAGAACTTCAGCCATGGACGTATACATAATACCGTCGGCAAGATTAGAGAAAGGCATACCTTTAGGAATCCCACACATTCCAACAACCAAAAGACCTCCACTCACTAGTTCTTTAGCTCTAGCTTCTAGAAACTTCCCCATGTCACGACCGAACTGATTTTCATAAGCCTTCACCACTTCCTTCGCCGCATTTGAGTAATGAACCTTTCCTTTATTCCAAGCCTTGGAGCTTTTGTCCACCACATCCTTTGGAACACTTGAAAGCCAGTGTGTGGCCGCAACCGTCACTACAATATGAACGGAGGATCGAGGAAGAACATGGCCGTAGAACGAACCGGGAACCCCGACCGCGAAGTAACTCCCATCTCGAGGGAGAGAAGTGAAGAGAGTGTTGAAGTCGTTTTCAGGTAGGTCGTTGAAGTAGACAAGAAACTCTGGTTTTGTGGATTTTGATCTTCTTAAGTTGGTTTCAACGGATCTGATGATGTCGTCAACGAGAAAGAATGTGTTTGGTCCAGTTGCGCAACCAAGATCGGCTATGCGGAACGTGTTGTTGGAGCCAGAGATTAGGGTTTTTGCATCGAGTTTCTCTATTATCAATTTGTCTATTGCCTCTTTCAACAAACTTGTTGTTCTTCTCTGTACACACACCAAAAAATGAAATAAATAAATGAAAAATATCTACATAAAACATTATTACTATATATATTCGAACCTAATGAAATAATGCCTTTCGTGCCTTCTAGATCTAAGTTTATGATTTAGCCTTTCGTCAGAAAATGAAGCTGCACGGTGTTCTTTGTGTGGCTCGATGAGTTCTGAACATTTTAATATCGTTGTTGGAGTTTCTAATTGTAAAATTTTTTTGAAGTAGATAAATAATTAAGGAACCAAATTTTGATTAAACAAGAAGATAAATGACAATGAAGTCAAATTATGTTCTTCCTAGCTCTGAAGTCGTAGGCTTTCAATGGATCCGAATAGCCAACCAAGTAAATATATGTCTACTTACGAAATCGACTGATGACATTCTTAAACTATATATCTTGTACTTTACCATGTCTAGATGATTAGTAAAATAGTTAAGTACTAGACTATATTCTACTAATCATCTAAGATACCAATTAGTCAAAATGCATCTTTACATTTGAACTTTGAAGTTGTTATAAAGGAACATGAAATACAAAGGAAGAAGAGAAAAAAAAAAGAGACCTGCAAATGAGAATTCTTAGAGTAGCTGTTTGGGCCATCTCCGCCACTCATAGGAAGTGAACTAAGAACAATCTCCACTTTTTTCATTATGATTTTTCTTGTGTTTTTTTTTGTTGTTGTTCTTCTTCTTCTATACTTTGGGTTGTGTCGCCTATCATTTATATATATAGGCCATGCACTTAATTATTAAACACGTCGTACCCTTTATATTATATTCACTGCTATAAACAATAATTGAAAACCCTCTTGCATTAAACTACAAAAACACACACACATATACACAATACAAGATTATATGCGTTAAAAACTATAAACTTTTATATACAAGAATTTGCCATCACATCAATTATTCTTCATTAATGAAGTGAAATAGAGAGATTTTATTTTTATATTTTTAAAAGAATATGTTATTTAGGATATTAACGTAATTTATGTTGTAAGTGAATAAATTATCTTCATTAACTCAGTTAAATTGGCCTATTTTCTGATAAATAATCTTGTTATTATTAGTATTATAAGTTATAGGCTAGCTAGGCAGAAGAATCTTCAAATTATATGAATATATAGATTATTTTATTTCAAACCAATAAGATTTACAAAGTATTTTCATATTCAATGAACTATAACATACTACACTTGTTTTAAAATAGAGAAAGCTAATACTGATCGTGAATTATTATCAGTGGTTATTATTACAGTGGTCCTAAATCTTAATACGTTACGTACAAGTCTACAATTAATATATAATTTTCTCCTAAAACTTAAATAATTTTCTTTGAAGTTGAACTAATCACATAGGTCTTGCGTGAGAAAACTACGTAATCGTAGGGAGCATCAAATTAATAAATAGATCATCATAGCTAGGTTAAACTAAACTACAATATTAATATGCTTATTCGTTTCCAAAGCAGATGCTCTGTACTAATATCCAAGAAAATATAATTCATAAGATGCCAAACATATATATGATAATATGATAAAGACTTGATTAAATATTTGTATATTGTAACTTGTTTAATATCTCTACTAATGTATCTTTTTAATTCTTTCGACAGTAAACCAATGAATAAATTTTAAAAACATACAATTGTGGAAAAATGTTATTGAATGATGATGAATTCATGAATTAAAAAGAGCAAAAAAAATTACAAAAACTGCAAATAAAATTAATTGAATGATGATCAATTTATGAATTAAAAAGAGCAAAAAAAGTTATTGATTACGGTACGGTCCATACCAGAACACATTTCTTATTTGTTGGGCTTACGTGGGCCTGGGCTTTGGGGAAAACTATCATCTTCCCCTTGTTTTTTTTTTCTTTTTGGTTCAAACTCTCTCGTCTTCCTCTAAAACCTTTAATAATGGGCAAAACTGCAAATTCTCAGATTGCTTAACGTTAGGTTACCGTCAACAGCTATTTTCTTAACCGGACGATGGAGACTCCGAATTCAGACGGTTTATGTGATCGCTTCGTGACTGGGAATTCAGAAATTGATAACTGGATTTGGATCATCGAGTATCTTGCCAAATTCAAATCTGAGCTTTGGATGTTGCATGGTAATTGAATTTAATTCCCATCAGTTTCAGTCTCTTTGATTTTAGAACCAATCTCAATTCTGAGGTGAAAACTGTTTTTTTTTTTTGTGTGCAGATGTCTTTGAAATGGGTCCGAAGCTTCCAGATTACTTGGGTGAACAAACCAATGAGATGGTAGCTTTCAGATGCTTGGCTTCTTTGTTTGATTCTGATGTTGCTGTTGTTGTTTCTGATGCTAATTCAAAGGTCGAGTTTGATTCGTCTGAGAGTTGTGAATATGTTCTTCAATGTATATTGGATGAGGTATATAACTGATTACTTCATATTTTACTTTCTCCTGTGGTTTCTTTTATATGTTCATACTTAGATTTTTTGGTTCTTCGTTTTCTAGATACCTTTATCGGAACTGAGACTAGGGGCACCGGGACTATCAAAGTGGAATCTTCTACCCTTTATCAAAAGCAAGCTTCTTTGTCTGCCTAAATGTGCTTTGGAACTGGTATTAAGACTTGCTTTAAAGTTCTATTTTTGATGATGAGCTATAAGGCTTTTAAGGTTTTCTTTATGTTTGTACATTTGTGTTTCTTTTGATTAGATGCTTGAACCATCATCCTATGAGATGGATACTGAAGTATTATTACCTTGTAATGAGGAAGAGACTTTGAGAAGTGGTGGCAAAGAGACTGAACAAGATATTCCTTCAGGGGCTGAACCAGATCTTATGGAGAGAACAGAAGGCGGACAATCATTTTTTCGGGACATTGGAGATGGGGCTGATGAGATTAGTAGACCCGATGTGTTGTTCGATAGAAGAACGGAAGGAATTCAAAACGAGAGCGATGGTCGTTTGTCAAGTCCCGTGGAGAAAGTATACAGATGCATACAGTGCAAAGAAAGTGGGATGCTCTTGTTTTGTTCTAAAGATGGCTGTGAAGTTATGGTTCATCAGAAATGTTTGAAAATGCCACCTGATTATGATGACGCTGGAAACTTTTACTGTTCTCTCTGTGCTGTTACCTGTGCTCCAGCTGAGTTTCTCCAATCGCAAGATGAAGTTGCTAAATCAAGGAAGAAACTAGTTTCGTTTCTTAGACTGGTTTCAGAGGTTAATAAGAAGAAATCTAAAGAGGGAACCTGAACACTTTGTAGGATAAAGCCTTCATTATAAATATTTTTAGATTGTAAACAAAGGACAAATACATATGCACTCAGTATCTCCTCTTTGTTACAATTTTCCGATGTAAATACTAAATATACAAAGGAGAAAATTTTCTAGTCACTGATACGTTCTCTGTGATTTTTTAAACAGGAGTGATCTGGTCTGTAACAGAAGCTAAACCGTGCATTAACCTGACAATTTCAGTAGTATCATCCAGGTAATACTTGGCCTTGCTAGGCTTTTGTCCGACAGTACATGCAAAAACCTCAGCTCTTGGGGCAATCGAAGGGCCTTCGGTGGAGCTGCATATCACCTCAAACATGTCTTCATCAGATCGGTCATCTCCAATACATAAAACAAACTCAAAAGGTGTTCCTCTTTCTTGCATCATCGAAAGCATTCTTCTTGCTATAAGTCCTTTGCTCACGCCCTACATTACAACAAGAAGATCAAAGAAGACTCACAATGGTACAAGTGGAAACAAATGCCAAGGTAGTCTGAATGGTGACACAAACCTGCGGCTTGACCTCAACGTAGTTCTGCCCTCGCTTGACTGTGACAGGTTCATTGGCAAGGACACTTTCAAGATGATCTAGAAGTTCCTTAGCTTGACATGAGCCGAAATCAGGGTCAGCATCCTCATAGCTCCAAACAAGAGCGGTCTCTTTGTCTTCGATTGTTGATCCATCAGTAGTCTCGGTGTAGAGTTCCATCACAGGCTCTGCAATTTGCTTCCATGAACAATCTGCTGCTCCCACACAGTTCTCCCATTCTACTGCCTTTTTCAGCCTGTGTAGTCGTCAGATAGATTATGAGTTATAAGATTAAGGGTAATGCATGGATCAAGATGTTTCAGTGGATTACCTCAGAAAATAGCCATGTTCAGCAGCAATTCCAAGCTTCTCACACGGACTAAACCAGTCCGACAATGTATCTCGGCTTTTAGCACTTACAATGAACACCAGATTGTCTTTGTCCCTACACAGGGTGTTCAATATGTCGATTGACTTCGATGAAGGTCTTTTATCGATAGAACCCTGTGGCATTAAAGTATCATCGTAGTCCAAAAGAATAGCTCGTGTCTTTGTTCTCTTATAAGCTGATACTATGTGTTCCATTGACAGTTTCCTGAAGCTCTGGTCTAGTGCCACAACTCTGAAACTGAGACCAAACCCAATTCCCCAACACCTCCTTCGTCCATGCTCACCACAACTCCTCTCAAGATCTTGGAGGAAGCTACGAGCCCAATAACCAACATCATGTGTGCTCACATACTTGTAATGTTTCTCGTGCCTTAGCTGCTTCTCCGGTTCCGCCACTTCAAGGGCACTGTCCATTGCATCCGCCACTGCATCAACATTCCAGGGATTAACACGGATAGCTCCACTTAGGGATGGAGAGCAACCAATAAACTCAGAAACCACCAGCATGCTTTTCTTGTGATTATGATTATTTGGCTCCAGCTTTAGAATTTTGTCCAGATTCTCATTTCCTTGACGGGAAACTATGTACTCGTAAGGTATAAGATTCATCCCATCCCTAACTGCTGTCACCAAACAACATTCAGCAACAACGTAATAAGCAACCCTTTCGTAAAACTTCAGCGGTTCATCGATCAATACTATGGGATCATAGCCAGGTCTCCCAAACGTCTCATTAATCCGCTTAACAGTTGAGTATGTCTCAGCTTGCATCTCTTTAACATCTTTCCCTTTCCCCCTTGCTGGATTAGCTATCTGCACCAACACAACCTTCCCTTGCCATTCGGGATGTTGCATAAGCAGCTGCTCCATAGCCAAGAGCTTCAAGGTTATCCCTTTAAAGATATCCATGTCGTCCACACCGAGCAGCATTGTCCTGCCCTTTCGACCATACCGCTCAATGAGCTCTCCGACTTTCCTTTCAGTCTCGGGTAAGCTCAAAACCGACTGAAGCTGACCCATGTGGATTCCCACAGGAAGGATTTTGATACTCACAGTTCTACCATAATACTCAAGTCCAATGTATCCTCTCTTTGATTCATAAGTAAGACCGAGCATTCGACTACAACAAGACAAGAAATGCCTGGCGTAGTCGAAAGTATGGAACCCTATCAAATCCGAGTTTAGTAAAGCCCGAAGCAGCTCCTCACGAATAGGCAAAGTTTTGTAAATCTCAGACGATGGAAACGGACTATGGAGGAAGAAACCAAGCTTGACTCTATTAAACCTCTTCCTCAAGAATGTAGGCAAGACCATCAAATGATAATCATGTACCCACACAAAATCATCCTCAGGATTAATCACCTCCATAATCCTATCAGCAAAAATCTTGTTCACGGAGACATAAGCTTGCCACAAAGTCCTATCAAACCTACCTCCAAGATCAGGAGAAAGTGGCAACATGTAATGAAACAGAGGCCAAAGCTGTTGCTTACAGAATCCATGGTAGTATCTAGTATACAAATCAAGTGGCAAAAACGTCGGTACACACTTGAAACTCTCCAAAAGAACTTGATACACCTCTTCTTGCTCATTAGGATGAATCTCTTCTTTCAAACAACCCACATAGATAACTTCAATAGCTTCATCTCCTAACCCATCTTTCAATTGGAGAAGAAGTGAATTCTTATCCCAAGAAAAGTTCCAACCTTTGCTACAACAAGTACTAGTACTACCACCACTAGTACTACCACTACTACCATCCACCCTTCTCTGAGCTCGTATGGGTAATTCATTAGCCACGATGATGATACGGTCTTTGGGAGAGAGATCAGTCTCTTTAGAGTCATTATCGATGTTTGACATGATTCCAGCAACGGCCATGATTCGTGGGATCTGTCGGTTCATGCGTCCAAACGTTGGAGAGTCTCCTGAAGCAAGCTCCAATAGATTCGAATACGATCTTGAAACCATTTCTTGAGACGAAGAAACTGAGAAAAACAACTAAAGAAAGAGAGAATCTTTTTAAAACAGAAACTTTTATTGGTTTGAGACAAATGAAAGAGCTAGAGAAGAAGAAGAGAGCTCTCTTGTAATGGAAAAAAGGTTTAACAAAAAGGAAAAAGCAAGGCTTTTGATTGAAACATGATGAAACAGACTAAGCGCTCCCTTCACCGATTATTACATATGAGAAAGAGAGAAAAGCAAAAAAAGGAATAGATGCAAAGAATATTACAGCTTCATTTGTCTGAACGTGAGGTTTATAATTTGAGAAGACAAAAAGAGAGGTTTTTTTTCTTTTATTTGACTGTTGTTGATGAGGAATGCTTATATGCGGCTTTTTGTGTGATTATATAAAAAAAGAAAAAAAAAAACAAGTAGAAAAAAGTGATTCTTCAGATCAATATAAGGTTTTTGCGTGTGAAATTAGAATTATGACGAAAATAGTTTAGTGTTTGACAAAAATAAAATAAAAAAATAATAGTTATCATAAAATTATGTGTAGAGATTTAAATATGTATGTGGGATAAATATATATTAAGTTTGAGTCGTCCGATAAAAAAAAAAAAAAAAAGATCTTATCCGTTAGTGGCTTATATTTACAGGCCAAAGTGGGGGAACCCAGAAGAAGCAAGGCTGTCACATGGGGTTTTGGTCTCAGACACAACACCACGTGGTTTTTGTTTCATTTGATTGCTACGTGTCGAGATCTCAATGCTTTTTATCAACATAAGACAGAGTGTCATTTTTTTTCTTTTTTGGCAGCGTCATTGTTGCCTAATTTTAATTAAAACTGCATTTATATCTCTAACAAAAACAAAAAATACTGCATTTATATTACAAAATGATTTTGTTTTTGTTTGAGGTCACATACCTAAACTACTGTATTAAACTAATGATTGATAGAGAGTTTGATTTTGTTTTTTTTTCTTTCCGAAATATATGCTTAGATCTTCCTTTTTAAATATATACGATGTTTTTTAAAGTATTTTTTCTGAATCTGGTAACTGAATATATAATTTGTTTTGAAATAATTTAATTTTTATACTTAATAAACTTTGCAACAAGTCTTACATTTTGATTTTTAATTATTTTTTTTGTCGTCAAAATATAATTTATATAGATAAATTAATGTAATCATGATACAATTGTTGTGTTAGCCAAACTGGCGGATTAAAACAGTCAGAATAAAAAGAAAAATTATTACAACCATATTTTGCAAGAAGGTGAGGAGCACCATTACAATTCCTCCTAGTGAAAATAAAAGTAGATGATTGAAATTTCGAAGTCCAAAATAAAATATCAAGTAAAACTCCTTCGATCGACACATCCGTATATTGTTTATTGATGATCTTATTCAACACTTCACTATCTCCTTCAACACAAATCTCTTTGATCCCTTTGATCCAACATTGTTGCATAGCTAAAATCAACGCCTTCGCTTCTGCTTCCAATGAAGATGTAGCATGTCCCAATACCGCAGATCCCCAGCCAAGCGTACCACCTTGAAAATTCCGTATGATCCATCCTCCTTTAACTTGATTTGTATTATGATTAAAAGCAGCATCGTAATTACACTTAAAAACACCATTTATGGGGCGTGACCAATGTACATTATTATTCATGAATAAATTTGTATGTTGAGGCATAGGAGGATTATTATTTTTAATCCAGTTGTGAACATCTCCCCGAGCATGATAAACAATATTTATAGGTCTTTCATGAATGCCATTAAAGATAAAGTTATTTCTGGATTTCCAAATATACCATACTAACCAAAAGGGTAGTAATTTTGTTTCATGAGGTAGCTCAACATCAGAAAGTAAGGATATAAAACCGTCAATAATTGTATCACTACCCCCATTTGATGTATGTAAAATATGAATAGGAATATTAGAAAATTCCCAAACAGATTTGGCATGAGGGCGAAGAAAAGAATATGATCTATTGTTTCATCCGTTTGAAAACATCTTGGACAAATAGGGTCAATATTCATCCCACGAGTGTTTAGTCGAGTAATGGTGGGCAAAGCTTTTGATAAGATTCTCCATAAAAAGTGTTTTATTTTTGGTAAAATGTTCATCTTCCAAATCTTATTTTTTAATCGTTAGAGCCATGGGGGATAGGAGGGTTATCCATATTATTTGTTGGATGATGAGTATAAAGCCAATACCCAGATCGAACAGAATATTCACCGGTGTTGGTATAATGCCAAATAAGCTTGTCAGGTAAACTAAGTTTAGATAAATGAATGTTATAAAGATTGCTATGATCAATTATATTGATTTTTTCAGAAACTATGGAAGTATCCCAATAACGATGGTTTCCTACAGAAGAGATAAGATCTCTAAACTCAAAATTAATGTTAGTAATACCCTGAATAGGTTGAGGAGGGTGGGTGGGTGTGACATTATCAATATTAACTCTAGCTGTTTTGCCATCCCCAATTATATACCGAGTCCCCATTTTTAAAATTTTTAAACCCCTCAAGAATAGAAGACCATCCATAAGATTGATTGGCCCTTGTTTTTGCCTCAAAAATAGTTTCATCTCTAAAATATCTAGCTTTCATAACCCTAGCAAAAAGGGTGTCAGGATACTTATAAATTCTCCAGGCTTGTTTTGCTAAAAGAGCATCATTAAATTTTGATAAGTTTTTAAAACCTAAGCCACCCTCTAATTTAGAGAATTGTAATCTCTTCCAAGCTACCCAAGGTATACTCCTCTCTTCATTCCCTTTTTCCCACCAGAAGCGTTGAAGTTCAGAATCTATCTCATTTACTACACTTGCAGGAATCTTAAAACAGGACATGGTGTAAATTGGCATTGCCAATGCCACAGATTTAAGCATAATTTCCTTACCAGCCGGAGATAACTTCTTCACACTCCAAGAAGCAGTTCGTTGTTTTACTTTGTCTATTATGTAGTTGAACATTTCTTTCTTTTTCCGACCAAACTGTTCAGGAAGACCAAGATACTTCCCCCCACCCCCATGATTTGGAATCTGAAGAATGTTTTTAAGTCTATTTTGAACTTGTCCATAAACTCTGGAACCAAAAGTTATTAAAGATTTTGTTGTATTAATTTTTTGGCCAGAATAATATTCATAAACTTCAAACACCTCCTTAATAGCTTGACAATTACGAGCATTGGCTTGGCAGAAAAATAGAGAATCATCTGCAAATTGGAGATGAGTAATAGCTGGAACTCCATTTCCTATTCTTATTCCGCGAATATCTCCATCCATTACTCTTGATTTAATTAAATGACTCATTATATCAGCACATAAAATAAATAGATAAGGCGAGAGGGGATCTCCCTGCCTTATACCCCGCTCAGGAATAACCGATCCATGAGGGGAACCATTTATAAGGATAGAATAACTAACAGAACGGACCGATGCCATAATCCAAGAGATCCATTTATCAGAAAAACCAAACAAACGCATGGTTACCTCTAGAAAATTCCATTCAACCCTATCATAAGCTTTAGTTACATCAGTTTTAATTGCCATGTAATTTTGTGAGACCCTTTTCCTAGATTTTAATGAATGCATAACCTCATGTGCTATCATTATGTTATCAGTGACCACTCTACCCGGGATAAAGGCAGCCTGAGTATCCGATGCAATGGAATTTAAATGTTTTTTTAGTCTATTTACCAAGCACTTTGAAATGATTTTATATAGGACATTGCACAAAGCTATTGGTCGAAAATCTGATAGGGTTTTTGGATTAGTAATTTTTGGTATCATGCAAATGTTTGTGTGGTTAATACCTGACTTCATGTAGGATGTCTCGAAGAAATCTTGTACCTCTTGAATTATATCCACACCAATAATATCCCAATAATGTTTATAGAAACGGGCAGTGAGACCATCCGGACCGGGTGCTTTATCATCTCCAATAGAGGATATGGCTTCAAAAATTTCTTCATTTGTGAATGCCTTCGTTAGCTCCGTATTCATCTCTTCTGTCACAGTCGACGCAAAGTCACCAAAATCAATTGGTGAAACCGGATTTCTGTTTGATTTATATGCTTCTTTAAAGTATTCTTGAGCATGATTTCCAATACTTTGATCCCCAGCATAAATGTTGTTTGATGCATCTTTTATAGAGGAGATGTAATTCTGAGCATAGCTTGTTTTCGTACACGCGTGAAAAAATGAAGTATTACGATCACCAAGAAGCATCCATTGATTCCTACTCTTATTTTGCCAATAATATTCCTCATCTCTATAAGCCATTGTTAATTCTCTTTGTAGTCTTGGAATGTCTCTTCGATGTCTTTCAAAAGTGCTCTCCATAGCTTTATTTAAAGCATCTTGAAAATGATCAATGCGTTTTGCAGCATTCAAGTTGACGTTGTGTTTTCCCCTTGCCATAGCTCTCCTGCAATTTGTGATCTGATCACAAATAGAATAAAAATTCCTATTTTTACAACTGTTCCAACCTTGTTCCACAATCTCACTAAATTTTTCTATTTGAGTTAAACGTCTATCAAATCTAAAAGGTTTATAATGGACTGTATTTTGTGGATTAAAGGTTGTTAAAATAGGCTTATGATCAGAACCATTAAACTCTAAAAACTCAGCCTCTGCTCTTGGAAAACAAACAAGCCATTCTGTATTTATCAACACTCTATCTAAACAACATTTAATAGTGTAGTTTCTTCTTTCCCCAACCCAAGAGAATCTATCTCCCTTAGATCTCAAATCAGCGAGATCACAGCTTGATATCATGTTACGGAAACGTCTAAAAGACCATTCTTCACGTAAAGGTCCACCAATTTTTTCTTCATTTCCCAGAATTTCATTAAAATCCCCAGTAAGCATCCATGGACCAGTTCTAGATGCATTTATAGACTCAAGATGATCCCATAAAATGTGTCTTTGGCTAGGAACAGGATGACCATAAACACCAGACAAATAAAAGCTAATGTTATTAATAGTGATGTGAACATCAATAATACGATCATCCTGATACAAATTAGACAAAGAAACTGTGTTCATCCACAACAAAGCTAAACCACCACTCCTCCCTTGAGGAGGTTGAGTAATAACGTTATTAAATCCTAAAACAGAAGCAAAATCACACACAACAGAACAAGAATTCATAGTTTCACACAAGAATAAAACATGAGGTTTTAAAATACGACATAAACGTTTAAGGCGATATTGAGTCAGCGGCGAACAGATGCCCTGACAGTTCCAGGAGACGACTCTCATGGAGGCTGTGGGGGTACCGGGCCCCCCGCGCCTCCGTCGATAGCCTTACTGCTGCAAGAACCTTCAGACTCCACCTTCTCTCGCTTGCGCATCTGACTCAGGACCATCAGATCTTCTGCTTCTTCACATTGTTGATAGTAGAGTTCCATGGAGTTCCTCTTCCTCTTGTGGGAGACCTCTGAAGTGTGAATCCCTGGGATGAAAACAGTGTTGGATTGGCTAGCATCTTGTGTCTCCTTTCCTTTAGCAAATTTGGTGAACAGGTATCGAAGCCTTTCCGCCGTGAGTTCAGAATCCTCAAAGACACTTGGGAGAGAAGAGCCATCTGACTCAGTGATGATAAACTCCTTATGCTTTGAGACTCTTGTGAGAGGAGATCTCTCTTCAGTTGGAGTAGGCGTAGGCAAATTGTTTGCATCAAATTCATAGTTGGCGTGTGGGATTTCATCGTGAGGCTCTTGATCATCGTGAGGCTCTTGATCATCATGAGGCTCTTGATCATCCTGTTGATCATGATCATCGTGACCGTTACCATCATCACCGTCCATATCAGGTTGATCATCAAACGTAAGAGGACACTCCTTTGCATCATGTTGAAGACAGCCACACTTTGAACAGAAATTACGGAGACGCTCATACTTGAACTTCAGGATGGTATTTTCATCACCCCCAAACTGAAAATTCCTTTGGAAACGAAGCGGCACATCAACATTCCAATTCACACAGATACGTATGAACTCCACCAGATTAGCATTTTCATCAAAATCCACTTCAGCGACATCACCAATCTGATCCCCAATGTAATTAACCATCGCTTCATTGAGGAATTGGAACGGAATGCCACGAACTTGAATCCAGAAGGGAATAATCTTCATGGTTTCCTCTGAAATGTTCGGGTACCAACGATGCACAGAAAGCATCCAGTCGTTAAAAGCCCACGGACCACGACGAAGCACCACTTGGAGAGATTCTCCGGTCTTGAAAATAAACAGAACCCGACCATTACCCAGAACTCTTCCACGACAATCATCTGAAAAACCCCAAATTTTGGGCATCTGGTTAACAATCGCCTTAAGATTTTGCTTGCGCGGATTCACCACTGAAACAATCAACGAGTAACGGTTGGCATTGACGGCCTGTCCACAGAGCGCCGCCGGGAGAGCAATTGGGACATCGTTGATTCCCAAATCCAAATTTTGCAGAGACTTCCGAACGTAATCACTCATTGGAACAATAAGAACGTTTTGAAATTTGGTAGTTGTAAGAAGAATAGAAATTGGAGTCCGAATTCCGACATATATATAACAGATTGGCCATAGCCGTTTAGATCGACGGTTATCTCTCGAAAAAGAGGGGAAGAGAAAACTGCAAACACCCAACTGCCGCAGACAGTAACCGGCCAAATCTAATACAACGGTCACTAGAATTGTCGGAAAAAAACTCCAAATTGGAGAAGGAGGAGGGCGAATCCGATAACGAAAATCGCAACCGTAGTCGCCTCTAGAGAGAAAAGTCGCCATTATTCTTTTTTTAAAATATGTTACCATTTTCACAAGTCCATGATCTTATGATTCATCTATTGATTTTGATTCGTTGAACTCATAATTTTGCTGAAAATTTATGCTCTAGTGTGATAATTTTGTACAGAAAATAGCTTAGCAACATGCTTTTTTTTTTTGGCAAACATCAACATGTTTATTTTGCATATATATTGATCCATATACAAAAGTCAATCATGAATATAAAGGTTGATTTATAACTTTGGGAAAAGCATTGTCAACTCAAAAATCTTTTTTAAAAAACAGCAAATTATGTAAAGTCAAATAAGTGATGTTTTATACGAACATGTTACTTGTAGAAATGGCAAACCCACATTGTCAACTCAAATGCTTAGGTTGACATAATCACAAGCTATAATTTGGTAATTTTTTGCTGCTATATTAGAATTTACCACTCATATATACTTGTATATAACTCTTGTTTACCATTAATCTAGAGAACATGTACTCTTGCCATGTTTATGGGATAGAGGAAGTGGATAGAAAGACTGATCAGCAATATAAGACTTTAAAAGAGTGATTTATATATGATCCAACGTGGTTGTTGCATGCATATGCATTACATAAACACAACTTGACACCATCATATATTCACTAAAACGATTCTTCCAAATCCCCCCTTCTTCATACTCAACTCATAGCTTCGAAACAGGCAATCCTGAAAAATCCCAAAGAATATATCTATGAGAGCACTTTTAATAGAGAATGAGAACAAACTTGTATAAGTGGATTAGACAATGCTTCGTTTGTTTGTGTTTATGTTAGTCTGAGTCACTGTGTGTAGTACCTAAGGCCTTTGAGTTGACGATGCTTGGACTTGCATTGGGTGGTGAAGCATTTTCGTTCAAGAATGGGTCTACTCGGTTCGGGTCACTCCATATCGGGTACCCTTTGACCCTTCCCTGTTAAAACATTTTCAGAAGAAGATGGTCAGAAGTTAGTCATTTTGAATGTTACAAGAAAAGAGGGTTTTTGGAATGAGAATGCATACAAGGACGTTGAGAGCTGCAAGTGTAGCCATTCCTTCACGAGTCCACTGTCATTATCATCAAAATAAATCAAGTTAGTGTCGTTAAAATCTATTTAGACAAAAACAAACGTTTCAGTCTGTTACCTTGGAAGCAGAAGCAATGTGAGGAACAACAATGGCGTTTTTCATATCAGCAAGCCCTGGTTTCATGAATGGCTCTTCCTGAAACAATGTGATTTACCAATTACTTGTTAAGCACCCAGAGATAAACTCTTATGTTTTGGGTTGGTCATAGCGTATATGGCAGTACCTCAAACACATCAAGACCAACTCGGAACATTGGGTTCTCTCTGAGATGATCAACCAGAGCTGCCTCATCGATCACAGGACCTCTACTGCAGTTCACAAGGATTGCTTCCTAAAGCATTTATATTCCATCAGAACAAGATAAACTTGAAAACATCAATAAGAGTAGATAAGATCAAACAGCGAAAAGCAAAATCACCTTTTTCATCATGGCAAGCCTCTCCTTGTTGACAAGATGGTAAGTGGTTTTGTCTAGCACCGGGTGAAGACTTATCTGTTTCAGATCACAACCAGTTCAGTTTCTAGCTATTAGAGATTACAGTACAAATGTTAAACAAAATATCAGTTTGTCACTGAGTGGAATCCATATACAATACCAGATCAGCCTCGCGCAGCACTTCCTCCATGGACGAAGCTCTTTTCCATGTCACAGGTTGTTCACCATTTGCTTTCAAGAATTGTCCATAAGCTGCCAATGATCATTGTCTCAAATATATATAAACTTCACTATGAAGACAAAGAACAGAGAATAGAGTATTGTTAGATACTGTGCATACCTGTCACAAACTTCTCAAGACGAGTGGATTGGTAAAGATCAAAGTAGATTAAGTTCATCTTGAACCCTTCAACCTGTTTTGAATTCAAGAGGTCAAGAAAAGGTAGCTTTTGTGTACAAAATGTGGATCGAAATTTACAAATGCCATGTTGCAAGAGGTATACCATCATTCTAGCATAAGCAGATCCAATACGTCCAGCTCCAATAACTCCCACAGTCTGTCCTTTGAGTAAGTTACCCACAAACCTACCAAAAATCAAACAACCAGATTTACAGATAAGCTTCAAGGACACAACTAAAACATTCTTCTTGATTTGATCAAAAAAGTGCAGTGATCTCACAGATGAGGAAGCCATCCCTCGTACAAGCCACCTCTCATGAATTCGTCGGCTTCAACAATTCTTCTTGCAGCAGCCAAGGAAAGAGAAGCAGCTAGTTCGGCTGTTGTCTCGGTCAACACTCCCTATCCAACTCAAACAACAAGACTCATCAACATCGTTCTGTTTTCTTTCTTTTTTTCATGTATACCACAAAAATGATCTAGTAACCATTTCCAACCTATATGTGTAACTAAAACTTATGACGACAAAAAAAAAAAAAAAAAGTGTAACTAAAACTTATTTTTCTTGTAATTTAGGATAGTTTCTCGATATATTACCGGAGTGTTACCGACGGCAATTCCATACTTATTGGCAGCTTCAACATCAACGTTGTTGTAACCGACGGCCATGTTACTGAAAGCTTTCCCTCCAGCTTTGCTCAGAGCTGAAAAGAGAGTCTCTCCCCAATCTTCCGTCAACTATAACAAACCAAAACTTAACTCATTTGTACTTAAACTTTCATATGGTATAGAACTAGACACTGTCACCTTTCTCTCTTTTCGTCATATCATTACCTGACCGATGACTCCATCACACTTGTCTCCGATCAGATCAATGATATCTTCCACAGACAAGATCGTCTTCTTCAAATGACATATCTATTATTCAAAAAGCAAGAAACTTTCGTCTGAATTCATCAAACTTTTAATATTTCTTGATGCCTAGAGACAAGAAAGTATTACCTCAACGCGACAACCTTGGTCTACCAAGAGGTTGATCCAGCGAGTACCAGGCATCGGCTTCGTGCTGACGACTCTGTACTTCCCATTAGGATTATACACTTCAATGGACACCGGTTTCGCCATGGCAGAGAAATGAGAAAGCTTCAACTGTTTCTGTGGTGAGAATTTGGAAAACAGAGGAGGTCCTGCCTTTAAAAAAAGTTCAGTTTTTTAGCTCAGTCAGTAGAATTTATGTGGTTTGAAACCAAAAACAAGATCCAACGGTCGATTTTGCGTGACTATTATCTACGATTTTGTCTGTTTTTGGTGTGGTTCATAAGTTGATGATGAGTGACAAAGAAGTGATTCGTGTGCATTATCTGAGTCTGGACCTTACGTTTCAGAACGAGATAATGCTGACGTGTCCGTATCCGACTCAACTCTGCATCAAAAACTGAATAAAATATATACATAGATAGATTAAAATAGTAATCAAGATTATATGTACAAAGAAGATTATATCAAAAGGCAAATTAATATTCTTCATTCATCTCATTAAAAACAATTATCTACATCCACAGTGAAAACAGAACACACAGTTAAAAAGAAAAAAGAGTTGCAGGTTCAGAGAAAAAGGAAGATCAAGGCTTCTGCTGCTTCTCTATGTCATACAGTACACAAACGTCTGCAGCCGTTTTCATCTGCCACAAGTCAGAATTTAATTAGAACCAAAACAGCTTCTAATAAAAAGAGGATTAGTGGCAGATTTGGCAAAAGATCTTAGCTTTACCTGAATGACATTGACGGTCTGCTTCATCGACCAGCCAAACAATGTCAAAGCCAGGAGAAAAGAGAGTGGTGAAATCTGCGTTAATGTGGCAACTACGACCTGCAATGAAAACTATGCTTTAGTAATTGAGCAGAGTAAGTCTGAGAGCAAACTAAATGAAACAAAAAAGAAGCTAACATTCAGGAGATTTTCGGACTGGTTCTTTGCAATGAGAAGAAGGATGATATACAGAACCTGCACGTTGAAAAGATTTGTGTGTAAGAAGACATCATCTCAAAAAGATTAGCATGTAATTAAAGAGACAAATTCAATCACCTCGCAAGAAACACAGCAATAACACATAAATATCCGGTTTCCATAGTATAGTCTGAACAGCCAGCTTGTGCTGTCTTTCACATCCTTATGGCTGCTCTTCCCAGCTAGAAACGTACTGCGAGTAGAGAATTAAGTTCCCAGTTAGATACTGGAGTTGAAAAGTATAGAGAAGAAATCACGGTGCAATAACAAAGAGTTAATTAGCATACCTGTACATCTGCAGCCAGTGACTAGCAATATCTAAAGCCAGCAATGAAAGGAAGACCAAGCTAGGCCTATTTACAGATGAAAGAAAAAATGCATTGGATAAAGAAGAAACCAGTCTACACCAAACTCCAGAGATGCTACGGAAAAGAGATACTGTACATATAAATATCCACACCTGTAGATTTGAGAGAGAATCACGAGTAGACAGGCCGTGCTAACCCTATAACCCACAATGACAACCAAGCATATGTCAGAACCTATTAAACAGATAAGTAGGTTGATCCTCACATATTTGTAGAAGAAGATTCACCTATCTGTGACCATGTCGAGAACAGCTCCAAATGTTGAAACTGAGGAAGAAAGAAAGAGAAGTGAGTCAAGTTCTAGATTCCTACATATTATAGTAATGGCATGAGATGCATGTCTTAGCTTATAGAATCACAATGAAAACAATGTCTATTACATTGAAACTAAACACTAGCAACGTACTATCCTACTCTTGATCAGTGGTAGGACCTTTTGAGCAATCGTACACAATGAAAATGTGAATCATAAAACAAGAGAGAAGTATTTGAACCTTGGTTGAATCTACGAGCAACCCAGCCATCCACAGCATCACAACAAAAGCTAGAGAGAGCCACATTGATAAAAAAGAACAAAAGACTATTCAAGCCATTAGCCAAAACAGATAAATTTAATGGAAAAAAAACAATGAGGAAAGTTGCAGGACCTGAAGAAATAGAGGACAGAGAAAAGTGTCTTATTGGAGAAACACACAGCAAAAGCAACACAGTTCAAGAGAACTCTCATGTACCCTGAAGCAATCAATATAAATCATTACAGGTTACAACAACAATCTTTAATGCTAAGTAAAAGCTGAGGAGATATTTCAATGACCCACCAACAATATTAGGTATATAAAGGTAAACAGACAACTTTTGAGGTCTAGGTCTCTCCTTTTTAGCCATCAAAGCTTTGAACTTGCAAATCGATTTCTTAAGATCCACCTACACATAGCAAAAGAAAACACTTTTCTCAAAACCCATCACCGGAAAATGCATGTAGACACGAACCCATCCCCGGAAACACACAAGTTCATTCGATTCTCGTAAACCCCCAGAAATCCAAATTAAGTAGAAAATAAGCGAAACAAACGAAATCGAAGAGGAAACAGAACAAACCCTCACTTGGAAATGGGTTAGCGTTGTGAGGATCTACAAGTGAGAGATGTCGAAAGCCAAAATCTTCAATTTGAACCCTGAAATCGAATCAGATTCGCCGCTATTCTGAAGTTTCAACGAAGGAAGGACGAAATATTCTCAATCTGGCAGCTTTTGAACATTCAAAAAAAGTATTGAGATTTCTGATTTAGAAATGTCAATGTTTATCTTAATTTATGAACTAAACCCTCAAAGTTTAAACATTCTCAACATTTTGCCGCAAGTAATAATAAATCATAAACAGAACCTTTTTTGCAAATTGAAGTTTTATTAGGAAAATGAAAGAGTAATATCATTACAAACAAAGGGACAAACTCATTATTGTAGCATATATAATAGTTTTTATTGTAAAACATTTTGTTCATATCAGATAATACGTCTACATAGTGTAAGACCATCTCCGATAGGTATTTGAGCCACTTCGACTCGAGGATCTTGTGCCAAAATCTTATTGAACTCTAGAAGTGCCTCTCTGTATGCCCTCATATGACCTGGAACTTCATCTTCCTTCTGAATTAGAGTACCAAACCATAAGGTGTTGTCGAACGCAATGATTCGTCCAACCTTCACTAACTTAAGCAGTTTCTCATGGAAGTAAATGTAGTTCGTCTTGTCAGCATCCACAAATGCAAACTCATACTCTTGTTTCTCCTTCACCATTAAAGTTTTGAAAAACTATTAGATACATTTCAAATAATATTTCTTTAGTTTTTAATAATACATAAAACTAATTTGGTTGTCCTAAAACTAAGAATAACTAAACAACATACCCCATTCAATAATAATTGGTCTAAGCCTCTAATAGTTGGATGAAATCGATCTTGTGATCAACATCTTCATGTACTTTAGTCCCAAATTGTAACCTGCTTGGTCAATGTCTATCGCAGTAATCTGCACGCACCAAATCTTTATTTTAACCATAAGGTGAATTAACCTTAACATGAACAATTGTAAGCTTTTGTTTGTGTGTGAAGAAGAAGAATCATTTACACGGCCATCTTCAGGTAAAGCAAGAGCTACTGTGAAAAGCGAGTAACCAGTGAACACACCGATCTCAATAGTGTTTTTCGCGTTGATGATGTTTACAAGCATCGATAGAAATTGACTTTCATCAACCGGAACTCCCATCTCGCTTTTGCATAGGTTTATAAGAAAATTATATCTTAATCACAGTTGAGAGACTTACAAATTGCCATATCTTTGGATTGTAGCTTCTTGAAGTTCCTTGAGCAATTCGTGCTCTCTTGGATATGTTGTCGTTTCCATGATATACTGTAGTCATCACATGTACACGTAACACATCATGCATGCACACAAAAAAAGCTTAACAAAAAGAAGCTAACAAAAGTTTTGTTACCCCATATATTCTATGTTTTTTTTGTCGTACGTTTTTGATTATTTTAGGACGTTCTTGATTTAGCTTTGATGTCAAGTATGAATTAAGATCCGTCAAAATAGATGTTAGGAAATATGTTTTGGGCCCTGCATTCCCTTATAAATATACCCTCATAATATGACTTTGGAACTCCTTCTTCATCCTCAGCCACAACATTAAAAAACAAGGTGTTGTTTGAACGCAATGGTTCCTCAAGCATTCACCATGTTTCATGGAAGTTTACGTAGTCTGATTTGTCAGCATCCAGAAATGCAAAATCAAATTCTTGTTTCTGCTACAAAGTAAATGATACTAACACAACGTTAATTTCACGTACGTCATTTCACCAATCAATAAAATGTGGTTTTCGTTATACAAGTTTGAAAAATTAAAATTATTAGTTTTGGAAATTAGGTATTGATTTCATTGGCCATGATGTCTCGGTCGCGTGGTTGTGCGGAGTTTTAGAGATGTTGTCTTTGTAATTAGAAGAACGCGCGAAGTCATGTACACTTGGTCAGTATATTTTGGCTTCTAGTTAAATTAGTTGAGCTACTAATACCACTCGAATTAAGAACAAAGTTTATCTATATGGATCTTATCTACAAGACTACAACTATTCAATTCAACCATTGAATCGTATTTGACGCGTATTTATTTTTAGTACAACTGTTGAAAGATGTTGCGTAGTGATACAAGTGGCCTATGCATAATTTGCAGTGTAATTTTATTGACTAGACAATGTCATGGCTTGAAGACATTCTTAGAAAGTTAGAAGCAAAGGGTGTTACCGTGTTGCCGAAATCGTTTCGTTTTAAGGGTTTGTCTTAGTTTGGTTGGTTCTTGGGTTGGGTTGAAACATGTTAGCTTACCTCTATCTTTGACTCTTTGTGTATCTCTTTGATATATTGTTTTTGTTTAAAATTTTCTAGTTACTCGACTACTATATATGTTGATCATTTGCTTAGTTTGTTCGCTTTGTTATAGTGTTATGTATATTTTTTTTATTTTTTTTGCGTAAAGGCAAAACTCGTTTTAATTGAATAAATTCTTAGTTTATTCGCAAAAAAACATGTAAGCTTAACTAAAGTATTCAATTTGAAAATTATGTATATATTTAGATGTAAATGTTTTATGCAAACCTTAACAAATTAATTAGAATTAAAAAATGGATAAAACACTTGAGTAATAAACTTGATTTAAGAGATTTTGTTGAAGTAGTTGGGATTTATAAGGCATGATTCATAGGATTTAACAACCTTAAACCCTAATTTAAATGTTTTAAGCCTTTTCTAATACATATCATCAAGTAGTTGGGATTTTTTTGTTTGATATTTCTACCAATGTAACATTTTTACTGGTTTAAAAATAATTATTGTCATGTCAAAAATGTAAATATCTAATTTGTTTTATTATTTTTTGTTTTATATATTTATATTTGATGTAAAATATTTGATTGGGCCAAAGCAAAGACTTTAAAGAAAATATCTAAAAACCGTGACTTCTTCTTCCTCTCTTCCTTGAAATTTCCTTTTGATGTGAACGACGATCCCTTGCCCAGCGCACAAGTTTCATCGCCTTCTCCACTGTACCCACATACCAAAGTCTCTTCCTTTACCCTTTTTCTCCCCACATACAGATTCAATTTCAGATTTTTCAGAATTCAAAATTCAAAATTTTCATCTAAAGTTTGGAGATTTCTCTGAGATTATGGTGAAATCGGCGGCAGACGGTGGTGGCGGTGATGGGGTGATGGGTCTTCTTCTTCAGTTGCGCCGTTCTTGAGAAAATGTTACGAGATGGTTGATGATTCTTCTACTGATTCTATAATCTCTTGGAGTACAAGTGCAGATAACAGCTTCGTAATCTTGGATACGACGGTCTTCTCTGTTCAACTCTTGCCTAAATACTTTAAACACAGCAATTTCTCTAGCTTTATTCGTCAGCTCAATATCTACGTTAGTCTTTCTTTTATCCCTCTCTCTTCAATTCTGTCTTTTCAGTTGTGTTTGATGTTTGTGATGTTTCTTACACATTCTGATTTCGTAATTTGGTGTGGCAACATATGACTGGTGTGATTACTTGCGGTTATGTTAAGCAAAGTTTCATTTTTTATCCTCTCTGTTTCTATAAAGTGTGGATGGGTTTTAGAGAAAATTGATTATGAACTGGATATGAAGCATGGAGAAAGATGTTTTGTTCAACTCTTATGTACTCTAATTTATCTGGAACATTGATTAGAGATAGGACTAGTCACAATCTTGAAGTTCTCTATGTATAATTTGGTTGAACGATAGGGTAAATCTAGCTCATTCGATTTCTGTGTAGATCATGTAACTGATTCTTGGATGTGGGGTTTTTTGTTTTTGTTTTCAGGGTTTTAAAAAAGTAGATGCAGATTGTTGGGAGTTTGCGAATGACGGGTTTGTGAAAGGTCAAAAGGATTTACTGAAGAATGTTATCCGGAGGAAGAATATTCAAAGTAATGACCAGAGCAAACAGGAGAGTAAAAGTACAACAGATGCTCAGGAAAAGCCTGAGAAGAGTGGATTGTGGAAGGAAGTTGATATCTTGAAAGGCGATAAGAAGGCATTGGCGCAAGAGTTGATCAAAGTTAGGCAGTATCAGGAGATCACGGATACGAAGATGGTACATTTAAAAGACAGAGTTCAAGGAATGGAAGAGAGTCAGCAGGAGATGCTTTCGTTTTTGGTAATGGTTATGAAGAATCCGAGTCTATTAGTTCAGCTGCTTCAGCCAAAGGAAAAAAACAGTTGGCGAAAAGCTGGGGAAGGAGCGACGATTGTAGAAGAAGTGACTGATGAAGGAGAATCAAACTCATACGGTCTTCCTTTAGTTACATACCAGCCACCAGCAGACAACGGAACATCAAAGTCAAGCTCGAACGACCTAAATGATTTCTTGAGAAACGCCGATATGTTGAAGTTCTGCCTGGATGAAAACCATGTGCCATTGATCATACCTGATCTATACGATGATGGAGCTTGGGAAAAGCTTTTGTTGCTGAGCCCTTCAAGGAAGAAGACAAAGAAGCAGGAGAACAATGTCAAGAAAGGAAAGGATGATCCAACATTGGAGGAAGAGGATGAGGAGGATGGAACGATGGAATCAGACAAGAGCCGTATGCTCGAGCTGATATCAAAAGAGATGGAGAGATCAGATGACTTTGAATATGGACAGCTTACTCCAGAGAGGTCTCGGAATCTTGATATTCTGACAGAGCAGATGAGCGTACTGGCTTCTAATGAATAGCTGCACTACTGCGCATGAACCAGAAGCTGGATTGAGTTTTTTGAACATATCAGCCTCAACCTTTTTGTTATGTTAACTTTTTTTTCTATATAGCGAACAACGAAGTAGGCGTGGTTGAGGATTCAGACTTTTTTTTGGCAAATAATATAATCTTTTATATGAAAGACGACTTTACAAAACAACATTTTACAATTGAGACTTGAAATATTATATACTGTAACTCCTGCTGAGCCATATAACAGAACATTTGGGTCAACACGTGTCGGCGTATAATTGGCCTGCTTTGTCAGAGTTCCTTAATCGCGTTACGACGCATGTCAAGCATCTAAACGGCGTTTTCAGAAACAGCGTTTTGCGTCTCGACACAAGTACTACTACAATCACCTTCCTCTGCTGCCTCTCTGAGTTTTTTTCGATTTCGTGAATCCAAAATTTTGAGTCTTTTTAGGTTTCTTTTTTATTTCTATGTTTTCGCTTCGTCTCTCCATTGTTCTTCTTCTTCTTTTGTAATAAAAAATGGCGATTAGATCCTCTGGGAGGAAACTGTCGTTTGAGATTCTCAGCCGAAGCAGCTCCTTTGAGAATGATGATACACTTCTTCAATCATCAATTCGCCGATCTAGCTCAGATCCGATTACGCGAAACGACGCTGTTGAATCACCTAAACGAAAGAGATCGAAGAGAAAGAAGAAGAAGAACAACAACAAAGTCGAGACTATTTTAGAGGATGGCGAGTCTCATTCAACGATCGTGGAGGGTTCAAGTTGTGATTTTGGAGAGACTAGTACGATGTTTGAGAACAGATTGAATTACTATGGGGGTGGTAGTGGTGGTGGCTGCGTTGTGACGCTATTGGATGGGCAAACTGTACATCATAATGGGTTCAATTTTGGTGAGTTGAGGCAGAGGAATGTTAATGGGAGTATTGATAGTAGTAACGACGAGCGATGGAGTGATACTGTGAGTTCTGATAAGAAGTTGTATATGGACGAGACTAGTGCGGAGCTAAGCACTTCTGAGAATCCACCGTTTCAAGAAGTGCAGCATCAGTTTCCAAGAAGTGAGATCAATGGGGATGCGGTGAGGAGGTTAGATACTGAAGCTTCTTTGGATTGGAAACAGCTTGTGGCGGATGATCCTGATTGTAAAGTTCCCAACTTTTATTTTCTCTCTTTGCTTTGGTACCCCTTTTTCAACTTGGTTTGCACTGTATTTTCTGTGTAATGATGTCTAGTATCCCCTTGTCATCAGTTCTTTCTGCTGAGACGAGGTCACCTATGGCATACTTTATGGAGGAAATTTATGGTGGGATCTCATTGCGGAGCACAACCACTCCTGGGAATGATATCGAACGCGAAAGGATATATGATACAATCTTCCGCTTGCCATGGCGATGTGAAGTGGTAAAACCAGCTATTCCCTTCTCTTACAGATGAACATTCTCAGCTAGCTAGGTGTGTTGGTTGTGTATCTCTGTTGATTAGTTTGTATGAGTGACAATGAAATCCACCCAGTATGTAGTTGTGAAAGGATACTTAAATTAGAGTTCAGTGTATATGTACATGTATGCTTCTGTTTTGTGATTTACACAGAGGTTTTTCACATTGTAAAGAATTTTAATGCAGCTTATAAATACTGGCTTTTTTGTCTGCGTCAACTCATTTCTGTCATTGATGACAGTCATGCCAATAAGAGTCCTGCTGATATTCTGGGATACTTTTAAGAAAAGGTAAGTCATTTTAGATTCTTCGTCGATAATAACACTCTTAATATTGCTATAAACTAGACTTGATCACCACATTGTGCATCTTTGATTCAAGTGGAATATGCCTTGATCATACTTTTCTTAATACACATGATTCTGCTACTGCCATTTTGAGAAAGTAACTTAATAAGTTAATATTCGTGGCAGGCAGTTCAGGAGGCCCTCCTCGTCAGAGCTGTCTGATCTTGCTTGTTTTCTAGTTTTGGCTTCTGGTACCATTCTTCTCGGGAGAACAGGTGCAATACAAATCTCTTGACTTTCTTAAGCTTGCAATATATTTTATGTATAATCTATGAAAACATCTGAAGTGGTTCAAAGGGTTGCATAGGGCATTACTTTATCTGTTAATTATGAGATGGATAAGCTCAGCGCTTCTTATGAAAGAACGGATTTGTCAAGAATGGATTTGTCTTTTTATATCATCAAAGTTGAGAAAATGGATTTTCAAATGGTTCTCTTATGTGTTTCTTATTTACTTATCTTGACTCTTTTTCATTTTTACTCAGATATCAGCCTTATTTACCACATGATTCGTGGTCAAAGTACTATTAAACTATATGTGGTTTATAATATCTTAGAGGTAATGTAAATTCCCTTTCAGATCTTTTTTTTCCTGCTCTAAATTTTCTTGTTCATTTCACTTTTCTTCCTTGTATCTCATGATTTAGTTGGTAATATTTGTGCTTTCACTGCTCACTTTTCTGTTCGGTTAACCTTCTGCTCAATCCAACTGGTATTAACAGAAAAACTGTGTTTCAGATATTTGATAGACTTTGTCAAAGTTTCTGTGGAGATGTATTTGGGGCACTATTCAGTTCTGCAAAAGGAGTGGCGATTTCCCCTCCTGAAAAATTGAGATTTTCGACTTGGAGATTTGTTTCTGACCTAGCATTAACTATGGCTGCCTCAAATATCCTTACAATATGATTGCTAGTTTAATATCTGTTAACTACTTCCAAATCTTTATTCTGTTGTCTCCTTAACTGTCTTTACTTCTCCATTCATTCATTTTATTAGCTCAGGCAATTACGTTGTCAACATGTATTGTTGCTCACAACAATGCCTTGTTGGCTCTCCTGGTGTCAAATAACTTTGCTGAGATCAAAAGCAGTGTCTTTAAGCGTTTCAGCAAGGACAACATTCATGGTCTAGTATATGCGGGTAAGCTTTTACTCCATGCTCTTTGTAGATTTTTTTGTCTTGAATATTAGGCCAGCAATGGCCCTCAGATCATTAGCTTAGTTCTTAAACTTTTGGAATCACCTTTGAAGATGGGGTCTGATTGAGACAGTAATTGCAGCTATCACTTTTGGTTTCTGATTAGTATGTTCTGGTTTCCCTTATTATTTCTCTACCAGATTCAATAGAGAGATTCCACATAGCGGCCTTCTTGGTGTCTGTTTTGGCTCAAAATATTCTCGAATCTGAAGGTCCATGGTTTGGAAACTTTATCTCCGTAAGTCCACATAATTTTTTTAGTAGTTTAAAATTTTGTTACAAGCCTCTTTTCAGATTTCCTATAAGTAATTTTACGTGGACTCTGCAGAATGCTACGACGGTCTTCTTCTGTGAGATGATGATAGACATCATCAAGCATTCGTTTCTTGCCAAGTTCAATGACATCAAACCTATAGCGTACTCCGAGTTTCTTCAAGCTCTCTGCGAGCAGGTATGGATGATAAAGCATCGATAAAATTACATTGCTGCATTGGCTGTTCTGTTTCCTACATCCATTTATCCTTTCTCTGGTAAATTTTCTTTGTCAGACTTTGAACATTCGCCCGGAAGATAGAAAGACAAATCTCACATTCGTTCCCCTTGCACCTGCTTGTGTGGTATATTCCTCTTCCCCTTTGACCTGAATACACATTGTGACAAGTTTAAAAAAAGAAAGAAGAAGATTGAAATGATTTGAGTATATTTGGGCCTCAGGTGATCCGGGTACTGACTCCAGTATACGCAGCACACTTGCCGTACAGTCCTCTCCCATGGAGAATGCTGTGGATGATCATCTTATTTATCATAACATATATAATGCTGACAAGCCTCAAAGTTCTCATTGGCATGGGACTAAGGAAACATGCAACTTGGTACATTAATAGATGCCGACGAAGAAACTCCTCCCATCTACACAATGATTAATACTTGATAGAGAAAAAAAAAACACAACTTGGAGTGAAGAAGAAACATTTCGTCAGCAGATGAAGTTTGAAGGAACAAAAGAAAGATGGAGCAACCGTGGGATCCAATTTACAACCTTGTTTTGAGATCATCTCTGTGATCTCATCTCATCATACACATGGTAAATATTTTCAGATGAAGCGATTTTGTTGTGGTTTAGGCATATATATGTACAAAAGAAAGAGACCTCATTATTGATCATTTGATCACAAAATAGCCAAAATACTCTTTTTGTACTCTTCTTTTTGTTTTTTTTTTGTTCACAAGATAGTTAAAAAAAAGTCATCACATTTCCAAAGCTTTGTTCACATGTATTCTGATTCTCAAGGACAAGTTTGACGAATCTTTGATTTGAGGTTGTGCCAATGTGAATTAGTAACTAAAAAACCAACAAAAAAAAAAGAGAAAAAGAGAAACGTAATAAATAATAATTTACACTGTTGAAGAGAGACTCAAAAGGACTTGAATATTGAAAAATCCCCAACTCTTTCACGATTTTTTCGCTTTCTTCCGAGAATCTCATTTCCACAATGTCGGTAACGGTAAGGATTTCCCAAATCTTGTGTCTTCTTCTTTTAGATTCGTCTTTTGCTTTTGCTAATTTTAGATCTAATTAGAATGGTGTTTGTTTCTCATGCTTTTGCTACTGAAGAATTTGTAGATATTTCTTGATTCTATGATTTTTGATTCATGAAGTCTGAGATCTCTCTATACTGTGTTAGTGTTTATGAACCCAACAAAAAAGTTTAAAACTTTATGAAATCCACACTTTCCAGATCCTATTCCTCAGATACTAAATTTCAATCTTTTGATTTCTTAATTGGAAAGTATTGGTTGTATTGATCTTCCTCTTTACAACAGGCTGCTTTCATTGATTCGGATCAAACTCAGCACAACATTCTAATGGATTCACAGACAACTGTCTCCGGTGTAAGAAACCAACAGTTGTCGTTTCAATCTTCATTGTGTTTCTTTGCCTGCCACAAAGATTTCATTTTTTTGGGGTACTTTGTTGTTGTTGTTGTTGCAGGTGAAAACTGTCAAGATTAGCAATGTTTCACTTCTTGTTTCTAAGAAAGATATCAAAGAGTTCTTTTCTTTCTCTGGTGACATTCAATACGTGGAGATGCGAAGGTTCTGAGAAATCTTCTTGTTCTTGTTATTTATCTCACTGTGAAAAAAGATGATCTTTGTCAATGTCCAATGTTTTTTTTCTTTCAAAATCACAGTGAGACACAAGAATCTCAGGTTGCTTATGTTACTTTTAAGGATCCACAAGGGGCAGAAACTGCAATGCTATTAACGGTATTTCTTATACATGGTTTTACTCATATGCATCATTTGGGGGTATATATAATGTGTCTTATATTTTCCTCCAGGGAGCTGTCATTGCAGATCATCGTGTTAGTATTACTCCTGCTGTGAACTACGAGCTGCCACCAGAAGCCCTTGCACTTGAATCGGTAAAGCCTGGAATACTCTTCTGCTTTTATTGATTACTCGTGAGTTTTATAATCTTCTGTCTCTGCTTTGTGGCAGGAAAATTCGTTTAACGGTTTTTCTGTCAAGAAAGCTGAAGATGTGGTGAACATCATGGTGGGAAGGGGTTATGCTCTTGGAAAAGATGCCATGGAGAAAGCCAAAGCATTTGACGACAGACACAATTTGATCTCAAATGCTTCAGCAACCATTGCCTCGCTTGACGATAAGATGGGTCTGAGCGAGAAGCTAAGCATAGGAACAACTGTGGTGAATGAGAAGTTGAGAGATATTGATGAGCGATATCAAGTGAGGGAGATAACGAAATCTGCTTTAGCAGCTGCTGAAGAGACGGCAATCAGCGCAAGAACAGCTTTAATGGCAAACCCCTATGTCTCTAGTGGAGCTTCATGGTTTTCAAATGCGTTTGGTGCAGTGACAAAAGCGGTGAAAGAGAGAGCTGAGAATGGAGGTGAGGGAAGACAGGAGATTATCCAACTTGATCCATCTTCACCTAAAGATCCTGCTGTAGTTCCTGTTAAGCTTGGTTGATGCAGATTCTCACCGAATCAAGTTCCTAAATTTGCATCTCAACTCAATTCTTTGATAGGTTTCTTGTTCATAGTTATATATGCTTTCATTTACTAAAGAAAAGATTAAAAAGACATAAAACCAGAAAAGGTGTTGTTACATCCAGACACATTTGTCCTCTCTCAAAAGAGATTATTAATATTCAAGAGAAGAAAAAGGCAAATGACTTGCACAGGACAATGAGAAATTGGTCTCAGGAACTGAGTTGAAGAAACCTCTTAGCCATTGGATGCTTAGCATGTGAAAGCTCACTAGGTTTAAGAACTTCAACAATCTCACCATCGACAACAAGGCAAACGACATCAGCAACTTTCTGAATTTGCTTGATACTATGAGAAACAATCACAGTCGTAATCCCTCTTTGCCTCTTCAGTTTCACTATTACATCCTCAATGTTCTCTGTCGATATCGGATCCAGAGCACTTGTTGGTTCATCCAGCAACAAGACCTCAGGCTCGTTGGCTAGAGTCCTTGCAAGTGCTACTCGTTGAGCTTGACCCACAGATAACTCTGCACCAGTCTTCTTGGCAAAGGAAGCATCAAGATCAGCAAGACTTAGCAGCTTATAAACCTCTTCATCACTTAGTTTCTCCCCTCTCAAATTCGGACCATACCTCACATTATCCGCAACAGTTCCTGTGACCAACCAGACATCATCTTCTTTTAGAACCCACACCAACCAAACTATAAACTAATCTAATTCCAAGTCTTGATATTATTACCTTGAAAGAGAACAGGAAGCTGGAAAAGCATTCCAACTCTACGACGAAGAGTGATAACATCAACCTTGGTTATATCTTCACCATCCAAGAAAACAGTTGACTCCGGCGGTTCCCAAAGACGATTCAGAGATCTCAAAAGAGTTGACTTTCCACTTCCACTAGGTCCAATCACCCCAACAATCATACCTTTCGGTATATCAATACTCACTCCTTTCAAGATCCGAGATCCATCATCAGCGACTCGGGTCAGATCATGTACCCGAATCTTTGGTTCTGAACCAGACACAACAACGTCCACAAGATGTTCTCGCAACCCATCGGATTCGTTTGACCAAAGTGATGGCATCGCCTTTAAAGTTTTCAACTTTTTTTTTTATCAAAACCACTTAGCAAAAAGACTTGTGCCCGTATATGACCACCACAATAGGTTCCAAAGATCAGGAATTAGTCAATTGATGCAGACGTTTAAAATTCTTTCACCACTCACATTACGGCGTATCAAGATTTCTTCTTTTAGTTTTTAAAAAACTCAACTTTAAGTAATCTTCTCCGGATTAAATCTTCAGTTCAGTTCTCCATTAGTTTTTTTTTTCAGCATATATCGACATATATGGACATGTCACACTCAACTCAACTCAAATGGTGTCTTGTTCTGATGTTTTGGTTCCCACAATGAAATGAGAACAGAGACAAATATGAGAATGCCACTTTCAAAACCTGAAAAAGAGAATATGAAATAGATCAAAACTGATTCATTAGATTGATTTGATTTATTCAAACATACAAACTGATTCATTAGACAGAAAATGTCAAAGTCAATAGAAACATAAGCATATCAAGATCAATATAAACGAAATCAGATCAAGATCATACCGAAACTTTTAAAGATCATGACACAAACAGAAACAGAAACTCATTCAAGAATTAGACAACATGTCGTTTATTAGTTTGTTCTTCAAAGCCAGTTCCATATCAGAAAGTGGCTCTGTTTTTGCAAGAAGACTGTCCAGCAACTTGTTCTTCGACAGCCTCTCCTTTATCTCCCACATGCCTTGAAACTCCAACAGAGCCTTTCCTTCTTCAACCACTGGGGTTGGCTGGCTCACAAGCTGTTTACATATGGACTTTGTAACAACAGGACCACGAGCTTGATCCTCTTCATGTGTAACTAGAAAAGAGCTTGATGACTGTGCAGAGAGATCATCATATTTTCTTCTCTTTGAAGATCTATCTGTAGGAGATGCAAAGCTACACCATTTCTGATCATGCCTTAGCTCCCTCCAAGCATGCTCAATGGAGAACTTCACCTTGTGATCATTCAAGAAGATCTGGTAAGCCAAATTCATGACATCATCATCACCCTGGCCACTTGATTTCTGTTTTGTTGCAGCCTCAAAACTTACTACAAACTTGCGTACCATATCGTGAATCTTCTGCCACCTTTGTTTACAAGAACTGGAAGCTCTCTTTTCCACACCAGCTAGCTTAGGACTAGCATTATAATAAGCTGCAATACGTGACCAAAACGCACTGTTGTTTTGCTCATTCACAACAGTAACAATCTTACTAGTGTTGAGCCAAGCTGAGACGAGCACCAAGTCTTCCATGTGTGACCACTTCCTTCTTTGTTTAGGCTTCTTAGGTTGAGCTTCATCTAGGCTTGGATCATGACTCATCCGCATTTGCTCATTCACACCATAACTCTCACACTGATTTGGTTCCTGACTGTTTAAGAGGTTTAAAAGCTTGAAACAATCAAAACTTATACAATATGCCAACCAAAACAGAGAAACGAATTCCACAACCAAAAATTATTCAATCATAGCATAAACAGAGAAACTATGGCTAAAATCACCAATCAATCATAAATATAAGAAGGAAGAAAAGACTGATTATTTACTCAAAGAACCTTAATTGCGCTAACATGCAAAGAACCCTAATTTTTCTGACATTAAATCCCAATTCAGATAACCCTAATTACAATCACATCTAATTACGCTAATTCATGAAAATAGATTAGAATCATACCCTGAGAAGGAGATTTGCATGGATTCACCAATCACTCTGATTTGCTTTAAGCCTCTCTTGATTTCTCACTTTCAAAACTCCACTGAATTTGCTCTCAGGAGAACGAAAGTTTTAATTTTTAAGATCACGAGAAGCTTCACTTCAGACAAAATTGTGAGAAAAACTATCAATTAAGTTAAGTAACTGCAATAAAACGTTATTAATGGGTCTGGGTTCGGGCCAAGGCCCATATACAAATGATCCCAGAAATGATAATTCCGGTTCGTTAATAACCAACAAAATTCACACGCAGAAATTTAAGTAGACCGGTTCACTATCGTCTTCCTTTCAGAGTTTTTGTGTTTCAGAGAATTAAACTTTGAAAAAATGAGTATCTCTTTGATCTGTTGAAATCGCCATTGGAAATTCAAAACCTCTAGAGATTTGAAAATGGCACTACCTCCTTCGTCTCCTTCGTCATCTCCATCTTTTCAACGTCTTTCCACCTTTAAAAACCCTCCTCCTTCTTCACTCTCCTCCGGCGCACCACCACCGCCGTCTTCTTATTCCTCTTCACCGCTCGATTCTATCGCCAAAGATCCTATCCTCGCCCCGTTTCTCTCCTCTTCCTTCTCCTCCGCATCTTTCTCCTCCGCTGCTCTCGCTTCTGGATCTCCCGCTTCCACCGCCGAGCGTCTCCACCAAGCCATACGCCTCCTCGATACTCAGCTCCGTAATGACGTCATCTCTCGCCACCCTGAATTGCTTGCTCAGCTCTCTTCTCTCTCTCACGCTGATGTATCTCTCTCTTCCCTCCGATCCTCCGTCTCTTCACTCCAATCTTCTATTCGTCGTGTCAGATCCGATCTCTCTGAACCAGTCCGGTCGATCCGATCCAAATCCGTTCAGCTATCTAATCTTCACTCCGCTGCTGAGTTGCTCTCTCACTCCGTTCGTACGCTTCGTCTCTCTAAGAAGCTTCGAGATCTAACGGATTCTCCCGATCCAGATAAGATCGATCTCACCAAAGCTGCACAGCTTCATTTCGAGATCTTAACCATGTGTAAAGAGTACGATCTCTTCGGCATTGATGTTATTGATGAGGAAATCAAGTTTGTTACTGAGATTGGGGAGAAATTGAGGTCTGAAGCGATGAAGGTGTTGGAGAGAGGCATGGAAGGTTTGAATCAAGCTGAGGTTGGGACTGGTCTGCAAGTTTTCTATAACCTTGGAGAGCTCAAGCCTACGGTGGATCAATTGGTGAATAAGTATAAGGGAATGGCTGTGAAGAGTGTGACTGTTGCTATGGACATGAAGGCTATTTCTTCTGGCTCTGGTGGTGGGTACGGGCCTGGTGGGATTAGGTCTAGCGGAGCACCGCACATTGGTGGCGGTGCTAAAGTTAGGGAGGCGTTGTGGCAGAGGATGGCTAGTTGTATGGAACAGTTGTATTCACTTGTTGTAGCTGTGTGGCACTTGCAGCGCGTACTGTCCAAGAAAAGGGATCCATTTACTCATGTCCTTCTTCTTGACGAAGTCATCAAGGTTCGGAATTTTGCTGGTTATTTAGGCTCCCATTTTTGATTCCTTAGTTTATACTGTCGGGAGTTTCGTTTCTATAATAGTGTTGATGTCTCGAGGGTCAAGCTGCATTAGTTAATTGAGACAAAGAGAGTGTTCTTGGATGAGTTTATACTGTCACCTGTTAAGTTCCATCTCTAAGACACTGTCAATGTTATGAGGGGCAAGCTGCATTAGATCATTGAGAGGAAGAGAGAGCTCTTGGATTTCGATCTCAAGATTCTTGATTGTTGATCAGCTTTACTAGATTATCCTTACATGTTTTTTGAATCAAAAAAGAAACTTGAGAATGTGTTTCTGCGATGTCAGGGATGTTGAGTAAATTGGATTCCAACCTGTTTTTCTTGTTTTATTACTGACATGAAGTGTTTGTATGCATAGGAAGGTGATTCTGTGTTAACCGACAGAGTCTGGGATGCACTTGTGAAGGCGTTTACTAGCCAAATGAAGTCTGCATACACAGCTTCGAGTTTTGTAAAAGAAATATTCACAATGGGATATCCGAAGCTCGTTTCTATGATAGAAAATCTTCTTGAAAGGATTTCTCACAACACAGATGTGAAAGGAGTGTTACCTGCCATTAATTTAGAAAGGAAAGAACAAATGGTTGCATGCATTGCAATATTCCAAACTGCTTTCTTATCCCTATGCTTTGGCCGCTTGTCAGACCTTGTGAACTCCATATTCCCTATGTCGAGTCGTGGGAGTTTACCTTCGAAGGAACAGATCTCACAGGTATTATCACATATTCAAGATGAGATTGAGGCTGTGCATCCGGATGCTCGTTTGACTCTTCTAGTTTTGCGTGAGATAGGCAAGGCCCTTAGTAACCTAGCTCAACGAGCTGAGTGCCAGGTATGATAAACCTCTTTTCTCTTTTGCTTTTCTTTCCACTTGGTAGGTTATTGGTACCCATTGTCTTTTGAGCGTGGATTTCATAAACCTAGAGTATGGCATCAATTTCTGCTTGTATACAATGTTTGTCATTGAGGAAGTCTTAAATGTATGCTTTTATGTCTGTCATGTAACATAGCTACACTTATATTTACAGATTTCTACGGGCCCTGAGACGCGCCAGATATCAGGTCCTGCGACTTCAACACAGATCAGAAACTTCACATTATGTCAGCATTTGCAAGGAATCCACACACATATCTCATCCATGGTAGCAGACCTTCCTAGCATTGCTGCTGATGTATTGTCTCCTAATCTGGCTGCAATCTATGATGCGGCATGTGAGCCAGTTACACCTTTGTTTAAAGCAATGCGAGACCAGCTCGAGTCCTGCATTCTTCAAATCCATGATCAAAACTTTGGTGTTGATGATGCTGCCATGGACAACAACGCTTCTCCATACATGGAGGAGTTGCAGAGATCGATTCTTCACTTCCGCAGTGAGTTCCTATCCAGATTATTGCCTTCTGCAGCGACCGCTAACACTGCAGGGGCAGAATTGATATGCACTAGACTAGCAAGACAAATGGCTTCAAGGGTTTTGATCTTCTACATTAGACATGCTTCCCTAGTGCGACCACTTTCAGAATGGGGAAAACTCAGGATGACCAAAGACATGGCCGAGCTTGAACTAGCAGTGGGACAGAATCTGTTCCCCGTGGAACAACTCGGAGCACCGTACAGAGCTCTTAGAGCGTTTAGGCCGTTGATTTTCCTGGAAACATCTCAAATGGGAACATCTCCTCTCATCCAGGATCTACCACCAAGTATCGTCCTTCATCATCTCTATACGAGAGGCCCAGACGAGTTAGAATCACCAATGCAAAAGAACAGACTGAGTCCTAAGCAGTACTCACTGTGGCTTGATAACCAAAGAGAGGATCAGATTTGGAAGGGTATTAAAGCCACTTTGGATGATTATGCAGTGAAAATCAGGTCGAGAGGTGACAAAGAGTTCAGTCCAGTTTATCCTCTAATGCTTCAAATTGGATCGTCTTTGACACAAGAAAACTTATAAGCTCCCATGTGGGTATTTTTTTTTTGCTACCGAACCAATAATCTTCTATTGCGGGGTTAGTGGAACTACTACATTCACGGATTTTTCTTTAGTTGTGTAGTTACAATATCTCTCACATACATGTCATGTAAATCAAGATTCATACATCAACACCGTAGTTGGTGTGTCTTCAATGACTTTCATAATTTGTTTGAAGAGAAAGCTCTTTGCTTTTGTTTGTTTATTATGTCAGAGATCGAACCCTCTTTGGGCTAGTTTCTAATGTTGATTCATTATTAGAGTCGTTTTCTTTATACGTATCTGATCTTATCTAGACTTGAACATGATAAACGTAATCTTCTTTGTGTGACATGTATTCAAAACTCAAGACCTGGTCCAACTTCCCCAAAACCAAAACCAGAGTAAGGTAGATCGAAAGAGAAGCGAAGCAGAGTTATAATAGAGCATAAAGAGGGGAAGACGTATCCATCATATTCATACCAAAAGAGTATTTACATACCAAAATATATACAACAAAATCTCTCTCTCTCTCTCTCTCTCTCTCTCTCTCTGGATTACAAAGTCAACAGCTATGGATCAAGTCAATTCTCAACGGAAATAGATCTCTCACCAAGACCGAGAGGAGAACGTGAACGTTGACGCCTCTTGATCTCGCTAAGAACCCTCCTCATCTCCGGCTGCTGCAACGACGGTTGGCTAATCTTCTCAAACTCTTTCTTTATCTTCACCACTTGGCTATGTATTATTGGACCATCCTCGTTTCCGTTATTGACCTTGTTCTCCATTTTTATTATTACACAAACTCGAGAGATCAAACTTACACTGAAACAAAGAGAACCGTACCTCTTTATATAAACTATATATGTTCTTGTGTGTACCAAGACAGGAGGACACGAGCTTTGTGTGAAGTAGAAGCGAAGTTAGGTTTGGTGGGCAACGCCGAGTTTAGTCTCAACTCCAAAAATATAAACTAAAGGGTTTTGTGATTTCAGAGAGACGACTCATCCTTCGTAGTATAATTTATCTTTATATAAACAAAACGTGAAAGACGGTGTTCGGTGAGTTTATGGTTACGTGTCGGTAACGTTGAAACATTTGTGAAAGAGTCTCCTAACGTATATCTCTAAATTTGACCTTTGGATAACGAACGAACGAGTCGGGTTTATTCAACGTTGAGAGACTATAGAAAAGGCTGCCATGTGGACGGACTCGAGTCGTTGGTCAACTTAGAAGATTCTAGTTTTGATATCCACTCTTGAGACGTTTCTTTTGATCACTCGTTTTCAAGTTTATGCAAACGCATTGTTTATTATTAGACTCGTGTCTTCCTTCTTCTTGTTTTGTTTTTTTTTGGCCTCAAAATTTAACACGTTTCGGCTTTGGTCTACTCTATCATGAAAATATTGCCACAAAGAAGTTGTTGCTAAGTTTCCAATTTCTAAGACTTAATTATTAATAAGACACGAAGATTGTTTCTTTTAGTCACAATAGCCACCACTAGGAAAGTACTACTCTTGCCAAGGTTTTGGATCAATCATGAGGTAACTAACTTTTTAGTATTGTGAAGTCTTGTAACAATGATGTTTTCTTTCTTATATATTTGGCCAACAACAGAACATGAAGATTAGTAATATTATCCAAAGATGTTTATATGCTAAATTTTGGTTTTACAAAAAATTTATGTTAATTGTCTCTTCTAACCAACCAGATTTCCAATATCTTGGTTGGTTGTAAGAAAATTTCCATGCGTTTTAGTTATTATGTCTTTTTCCAATATAATATGTTCAAAGAGTTTTGGTTTTTAGTTTTAAAATATATTGTATAGTATAGTAATAATATATATATATATATATATATACATGATTATAATGTACATGTATATTAAATCACTATAGCATACTTTAGAAAAATATCAAATAAAAAACGAAACATCTAATTTTTAGAATAAGGCGATCATTACAATGATTCATGATCTAATCTAATCCAGGTTTAGGACACGCCGCTAAAGACAATAAAGAAGAGGGACCAACTCAATCACACAATGATGGGCTCTTTGGGGATAAGATTAATGGTTGAAACATTATGGAGAGAAATAAAGTATACAGTTGGCTTTTGATGTTCTCATGTAGTGGCTAGTGCATCATCATTCCCGTGGTGACCCCCAAGAACAAAGAAGAAGAAGAAGAGCATATAAATTTGGAAGAAGAGTAAATCTTCAGAAAAGCTAAATCAAAGCACTTTTGGACTTTGCTTCAGCTTCAACTTCAAACTTTGATCATCCACATATATAGAGGTATGTCCATTACTGATCTTGATGATTCACATTGATACGTATTACAACATTTCTATTTCATCAATCATTTCCTTTCATGGTAGCTTGATAGCTTCCAACTTCTTCGATGATCTTGTTGTTATCTTCTTATGTAGCCACCATTCTTGCTAGGCTCAAAATCACATACATAAAACTACTTTAACACATCCAATTTTTAATGTATTAGTAGTTGTTTTAGTCATATTTTAGGCGTCAGTAACTCTTAACTACTACGGACCAGTTGATTAAGTTAAAAATCATATAAGAAAAAAAAAATCTCCCACATATTTCAGTATACCACATTTAAGGAAACATTATTTTGCTAGATGGTTTCTAATGCATTTATTCTTAACATCGGTCAATAAAAGCCAGGAAATGGCCAAGGACAAAGGGATTATGAAAGTTGAAATTCCTGCCGATGGCAATTCTGCGGCGGAAACTGGCTCTGGTGGGTTATCTCGTCAGACAAGCATGAATAAGACCAACTGCCTTTGCTCGCCAACCACTCACCCTGGTTCTTTCCGGTGTAGGATGCACCGGACTCTTTCACTACCGCGTACCAAGAGTATCGAGGCAGCATCTCTATCGGATCCTTCATCCAAGCCAGCGAGCCGCTAAATAGATATCTATGGCATGGCAACTGCTTGTTGTTGTTACTTGTACTTCAATCAATAAATGGTGAAATAGGTTTGTTTTCAACAATATGTATTAATTGTAACCATGAAGGGTTTGAGCTAATGGTTCCTAAAAAGGTGAATATAAACTCCCCTTCCATCCTCTTTGGGAAGAGATTAAAACTCTCTCCACCTACGCATATATAATGTAAAGATTTAGATGTTGTTACTCTTATATTTTTAGTACATATCCGAGGATTTGTGAGTAGAGTGAAGGCGAACCTTAGTTGTAAGTTGTAACTATATAAAATTAATATGAAAGATGCCCTCCTTGAAGCTCAAAGTAGATCAAAACCTTTATATAACAAGGTCCCAATCTATATATTAAAAAGGTTATTGACTATATAAATCTTGGTCTCTTAAGTCATCTCAAAGGGCAAATTATCAAACTAATGAGAAACAGTTACGAACCAGACATGGCTTGGTGCTAGATTGGCAAATCAATCAAAGTACTCATGAGTCATGACTCATCTCTCAAAACACTACAAAGCTCAAACAACTTTAGAAATGTTTGTAATTCTTGTTTTCTTTCTAAAAAGTGATAAAGAAACAATCTATTGATTGAAAGAGAAACAATTATGTATGTGTTATAAAATGTGGCAGGAGCAATGTAAAGGTTAAAACTGTCGAAATTGTTTTTCACACGAAGTGCCCATGTTGTTGTCTCTTTAAATTTGGGCGGTGCTATTTTTTCCACTTTTTGTTCTTCTTCTATGGAAAGTGAAAATAACCATATAATGAAGTCAAATTTGTAAAGGATTTTCTCATATTGGTATAATATAGTATGAAAAAATAATTATTATCAACAGATTAGGTCAAATCTTCAAAGTAAAGTTGTTGTTGTATTAAGAATGATTTGAAATCAAGAGAATTGTTGTTAGAAATAGTTGGAAGTTAGTAGAAAAACTTGGAAACTTTGTATAAGTGAGAAAGAGACCATGTGATAGGTGGTGACATTATTATAGAAAGCAATCGTGATATGTAAACTTAATTAATTGCATATCAAATCCATGTTTGTTGAGATATCCTGTCTAAAAAAATAAGTGCAAAACCATTATGAAAGACGTAAAATACTTAGAAACTTGGGGATATGTACTAATCAAAACCAGTAGCAGCCAACAGAGACAGAAGAGGAAGATTTGACTTTTACTCTTTACAAATTTTTAGAATAATCAAAGTTCAAAATATATACTCAGGTCAATTTCTTTGACCCTTTCTGAATTCTAAACATGTTTCTCATTCATGAACCCCAACTACTATATGATTCTTAACAATATTATTAGGAGATTTAAATGAAGTTACAAAGAGGTTTTAACATTTTTTCTTTCTTTTTACTCCTACTAAGAATACCTAAAAATATAAAGTAAATTTTTCAGTTTTTGACGTTGGAGTTTCTGTTGATGGACAAAAACTTGCTGAACATCTTCTTTGGTCGGCCAGGGATTGCACAAAAGGCCTTAAACCGAGATGGAGTTCTTCCTCCGTCTTGGTTCATGAACCTCTCGTCTACCTCTTCATCTTCAGCTAGCTTGCTTCTTAGTGTCCCTGATAGCTTTGCTTTAGGTGATTTGAGACCCGAGACGCTCCATTGATCGTCCGGTGCTGCTATACTTGTTGTTGTGCTGTAAGCGGCTGCGTTTGGATTAGAAGGGTCTATGTTGTGTGCAGCTAAGAGTGCTTTGATGTTGCTTGGTAGTTCGGTCATTTTGCCTTCACCGTTGTTCGTGGCTGCAGCTGCTCGTGCTTGCTCGTAGAATAGGACTTGGACCACTACTCTTAGAGGAAGCATCTCGTTCTGCGCTGCGTGCATACAAGCTTCCATTGATAGTTTCTTGCAGTCCAATACTCTACAAACTCTCTTCCTTTCTGATTTATTCAAATTCTTGTGAGCCTGCAACAACAATGACAAATACAAATTAGAGAAGTCCCAAGATTATTCGTTTGGTATATATATGATACAAGGATGAGAGCTGAACCTTGAGATATATATCAATTGCTCGGTAGAGATCATCATGATCAAGTCTTGAAAATTCAGGGACACTCTCAGCTAAAGTAACAAACTTTGAGAGCGGTAGATTAACGTCTCTAGCAATCTGTTGAAGATATCCATCGACAAGCTTAGCTACCTTAAGTTTTGAGCTATGAGAGGCTGAGGATGATCTTCTACTTTCTTGGAACTCAAGATCAATATTCTCGGCCGAACGAGATCTTCTTCTTCTATCCATCATTCCTTTTTTACCTCTGAGAGGGCTAGTTGGTGGACTAGCCTGTCCTTGGACCATAAACTGTTCCAAGATAGTCGCGACAATGTCCACATCGTATAACATTTCGGATTTGTAGGACATTGGAGGTATTAACAAATCGCTAACGGTTGCATCTTCTAGCTGAAGAGCTACCCTTCTCGCTAGTTCCATCTTGGAAGAAGTTGATGCGTTTAAGATATTGGCTGCTTTCAAGAGTTTAAGCAAGAAACTGCAAGAAACCGCGCCTTTCTCAGCTGGAAGCAAGCTTATAATGGATTCCAACAACAACCTATTCTTCGATGAAGAATCCGTATCCGAGTCTGAGTCAGAATCCGCCTTCTTACCGACTAATTTCCGGTTTCTTTGTAAAGAAGGAAGCCATTTAGAAGCGTAAACCCTAAGGGCATCACCAATGAGACTAGCTGGTACTTTGCCACCAGATTTAATAGCAATCATAGTCCTCCAATAAAGATCTATCCCCAACTCAGCGATATCTTCAGCCCACCATCCTCTGCTCAAAGCAGCGGCTCTGTTTGAGGACATGTCATCATCCCTAACCCTCCTAGAATGACTATGTGAGAGAGAGACTTTAGATGGGTGAGACAAGACCTTAGATGCTATGGCTTCAATGCACCTACTGGTGATAGCGAGATCTTCAGACCACAGAGGAAAAGCTTTTGTGGTTTGGAGTGTGACTATGGAGTCTCTCCATCCATTAAGGATACAAGAGTTGAAGAAGACTTCAAGCTTGTACACCAAGTTACCTTTCTCAACCTCCTCTGACATCTGAAGATACTCTGCTGCACATCTCGCTGCAACTATGTTGTAAGCACTGATCGTTATCGTTATTCCGTAGCAGAATTTGGCACAGAGCTCAAAAGCCTCCACTCCCCCTGGGAACTCTGGAAGTTGGATAATGGATTCTGGAGATTCAGAGCACATTCTCTGAAGCCTCAAGCATTTGGAGAGCAGTGGAAACTGTAAACAACAAGAAGAAGAACATTCAAATAAACTTTAAAAACTTATAACCATCTTCAAGAAGAAGAACACGAAAGGGTTAGTTGTATTACCTTGTGAAGTAGATATTTGCTTCCTGACACTTCTATTGTGAAATCACTGGAAACTTCAGAAGACACACATCTGCAAAGCAACAAGGCAAAAACAATTTTCAGCTTTTTTTTTTACTAAACATTTATACCCCAAAGATTTTACTAAATTTACTTACTAATTTACCTTAAATCTTCTGAAGTGTAGAAAGTGTCAGGACGAGATCCAAGTTTCATAAACTTCATAGCTGATTTACAAGTAATTTAGCTTCAAATCTTCAGAAATTGTTATGCATAATGGAGAAACTCCAAAAGGGTTTTTATTCTTCTTCTTCTAAGACACCAAACCTTGAAGCACAGTTCCGACAAATCTCTCCTGTCTTCAAATTCAGACAAAACAAAAACAGATCAAAATGTTGTCTTAAGAGTTTTTGTTTCTTGGGAGAGAAAAAGTCAGATTTTATTTTTGTTTTCTAAAGAGATTTTTGTCATTGTGGTGAATGATTTTAGTTAGATAGATATATAGAAAGAAAAAAAAGGAAAAAAAAAAACCCAGAAAAAAACTGAGACCACCAAAACTAAAGTTCATTGTCCATTCAATCAAATTCCTTATACCCAATCTGATATGGACATACAAACAAAAAGAATCAAAATCAATGCAATATAAGAAAAAAAAAAAAGAAGAAAAGAGAAAACAAGATAGAAGTGTTTTAGATAAATCCTATCACTCACAACATAAACATTACACATCACAACCCACCAAATGTTCCATCAATCACAAAAAAAAAGATAAAACAAACAAAAACTCACACACCATAACAAGCATGTTCGTCAATTCCCATGCATAAACCAGAAACAAAAAAAAAAACTCACTTTGGATTCGAACCAAACACTCTCTTTACATCATCATCACCCTTAAGATATCTTTTGAGTATATGTTTCTCTTCTATAGCTAGTAGTAGTTAGTATAACAGCTAAGGAAAATTTTCCCAGGAAACCCTCTTCACCAATCATTCAAAAGATTGAAAGAGAGATAACCCAAAGAAAAAGCAGAGCGATCTACTTTACAACTTTTCTTTGTTTTTTCTTGTTTTATGTATATTTTATATTCTAGGTAAGGATTTTGTTGATACATCAATAATTTTGCTGATGTTTTTGTATTTTGTATTTTGGGGTAAAAATTAGAAAATAGTGGTAAGGCTTATTCGCCAGCGTGCAAAGAGAATCACCAATCCCACGTGCTTGATGCTTCTGCTCATTCCCCCACCTTCTCTCTATCCTCATCATTGCCTCCTCTCTATATTTTTATTTTTCACTTCACTCTCGTAGACATACTTTGCTCACTACATATATGGTTTCATAGTGATCATAACATAGAGATATAATACTTCTACAGTGAGTGATATTGATGTGTTAAGAGTTTTCATATATGGTAGGTGATACAAAAGTTTTGATATATATAAGCGATCTTTAGGAAAAGTAAAACTGAAAATTCCAACTTGATGTAGCGACGTGTCGATTTTTCCAAATAGTAATATACAGATTCGAATATATATAACTCACTTTTTTGTGAGAAGAAAATAATCATTGTTATTTTCTTTTTAGGTTTAACGTACGAGAAACATATAATTTGCATGCTAATAGACACGATAATGAATGTTTTGCATACCTATAGAAGAATAGTATAGAAAGACTTATGATTGTTTTGATATATTTATATTGTTAGGTTAGAATTTATGATTTCATAAAGTTGAATTGGTTCCAGATAAAGTATTTAACAAATGGGCTCTTGAATTTATTGTTCTTTTATGACTTCATTTTTGAAGTTTTCGAACTAAAGTTTTCTGCAATGCTTTAATATTTTGAAAACACGTTAGCTATTTATAGATACATCTATGAATGTTACTAATGTAAAATAATACTATATATTGAAACTGATTTTTATTCATAATTATACCAAGTGATATATTTTGTGTCAAATTAAGTATTGTGCACATTGATCAATGTATAAACATAAAATGCAATATGTAAATATATACAATCAATTAAACAGAAAAACGTGATATATATTTATTTGTTTGGTGATATATGTATAACATGTATATTTATGAAAATGACATGAGCGAGAGTGTAAAAATTGATATGAATAAATATTATTGTTCTATATAATGAAATTGCATGGTCCACATAGGTTTACGTCCAAGTCATAACAAGGGACTAATTTGCCATTTACGTTCTCTTCCTAATTTACATTTTTGTCATCGTTCTTACCTCTTAAATACACATTTGACATTTCATGTAATTTACTCTTTATTTTTATTTCTGATTATAAAAATAAGAAAAAAAATCATTGAAACCATTAAAAGAAAGATTGGATTTTTAAGCAGCCCATATATAGTCCACACACCTAATCTTATCAAAGAGGGTTAAAATATCAAAGTGCGACAATGAAATCGACAATAACCTCTTTTTTCGTATAGTCTTTAATGAGTGTACACACTTTATGAAGAAAGTTGGAGAACAAATAAAAAAAATTGTATTTATAAATTATTAAAAAAAAAATAGAGATTTATAACAAAGGTCTCATTGTCTTTTTCACATCTATTTTTTTTTTGTATGAATATATAAAACATAGATAAGAAAATGTCGAATTTACCCATTTATGCTTAGTATTATCAAAGACTAAAAGTGTAGTAGGCATGCTCATAGCAAATCATTGAGATTAGATTACTTTTGAAAGAAAGACAAAATGTTAAACTTGAGATCATCTCTCTGCAAATTATTACTTTTGACTGAAATAATGAAGATTTCATTCTACCCCTATCTTTTTTGAAGTTTTATAAAAATAATAAATATAATCTGCGTAATACTATAGTATAAGATTGAGGATTCGTGTGAATTGTTGTGGTCAAGACTAAAAAGGTAGGGAGCCTAACATTAACTATACAGTCTAGACTCTAGAGTATTGTAGTTCGATCACTTTAGTTCTCTATATGTTTCCATCATAATCTCACTTATATAATAATAGAATCGTTCATGTCATCGAGGTTTAATTTCTATTTCATCATATGTCTAAATTTAACAAAAAGAAGAACAAGAAGTAATAATATACATGGTTTCAATCTTTTTTTTTTTTTTTTTTCATGGTTTCAATCTTTAAGTAGTAGAAATCGTAGGTTTAAAGAAAGATATATATCTATCACTTTTCTCGGTAGAGCTTCCTCAACACATAACATTTATTGGATGATTTAAGATCAAAAGCATTCCACTTTGGTGCAATAATGCTTCAAATCAAAATATCATCACAAACCAAACCAAAAAAAAAAAAAAAAAAAATCAGTTTCTAAAAATGTTAGGGAAACTTACAGAGCTCTATATTGGTCGTCGTTACGTTGTTATCTTCCGAGCTAGAAAGGTTTAATTGTACAAACTAGGGTTCGAAACTTTCTTGAAAAGCTTTAGGTTGATGAAAAGATGTATGGACTTAGGTCAAGAAGAGAGAGATGATATATGATGCAGAAGAAAGCTGATCTTTGTTTTTATTACCAAATGAGGAGAAGTGTGAGTTGAAATGAAGCTTAACGAAAGAATAAATATATATATCAAAAATAAAATATTGTTTTGTCTATTGATAGAGCCAAAGATATATATGGCTCAAGTTAAAAAGCATAAGACTTATGATACAAAACAACAATGTCCCATGACTTGTCAGAATCGGTTAGTTTAAACTCCCAAACTAGCACCAGTGGTTGAGGGAACACAAATATAAAACCCGTCACGGCTTAGGTCCGGTATTGTCGACCTATGAGTGTGACGAGAGACAGTCTTGGATCAATCAGTGGCCACTTAAGGGCAAGGACGAGAGGGCCAATGGCATTCTTGATATAAACGTGGTTCAAACAAGGGTGCTTTGGGGATTGCATGAGAGGTTACTGTCGTGATGTCAACCATACGTGTGAAAGAAGAAGAAGAAGAAGAGATTTGTGTGGTTTTTGATTAAATGTTAATGTAACCCGAGTGGGTGTCTCTGGCCGACAGTGCCTGCTTTGTGTGGTCCCTTTGTGTGTGGCTGTGGGATCCAGTTTTGTCACAATTAGAGATCCCTCCACGATTGGAGCTGAGCTGGATTTTGTACTCCTTCATATAGATTGATAGATCTCTCTCTCTCGTCTTGTTTATTTATTTAGTTTTTGGCCAAATTTGCTGTCTTACTTGTGTCAAGGAGATAAAGTGGATATGTGATAATTTAAGTTGTTTGGAAGCATTTAGAAATGGATACACTTGGTTGTTATTTGCAAGATGTTTGGTGAATATGTATCATATGAGTAGTTTACTCTTTTACTATCTTATCCTATTTATAACATTTGTTACGATTACATTATCAAATCGATATCTTGAATTCGAAAAAACGGTTCTAAATGGTGATCGATTAGTGAGGATGTACTCCGAACCGTTGATACTATATATTTTACTCAAAATCTCCTAAATTATGGATATATAACTTACTATGTCTGGATTTGGTAAGTTTCCAATGTGGTAGATAATATATAGCATCTAGCTTCAGAATTACAGAACCATGATCCTACTACCACTTCATGATAAGTTTTACTAGAGTGTAGGGAGCAACCACTAGACAAACCTATGATTGTACCCTTTACGAGTGGAGTTCACCGGATCTTAAGCATACAACCATTTTATCCAATTCATGGTGAGGTGTCACAAAATAATTATTTATTTATAAGGAAACTATTCATTCATGCACATCATGTTCGGCTATTGTCAAAATCTAATTCGATCCTACAAATTAAATATCTTACCACAAAATGGTTTTGCACGCTACAACAGTTACCCCAAGAATAGGAAGTGACTCAAACAAGCTCAAACAACATCATAATCATCACAAACTCGTGAAGGGGGAGGAGAAACAGTTTTGGCTAAAACTTATGGTTGGTTATAACATAGGTTAATTAGCAACATTTTATAACATAGGTTAATTAGGCGAATATTTGTCACATCTAACTTGGTTTACGTAACACTTTATTTACTTGTATAATTTCTTAAACTAATAAATACAAGAGACGATTGACCATATCCTTACAACGATTTGAACAACTTGTAGATGGATAAAGATTATTTTCGGCATGTGTAACATGGCCAAGTAATACAGATAGAAAATATCATTGATGAGTGGTCTAATAGTCTCAAGTCGTTCATGTCCCTAAATTATATAGTTTGGGTTAGGTTTTAAACTTCTGAACCTTTGACAATTAGGCCAAGGGTTTCCACAAATAAATGTGACACTATTTACTAAAAATCAGGTTTACAAATCATGGTTTTGTCACCTGTACAGAATGCTTAAAACTGGGTTTGCCTCTCACTATGAATTACATAAATAGATTGGCACGGTTAATATATGTATATCTTTTTGTAGCTCTCATCGCAAACACATTGACTGATTTCGAATTGAACTCCATACAAAGAATTTCTTTGAGTAGCATCTTTACCACTGAGAGGGAGAGAGCATATCAAAGTCTTCTTTAGATGCTTCTCTTCATTGTTCTTCCATCAAACTTCTTTATTTTGTACCATAAGCTTCTTCTTTCGTCGTCTTGAACACGAAATGATATTCAGATTCTCTGCTCTTCGTGTTTATTTTTCTTTTAGAGAAGAAGAGTTGTCTATCGATGCAGCACGAGCGGCTTGGAACTGTATAGCGTATTTTCTTTGAAGATCTCTTAGTTTGTCCATCAGTTCTTGGAACGACGGTCTACACTGCGGTTCACTGCACAGATATCTCAACTCACATTAGCTGCTGCTACATTTACTTTATATAACATATTTCATCAAACGCAACTGTGAAAGAGTCTATTAGCATGTATCTTTTAATTGTTTGGGTAAATCTGTAAAAGCAAATCACTATATCTGGATGATCAAAGTTCAGATCTACAACTTACAGCTTTCAGTCACCAACTAATTGCCTACAGTGGTGTCGGTTGAAAGAAAACTATACAAGATTTATAATGACACCAAGACTTACACCAATCATTGTACCAAACTTTAGCCTTCCTATGGGACCCTAAATATGTGGAAAATTTCAGCACAAAAAAGCATAAAACCTTGAAGTCTTTACACTCGTTAATGAAGCCTTGAATGGTATATGACTGACAGTATGTGTTTGGGACCCATGGGAATCAAAGGATCGAAAATGCAGAGTAAATATTTTTTTATCAAACTTTTGTTTACTCAAGAGTTCCTAAACAGTAATCAATTATTCCAAAGTTTGCTTTACCTAATAAGAATCCAACCTCGATTAATTCCGTAAGAGTTTGCAAAATCCCTACACTGTAGTTTTTTTTTTTCTATGTTCATTCATGACACAAAACATCAGGTTTAGTTCAGCTATTGCAGAAAATTAGAGAGTGGCATAAGACGTGTTTTTTCAAAATGAAAATCAGGTTTTGGTGCCTCCAATATGCAACCACTATTGAAGACCGAATCATAAGTGACGTTATTTGTCTCTAGAAAGGTATTCGTAATGTTAAATATGTTTTATGTACCTATGCCAGCAGCTTTCCATTAATGAAATCCACTGAGGGTCAACGTCCTTTGGGACTTCCAGCCTCTGGTTCATGAACCCCACTGCTCCAATCACCTGCAAGTTTCTCAATAGACTTCTCTTCATATTTGTTTCACTGTGTGAGTGTATTATATACAGACAGGAACAAAGAGGAGACAGGAAAAGAAAGCTTTCTTCAGCAGAACACATGTTTAGCATGTTGCAAAACAACCTTTGAGTTGACCATAAATATCATCAACTCACTGAACTTGCACATTTATAGGTAGTTTTACTATAGTAAGATAATTTACTCTACTGCCTTAATAAAAACAGCCAAAATGGGTAGTCAACATACTAACCTAAGTACATATGGTTGATGGAAACTAAATGGATATCAGAGAACAATTAGCTGTAGTATTTTCTGACGTTACTATTCTTTTAACCAATATGGTCTTGTATATCTTCGGAGTACGATATGGCAGAGTTTTGGATTTCCCTAATCTAATTCTCATTCGGGACGGTGTTGACTTATTCCCTTTAAGTGGAAACTATACCTGCATAGCATTTAGATTTTCCCATGGGATCTTCTCTGTCACAAGCTCCCATAGTACTACTCCAAAGCTATAAACATCGGACCTGCCATTTACAGAGTGGGAAGAGCATTGTTAGAATTGAAAAGTAGATCAAACAATAAGCAAAGGACCTTGATCAAGCAAGAAAACAGATAATTTACTTTTCATCAGCAGCCTCATTTCGAAGAACTTCTGGTGCCATCCATTGCGGCTGCCGAACAGATAAAAAACAATGAAATACATTGTGAGAAAATAGATTTCATAGAAAGAAAAAAAGGGGAATAAGTTTAGTAATGTAAAGTACCGTTCCCCTTCCATTTGTAGTGAGATACGTCTCATGCTTGATGCGAGAAAGACCAAAGTCAGCAACCTGCTAGAATATGAAGAGTTAAGTAAACTATGACAAAATAGCTTTTTACTTCAACCAATTACTATTATTAGTTTTTTAGCAAAACTTTTTACTTCAACCTATTTTCTGGTTTATTCACAAAGGCGAATCATTACCCATTTTGCTTCATTTCTGAATATAGTTATATGATTTTTAGTTTGCTTTAAAGTCTAACGAGTAGTACCTTCACTATCAGACGGTTGTTTACATACAAGATACAACTCAAGTTCTGACTTCTGACACAGGGGAACTATTAACCCTAACAACATTATTTTATTGACCTAGACTACTATATCAACTCGTGTCACGGAGAAAATTAATCAAACAATTTGTTCTAATTTGGGACATTCAAGTCTAGTTCACCCACCAAACTCATGTCACCTGCTAAACCTGGTGAGAGTGGTGGGTATTTTGTAGGTAAACGATTATCTTGTGTTAAGCTCCATCAGAATTACCAAAGGTATAAAGTTATTGATTGTCCAGATTAAGGGAAACTATATGACTCCAACAATGAAAGCAATACCTTCACGGTCCAGTTTCGATCAACCAGTAGGTTTGACGACTTCAGGTCACGGTGAATGATGGGTGGACTACAGTGGTGAAGATAGTTCATGCCACGAGCCTATGGGAAAGACTGAATCAAAGAGCGGAAAAGAAAGATATGCAAGGCAGATGCAATAACGAACCAATATAGAGCAGCTTATACTTAGAAAACCGTGGACACAACTGGAAAATCATGTGTATAATACTTACAATGTCTGAGGCCATATGGATACGTCGCCTCAAATCCAGTTTTGACTTGTTCCTCTGCAGCAAACGAAAGAGACTTCCACTGCAAATAATTTTGAAAGATATAGAAAATTAAGAGTGAGTCAGTGTTTTGGCCCCGGCGTCCAAAATCCCGTAGTGATATGTAATTTTCGCTAAAGAGAAGGGGTCAAACCGTGGAAGAAACTCTGTCACTATACAAAGACGCTGAGGTGATGCCACAGCTCCCATAAACAGCAGAACATTTGGATGTCTAAGTCTTTTCATCAACGATACCTTGAAGATAAAAACAAGTTCAGCATAGGTACTTTGAAAGTAATAATAATTTCTAATGATGATTTCTGTAATCTAGGCTAATAATCTCTGTAATGATTAATTTTTCGAGGTAGATGCAATTTGGAAGAAAGAAAAACTGTGGTAGTTTGGAATTGATTTTGGTGTATGTAAATATGAAGAAGGCAGGTAGTACTCGCTTAAACCAAGAAAAATCTGAATAAAACATGCTTTAAAGAAGCCAAAGGAAATAATAATACCTCTTGTCTAAAAGATGTAATGATCTCTTCTGAATAATCTTGTTTGGAGAACACCTTTACAGCCACATCCTGCATTGAGACATTAGCAACTCTTAGTAATTTACATTTTTAAGTTAGTGAATATTCCATAGAGGCTTGAAAAAATCAATGATGCATATTCTACAACGACAACAGATGACAAGAACGTACAGATCCAAACCATAGACCATGATAGACAGTTCCACATGAACCTGTATGCATAAAGAGGGAAATTATAACGAGTACGTTAGCAGACCAGAATAGAAAACCACAAAAATTTGTATGATGTCTTGAAGGATTGATATGTCTTTCACAATAGAGATCATGTTTCTCAAATGAATAGATCACCTTGCCCGATTTGTTCTCCAATTGTCAAATCCTCCCATAAGATTTCATAGTCCAAACAGTCGCTATCCATATCAACCTTGTTCTTAACAGTACTGCTGGTACTACCACAGCTGCTAGCACTGCTTGCGCTGTTCACATTAATAGAACCCACACCCTCGTTGTTGGCAGGTTTATTACTCTCACATGTCTGGCTTTCAGACTTACTATGATGAGCTTCTTCATTTGGTTTTACATTCTGCACCCACGGCCACACAGAATGAGCACGCTGTCTCTCCAAATCTTCCTGTTGATCCCCTTTCCATGGCCATGAGAACCCTTTCTTCACCATCCATTCTTCAGTTTTTGAGGTAAGTGTCTTAGGTATAACAGAGTTTCCAACATTTTCATCACTTGAATCTCTGGAGGGTTTCGAAGAAGACTTCTCTTCATTACATAAGAACACACCAAAAGGAGGTTGGATTAAATTCCCCCTAGGTGTGCTAGGGCCACTTGTTGCTGCATCCTCCCTCTGGTCAGAGAAAGCAGCATCGAAGAAACCCTGATCAGACTGATGACTGTCCACATTTCCATCCCCGTGGTGTGCAGTGTTATTATCACCTGCTCGCATTTTTGACTTGACCTTGTTGCCCACCTTGGATGCCTGCAATTTATACTAAAATAGTCAAAAGGATGCAACGGTAGAAGAAAAGGTGACGAAATTGCAACCTACTATAGTTGGACTAACCAAATCTGATATCTTAGATGCTATAGCAACTTGTATAGGCTGCTGAGAATCAAGGCCAAGTTTTGATACAACGGCCTCTTTGGAGTCAAGACCAAGCCTAGATGCAACACCATTCGTTCCCCGACTAAAGCTCGTTTCCCCTTCTTGCCACCTTGCTTTAGCTGGAGGAACTTTCGGGCGTTGAAAGAGTGCCGAATCATTAGTGATACATATAATCCCAATAAGAGAACCATCATCATCATAGAAAGGAGAAATCGTAGTCACAACCGAAAATCTCTCTCCTGCTTTGTTCTTGACAGGAAACTCGCCAGTCCAACTCTCTCCACTACTGCAACGCTGAAATATATTTTGCGCAACAGCAGCATCCTGACCATCTACAAGTATATTAATCGAGTCCTTCCCTAGTGCTTCCGCAGCTGAGAAACCATAAAGCTTTTCCGCCATCGAGTTCCTAAAACAACCATGCCAACGCGAATTTTGAACTCTGAATATAATCTGCCTGACATATCAGATACTCGAGCCTATACTAAAAACGATACCAACTACTATCTTTAATCTATCAATTTCTGAATCTAAACAGGTGACTAGAGTCTACACTACTCCCAAATCTATCCACAAACTCTCACAGCTCCTAAAACTATAGAAATCCAATTCAGAATCCTAGCAATTGACTAGTCAATCTCGATTCCAAAATAAAATAACGGATTCAGCAAAATCTACCTACTCACCAAAAGATAATTTGGCCATTAAGATCGAAGACATGAACAGCTTGAGCCATAGACTGCAAAATATTCAAATACTGTTTATCGTTGAACTTGCCTGCCGATGGTCCTCCCTCTCCACCACCACCACCACCAGCAGCTCCGGCTTTCGTATGACTCTCCTTCCGTAACGGAGAAGCGTGACGGAACGATGCGGCACCACTCTTTCTCCACAGCGGAGTTCCGTCTCCAGTGTTTCGCCTGGAAGGCCGTTTAGGAGAAGAAGAATGCGAACGACGCTTAATCTCAGCAGTTACTTTGAGCTTAGACATCTCTCGCTTTAGATCCTCTTGGCTTTCTTCAAGCTCCCGTATCTTCTTCAACAGCTTCTCTGCTGGAGGATTCTCCATTGCAATGATCAAATCTCTGAAGCTATAAGAAATTGAGTTGAAATCGAACGAGTCAAAAAACGAAGAAGAGGAAACACTCGAATTTGAGCAAATCTGGGAAATTGAAAGAAAGTTTCTTAAGGGAGTCAACAATTTTTGGAAACCCCTTTGTTTTTTATTTCCTGCTTTATCTTTTGTTTTGCTTCTTTTTTAAATCCCTTATTTTTCTGATTTTAGAGTTCTCATTTTGTTCTTACATTTTTTTTTTTTTCTCTTCCTTTCTTTCATTGGTTTTTGGTTTTCTCTTCTTCGTCAAGTTGTTTTTTTTTTATAAGTAATACTTTGATTTTCGATAACACCTGGGTGATATAAAATTTGGGAAATTTATATAATTGACCAAATATTTCAAAATAAAAAAAATATATGAAGAAACACACAACTACACAAGTGGTAGAGGCTGTTTGTACTTTATTGTAATTTTAAGCCTACTTGGAGAGATTTGATATATTATGGCACAACTACTATATAATAAAAGCATATTTTTTTTGGAAAAACCTTTACAAATGATTTTCAAGGTTTAAAGATTAATTAAAATAAATGAATTAAGAAAGTATCATTTTTTTCACATGTAATCAGTTTTTCACTCTACTTTTTTTTAAAGTAGATTATGCAAAGGTATTATGTCTTAATACATATTTTTTTGTCTACTTATTAAATCTTCATAAAAGAAAACGAAATTTATATCTTAATCTTTATCTGTTACTAGTTATATTACATGAAACATGATTTTTTTTAGTTTATTGTTTAGTATATTTCACAGAATTTTCATAAATAATACTATTATTTAACAATTCAACTTTCACATAAGCTGTAAACTGTTAAAAAGAAGTTACATTTTGAAATAGTTAATACTAATATCTATCTACTAAACAAACTTAAACACCATATATAATGCAATTTTACTACTATAGTTTTGGATTATTTTACGTAACTACAATTATAATCAAAAAATTTAGGCATTTCCAAAGAAACAAATGGATTTTGTAATAATTTGTTTATATTTTGAAAATCACAGTGAAAAACTTACAAAGTGAAAAGTTTATAATTTTGATTCATTTTTCTTCATTATACAAGGAAAAATGAACTAGATAGTGTTAGCTATAGCAAGGTATTGAACACTTGATGTGATGGTCAAAAGCATATTAATATCATGCCCCACACCAATATTATATAAAATATCGTATTAATACATAAGATTTATATGTAAAACAAAAAGAATTATAAAACTAATTCTTAATTCTTGATTGATCTCAAATAAAATCGATCTTTTTGTTTGTCTCTATTCCAACTCCAACACTTGATTAACGGCTAATAACATTTTTTGTAGGTCTCAAATCGGGGTGGGTACTTTTCCTTACTTTATGCAATTAGATATTTTCTAAAGACAGTTTTTCCCTAAAATGTATACTTAAAGCTTTTTTACATATAAAACTGCTGACATGATTAGTATTATTATATACAGATTATGCAAGTTTTAAGATTTAATTAAAAAACAATTTTTCTTTTGTAATTTACAGTGGAAGCCACGTGGGGTTGTTGAAGAGAGAAAGTAACATAAGTGATTCTGATGAGAGCTTTTTCTTCTCAACCAAAAAAAGAGACGACAAAAGCTGTAAGTGGAGGGGACTGAGTCACAACGCGTGGAGATATCAATACTCAATCCAACGGAACTTACGTTGAAACTTTCTCCATTGACCGAACTGCCCTTTTCTTCTTCGTACTTGTCTTCTCCAGACACAATCATCTTCATCACCATCCTCACTTATTCACCCATAAAACAGACACAACACACAATCACATAACAAAGCTCTGTTCTTGTTCTTTCATTCTTTCATTCTTTTTTTTTATTCAAAGTTCCCACCTTTATTGAGACTTGGGTTTCATTTATTCATCTCTTGTCGGATCAAAGTTTCTGTTTTTGTGGAGGACAGAGAGATAAAGTTTGATTCTTTTTAATCTCCGGAGATCGAAGAAGATGTGGTGGATGATGGGAGAGAACGGTGGTCACTACTGTTCTAAAAAGTCCGATGATTTATGCGGTTCTCAGGTTTGTGATTTCTTCTACCAAAAACTAGATCTTTAATCTACTCTCGATCTAAACTTTAGATCTTGCGAATTAGTTTGCTTTATATGTCAATAGGTCAATATAAATTTAGGTTCTCTCGGCGATGATTGGATTGATTTAGGTATTGACATTTATGTTTCTATATGGTCGAAACAGGAATCAGATCGAGGCTTTGGTATGTCAAGACTCTGTTGTATCTTGCGTGGTGTTGATTTGAAATCGATCTTGTTTCTCTTAGTAATCGTACCAATGTGTGTTCTTGGTGTATACATTAACGCACTCAAGATTTCATATTTCTTGAGACCTTTATGGGAATCACCACCAAAACCATTCCACGAGATCCCTCATTATCATCACGAGAACGCTTCTATGGAATCTCTCTGTAAACTCCACGGTTGGGGAACCCGTGAGTACCCTCGCCGTGTCTATGATGCTGTTCTCTTTAGTACTGAAGTTGAACTCCTTACTATACGGTGGAAAGAACTCTACCCTTATGTTACTCAGTTTGTTCTCCTCGAGTCTAACTCCACCTTCACCGGGTTACCAAAACCGCTTGTTTTCGCGGGGCATAGGGATGAGTTTAAGTTCATTGAGCCGCGGTTGACTTACGGGTCGATTGGTGGAAGGTTTAAGAAAGGAGAGAAGAACCCTTTTTACGAAGAGGCTTATCAAAGAATCGCATTGGATCAGCTTTTGAGAATAGCTGGTATTACTGATGATGACTTGTTGATTATGTCTGATGTCGATGAGATACCGAGCAGACACACGATAAATCTTCTCCGTTGGTGCGATGACGTACCGCCTATCCTTCATCTTAGACTGAAGAACTACTTGTACTCTTTCGAGTTCCCGGTCGATGATAAGAGTTGGAGAGCGTCAGTACATAGGTACCAGACGGGTAAAACGAGGTATGCGCATTATAGGCAGTCTGATGTGATCTTGGCGGATTCAGGGTGGCATTGCAGCTTCTGTTTCCATCGAATCAGCGAGTTTTTATTCAAGATGAAAGCTTATAGTCACTACGATAGAGTGAGGTTTGCGCATTACTTGAACCCGAAAAGGGTTCAGAGAGTTATATGCAGCGGAGCCGATCTCTTCGATATGATCCCTGAGGAATACACGTTTAAAGACATCATCGGTAAAATGGGTCCAATTCCGCATTCTTACTCTGCGGTTCATCTTCCCGCGTACCTCCTAGAGAACGCGGAGAAGTACAAGTTTCTTCTTCCGGGGAATTGCTTGAGAGACGATGAGTGAATGAACTTGTGGTGGTTCTTGTAACTAATATGGATTATGGACAATACTACTACTACTAACTCATGATTATTATTAATTCTTTTTGGGTGAGTTACATTTTCTGAAAGAGTTCATGGCGATTTTATTGATCACTTTCTTGTTGTACATATACTATTAATTTAAATCTGATCTCTTTGGGGTTCTCTTTTTTTTTTACTTTCAATACAAGTTGAAGTATGGTGAGTGTGGTACATTCCACGTTATAGCATATGCTTGCACGACGAGAAAAGCCAATTTAACAAAAATGAGCATTAACCTGACCGGCCTGTGTCACATGGCGACGTTATTGGAAAAGACCAAGCAGAATATGTATTAAAGTACTATAAGAGAAATATATGATACACGTATATATATCTTAACAAAATAGATTGTTGATACTTTCTTGAAATAAAAATTAAACCGACTTTTAGTGTTTTGCTACTAATGATTGATACCTTTTAGAAACATGTAGACATACATATATACATGCATGTTATTCTTTTTGTCAACGAAAAATGATTAATGAATACATGTTAATGTGTACACAACATGAATTACTATATAAAGAAATTAATACGTATATGGAACGAACAATCTAAAAATACACCTATCTAGCTTTTCATGTATGCTTAATTAATCATGAATACTACATGTTTTCGCTTTTCGTTTGTTTATTTAAGAATTTCGACCGTTCGTTCATTATAATCATTATATGACCTTTGCAGATGTGAGAAATGCGAAAACCATAACCACGTCCACGAACAATCTATTTGTTTGTCCAAGATACATCCAAAGTCCCTTAATCAAGTACCCATGTCTCGGGCCTTGACGAAGGGACTAGGCAATCGTCAGTGTACTGCAGGTGAATTTTGAGGTCTTTAGTCCATCAGACCATTCATAAGAAAGTGGCTTTTTTATATCTTACCACGTAGCATGTCCACGCGTGGACATGGAGAGTTCGTGGAGCACAAGTATGAAGGGGTACCAACTATACACATATATAGAGCTAATCCAATAATGGTCAAAAATCAAACTAGTGTTTGACCACTTCAAACGAAATTAGTGAAACGCTAAAAGATAAATAATAACAATCTTACCCCAATCAATCTTTTATATAAAAGCATAACAAGACCAAAATCAAAACAATAAGAAATCGAATCAGACTAGAATTAATTTCTAGTTTAATTTACTATTAATTATGCCTTCATCAAAATCGATCAGTCAAAATAAGAATTCGGATTTCACACGTGAGATGGACTGATCAATAATTTGAAAAGCACGGAATCAGAACAAATATGTCTACTCAACTTTCGGTATGGTGGTGGTGGTAGGAAAAGATTAGAATAAGATTCAAATCATGCCATGATATATACGAATAAATCTCCAAATGGAATCACATGAAAACACTAATTTAAACGATCACTAGACTACTACTATAGTATACACAACAAGAATTGTATATATATAGAAACACCTGAAAGATGTTAATCACTTATCCACACTAAAGAGTACTCAAGTACATATATAAAGGAAAAAAAATGCTTGATAAGCTTGTTGGAGGGATCGCTGAGTTCGGCCGTGGCACTGGCCGCCGTAGCTACGGGTTCGAGGAGCGCAAGGAGTTTGTGTCTCATGTGGAGTCTGAAGGAGGCTTCTTTGACCGTCAAGCCCGCTACGACCACCGCATGAGGCTGCCGGCCAACCACGGCCGACCACCCATGACTCACATGTCTGTCTGCGATGAAGAAGACTCAGACGTGGAGGAGTTCTTTGAGAGCAGTCAGAGCCACCACACTAGCAACAACCTCTTGCACCACCAACAGCCACCTCATCGCAACTTCTTGCCCGCACCTAACCACAACGTTAGTTATCTCTTTTCGTGTCTCGACGTTACAAATCATGTTATGTACTATTATTTATATATGTGCCCTATGTGATTATGTCTTAAACTGATTCATATAGTTCTATTTTATTTTGTTAATGATCATATCGTAGGGAAAGATGGGAAAGATGGGTAATGCATGGCAGGGGCAGCACGAAGATGCATACCATGGCGGGCATGGGATGAAGCACCATGGTGAGCACGGGATGCAGCACCACGACATGCATGGTATGCAACACCAGGGCGGGCATGGGATGCAGCACCAAAGCGGGCATGGGATGCAGCACCACGACATGCATGGTATGCAACACCAGGGCGGGCATGGGAAGCAGCACCAGAGCGGACATAAGATGCAGCACCACGACCAGCATGGGATGCAGCACTACAGTGGGCATGGGATGCAGCACCAAAGCGGGCATGGGATGCAGCACCAAAGCGGGCATGGGATGCAGCACCAGAGCGGACATGGGATGCAGCACCACGACCAGCACGGGATGCAGCAGTACAGTGGGCAAGGTATGAAGCACCATGACAGGCTTATGGCTCCCCAGGTTTCACCACATCATGGGTACATAAGCCCCAACCATGACGGCCGTACAGTAGTGGCCATGAAGGCTACTGAGAATTGGAGGGTCAGCAACAACCGCAAAGTCGGGTGGGGGAGTAAGGGCCTCTAAAACTCCAACAAAAATGCTTTGCCGGTTCAAATAAGAAAGTAATGATTATGTATCCCCCAAGTAATTAATAAACGTATGTGTGTGATGGCCATGTTTCAGTATCTTACCAAAACCAACTAGGGGACTTTTAACCCCCCAAAAAAAAGTGCTTTTGTTTGATGATCTTATGATTACTAAAGGAGTCTTGTTGTTGTGTTGTTTCTTATGTTCAATAAAAGTTATGTATAATATCAGTTGATTCCACCACGTGTAAGGATGCATTGCACAATATTACGTTTGAAAGTAAAGTTGTGGTGAAAAAAAAAAAAAAACCCCTAATGTTGTGGTGAAATTAACGAAAACCCTAATGTGATGAATCTTATGCCAACCTACAATTTATAACAGACATGTATAGTGTTTTATCGATTTGGTAAAGAAATGAACCAATTTTTTTAACAACTCTTTAATTTTATCGAACGTTGAATCGTGTAACTCAAATTATCTTTTTTTTTTTTGTAACAGGTGTAACTCAAATTATCTACGAATACGAATTCATCTTTGTGTTTATATTTTCTCTGAAATTGTATGTTTACGTGTCAAAGAGAGCAAAATGAGTTAAAAATAAACAAATATGAAAGAAATATATATATATCAAATTTGTTTTTCTAAATCCATTAATTGATCTTGAAGTTTTTTCTAAATCCATCAACCGAGTTTGACAATTCTGAAAACCTAAACTCTCTCGGTCTCTCCTCTTAATTAAAATGTCGAGTACTTATATAGTAATATCAGTATTAATCATATATGTATCGCTAGTAATAAGAGATTTTGTCATTGACTAATTTTATCGATATTTAACGTCAAATTTGTAAATAGATATGCATGATTCGGACATGTATAATTTCTTTGCTTCATCTTTCATAATCAGAGAAAGCAAACATTGTCTTCTCTTGCCATTTATAACGTTAACGCTTAGCTAAGCTAAATACATAGTTTTCTTTTTTTGTTCCTAGACTACCACTTGCTTATAAGAGAGAATACTCTTCAAATATTGCAACCATTATCTGAAAATTCCATTGACCTCATCCATTGTTAAGTAATATATGTTGCGGTCAAAATACGCCATTGATCCATTATTATATGAATCTAGTTCGATCGAATAACCAAAACAGTAGTAACTCTCGTTTACCAAGAATATTTGGCCATTTTTCTTGTAATGAATTTGATCATACCTGAAAGGAACAAAAAGAAGAAGAAATAAAAAGAGGTATCTGATTCAGCTTGGTATTTATATTTTTGATCTAATGTTTCAAATTTAACTTGATCTAAAATACAATCCTTTATGTTGTTGCTCTCTGATCGACGCAAATCCACTGTAGGTTTTAATCAGTCGAATGATCTTATATAAGATACTCTCTTTGGTAAATCTTACCCCTAAAATCTTCCTAATAATGTTGCTCTTATGATTTAATAAAAAGTGTTCTAGCTTGTTTGATGACCTTCATGATGATTACTAGCTATAGTTGTTGTTGCTACTTATGTTTAATAAAAGTGGTGCATGTTGTCAGTTCATTTTCCCACGTTTGAGGATGTGATTGCACAAAATTAAGTTTTAAAGTAACGTTAGATGCAACCATGCTCTATATAAAACAACATTTTTTTTCTTCCTACACTACAAGAAAAATGGTCTTGTGCTATAAAAGACCATTTTTAGTAGCTGTTTTCGTGTGATATAAAAGACCATTTTTCTTGTAGTGCTACTTGTATAAAGTTACACATCAAAATTATATATTTTTTCTTAGTATTACTCGCAATCTTGAATTAGTTTTATGGAACGATATATACCCAAGGCCGTCGTCCCAAATAATTCAGTAGTCCGCGTTTAGATAAACTCTTCAAACTATTAAAGCATTAGATGCAATTTTCATTATCACAAATGAAGAGACCATTCCACGGAGATGGGAATAAGATAATTAAAAATACAGTTATATCAATTTGGTAAAGGCATCTAATTCGATCGACTAATAAACCAACAACACTAACAATCTTTAACCCTTTTTCATTTGCTCATGGGGATATATACCTTAACAGTTAAACAAATATCATCAAAACCCATTGGCCAAGCTTCTTTGAAATTTTCAAACGTTAAACATTTTTTTTCTTCCTACTTGTATAAAGTTATACATGAAAATGATATGTGTCTATATATTTAAAAGGTGTAAGGAACATTGGCCAAACCTGAAATGATTTAAAGGAAGAAAAGGTATTGGATTCAGCCTAATCGTTATATCTTTGATCCTTAAACATGTCTTATAAAATGTATGCAATTATATATAGATGCAATTTCCACATCATGATTGAAGAGACCATTTCCAGTTGTTGTCAAGACACGGCATGTGATATATTATTAGAGGCAACTAGTTGGATAGAATAACCAGCAAATAAGTCACGTTTAACGTTAACGTTGTATGTTTGTTCATGGGCATATATATACTTAGAAACTATCCTCTATATAAACCAGCTAGCAACATCATATATGTAAATGGATCGAACGATAAGATCTTGTATTCTTATTGAACCATTTCAAGATCATATGTAGATGGTATTTTTCTCCTTCTCATAAAAGAGAATTCGTTGTAAGAATTTCAACCCATGGTCTTGTAGGATCTTTATTTTTTTTTGGGTAGGATCTTTGTCATTTCCAAACAATTATGTTCTGGTGTGGTGTGGTAGACTTTTTGGGGGAGATGGAATCTCATGGTTGGGCCTTCCATAGGAAACTCTTGTGGAGAAAAACATTACTTAACATATACAAGATATCTCTTTTCGAGGGTTTAAATTTTTAGGTATGGTTTTTTTAGAGAGACTGTGTAGGCTATGTACATGTAACATGTACAACCATTCAAATTGGGTTTAATTGGATTTTTTCCATGAGAAACAATAATGGTGGAAGTAGTGATGTTCTAAAATTTCCTTTTTTCAAGAAAAATAAAAGTTCAGCTTTGTCTATGACAATGCATATTGATTATTTTTTAGAACGTTTTCGAGAATAACGAATTGTTTGGATTGGTTTTATGTCCCATGCATGAGAACGAGATGAGATTAACATGGATATAAAGATTTTAAGTATGAATAAATCAAATGGTAAAGTGCCTTGTCTCCTTAGAGATATCTTAGAAGTTAGAACCTCTAAAGAAGTTACATGCCCTGACTCATGATGAAAGAAAGATTAGACAATCAATGGGGCAAGCTGATCTTTGACAATTTTTTTCTTCGTTTTGACGATACTAAGATCTTTAAGTCCATCAAATGCAAGTGGTCTCCATATAGAGTAAAGTTTGGGGTAGAAAAGTGACTTTTTCCATAGGATAAGACCTATATACTTTTTCTATATATTTTTAACGGTTTAAGGAACATTAGCCAAACCTGAAATGATCTAAAGGATGAAAAGGTATCGGATTCAAGCCAATAGCCATGTCTTATATATGGAATTAGATGCAATTTTCACATCATGATTGAAGCTGAACCATTCCAGACCGGAAATGGGACTTTGGCTTTTCCCATATGTTCTTTAACCTTTACTAAAGTTGCGGTCAAGACATGCCAAGCGAAGGAGATAAGATTAATCTGTATACTGAAATCTGAATAAATATAAATCATTACGTGTAAGAGGGAATCATTTCACAGACTAATAAAACGAAAGCTTGACTTATATAAACATCTGAAATTAACACAAGGATATATATATACATAAAGAGTGAAATGCTTACTGTTATTTGTGAAGTCCATATTAATTTTTGGAGTTTAACGAATTGTTTGGATTGATTTTATGTATTCCATGGCTCCAAGTACATACATGCGAACGGAACATGCATGATATATAAGATTAACATGTATACACCAGATTCTAAATATTAATAAATCAAATGGTAAGTGCGTATGTGCCTTGTCTCCTTTGATACCTTTGAACCTCTAAAGACGAAAGATAGTGGTGACTGGTGAGTTACATGCATGTCCTGACTACTCATGATGAAAGAAAGATTAGCCAAACGTTGGGGGTAATTAAGCTGATCTTTGCCATCTTATTATTGTTTATGTCTTCTTTTTGACAATACTTAATTTTAACATCTTCAAGTTCAAGTCCATCAAATGCATGCAAGTGGTCTCCATATCTATCGACTAACGTGGTCATATTACTCATGTTACCCAAGTTACCTAGCGTTTGATGGATCAACACAGTTTTGTCCGTAAGAATATTAGACAAAATACTTTTAGTCGGTCCGAAGAGCAGAAAAAAGTAATTTAATTACACCCCGCTACATCCAAATCCAAATATTAATGACGAATAATTTAATATATATACAAATCAATATTAAAACTCATTATAAATAGAACTAGGCTAGGTTTAATTTTCAGTTTCAATATTACTCTTCAATCAAAACTCAGCCAATTCGGAATTGGAATTTCCCAAAGTGAATGGGACTGATGATAATAAGACGAACATAATGAGAACAAACATGTCTATCCAACTTTTCGTATGTTGGTGGTAGAAATTAAAAGAGAACAAGATTCAGATCATATCAATCGTTAACCTATATGAAGAATACTCGACTATCAACACAAATATTTGTATATATATAACCACCTGATATATTATAATCACTTATCCATATCAAAGAAAAGTAACACAAGAATAAATTTATATATAAAGAAAAATGATTGGTAAGCTTATCGGAGGGATTACTGGAGGGGTTACCGGAGTGGTAACAGGAGGGATTATTGGGTTCGCCAGAGGGATCAGATATGACTCGAACGATAAAAAAAGAAACGGCAAAAACATGAGGTTTCAAGCCAACCATGGTCGTCCAGCGAACCCTAACCCTCCATCCAACCAAGTCCCTCCAGCCAACCATGGCAGTCCAGCTAACTATTGCCCTCCAGCCAACCATGGCATTCTAGCTAACCATGAGCCTCAATCAAATCATGGCCGTCCAGCCAATGCCCTAAATTACTATGATAAAACGGGTTCAAAATCAAATTCAGAATCAGAAGCAGAATCAGAATCAGAATCAGACTTACAATCAGACCATGACCACCGCATGAGGCTTTGGCCCAACCATGAGCATAACTATCACCGTCCAGCCTGCCATGGTCGTCCAACCAACTATGGCCGTCTAGCCAACCGTGAGCCTCAAGCAAACCATGGCCGCCCAGTCAAAGCCATCATTTACTATGATAAAAAAGGTTCAAAACCAAACTCAGAATCAGAAGCAGAATCAGAATCAGAATCAGACTTAGAATCAGACCATGATCACCGCATGAGGCTTCATGCCAACCATGAGCATAACTATCGCCGTCCAGCCAGCCATGGTCGTCCAACCAACTATGGTCGTCTAGCCAACTGTGAGCCTCAAGCAAACCATGGCCGCCCAGCCAAAGCCATTATTTACTATGATAAAAATGCGTAAAATCATCAGAATCAGAAGAAGATTTAGAATCAGAATCAGACTCCGAATCTGACGCAGACGTGAGACTAACCTTAACAAATTTCATCCTATTAAACATTTTTCCACTTATTTTTAAATTTAAATTTGGTTAATGGATGGCAGGAGCAGCATGAAGTTGCATACATTAGCCACGGGATGCAGAACTACGGCAGACAGAGGATGCAATACCGTGACATTGACAAAAATATTGCACATTATGATCACTTGTATGTGGTGCAAGACCATGACGGGGCAGGGAATATGAACCTCTACAAAGTTGAAAAAGAGACTGCAATGTTTTGGGGCGTGCATGCGATATAACACTATGATAGGCACTGGGTACTGAAGTAGGTCCGTGTAGACTACTTCCACAAACTCAGGTGGAGGAGTAAGGGACTCTAGACTACACTTTAAGTACTCTGCCGATTCATATAAGAAATTAATGATTATGTATCCCAAATAATAAAATGTTAAATATGTATTTGTGTGATGGACATGTTTCAGGACTTCTGATTATAAAAAAAAGTTCTTGTTTGATGTCCTTATAATTATGATTACTAAGGAGTGTTATGTTGTTGCTACTTATGTTTAAAAAACATCTTGTAATTTGATGTATATGTTTCCAGTTGATTTCTTCTTGTGGAAGGGTTAAAATTTATTGATTGCACAAAATTTATTTGAATATTATGTTGTAGGATTGGATAACAAAAATCCTAATGAATTTTAGTGCTGCATGTTGTATATAGTCAGTACTAGAAATTGTCTCAATACGTATGGGGTTGAAAATAAAATATGCATGCATACATCGTATGTAACTAACTATATATTAAAATATGCTTAATTATTTCTAACTTAAGGTTGATCATTTTTAACAGTTAATATTATGAGTCAGTATGTTGTTTATAATAAGTAATATATGTATATATATATATATTCAAAATTAAACATTTTATTTTACTTTTCGACATATATATATTTATATAGTACAGAAAGCTTGATTAATTGGAATTAAATATAAACTTTTGAAAGAAGCAAATTTTTTTATATTGCGTAACTCTTTTTTAACAATGTCAAAAAAAAAAAAAATGTCTCAATTAATAGGAAAACATTGAACTGAAGCATTAATGTATAAACTCTTCATAAAGTAAATGGACCCTAAGCCTAAGGCCATCCAAACTTTGCAAGCATTGGATGCATTTTTTATATGATCGCGATTGAAAATACCATATTCCACAACAGAGACGGGAGTATGGGACTTAGATTAAACGTAATGTTTTATAGAGTATTAATAAAGGCATCTAGTTCGATCGAATAATAAACCAACACTAACCATTTTTCATTTGTTCATGCCTTCATGGGCATATATATATATATATATATATATATACCTTAACAAACTATACTCAAAATCCATTAGCCAACCTCTTCGAAATTAATTTCCACGTTACGTAATTTTTTCTTCTTACTAGTATGAAATTATACATCAAAACTCAAAAGACATTGGCCAAACCTGAAATGATCTAAAAGTAGAAAAGATATTCGGATTCAGTCTAATAGTTAGTCTTCGATTCTTAAGCATATACATATAGTCTCTCTGATTCTGCAATTGGATGCAATTTCCACCATCACGATTGAAGAGACCATTCGATAACGAAAATTGGGACTTTGATTGAACTAGTTATCCACATACATTTCTCATATGTTCTTTACAGCTTTACTAAATTTGCGGTCAAGACACACCATGTGATCTATTAGTAAATCCAAGTTCAATCGAATAACCAACAATAACTCTTGTTTAACGTTGTTTCTTCGTTCATGAGCATATATGCCTTAGAAACTATCCTCTAAACCCATTAAGCTATCATTAAGCTCTTTCCTGCCATATATAGTAGATAGTAGATAAATTAAAAAAAAAAACTCATGGCATAAATCAAAATCAAAACCCGTAGTAAATAGAACAGATTAGGTTTAATATATACCCAAAATTTCTTATTATACTTTAATCAATTTGGGGAAAAAATAAAAATAAAAATAAAGAAGAAATTTTAGAATTTCCCAATGGAATTGGACTGATCATTCATTACAAAGACAAATGGAATCAGAACAAATATGTCTACTCAGAATTTGGTATGGTGGGAGTAGAAAAAAATAAATTAAAAAGAATAAGATTCAGATCATATATACCATGATATTTCCAATAAGGAATCATATCAAAGACTAATAAAACAAACACTTGACTTATACAAGAATTGTGTATATATAAACACCTGAAAGATCTTGATCACTTATCCATATCAAAGAAACTTAAACACAAGTAGAAATATATAAAAAGAGTGAAAAATGCTTGATAGAGTTGTCGGAGGGATCACCGGAGGAATCACCGGAGGGATTGGAGGGTTACTCGGAGGAATAAGGGATGGATACAACGAAAAAGATTATAGGAGAGGCCGATACGGCTATGGCTACGAGGAGCACAAGGAGTTCGAGTCTCATGTTCAGACTGATGGAGGCTACTCTGACCGTCAAACCCGCTACAAGCACCACACGAATCTTCCGACCAACCACTCCCGTAGACCCATGAATCACCACATGCTCCCACGGTCTGACGTGGACGAGGAGTTTTATGAGAGTAGACAGAGCCACCACACTAGTGCGTACGGCAACAATAACCACCACAACGTACGTAAGCCGTATCTATAGTCTCAAGATCTTACTAATCATGCTATGACATTTTCTTATATATATACTCTTCCAAAAGCTGTCTATAACTAGTTAAAACTCCTGATACTTGCATGCTAATATTTTTGTTGAATAAACCTATTGATTCTTGATTTATTTACACATTTAAAAAATGTTAAAAACTAATCAAAATTGTTTTTTTTTTTTAAACCCTTCCATTAAAAAGCAAACACTTTAGAGCAAAATGTAAGATTAAGATAGATTCTAGTGTAATTCTTATATTTAAGATCTTACCAATAATCTTGGTCTAGTGTAATTCTTATATTTAAGATCTTACAAGCCCAAAAGCCAACAGCACGCAGGCCCAAAAAACATACACAGCCACAAAGGCCCACAAAGGCATACAAGCCCCACTTTACAAGGCCCAAAGACCAAAAACCAAGGCACCTAGGCCTGAGAAAAAAAAAAAGGAAAAAAAAAAATTGTTTTAGAATCATAGGCATAGATATCATGTGTTTTTTCCTACACTAACAAAGATGCAAAAATTTGATATCCTAATATTTTTCTTTTCAAAAACATTTGTTTTGGCTTAATGATCATTATGTAGGGAAAGATGGGTAATGGATGGCAGGGGCAGCATGAAGATGCATACCACGGCGGGCACGGGATGCAGCAGCAGAACAGGCTTATGGCTCCTCAGGTTCCAACACGCCATGTGTACATGAACCCCGTTCAAGACGGCCGATACCAGTACTGATACAAAAGACAGATCTGGGAGTAAGGGACTGATCTAGACTCCAAAATACCTACTATGCCGACTTATCTAAAATGTTAATTAATGACTATGTATTCTCGAATAATAAAACTTGTAAACATGTATGTGTGTGATTGACATGTTTCAGTATCGTACCAAAACCAAACAAGAGACCTTTGTAACAAAAGAAAGAAGTGTTCGATCTTGTTTGATGACTTTATGATTACTACGAAGTGTTGTTGTTTGCTACTTATGTTTAATAAAAGTTTATGTCTATTATAATCAGTTGATTTCCTCCTTAAGCATGAGACTAATTTCAAGCACTTATAATAGCATTCTTTTTCTGGCCTTGATCAAGAGGACGAATCCTCAATCAATAAAGTATAATCACAAATCTAGGGTTTAGAGAGACTCTTCAAACTTTGCAAGCGTTAGATGCAATTCCCATCACGACGGTTGAAAAGACCATTCCACAAGAGGTAGGTCTTAAATTGAACTTGTCCCTTTAATATTTTCCTTTTGTTCTTTACTAAAGTTACGGTCAAACACGCCATGTGATTAAAAAGCATCTAGCTAGTTCGGTCGAATAAACCAAAGAGTAACTCCCGTTTACCGTTTTCAGTTTTGTTCATGGCTTAGCAACTATCCTCTAAACCCATTGGCCCAACTCTTCAACAATAGACATGTGTCTATCTATCTATATATAATTCTATATATTCAATGGTGTAAGGAACATTGGCCAAACCTGGAATAATATAAAGGAAGCAAAAGGTATCAGATTCAGTTTAATCCTTAATGACTTTTATACTACACATGCATATATATATTCCCTCTGATGATTTCAAATGTGTATACTAAGCAGCCCGCAAGAAGAGACCAAACAAGACTCTCAAATTTTCAATAGAAACACTAATGGTACTCGAGAGTTTCCTTCAGTATAAAGCTCATCATCATCATCATCACCATCACCATCATCATCCTCACCATCACAGGAACTCCTCCATTGCTGAGAAACCGAATCATCAAGTTATGGAGTATGAAGACATGACCCGTGACGTGATGAAGGCGTCAGCACATCATATGAGGAAGGTGAAGAGTGAGAGGATGGCAAAAGATGAGGATATTGACAAAGAAGCAGAGATTTTCATCAATCTAAAGCACAGAAAATTTAGCAACTGTATATGATACTAAGCTTCTTCCTTTAAAACTCACTAAGTATATTTTGAATTTGTGATGGTGTTCTTCTAATTGTCACATCTATTTTTATTTTGTTTGTGTAACAAAACCGGTGTTTGATACGAATTACATAATATCAAGGCACAGCTATATATATAATATATCCAAAACACTTTTATTAATGTTCTAAAAATACTTCAAAACCCACAAGGTGGACACAACAAAATCTGAGTTTCCCAAAATAGAAACTAAAAACCATTATAAAATGGTGAAACACCATAAAAGGTAAGTAAAGTATGATCCATTACTAAAGGATGGATCTGCAGAGAGGACAAGTGGTGTGATTATTACCAAACCATTTATCCAAACAAGCCGTGTGAAAGTAATGCTTGCAAGACACTAACTCACTCACTTCCTCCTTCTCTTTAAACCTACACAGACACACACAACACTCCATAGCTTCTCTCTCCTTCCTGCTTCCTCTGTTTTCACACAGAGCTTCGAAGTGTGTTACAGAGACTCTTCTTCCTCTTCTCTCTGAATCCTCATGATCTTGGTCGTCCCCTCTGTTCCTTGCCTCGTTGGTCTCATCAAAGCTCAGCATGTGAAGAACAGATCTTACCATGTTCTTTAATAGAGACACTGAAACAACTGTGTTCATCACTAACATTGGCATCACTCCTTCTGACGCAGTCGGGTAATGTGAAAGACCCATTCTTCTTCCTACAGATACTATTTTTTCCTTGAGATCTTTCAGGAGCTTTAAATAAAGAGAGCAACTGAAGAAGTTTCTTAAAATCCAGCCACTACAGTCTAATCCTCTGCTGGCTTCTTTAACTATATCGGTCTAAACGCGTGGCATCACGCGTAAGGTACGAGACCAACACATGATTGTGAGTTTGTGACTACATCACAAAAGTCTCTGACACGTGGTTCTGTGCAAGTGCTTTGTGGAAAGCTTCTCAAGTTCCTGTGCGTCAAGAAACTGACACGTGCGACTCCACTGATCCATGAAAACATAACACGCCACACCATCTTGTAACACGGCTCTTTCCCACTAACTTCAGAATTTTCTTGTAGGTTAAGTAAAAAGAAAAACTTCACATTGTACTGTATATACATCACATGCCACTAGATGCACTAGTGCTGGATGTTGCTGATACACAAGTCTTTGACTGGATCAAAACATTCATCTTTTTTGTTTATTCCATGGAAGGTGGTGATGAGTAATATCTACTACATTAACATATACAGAACTCTATATGTAAATGCAAGACACTATGTGAACTGAATCTGTCAGCGTCTGGCTATATAAGAACTCTCCTATTTAAATGGATGTTGCTGTTGAATTGGAGGAGCCTTCTACTTGTAAAGATTTATAATAATCCTTCTCTGCGTCAGCCATTCTACTCTGGAACATTGTCCATTCCTTTTTGCATCTATCCCTCACCTGCAAAACCACATAACAAACACACATTGAAGTCTTCCTCACGACACACAATTCTCACCACGAGAGAGGGAGATAGAGATTAAAAAGCTCTGTTACCCCTTGCCATGGTGCTTTCCCGTCTGTCGCCTCACCCTACATTAAGCGAAAGAGAATCAGATTTATAATCGAAGAAGTGAATGTCAGATCAAGAAGAGACAAAAATGGACACATAGAGAGTTCTATGGGGTTTACTTGGTTGCCAAGGGATGGAAAAGACTGATGAACGACCCACTGAGAATCAACTACTCCTATCTTCTCATGTGCAGGCTACATTTCAGCGTAAAATATATACAGTTTCGTCAAATTAACAAACTATATTGTTATAGCCAAGCAAACTTTTCCTTTGCATGACAAACAACGAACTGCAAGTGTCCAACTCTTACCTCAGCACATCTTCTGAGTGCAAAGTCAAGACCCCAACCGTGAACCAAATCATTCTGTTGACAGTTTAGGTAAAGAATATAAGTAAGACTGACAAGAAGATAAATGTAGGGAAAGTGAGGGGAAACTGAATGAAGAATGAACAAGTAAAGGATGAGGTTAATAACCTGGATCATGTGCCACACGCATCGCCAGGCGGATTTTGAAAATACAGGAGCCATGATCTCGACGAATCTACATTAGTAAATGACACAAAAATTTAAGACTTGTTAGTTCTTGTTATAGGAAAAAGACAACTCATAATAGGCAGAAACAAGGTTTCACATACCCAGCACATGGAGGGAGATGAGGATCTGAGCACCATCCAGGTCTTTCTTCTGTTATCCTGATAATAATCAAAGCCCATAATTTTGTAAAGATTATTATGCATAAAACTAAACATAGCCAGAATGTGAGGGTTTTTTGTCCATCATACTTGTGGACTTCCATATCTCCTCGTCTCTTGGTCATCTGCCACGTTAGTCCCTGGTTTGGTTCCAAGCCAGGTTGGGAAATCTCCAGGCCATGCTTCTTCACCATCTTTATGTACCTGTAAAAAATCAAGATATCACAACAGATCAATAAAATTGAAGGGAAAGAACTCATGTAAAGGTTTATAACAACTTACTCTTCTGCATTAAAATGCTCGACTCCAAGGTCTTCATCCCAGATGAATATATAATCATACTTTGCTACAATATCAGGGTGCAAAAACCTCTTTGCATACCACCTAACATATTTCCAGGTGCCAAGAGAGTCAGTAGTCATAAACATCAACATAATATTTTCTACCATAACCAATAAAGAGTGGTTGATAAGCAGTTGATACCATTTTGTCTGCTTTCGCACGCTAATGTGTATAGCAGTCTTCGACCATTCAAACTCATCCCACTCGGTTACCCGGCCGTCATAATGAAACAGAACAATAGTGAAGTTCTCTGAAAACTGTTGAGAAGACGATAAATAATTTATGACATGAAGTCAAAACATCAAATAAAGGGAATGAACCAACCTTCTTGACACAAGCATCGATATTTGCTTTCTGATTAATACCCACAGTAAATGTTGCGAGGTATCTTGGTTCTTTGGTCAAATCCTGAGGAAGCAAATAAGGTATAAATAATTACATTACTTTTCTGTATCAAGTAATGCAGCTAAAATGATGGTTTTGATGATATTAGAAATCAATAATTTGACTACACACCTCTTGCGGTAACCCCCATAATCTTCGCAAATAGAAGTCTGATTCGGCAGCAATCATACCCGGAGGCAACATTTCAGCACCACGAGGATTTGAAGGTACCCAAATCTGCAGCAAACTCAGAAATGAAACATGAAAACATGGACAGATACAAGACCATTAATCATGAATACACAGTAATTAAAAGTTTAACAAACACAAGTACTTTCCATACATAGTTTTCTTCGAGTTTGGCAAGGTAAATTCTAAATGACTAAACTACGTAAGTTATCTGTTAGGTTTTGATATTAATTAACATGTATCCCCTGTTTTGGAGTGCAAAACTAATTAGATTTAAGAGTCCTCAAACATATATCTTTGGGGAGACCTAAGACTTTACGTGTTCCCTCATTGAAGAAGAACCTCAGTTGCATATTGTAGTATGAATGGGTAGGGGTAGATAAAACTTGTAAAAATACTATAAATTTCAAAACATTGCATAAATAAATAAGGAGTAGAAACTTGCCTTCGATTTGTCAATTGGACCGGCTGAGCTATTATCGTTACCCTTTGATGATGACCAAGCTTTATGACTGTCTGGAGTTGCAATTGTTGAACTCTTTTCCTCTATATATGAGAGATCGCGTGACGGAAGAAAGTTTGTTGGGAGACTCACCTGAAACATAAGAGAAAGATCTTTTGATGATGAACAATGGAGCATATCCTAATTAAAAACAGAAATTGGAAGACAAGGGTTGATTCTATAACCTTGGTGATTGATAATGATGGAAATGATATTCCAACCAGAAAGCCGAAAGTTACTCCGAAAAATGCTGTTGCAATGATCTTCATTCCATCTTTTGATTTCCTACTAATTGAACTGAAATAACAAGAACCAAATTTGGCTTATAAGGTTCTCTGCACCTCTTGAAACACTGACCAAATTCGTAATAAAGAGAGAGACAAGATTTTGACCTGCGTGAAAAGATTCCCATATCTTCTCTAATCTTCTGAGTGTAGCTTCACAGTGTAAATGTGCAGCACTATATCAAGAAGAGGTTTCAAAAGTCACCCACCGAGTTTCTTCTCTCTACTGTAGTAACTCCAAAAGGCCCCTTCTGACAGTAGAGAAGCCAGGAACCTTTTATGCGTAACACCGCGAATTGTGATCTAGAGAGAAAAAAGGAGACTTTTAATATAAGTTCTAATGCCAAGAAGAAGAAGACACAGATGGACAAACAAACTAGGACCACCTTTTAAATGGAAAACCTGGTCATCATCCACAGTTTCTAAAATTCTCTTGTCAAAAAAGTAAGTCATTATCGTAGAACCTACAGATGAATACAATATAGTGCATCTAAACCAACCAGGGGATAAAAAGGCTTCAATACCAAACTATTGACCAGACTATATATCCATAAGTCAAAACAAACAATTAGATCATTCCCTTAAAAGATGATCACAATTTCAAGCAATGCATGTGCTTCCCCCTTGGAAAAAAGCAAAACAAAACCCCTAAATACCAGGAGCAATACAATCACAGGACATGAATCACAAAAACAGAACACTTTGCTTAGATTGCAAGACACAACAAAAAAAACAATTAAACCCGGGATAAAGTCAGCTATGTACCACATTTAATTAAGAGAACACAAACAAATCAAAAGCAAGCCCATAAGACTAAGAAATACTAAAAGAGCCATGTTTCAACACCAAAGAGAAACAAATGGTACCATACCAAATTCTCCAAACGCATAGGCAAAAATTCCACAAAATTTCCCAAATTTTCTCAATACAAGAATAAAGGCGTCACCTTTAATATCGATACGAACGAGGATTACTCAATAAAGAGAAATGCCACAAACGAGATCCCTCAAACCAGTGAAGAAACACGAGATTATCGCTCCTCACCCACACACAACAAAAACGAAAGCCCAAAAACCCTCTTCGTAGAATTCGAGACACACACACAACGAAGAAGAGAGAACAACACACACACACACACACCCGTGATCGCCTTCGTTCTAGAGAACGCCAAAAACGTGAGAGAATGATAAGAAACGAGTTAATCTTTAGACAATCAAGAAAAAGGAATGATTTTTATCGAAACCCCTTATCGGTTTTTCTTACTTGACTTTTCCTTTTCAAGAAATTCAAAAGAAAGCTTAGGTTTTTTTTTTTTTTTGGTGACCAATGGAATTTTCTGGGCGTATATTTAGGTGTAGAGAAGAAGAAGAAGAAAAAACCAACGAAAGCTCTCAAAGCTGCTTCTTCATACAATTTAATTTTCAAAACATTAAGGAAAAAAATTAAATATTCAACCTTTTTTTCTCTTGTTCTTCGCAACCTCCAAAACGCAGAGTTTTGTGGGAAATGGGAAAAGCTTGAAAATGCACGTAAACAAACAAAACCCCCCGACACAACACGCATATCCGTGGACCGTACTTAGTCGACATATAATGATGCCAATTTAAATTGTTGTATCCTATTTTTCACAATACACTGTTTTGATTTTAATTTCATTTTTTAATAACATGTAAAGTATCAAAACAAATCTATCAATACTCACTTTATCAAATCTATCATCAATTTGTCATATTCTTTGCTGCAAATAAACAAGAAAAAACCAAGATCTGTATTTTGCAACAAAATCTTTCCGGAAATCACGCAACAATTTTGATGAGGATAGAAGAAGATAAGTAGTAATAAGAAAGCAATTTTTACAAATTTAATAGCAAAATGATTTTTATTTCTTACCTTAAAAATTTGTATGAGTGGATACGTTTTGGTGGAGAGAAATGGGTATAAAATAGAGGTTGGAGTTGTTGTGATGGCGTTGCTATAATTTGGGCGATTTAAGAAAGGCAATGAAGGTTTTGACTATAACGTAATGTATGATGAATGTGATATACAGTAAATAGAGTTTGGCAAAGTATCATATAAGAAAAAAAAGTAGGTTTCGTACCAAACTGAGGAGTCCACTTTCTTTAATAAGAAGGTCCCTCTCTTTTATTACTTTGCTTTTTCTTAACATTATTATGTTTAAATGTATCAATCGCGACATGTTTCAGAAGATCACGTTAACAAAACTGTGTGACATTGGTAAGAAGATGATGTAATGTAGTAGTAAAAAGAAGCAATAAGCAATTTGTTACAAAGTCTACCTATTTATATAGTTACTTTACAAAAGTCCACGTATGTAGTTGAAGACATGACTCTTTTTGGGTTATGTACATATTAAGTTTGTTATTATACATCGATCAACAAATCAATCACAAATAGACTATACATTGGCCTCACCACACATAGGCAAGCAAAATACTCGGAGGCTTAAGAGATTTACAAGGCAAAGAGAGGGATGTGAATATCTATCCTTCATTGGTTTCAGATACTGCTTCGGGGAAGGGAGGGAGCCAGAGCTCTACACGAGTACCTCCAGCTCCTAAGGCTGCATCAGAGCTGCGAGGTGATATAACTCTGATCACGCATCCGTAACTCTCCAGGATCTCTCGGGCTACGGTTAAACCAGCCACAAAGTTCCATGTCATATTGTCTTCAACCATGTTTTCTGACAGGAGTTCTGCTCCAAACGGTGTTAGCGAATGCATTTGCGTCTGCATTGATGTAACAAAGTTGTTAACAAGCAATATAATTTCTCTTATTAAACTGGTAAGACCTCAGACTTGCATACAGGAAGTAAAAAGCATCAGCATATAAGTTTGGTCTTGTTTACCATATAGCGCATATCAGGACCATCATCATCAATTACTACCAGACTACCGCCTGCAGGAGCTCTGGTCGACAAAATTTCAACTTTTCCCCCAACATGAGTGCGCAATAAAGCACCTTCAATGAGATTGCTCATAGCCTGCCTTAAAGCCGGTTCTTCAACAGCAACTAGAAGGGAAGCTGAGTTTTCACCTAGCTCCACCACTCTTTGCTGAGTAAGAGCTAGTGGTCTCACAGTCTCGACCATATCTAAAAGCACATTAGAAATGTCGCATGGTCTTCCTGACATAAATGAAAGAGATAAGCCCTCCCAACACTTTGTTTTGTAACAAGACGTTCAGTTAATGGCTCAGAAGCTTGTACCTTATACTGTGCGTTTGAACGGGTGCCAGGGCCAGAGGTGGCATAGGCATTTCAGAATCATCTGATCCAGAACCCAGGGAAAGGCGTGTACTTGGGATTTGTGACCCATCAATGGGGTCTTTATGTTCATAATTTGATCTCCTTGTTTCATTATGTGTTTTGTTTATCTTCTTCAGGGCTTCTTCGTTGTAGCGGACTATATTAGCCTGAAAAATGATATGCTTTGTAAATACACATCGAAAAATATTTTGAAAAGAATCCTCATGCTCAACGCATCTAAAACAGATTTATGAAGACAACTAAAAATAAGAGTCATGACACTAGTCACAAGTACCCAAAGGGACAAAGTAAGAGAAGGTGAACCTTTGTCAAGTGAACTGCATCCTGAAGTTCTTCAAGGGTATCTTTTATTTGATCGCCTTGAACTATTAAGTTTTCAACAATATCATGTGAAACCTACAATGTACAAAAACCCAAGTCAGTCCGATAATTGCAAGACTCAGGGAGAATAACACTTCCGGCCACAAATGTTAACTGGAAAGGACCTGACTTCTCTTCGTGTGAGTTGAAAGCATTTTACTTAAAGTCCTCATGGTAGAGAGCGGACCACGGATCTGGCAAAAAGCCAGAAAAAAAAAATGCATGATATAAACTAAAAGGAGACTTTAACATAAGATCTATGTATGCTAAGTTAACAAGTGTGTGGCTTGTACCTGCTCCACTAGCTTACTCATCCTTACATTGTTTTGCCAAGATGACTGTTGAAGTAACATTGTTTTCTACACATACCCACAAATTGAAAAGGTCAATAAGGGTTGAACATAACAACACCATGATCAGAAAGAACCGAACACATGCAATGCCATCAACAGAAGAGACAGGATATATGAAAAACCTGATCCATGACATATGCCATAGCGAGAGTCCGCGAAATATTAATGGCATAAGATCTCTGCTCTGCAGTGAAAACCTTAACAGAAGGAAGTTTAACTTTAGGTGGTTTTGTATTAGCTGAAGCAGGCAAAGCATAAGCTTCCTCTGGGGAAAGAAATTGCTTTAAACCACACGTTTTTTCCTCTTCCTCCTTCTCCTCCTCCTCCTCCTCCTCGGCTTCTAACGGTAACTCAGCAACCAAGAAACCGACAACAAACGGGTGTTTCACCATTGGAAACACAGCAGCTCTATGTTTACTCACAACTTCAACCTATCATCATCATATTATGTCAAAAAGGTAATCTTTTCTAGGCAAATTTGCAGAACACACGAAGTAAGTAGCATACTTGTTGACTAGAAAGTGATGCTTCAGCAGCTCGTAGACCGGCCGGTATACCAAAGTTTCCGACTAAGATCACAACATCTCCCGCATTAACACTTGGATAACATGTGACACGACGCAGCTCTAATCGATCCATCACATAGCTACCAGCTGGTCTTACATATATCTAAAAACCAAAAACAACATAAAACCCCCAACTTTAATTTCAGAACACTCTGTTTTCAGAAAAAAACCCAACTTTAATTTCAGAACACTCTGTTTTCAGGCAACAATGGAGTACGAAGAGAAGAGACGCACCGAGAGGACTGCATTTGGATCCACGATTTGACGAAAGAGATCTAATTGCTCGAGACAAAGACGTTGAAAATCAGGACTTGGCAAGATAATCTTAGTCTTGAGATGGTCTTTCTCAATCATCTGTGTGAACTCTACAGGAGTCGTTGAAGCTCCACGAATCGCAGAAGCTATAGCGGAAGCAGAGGCCACCATGGTGGTGGTCTCTCCTCCGGGGTCTGAATCTTCATTAGATACATTGTGGTTCACGTAACGGAGACCGCGTGTGAATATAGAAGACGACGACGAGGAGGACGAGGAGGAGGAGGAAGAAGACGCATTGAGTAGCTTGATCGAAGAATTAGAAGGTCTAGGGTTTGGAATACAATTGGAGAAGTGTAAATTAGGGTTGGATGAGAGAAGGGTCTGAGAAGCGATTGCAGAAAGAAGCATCACTACAGAACACGACAGTGGAGTTTTTAACTTTGTGGCTGAGACTGAAACAAACTCTCGCGAGGAAGACGATACGATGATATTTACAATTGCAATTCACCAATATAAACGGCATCGTATTACTAAACTTGCAACTTTGATCATAAACGTCGTCGTTTAATGCTTGAAACAAAAACAACATTGTACAACAAAATATTAACAAATGCTTTTAGAATTTTTTGTTGTATTTCTTGGTAGACACTGTAGACACTACACCAATGCCTGCAAAATAGCTTAGTCATACATAATAAAAGGATTTGAGAAAAAACGTGATAGATAATAGAGACAAAAACAATTTCTTTTTTAAAGAGAACCATGAAAACAAAAACTTACATATGAAAATGGAAAGCTACTATAAAAAGAAAGATATCATATGAAGATAATCCTCAAAAGGAAGCGAGCATATGTGTATGTCATACTCAAGAGGTATTTTAGTAACAAATTTCAAATGGATTATTTTCTACTAACCTTCCCAATCAAAACATATAAAAACGAGTTAGTAGTTATATAAGATTATGTACATAAAATATGAATTATTTTTCATTTCTGATTTTTGCTTAGTGCCTTGGTGGGGGTAACGTTTCTCATCTTTCTTTCTACAATTTTCACTTTTTTTTTCCATCTTCAAATTTCAATACTTTTTGTTTGTTTGTATCTCTTCTAAACCCTATACTATTATTATTATTGTTTTTGTAGAAGATAAAAGCCCCCGTGATTGAGTTGAGTTAGATCTCTCCACCTCTTCTTCCTCAGCTTTACCAATGAATCCAATCATATCTTCTCTGTTTACTCTCTCGTTGCTATCATCATTCCTATCACTATCAACATCAACGCATGCGCAACAATGTCATTTTCCAGCAATCTTTAACTTTGGTGACTCTAACTCCGACACCGGTGGTCTCTCCGCAGCTTTTGGCCAAGCTGGTCCTCCTCACGGCTCTTCCTTCTTCGGCTCACCCGCCGGAAGGTACTGTGACGGTCGTCTCGTCATTGATTTCATAGGTAAAACAAACTCTTTTAGTATATACAAGTGTCTATGAATGCGTTTTCTTGATTTGGCTCTGTTTTGAAAACATTTTCTTGATTTGGCTCTGTTTTGAAAACATATATAGCGGAGAGTCTTGGCTTGCCGTATCTAAGTGCGTTTCTAGACTCGGTTGGTTCAAACTTCAGCCATGGCGCTAACTTCGCGACTGCCGGGTCTCCTCTCAGAGCTCTTAACTCCACTCTACGTCAAAGTGGATTCAGCCCATTCTCACTCGATGTTCAGTTCGTCCAGTTCTACAATTTCCACAACAGATCTCAAACTGTTCGTGGTCGCGGAGGGGTTTACACGACGATGTTGCCTGAAGCAGACAGCTTTTCACAGGCTTTGTACACGTTTGACATTGGACAGAACGATCTCACCGCTGGTTATTTCGCTAATAAAACCGTGGAACAAGTTGGAACCGAAGTTCCTGAGATCATTAGCCAGTTCAAGAATGCTATCAAGGTTGGTCTCTCTGTTTCTGACTATATAGCTATTTACTCTGTTTTTGCTTAAGTGGGAATACAAAAGTGTGTTTTTATATTGTGATGATAGAATATATATGGACAAGGAGGGAGATACTTCTGGATTCACAACACTGGACCTATTGGTTGTTTAGCGTATGTGATTGAAAGGTTTCCGGTTAAAGCATCAGACTTTGATTCACACGGATGTGTCTCTTCTCTGAACCACTTAGCTCAACAGTTCAATTACGCTCTGAAACAAGCTGTGATTGAGTTAAGAGCTTCGCTATCTGAAGCTGCCATCAGTTATGTGGATGTCTACTCTGTCAAGCATGAGTTGTTTCTTCATGCTCAGGGTCATGGGTTCAAGAGATCGTTGATTTCATGTTGTGGACATGGAGGGAAGTATAACTACAACAAGGGCATTGGATGTGGGATGAAGAAGATTGTGAAAGGCAAAGAGGTTTACATAGGAAAGCCATGCGATGAGCCTGACAAGGCTGTCGTGTGGGATGGTGTCCACTTCACACAGGCTGCTAACAAATTCATCTTTGAGAAGATCGCCCCCGGGTTGAGCATGGCCTGCCACAGGCAATAATAACAAGAGGAAACAAGCTTTTCCTCTTTTTATGAGTTTGTTTCTTTTAATATCTTAGAAAGGAGACAAATCTAAGAAAAAGATTTATTAAGAACATGAAACTTGTGCCTGTGTTTGGCTATCACTAATATGAACTTATTAAGAAAGCAATAAGATTTTTGGTGAGATAGGTTCATCATTATCAACATGCATCTACATAACCATCAAAGTATCCAAAGGAGCACTAGAATACAAGCATATATGTAAAGAAAGTTAGTCAGAGTTTTCAGTATTTGTAGTGGTTGAGATCGATAATCACCACTGTAATATCATCCATACTACCTCTACTCACTGCCAGGCTTGCGAGTTCTTTGCAAGCCGCCTTGGCCCAAGAAAACTCGGACTTCATCTTTATTCGATTCAACGGTGTGATCTTTTGTGACTTGGAAGGTAGACTCCCGATTTCACTGTGGGGTGAGGGTGATTCATTATCAGAGTTGCAGCAGTAACTTATGGCTTTTGCACATCTGGGGGATTGAACTGATGACTTAACCAGAGCAACACGACGAAATTTTGAAGATGGGCTCACATTGACACGGCCCTGGACCAAGTTCTCCTCCTCACTTTCTCCAGGCGTCTTTCTCTGAGCTAGAACTTGCAACACGGTGTCAATCGCCTCTTGGTTACTCACCACATCCCAAAGTCCATCAGAAGCTAAGACAAGGAACTCCATATCTTGTTCCAATTCAAGTATTCTTGTATCAGGTTCAGCAATCACCCACTTCTTTAAGTGTGCATCTCCAATGCTTCTGGAAACCGCGAGTATCCCATGAACTCGCCAAGACCCTCGATGAATATCAACATAACCTCCCTATAGATCAAAATGCCAGGGCAAGTATCAGAACTACTCTCTCAATCAAGTCTTATCACACAATCAGCGAACATACAAACTTCTTCACATTCTTACCTGACTCTCAATTCTTTCCTTTTCGTCATCCCTTCCTGCTTTGTGATCAGTTGTAAGAGCCTCAGCAACGCCTCCTCTGCACAAAACAGCTCTACAATCTCCTAAATTCGAGACAATCATCTCTTGATCTTGTATCAAAGCTGTAACACAGCAGGCACCACTCACAACACCCTGTAGTATTTATTTATGTTACCAGTAAGTCCAAGTATAGTTGTAATCTTCTTACAACTAACCTCACTGGAAATTCAAAGACTGTTCTTTCTTACCTGTTCTAAGAAATCACGATCGGTCCTTAAATAAGCAGCTTTAAAGGCTTCTACTTTCTCCTCCTTGTCCTTACAATTCTTCATCATCTCAAGAACATTCTTGTGCAAATTCTCAGCCACAAATTCCGCAGCTTTGCCACCTCCATGACCATCATAAACTCCAAAGAAACCCTTCAAATCAAACCCCAAACAAAACCCATTACACATAGAACACAACCCAAGTTTTCAAACCTATCATTCAATCAAGAAGAAGAAAGAAAGATACCTTTTTTGAGCTACCAACCAAACAAGGAACAACTCTGTGACCATCTTCCATAAACTTCTTCTTCCCCTTTCTCGAGACAACGCCAAAACCGTTACCACCGAAGCATGCGGCGTCGTTCTCCTGAGCGTAGTCTCTGAATCTGTCTCTGAATATAGAGAAATCAGTTCGAACAGGTTTCAGGTCAGGGATATCTAAGTGGGGAGGTCTCCTTCTCTTCAAAGGCGAGACCTTTGGGATCAACAATGGGGAAGAACTCGAGGGCAAGGCCGTGCTCAATATATTAGCCATGGGAGGAGAAAGGATCGTCTTGTTTTCCCCTGAGCCGAGAGTAGTAGTCATATCGCTGTCACAGAGCAAGCAACGGCTACCAAAACTGTGAGCGGAAAAAGAAAAAGGAAAAAGTCAATTGGTAAAGTGTTAGATGCTTTAGGGTTTTGGCTCAGTCAAAATTGAAGAAAAGTTCAGATTTCTTTTTCAAACATTCAAATCGGAGAAAGAAAAGGAAAGGCAAACAATACTGTAACTGAACATTCATACATAGTTACATACATATATATAATGTATATATTTTCATCATATCTAATAAAAAATAAAAAAATAGAAAAATAAAATATATAATTTAATTATTATTATTTTTAACTAATAACTAAACAGCTAAACATATATCTTATCTTTTTTCCTATAAGAAATTAGTTGATTTATAATTTACTAACAATGTATATGTTTAGTTAAAGCATTGTATTATTACCTTAAATTTTTTAACTATGAAATAAATATGACTAGATGTCAAAATAAAATGAATCTGATTATAAATATGTGTTTAGAATTTTTTTATTTTTTAAAATTTTTAAAGTTTTATTTTTAATATGTGATTTTATGTGCATAAGAGTTTAAGTAATATTGTAGCAAAATTCAAAAATTTATTTGTATGAGGATGTATATAATATATACAATATATATCTATTTGTATGAGGATGTATATAATATATACAATATATATCTAGTGCTAATATATATATATGGTTTTGTATTATATATATATATATATATAATTTTTATTATGTAATTTGTTAAAAAAAAATACTACAGATCATCACAGTATATGACTTGATGATATATATTTTCAAATTTATTATTGAATATTAAATCTAATTATCAAATATAACTACGTTTTGGCTGTGTATTATTACAAAAAAAACATTATGATGTATTACTTGGTAAAGAAACATGTTTAAACGTCAACAAAGACAAAAAAAAACTACTTATGCGTTATACATTGAAATGCCAATCTGTTTCACTGAAATTACGTATTGAGTCAACTTTTAATAAAATTCACTTTGACTAGTATAATAATTCCATTATTAAGTTTTCATGGATCTAAAGGTGTTTTTCAATTTCCAATTTTTAGCCTAAAACCCTAATATATAAAATTAAATTTTAGATATCTTTATTCAGATTAATGTTTGACAAACCAAATGGATGATACATTTAGTCAATTAGTATATGTTTTCATAAATATTATATGCCACTGATTTTTAAATATAAACATTTTCACCTTCATTATTCTAACTAAATTTCTCTATTAATTGGAGAAATTCATGTTAGCATCAAGTATCAACAATTTTTTTTTAATTAAAAAAATTTGAGAAAATTGACACGAGTTAAAATAGCTTAACTCAATTATAAAAGAAATTTCTTACCAAAAAAAGATAAACTAAACTAAAAATTACTAAGATATAGAGTTACCAATAATTGTTGGTGTAAGCCCTCCCAAGTGTAAGCTCGCTCAAGTGTTTATCTCAGTCTGTTGAGATTTTATGTGTAATCAAATATTTACTATAATATATACTGTACGCAATAAAATAATCAAATTTTGAGTATATATGAGCTCAAAGTTGATATGTCAAACTGGTTTAACCTATTTCTCCTATATACATAACTATATATATGATAGAAGTGAAGTGTTTATTTCATTTAAGAGTTGTGGGGTAAGGAAAACGAAGAAATATATTTAATGCGATTCATTTTTAGAAATAAAAACTAAGGAATCTAATTACTATTATGACTTATTCTAAAGACTTTTTAAAAATTAGTATTTAAAATTTCCAGTTAAAGTAAATACATAAAAACAAATATAGATAAATAATAAATGCATCAGTCAAAGAACTTAATATAATATGAAAAAAATGGTTGCGATCGCCAATTACATTATTCCAACTAGGTTAAAATATGCACTATGCACATTAATGTTATTTGTAAATACATTTATTTAATAATAATATTAATGTGTGAAGTGACCGTAGTCTAGTAGCAAATGATAAATCCACTGATGGACATGCACTATTACACCAGTGATCGAGCTCCGCCCCTAAATATTGACCCAATATTAACTAAAAAAAAACTTTAATATTTGTAGTTATTTCTATAATTATAATTGATCATCGGATCTTCTGATTCAAGTTAATAGTTGGTGAGGTATCCCCATATTTTGAATAACATCATCTCCAGTTTTTCAAAGGACCCAAAATTTTAATTAATATTATGATGATGAGCTATATATAAAGATTATGAATTATAAGTTTTCTAAGATTTTTAAGAATTAGTACAAACTGACGTGTGTTAGAGGTACCGTTTTTGTGTTTTCTCTTCAGTGATACAACCCAATGGATCTACACTATAAATCAATCTCTTGAAAATCCTTAGAAATTTTTTATGATTTGGGAGGAATGATAACGAATATATACTGATAGGTAAAAAAAATATAAGAGACAAATAGATAGGAATAAACCAAAACCCGTAGGAGATAGGAAACAAAGTAAAATAATCATGCATATACATATATTGGACTTTTAAGGTGCAACAATTTTTATGTTCAGAAAAATAGTATGTAAAGCGGCATCAATGTATGTATCAATGTATATGCAAAAGAAAGAAGACTACTTTTCAAGAGAAAAGAAGAAACCACTACATATCTAACATAATAAGAAATTATCCACTACACATGCAACAACAAAGGAGAAGTATTGAGTTAACTTCAATACTTACTAAGAAAAATTAAGAGCAACCATCCTTAAATTTGAAAAATCCCAAAACATGATGAAATTAATTGTTAAATATAGATCTCACCATTTTTACAAAGTTGTGTTCTCTCTAAATTTGATTGATTTAATTTGCTGATGGAATTGGTGAATTAGGGAGAGAGATCCGAAGAAAAGAGAAAGATGAAATGAGGAAGAGAGAGTTACCTTAAGAAAGAACGAAACGGCGTAGAATCCAAAGAAAAACGAAACCAAAAGTGAGAGATAGAATGCGTGAAAGGAGAGAGTATTATCAGTGGGTTATATAGATAGTGAATTATTTGTTATGTTTTGAATGGAGATAGTCTCTTTTGTAACCGTCGGAACATGCATTGGAAATAGTGTCTAAGTCTTCTCTTTGTAGTCCATGTTACCAAACTATTTCTTTGATCATATGATTCGCCGAACCTATTTCAAGTTTTCTAATTTTGTAAACCGTGTTTTTGGGCCATATAGCTAAGCCCAATGAATTGTATTGACTATCATTTATAACATTCAATGTGTATTGTATATCAATTGAAATGTACTGTATATAGAATATCAAATATGTAAAATATCATATTTTTTATAGCTTATAACAATAATGAAAATATATTATATTAAAAATAAGAAATATAACTAAATTTATGAAAAATAAAAATTGATAAATTATTCAGTTATAAATTTTAATAAGATTTAAACTCAATGTCAATTTGTTGTTATTCAATTAATAATTCTAAGTTATGCTTTAAATTTAGTCTAGTATTATTGGAACTTACATTTGTAGATTAGTCTTACTATATTCTTAAATTTGGTGTTATTCATTTCACATATTTTATTAAAATTCAATTTTATTTATAAAATTTTGTAATCCCTCTGTTTCAATTCAAGTTTCATTCTAAGTTTTTTTACACAATTTAGGAAACTATTAAATTTTCAGTTTACCCCTTATTAATACATTATATATTAATATAATTGTCTTATCTGTCAATACATCAAATTAGTAGGGATCAAATTGGAAAATTACATAAAAATACTAAACGACACTTGTTTAATTTGAAACTAAACTTAAAGTCTAAAACGTCACTTATTTTGAAACTAGAGTATAATTTGAGATGAAAATATTTTGGAGTTTACTAAGCAAAGTTATAGAAAATTAATTAATAACAATATATTAGTAGAAATTAAATGACAGTAGAAATTTTTTATAATATCAAAATTTATAGATACAATTTGTATAACCATATATCACACAAACGCACACACACATATACATTTACATAAATATGTAATAAACATAATAAGAGTAAATGTCAGTCAAACTTTAAAACCATTGTAAAGTAAAAAAAAATTACAAGATTTTTGTTCTTAAAAAAAAAAAAAGAGTCCTTTAAATAAACATCTAATAATTTTTGTGCAAAAAGTCCCCCTTAAAATTAACAGGTATATATTATTTTCTACTGGTTTTCCAAAAAAAAAAAAAACTTTTCTACTTAGTTCTCTGCCAACTTTAAAGTATTAATAACACAAGTCAAAATCATGGTCATTATAAATAAAAATAATAATTAATTAGGAGAAAAATCAATATAATGATGCTCATTAAAAAAACTTTAAATCGTGATTGTGCCACTAACAATATCGATCGTGAGGTCCATCTCTGGTCCCTTGTTCATTGTCCTCATTATATTCTAAACTCAGCTCAAAATGGCATCAGTTAGCGTGATGATACTTTAATCCAAGAAAAATTGAGTGCCAAATAAATATCATTGAAGATTTTACAAATAGACCCGATGTGGCCAGGATTGATGTTGTTGACTATTGTTTACCAATAAGGACGATTCTGATTAGCCGCCAACGACTATATAATTAGACTTGTGTTAAAATATCCGAAAACATTAGACCAATCCTAATAACATATCCTCAATCTCAAATACTGATTTCGCAAAACGATGGACAGAACACAAACTTTGATTTATGTTTCCATAGGGCTTGACTACAAATATTCATATGAACAACACCAAACACATTCATATGGTGAAATCATAGTACAAGGGGAGCAACGAAATGGAGTAATCATGATGAACCTTGGAAGATTCCATGTAACTTCCATTAGCGTATTTAAATAAGAGATCATGATGCGGTGGTCTCTCTCCTCCTCGGTGCGCCACGTCAGCGGCAACTAGAGTCATGGTCCGTTTCTGCATACTCATCAACACATTTTGCCACGTGTTGACCCTTGACTGTTCCTTGCCGTGAACACCAACGTTCATCTCCGACAGGTCCTCGCTTCTCACCCCCATCACTTCCTCTGGCTTTGCACCATCGAGGATCCAGATCAGACAAGAACAAAACCCTTTCGAGATCTCCGAATCACTGTCCGCTTTAAACCTCATCCTCCCATACTCGTCCATCTTTACCTCCAACCAAACCTGAGTCGTGCACCCCGTGACTCTGTTCGCCGAGACGCGAGCCGAGTCATCTAGTGGGGCTAGATCAGCCGCGTAGTTTAAGAGACGTTTGACTCGGTCGATCGGTTCGGTTAAGGACCGAAACTCAGATACGAGGATACGAAGCTTGTCCGAGGTCTTTGTCCCCAAGGGAGCTTCAACCGTTGCGAAAGAAAGACTAGGGCTTGTAGCGTTTGGAGTCGAAAGAGAAGAATCTCGCATGCATCTAATGGTTTTAAGACATAATCTTGGGAGTTTGGAAGAGAATCTTGGGTTCTGTAAAGATTTTCTTGTTGGTCCGGAAGAAGATATCAAAGGAGGAGATGCAAAGGCCTTGATGAACGATGATGAAGTGTTCATGTTCCGTAACAAGGGCAATGCAACAAAACAGAAAAAAAAAAAAAACCAAAATTAAAAATGGGAGGAGAAGGTAGAAGAAGGAGAAGAGAGAGAGATATATAAATAAAGGTAATCAGAGGAGAGAGCTCCTTCAACTACGCGACAGAGAGAGGATCATGATTGCATTGAGATTTCTACATCGCGCCAAAACTATTTTTATGTGTAGATTGATTTTGCATTACATATTTATATATATATTACTATTTTAATTAAAGGATTGTTTATATATCAAGATGACCAAGAAGATCCTTTAGAAATATTGTTATATATAGCAAATCACAATATGTAATAGAATTATGCAAATATCAAGATGACCCTAGTTTTTAAAAATTTAAAGACAAAACTTTCAATCATTGACCTAGGTGGATGCTAAATGTAACATTGGTGAGTGCTAAATTGAAAACTCCAATTGACTTGGAGTTTTGAATAAATATGTTCATTGCTAATCACCATATCCTATAAGATAGGAGTGTTATTTTGTTTTAATTGTAAAACGATACAAAAACACGACCGAGTCAATAAAAATAACCAATTCAAAAGAGGTAGGCTACTTCTATTCAAAACCAAACTTACGATATGGTTCTGTTTTATTATCATTGAGAGGCTAAATAGAGTAAGATACGATGAACAAAGGATTTGAGGCAGCCTCACCACTGACCAATCGACACTGAAGGATAGAAAGGCACGTGACTATATATTTTCCAAGTACATTTATCATTTTCGTGGAATTTAAATACAAAAGCATATTCGAATCGACAAGTGAATTATTCAAGAGCACATATAGTGTCGGAAAGAGACTTGAGATATCTTTTTCAATAATTTTTAAAGTAATTTCATTTCGTCATAGCTTACGGCTACACTTGAGTGTATTTACCAAAACCACGTTTTTATATTACACAATATAATATAAAAGATGCATTATTGGTTGATCACTTAAAATAATAGATAAACTAAGAAGATTCCATTTTGTATATCAAACTTTCCAAATTAAATTATTTATTTATTCATTTATCACTCAAAAACGCTATATATATATATATATATATATAAGAAATATATTTAAGAAAAATACAATATATATTGCTCATCAAAGTAGTATACTGTATGATATTTGTTCATGTTTTGGGCCTCATACTATGTATTGAATTATACTCAAAAGCCTTATTAATCACATCGAATGAAAAGAGTAGGAACTTGAGAAAAAACAGTTTTCTATTGAGTACTGTGAGAGAACAGATCATGGTGATCGATAGAGAACATTTTAAGAGAAAGTAACTGATAAGTTTCTTCATGTTCTCTACAGTTGACAATTTCAATAAACTGAAAGCTTTATCTTGCGTATAAATTTGTTGTAACATATAGAAAACATCGTGAAAAGTGCTCCGATCCACCCATGCATGAGTGTTGTTGATCTTTTAAAGAATATTAATGTCCAATCTATAAACATTTTGGTAAAAATATCTGTAGGTGATCCAAGACAATGGCCTAATTCAGTTTGAGTATTTTTTGTTTTTCACTCTTTGCATTACTCTATGTAATTATGATTTTATCGTACGGTTTAATTGTATTATTTATTTATATGAAATTTCAAGTAATTGTTTCTGGCAGGGGGCGAACATATGTGCATGAAAGGGAGGTCGGCCCCAAATTTCAAAAATCTCTTCATTTTTATAAGAATATGTCACATGACTTTTAAATTAGACATGCATGCATATGAGCAGCTCCATCCATGTCCGTTTGGGTTTCTTGATGGATTACCCAGTTGGTTGTCAATGATCCTTCTACACATTGATTTGTTTTTCCATTCCCAAGTAGTTATTGTATACCTTGAAAAGTACTAATTACTTTGTAACATGCTTATTCAAATATGGTTAGAATACCATTTCTGCTTTAATCTCTTACATTAGAGAAGTCTTAGGATAATATTTAGCTTTATAGGCTTTCCTTTATTTGATTACTTAGCTTTATAGACTTTTGATAGGAGAGATTAAAAGTCTCCAACATTATTTGGCTAGCAGAGCTACATTAACGCTTATGAAATCCTTTATTCCTTTTGTTTTTTTAAGATGTTGCCAACATTATTTGGCTAGCAGAGCTACATTAACGCTTATGAAATCCTTTATTCATATAATCTCTTTGTTATTTAAGATGTTGCCATATCCCAATATTCAAGTGATCATTTGTTTATATATCCCTTTCAGCAAAGCAAGCCACTCAAATTTATAAGTTGTAGTTGTGATTTGTTTAATGATTTTTTTTGTGTGGGCAATACAGCAAAACATTGAGGGAAAGTAGTAAAACTGTTTTGTTTAGTGTATTTGCTTTCATGTAGGAGATGCCATAGTAGATCGAGTAGAGTAGAGTACCACATTGTTAATGAGAAATGATCCTTTTTCCTCATATACTTAAGCAACGTTAACCCTTCTTTTTAACAGCAATATAAGTTCATGTATTCAAGCTATGGAAAAATATGAACCTCGTGATAGTATCTTTTTAGCACGTACGTGGAATAAAAGACAAGATAAAACGAGGAAAGACAGTTTCAATAAGCTGAAAATTTATAACTCCGATGCAAAAGCATGCATGACACACTTATCACGGAAGTGTCTAAAAGCTGAATTTAACTTCTTTATAATCCATCAAATGGTCTAAAACACAACATCACATAGAAAAAAGTGAAATAACCTAGGTATCTTATTGCCAAAATGAGATACTCAAACTATGCATGAAGGTGGATAACCAATGAGGCAATGTCGAAATAAAATTTATCATATTTTTTATTTTAGTTTTAAGTCACGTTACTTTAATATTTCACAAATCCGATGTAAGTTCTTAACTTTACTTGAATATTTTAGATTAATGGGCTAAGCGCCAAAAATTCTGGCTTTGAGAAAGCTTTGTTACAACTCTTTTTCGCATGCTTTATTTATGAAAACCCCTTTATTAAGAAAAGAATAGCTATATATTAATCTTCGCGCACGAATAATACTATTTTCTATCATAGAATCATCAATATATTTTTCTTTTAATAGAAATGACCTCCAAAAAATGGAAGTCTCATTCTAAGTTTTTTTCTTTTTTTTAACACCACTTCATTAAAGCTTAAATGTTAACAACATACATGAAAAGAGCAAGTTTTGCTCGGAAGTCGGCTTCAACATTGGCTGTTCGAAGAATATAGCAACAAAAGAAACTAGTAAAAGATTTAGAAACGAGAAGAATATCAGTTAAAATACCATAGATTTCATGCAGGAATTATGACAGGTTTATAGCTTGGACCAAGCATCGACAGTCAGATTCATTGCAAATTTGCGAGAGGTTAAGTTCAATCGCCATCGTAGATTTATTAGTTTATGGATTAGAAATGAATATAGAGATCTTTATATGATTTAGAAATCCATATATAATCTATCAATTTTAAAATAAAAAAGTGGATTTAAAAATCATACATCATGTATTTATGATTATGCGGTGTACCGCGGGTTAATCCCTAAATTTTAAAAATGATTCATTGTATAATATTTTTTTTTATTGTATAATATTTATACATGTATATATGTCACATATTGTTCTAAAATTAACAATCCAACTAAAATCATACATTTAAATAATTTTGAACATATTCGAAACCAACACATACAATCTAAAAATAATAAAATTTAATTACTGATCAAAATAAAGTAAAGCAAACACAAATAAAATTATCTCTCAACGTACAAAGGACTAAAAACCCGGTAATTTTCCTCCGCGCTGTAACGCGGGTCCGGACCTAGTTTTAAAATAAAAAAGTGGATTTAAAAATCATACAAATGAGAATTGTAAAATCAACAAACATCAAAGTAATCTTTATCATAAAATGAAAGTATAGTGTATATATATGTATTCATATAACTGTGACTTCCTAATCGTAGCTTTCCATATATTTGACGGTGTTGTTTCTCTCCACTGAATTTGCATGGTTTCTATGTTGGTCATCATTATTTATTATTATCATCAATCAAATTGGTTAGATTAATTACTGTTATTATTTCTCATTAATATCTAATGTATATGATAAAGACATGTTTCCTACGTTTCCCGTGTTTGAGAGACATTACAATCTTTTGCCGTTTAATTTGCTCTTTATTTATTGAAAAGGTTACCTTACGTAGTAGATACATGCAATATATGTTTTCGAATGGCCGGCGTTCTCTATTAATTTAGACGATATTTCTACTGACAGGGAAGAGTTCTCTACCTTTTCGTTGTCTTTTATTTCTCGCACTGCAAATGTCCAAGCGGATAAGTTGACCCAGAAAGTCCATTCCATTCCGCATAATATTTTGTATGTAAACAATTGTCCTTCCGATTGGCTTTTTTAAACCAATTCCTTAGCTATTGTTGACAAAAAAAAACACATGCATTTTGAAATATTAAACATATATATATATATGTATATATATATATGTATATATATAATATTTTGTAAATCCATCAAAATAATGTGTGACTAAGGATTTCAAAAAAAAAAATATTTTTAAGCAAAAAACGTTTTAGTGTGAATAAAACTTAGCTTAAAGGGCCAATAAATACAATTTAGCTAGTGTTTATAAATGGGAGCTAGTGTTTATAAATGATATAACGAAAAACACATAAGATTTGATAATTGTTTTTTTTAAATGATCCAAGCTGAACAGGTAACTTTATTTTTGAATTTCTAAATTTATTAGAACACATTGAATCATTAACGTTAATACATGATGCATCATTGCGTTAGCCTTTGTTTTCGAGAAATGTCAAATATTAATGGACGACAGATTTAATTCTGAAATTTTCCCTACAGATTTAATTTTTCGAGAGAATTATTTTTATTCTACAAATATGTGTATGTTGACAGAATCATTTGCAACGTTAATGATAGGTGTAATCTTGACAGCGTTAATCACTTGTTTATATATATTTTTTATTAGTAACTACTTTTGGAACCATTCCTTTTTGATATATTACAATTTACATATGCGAAACATGTCATATCGAAATAACTCACTTTTGTGTTAATTATATTACAAGATATTCTAGAAATAAAAAACTTCATTTTTTTGCAACTTTATCCATTAATTCTAGAAAATGCAAGTTAAGCATGCGAAAAATATACGTAAGAACCCATCAATCTTTGCTACTAGATTTGTAACTTTTTATAAATAATATGTCAAATCGAAACCATTCCCAAAAAATTCAAATTTATTCCAATTTTTTTAAATGAATGTATATGACCGTAAAAACGCTTAAATAACATGTACAAGGTTTGTATTGGTTATTTTAACTTAATATGACTGATTTGTATCTTTTAGAAATTGAAGACAGAATTGCAACAGAAACTAGTGATTTGGAGGATTTATTTGCATAAAATTCATTATATTTTAGTTGGAGTTTCTAAATGGACCAGCCGACCAGCTATTACTTGAGAGGTTTTTTTCATTAAAATATCATACTTGATAATTTTAATTATAATTAATAATCTAGTTGAAGATTTTAAAACTAAATCGGTCGATACTTGAGAGTTTGTTTCATGAAAATTCCTTTATAAATACGTACACATTTTCATTTCTCTAAGTTCCATTCTTGTAAGTTGTAACTCATCTCTTCAACATATTCTCTCTTTCACAAAAAAAAGAAAAAAAAAATCATTTGTTCTAGAATTTGAAAATGGATTCCATGATAAAACTCTTCGTCTCTCTATTACTCTTCTTGTTCTCTTCTCTCCTCTTTGGTAACTCACAATTATCTTGTATATTTTCACCAGAACGAACTCCCTAAAATCGATATGACTAATTTAAGAAGTTACAAATTGTTCTTTATCTTTCTTTTGGCAGGAGACATCAGTGCAAGTAAGCATGTTCATCATCATCAGAAGTTGCAAGGTCGTCCAACGAAGCTTTTTGTGTTTGGTGATTCTTACGTCGATACCGGAAACATTAAGATGCATGACGCTCCTTCATGGGAAGTCCCTTATGGTATCACATTCCCCCGCAAACCCTCCGGCCGTTTCTCAGACGGCCGCGTCTCTACCGATTATCTAGGTACACCTCTCCGACCGTAACGTTTAAAACGTTTTCATTGACAATAGATAAATTTTAGCGAGGGATCCACTTCAACCTCTTAGTGAAAAAAAAACATACGTTATAATATAGTTATCAAATATTTTTCCTTTATTACTAGTAATAAAAATGGTCTACTTATTGGGTGCAGCCAAATTGTTGGGGTTAAAATCTCCCATTCCTTACCAATGGAAAGATTACGCGGGACATGAACGGTTAGAGTACGGGATGAATTTTGGAGTTGGGGGAACCGGAGTCTTTGAAACTATAAATTCAAATATGACCATGACTTATCAAATCAATCTTTTCGAACAACTCATCGGCGATGTCTATTCACCATCCGACCTTTCTTCTTCCCTAGCTCTCGTTAGTGTTGCTGGCAACGACTACATAACTTACATCCTTGGAAATGGCACAAATAAACCTGTAAGTTTAAGGTTCTTGATTGTATTGTAATATGTGATCTAATGATGAGAATAGCTAGAGAGTTTACTTGATCCTTTATTACAGGGATTTATAACGTATATGAAGCAAGTCATAGATCAAACCGAGGTGAATTTGAGGCGAATCCATGCATTGGGAGTGAAAAAGATAGCAATACCGTTATTGCAGCCGCTCGGGTGCGTCCCTGTTGTCTCCAAAGGCTCTTTGGTTGCTGATTGCAAGGATCGTATAAACGTTGCCGTGATCATTCACAACAACTTATTGCAGTCAGTAGTGGCCAAGCTTAACAAGGAGACCAAAGATTCCACTTTCATGGTTATTGATTACTACAACGCTTTCTTGACTGTCTTCAAGAACAAAGGAGAGACTCCAGGTAAGAAAAATTAGAACAACATACTTATATATATAAACTCAATATTTTCAAGAATTTAACTTGTTGTGTGATTGGTTTATGGAAATGTAGGGAGTACCAAGTTTGAAACTCCGTTGAAAGAGTGTTGTGGAGGAATATGTGGTGCTGTGGATGAGAAAGGTGTGAAGAACTATACCTTATGTGATGATCCTACATCTGCTTTCTTTTGGGATGGACTTCACCCTACTCAGGAAGGATGGAAATCGGTTTACGCGGTTTTAGGCAAAAATCTAACTGCGTCTTTGATGAAAGCCTAAAAATCATCCAGTTCTATCATCGTTGATCGAATAAATTAACCGAAATGTGTTTGAGATTTCAAAAATGCTTTCTTGCTTTCTTAATAATGTAATTAATTGAGTGTGTTTTCTTCTCTTGTAGTTGTTATATCTCCATCTTTTGAGTGTAACTTCTTTCTTTTGTGCTTGCAAGGCTTTGTGCCTCTATCTGTGTGTATTGTTGTGTGTTAAGAATAAAAAGTGTGAAGTGTGAAACCTAAAGAAAAGAAGAAGATTGAAATAAAACTTTGTATTACACTCTGTTTCTACTTAACGAGTATGCATGTGTATATACTACTTAGGGAAGGATCAGATCATGTTGTGTGTACTGTTCATTGCTCTTAGGTAGGAATCTTTAATACAGTTATTATGGACTGCACAGTAGGTCTCATACACATCATACAAGGCATACTAAGATTTATCGTTATAGTATTTGCTTAGAGATTCATTTTATGATACGCCAATATGGCAAATATGTAAGAAAACGTAACCATGAAAAAAGAGATGTATGAGACGAATATACTCCTTTTAGTTTTAGCTTTTAAGGTTTCTTTTCTACAGTATATCGTGTGGATGATAACTTCTAAAGCTGAATGTAATATACAGATCCTTTTCTTCCCATGACTCTAAACGATAACAAAATCCTTAATGATAAACATTGGATTTTCAATATCACTTTAAATTAATAACAATGATGACATGAACATACATATCATGAAGACTTTAAATTATAACAATGATGACGATACATATATGAACGATGCAAGAATACGTGGTTCTTCCGTAAGCTCTAATGACTAATCTAGGTTTTGGTTCGGAACTTCTAGAATCAACTAAAAGACATGAAAACAAAATCTTTCTGAAAAAGGATATGTATTAAAGTGTCACAATTGTATTTATGTATATATAAAAAAAATTATATCTTATCTATTGAAAATCAACTTCACAAGAACTCATCCATATAAGCTTTGATTGCCGGTTTAAACATCAATGGAAGTTTCGTAGAAAAAAATGCAATGTTTGAACCATTCAAAGGATTGAGTTACGCCATTAATTATGCATGTATGAAACAGAAAAAAAGAAAAGAAAAAAAGACTCAAAAACAAAATACAAAACGGAGAAAAAAACATACGTTGAAACAAACGAACCACATACACTGACGTTCCAATATGTACATTAGTACATATATAAGTTTATCTCAATAAAAATGTATAAGAGTGAGTGAGCGACGCTAAAAAAACCACATATATAGCACGATAGAATAACTAGTCACACCATGAAACCAATATTGTCCACTTGACAAAGACTAAGTGAATAGCTATCGTGCTAGCTTTGTAGTATGCCACACTTAGAAACGTAGCGCAATATACTCAGAAAGGACTTTGCATCTTATGCGCTATATACAATCCTTTGATCAAATGGAAGTAGAGAGTGCAATCACCATATATTGGCTGGCTTGCACGTGACATCTAGTCCTTTAGATAACATGCATGAATCTATGATCTTCTTCGTGGCATATGTACTTGAAATAGCCATAACTTTTTCGACGGCAGCTATTGCATGCCTTGAAACATGAAATTAATACCAGTATCCGTGTAATGTAATGGTGCTGATGAACTATAGGATAAGGGATAAGGATACGCGAAGAAGGCATATGTGCATGCATACTTCATATGGAGAACAAAGTCGCATCAGAAAATGATATTAGAAGGGCGGCACACCTCACAAAACCTCTCTTCGTCATGAAGTGTACTACCCTTTCCAGCCTACTAATTTTCTATTTTCCAAATAACCCTTTTTATTATTTAGAAAATGATATAATATATGATTCTAGGTCAAGAACAAAATCATATTTGATAACTAATGGTTACTGTCTTACTGATCCTTAGAGCCCCTACTGTCGAGGGACTAACTTAATAAAAAAGAAAAATACTAATTTAAAGTAGTTTTCATTTCGTCATAGCTTACGACTAAAACCGACCAAAGCCAATTTCTTAATTATTTTGCTGTTCCATTAAATTATCATAAATATACATCGTTTCGTATACTTTCCTCTACAAAGATGTATTGATTAGATAGACTAGGAAGATTCCATTTTTGTATTTATAGAAAATCCAAAGCTAATTATGGCAGTAGTGCATCTGAATCTCTGATCAGTTTTCTCTGATTTGGGCCACCTATGTATATGTATCAGTGTATCACATAAATCTAATATCATGTGTTTTATACCAAGAACGTGTTTTGACAAAATGTCACAGCTCAATCCTTACATGTGATTTACATAAAATTTTTTTTTTTGTGATTTACATACGGAGCAAGACTTGATAATTTGGACGTTTTAGTGACAACATGACTTATACATATAACTGCGTATAAGTTTGTCTTAAAATTTTTTAGATATATATATTTTTAACACTTGATTAATTATTTATTGTTTAGAGTTTAGATTATGTATTTCTTAGCTGATAATATAAAGGTGAACTTAGGTAAATATTTTGACCCAAAAAAAAAACATAGGTAAATACCTTTATGTACTCAAAATATTTTGATTACTTAGTAAATAAGATTGATTTTGAGCATTTTTATTCTTTTTTTTCTTATGTCCACATTGCTATGAAAATGAATTCTTAATATTTAATTTTTGGGATCATATTCTAATCCAACTTAATAACACCAAGATTAAATAATATATTATTTTAAGAAAAAAATTGGTGATGGATGAAATTAAATATCATTGTAGATGAAGAGAGTTTATTATTATATTCTTTGAAATTCATCAATTAATTTTTATGATAATAAATTGTGCTGACCATATATAAAGCTAACTAATAAATTAAAAAGATGCAATATTAGAAAACTATTTTCTTAAGAAAATTGTATTGAGGTGGACACCCTAGATGGAGATAGCTCATTTTAAATTATATATGATCTCCTCCCTTAAAATACATTCAATTTTAAATAATTGAACTAACCATATTTAAAACCAACTAAATACTAAATTTAAGATATTTAAAAAATTGGTGATACTACAAAGTGTAGATGAAGAAGATAAAGATTAACATTAAAAATCCAATTCCAAAGGACCAGAAATACAAATATTGTATTGGTCAATCAAATAAAAACGACAAATATATATATTTTCTAAAAATAAATAGATACGTATATAAACGTTACATATTTCCTCAAAAAATAAATTTACATATATCTCTTGATTGAAAATTCTACTACACAAGAGAGAACCCTTTGAGCAGATTCTTCGGTTTTTGCAGGTAACGTCTCTGTCTCTGTCTTCGTTTAGTTTTAAGACTACAATAGAAGTTTCGATCTTTGAATGAGTCAACTCGTAACTCCCTTTGTTTCCTGTAATCTTCGAATTGGGTCTTCTTGTTTTTTAATTTATCATTTCTCGCCGGAAAAATCTCTCAAAGAGTTTCCTTGTATTTCACGGCGATGTGTATAGTCCGTCGTGAAAGCGACTGTCTCAGATTATATTAGTTTTATTAATATGGTAATGAATGTGAAATTTACCGAGTCAAACATGTTTAAACAATGTGAAAGGTGAAGACTTTTGATGGAAAAATCCAAACTTTGTGTCTGTTTCAAAGTCAATTAGTTCTCATATATTTATATGCGTGTTACTGTGTTGGTATGGGTGTGTATTATATAAAGGAGGCTACTTTGTTTGTTGGGTTAACTTGAAATTTGTGGACTTATGCTTGAAGTGTTGCAGGCGATTGTTTTGTTCATCTTGTTCTGGATTTGGTTGTCTTGGATGGGAGGAAGCAGTTCGAAAGACTCGACTAGGGGAGGAAGTGATCGGAGGTATGAACGTAGTGTGTCCGGGAGCTCTTCTTATTCTACTGCTTGGGACAGCTCTTATTACACACCAAACCATCCATCTGCGTCTCCTGTCTCCTCCTACAATTCTGGGAGACAAACTCCCAAGAATCTTGAGAGGAAGTATTCACGGATTGCTGATAACTACCGCTCCATAGATGAGGTTTGATCATTGTATCCATCATTTGTTTATGTATGTCCTGGTTTGTAAAATCTCTTCTCTTTTGGTGTTTTGTTGATTTTGTTTTTCTTTGACAGGTTACGGCTGCTCTTTCACATGCTGGTTTGGAGTCCTCGAATCTCATTGTTGGTATAGATGTCACCAAGAGCAACGAATGGACAGGTTAGATTAGTTATCTCAATGTTTTAGTCTAGGTTGCTTTGATCTGGAAGCTTATTCAGGTGATTTGATTCAGGGGCGAGATCATTTGGTAGGAAGTGTCTGCATTACATTGGAACAACACCAAACCCTTACCAGCAAGCTATTTCCATCATCGGGAAGACTTTATCGGTTTTCGATGAGGATAATTTGATCCCCTGTTATGGATTTGGAGATGGTATTAACCGTAAAGACCCTGTCTTTTTCTTATATAACGGTTGTTTAGTATGTTATCAGAGATGTTAAGATTGGTTTGATTATGCAGCTAGTACCCATGATCAAGATGTCTTCAGTTTCAATCCCAATGATACGTTTTGTAACGGGTTTGAAGAAGTCCTTATGTGTTACAGAGAGATTGTTCCCCAGCTTCGCCTCTCAGGTTGCGTGAGATGAATTAGCCCTTTTCTTCTGCCTGTCTTCTGTTCTGACTCTTGCTCAACTTTTTCCTTATATTTTGCCGGTTCTTTAACAGGTCCAACATCTTTTGCACCCATCATTGAAAGGGCCATGACAATTGTGGAAGAAAGTGGCGGCCAGTACCATGTTCTGCTCATTATTGCTGATGGACAGGTAAAGCTTGGAACCATATTTGACTGGAGAAAGTTCTTGCATCTGTACCTATTTGTCTTTAGTTGTGATCATTCTCAGACATTTGTATAGTTACCATTGGAGCTTTTATTCTGACAGGTGACACAAAGTGTCGATGCAGAGAACGGTGGAATCAGTCCACAAGAGCAGCGAACCATTGATGCCATAGTAAGAGCAAGGTAAAAAAAAAATACCATTTCTTTGCGGACAATCCATTTTCAAACTGCATCTTTCTCAGTTATGATGGATTCCATTGCAGTGAATATCCTTTGTCGATAGTTCTTGTCGGTGTTGGAGATGGTCCCTGGGACACCATGAGACAGTTTGATGACAACATTCCTGCTCGCGCCTTTGACAATTTCCAGGTAATTATACCAACAAGCTTCTGCAATAGTGTAGATATTTCCTGTCTCTTCATGGCAGTTTAATAGGTTTTTGGTTTGTTTATTTGAGTAATTTCAGTTTGTGAATTTCACGGAAATTATGTCGAAGAACATCGATCCAGCAAGAAAAGAGGCAGAATTTGCGCTCTCTGCCTTGATGGAGATCCCGTCTCAGTATAAAGCCACCCTCGAGCTAGGCTTACTCGGGTAAGTAATATCAGATACATTAGTGCATCACTGCAGCATTGATGAACTGATCTCAATAATCACTAAGTTCTTTCCTTGCTGCGAATTCGCAGACAAAGAACTGGACACAGTCCAAACAGGATTGCGCTTCCACCACCAGCTTATGCTACTCAAGCTATGCGCAACAGCCCAAGAACTTCCAGATCAACCAGTTTTGGAAACAGACCATATGATAATGGTGTTTCCTCTGCACTAACTTCAACTGCTCCTAATGAGGGCCAGGTATGGTTCACAAAGAAACAAAAACAATGCATTGATCATCCTTTCCTGCTATTAACATCTATTTGTTTGATTTTCATTGCAACAGGTTTGCCCCGTATGTCTTATGAATCCAAAGAACTTGGCTTTTAACTGTGGTCATCAGGTGCATTTCCATTCCTGAGTTGCGTTCTAAGGATCACACTTGAAACAAAATCCTTAACTTTCCGTTGTTTTCTCTTATTTTGCTCATCAGACGTGTTCAGAATGTGGAGACGACCTCAGTGTTTGCCCCATTTGCAGGAGCTCAATCACGGTTCGTATCAAGCTTTATTAAGATAACTCTCTTCAAGAACTGAAGGAACCGCAGGTGATCTGAGATCTTTCACAGCCAACATCATCCAAACTAGATTTCACCAACATACCAGTTTTTACTTTGAGCGGAATAACCGATGAATGATTTTCGATCAGTCACCGCGCCTTTCAAAGTTGTGTAGATAATCTGTTGTGAGTTTTGCATTCTCATTGCACATGAAAAGTAGACAGCAGACTCTATCTCTCGTAAATAAAGTACCCTTGCTCTGCTGTTACAATTTTTTTTACTGAAGAATGTAAAATCTTGAATGGTCCCATGATGTATCAAACAACATATATACCTTTCTTGTCCAAAACATCTAGTCTTTAACACAGGACTCCAAAATGGTCCTGTTCTCACTGCCATAATTGACATCTTATGGATCCTGTCGCTAAAGATTCATAAATGATGTAACTGTTAACGAAAAATGGCAAAGGGACAAAAACCATTCTATTGGTTTTGATCAATCGAATACTTGTTTACTGTTCATACTGTACTAAGATGTTATATACTTTTCTATATACTTTTCTTGGTCTTCTTCCCCAGTAATGAACAAGATTGGAGGTCATGTCTTAATCAAAGATATCCCAAGCTGAGTCTGCTATTCTTATTCTTCCTCAATGTTAGATTAGTTCCGTAAATGCAACACATTCTTTCAGGTTTACAGACCATAAACTATAGTTATGGTTAGGATAAGCCTGTTAACAAGAGTAACTCTAGTGTTTGCTCTTCATCACTTAAAGTGTTACGACAATGATAAGAAGTGAAGATATTCAAATCTGAAAAAGATAAAGCCATGTTCCAAGTCTTTGAATAAGATTCCCAGTCAGATTGCTCAACAATCTTCTGTTTCAGGGACCCTACTACTATTTTTATCACGCAAACATCCTTTTGTGGTTAAGTAAACAAAAATCTAAAGTACAGTCTTTTCAACACAACAAACAACCATATTACCATGAATTTCCGAAGCGACATCTCTGCTCTAAATGAAGACATCATAGTTGAGCAACTACTTCGTAGCCATGATCCAGATGGTCGCTGGCTTGATTCCGAAATGCTGCTTCAAGAAGTAGAAACCATCTTGAGCTTTGTTCTGCAAAATGATGTGAGATCTCACTCCCTTGGGTCCAATTCTTTAAAGACTTGTCTTGATGGTAATAACGTTGCCACTAAACTTTCAGGTTTCTAGACCGCTTATGACAGAGAATTGTATCACCAACGTTCAAGTTTTTGACTCAAAGGAAACACTACCATACGCTATCTCCAGAATCTCTGTTCAGGTAAATGACCATCCTTTCTTCTTAAATTAACTCTTTTTGGAAAGTTCCTGGAGCCGCAAATCTTGAAATTCTTAGGTTGCAGATGCTTTGTCCATGCATAGGACAAAACGAGATCCAGACAAGAACAATGGTTTTGTTCGATCTTCTGAAAGAATACAGATGGGATGCAAAAGCTGTGTTAGTACTAGGAGTACTTGCTGCAGCATATGGAGGACTATTGCTACCAGTCCATCTAGCCTCCTGTGAACCCGTCGCATCATCTATTGCAACACTCAACCAGCTGCCTAATGAGAGAACCAAGTTAAGACCATGGTTAGAGTCTCTGACGTTGCTCGTTAGAGCAATGCTGGATGTAACCAAATGTCTTATTAAATTTGAAAGACTTCCAATTAAACAAGTGCAGCTAGACAACAACATTGTGGATAAAACCTTGTTTAATGTTTATTTGGCTACTTACCGGGTTGTCAAAAGTGTGCTTGCATGCCTGCAGCAAATACCTTATTTCAAGCAAACCCAGCAGGTGCATTTTATCCACCCTTCTTTTATCTCCCTTGAAAAATTAAATTGGAAGAGCAGCAGAGAAATTGTTTGCAGCATATTAGTAGTCAACATGTAGGTTTCTCATGGCAAGGAATTCTCTCATATACTTAGGCAACAGAAACAAGAAAATCAGCCCATGAACTTTCAACGGAATCAAGAAGAGCAGCAGGAGAACTTTCTAGTTTGGGATATCAGTTGCTCAACTTACATACCCGCCTTAACAAGCAGGTAGACGATTGCAGCACACAAATAGGTAACTTTTTCAAACATTCTTATGTCAATTTCCAAAAGCAGAGCTTCTATTAAAAGCAAAACTCATCTCTGATGATGCTTCTCCGTTGTTATGTCTACAGAGGAAGAAATCAATCGAAAGCTTAGAAACATTAACACAGGCACCCATCAAGACAACCAAGACGTACTCCACCTACTTTTTTCTCTACAAGATGATTTGCCACTTCAACAATACTCCAGACAAGTACAAAGAACTATCCTTTTTCTTTTTTCATGTTCCTTTCTTGTTTCTTTCTTTTTCCTGTCTCTTCTATTACTTTACATAAAAATGAGGTACAAAGAATGTTCTTTATCATCCAACGACAGATAGCAATAACTGAGCTGAAAGAAAAAGTAATACTGCTGCTACTATCAAAACCACCAGTAGAGCCACTTTTCTTCCTGCTTCAACAGTTATATGATCATCCATCCAGCACCAACACAGAACAAAACTACGAAATCATATGGATTCCGATACCATCCTCCCAAAAATGGACAGACGAAGAGAAAGAAATATTTGATTACTACTCCAATTCCTTACCGTGGATCTCAGTAAGGCAGCCATGGTTGATGAGCTCCACAATAGTCAACTTTTTCATTCGAGAATGGCAATATGGAGACGACGAGGCAATGGTGGTAGTGATGGATTCTAACGGGGAGTTTGTGAACATGAATGCCATGGATATGGTATTGATATGGGGTGTTAAAGCATATCCATTCTCAGTTACTAGAGAAGATGAGCTTTGGGAAGAACATGGATGGTCTACGCAGCTCTTGCTTGATGGAATTCATCCTGCATATGAAACATGGGTAAGGTTTTCTCATTCTAAGTTTCAAAAATTTAAATTCTTTTGATCAGATTGTGATGATGAGACTCTTGTTCAACTCCATGAATCAGGTGAAACAAGGAAGTGAAATCTGCATATTCGGAAGCGAGAATTTGGATTGGGTTGATGAATTTGTATCACTAGCAAGAAAGATTCAGAATCTAGGGTTCCAATTAGAGCTAGTTTACCTCAGCAACGAGCGAACAAAAGCCATGGAAGAGAGCTCAATCTTGTTCAGTCCTACAGTTCAACAACTCTTTTGGCTACGATTAGAAAGCATCGAACGATCCAAACTAAAGCGAACTGAACCATCGAAACCTGATCGTGTTTTCGAAGAAGTTACGAAACTTCTCGACTTCGATTACGGTAAACACAAGGGTTGGGGGATCATCGGAAAAGGATCAGAAGCGGTGACGGTTGACGGAGAGAAGCTGGCAGAGAGGATGAGTACGGTTGTGCGGTGGGGAGAGTACGCGAAGGGATTGGGTTTCACGGAGGCGATTGAAATCGCGGCGGAGAAGCCGTGTGAACTGACTCACACGGTGGTTGTTCCGTTTGACGAAGCTTTGACGATGAAAGTTGTCACGTGCGAGAAATGTAAACGGCCAATGAAAAAGTTTGTCGCGTATCAGTAAATCACAGCCTCGTTACTTTAACAGTGACGCCCAAAAATAATATGTTTTTTTTTCTCTTTTATGTGGTGCTTTCTTTTCAATAATAAAAATGTGATATTGTGAACAAACAGAGGCAAATGTGATATTTTAGGATAACCGAGGTTGATTTGGAGAACACTGTTATATTTTAAAAAAATTCTAAAAATTGTTAAAACTTTTGTTATAGTGATTTGCCTCAGTGTCTTAGTTTTGTGGGTTGTTTTGGTCCTTCTTATTCTTCTCTGCATCTAGAGAGATTTAAATGCTTCAAGACATGAGTTCTTTGTATTCAAAAAGTTCAAATACAAGTTGTTGCTTAAATGCAAATGATTATCTCAGCGGGATTAGTTCAAAGGTTCTGGCCATGTCTCAGAAAATTTAGGTTGTGAAACGAAGGCAAAAGATATGATGAGTGATTCGAGTAGTAGTTTGTGAGTGACAGAATATAATGAACTCATACGATACTAGCATTAGCATTAGCGTAATATTGTAATAATCATTGCGAAAAACCTAGGCCCGTTTAGAGACATATAATAGTTTCCCCCATTCGGAGAGAGAGATCACACAAATCAGAGAAGAAAAAAACCCTAAGCTTCAAAATTCCGATGATGCCGCCGCTGAAGAGTCTAGGATCCGTCGTTGCGCAGGTTGGGAGATCTGTTGTATGTCGCCGCAATTTCTCTGCATCGACTCTGGTAACAATTGTACTCACTGCCATGGTCTTCTAGTTTCGAAGGAAGTACAGGGAAGTTTTTCAGATAAGAATTTAACAAATATTTCAATAACACACTATTATATATATATCATAGCAGTGAGTACAATTGTTACCAGTAGTCGATGCCGAGAAATTGCGCCGGCGTACAACATATCTCCCAACCTGCGCAACGACGGATCCCAGACTCTTCAGCGGCGGCATCATCGGAATTTTGAAGCTTAGGGTTTCTTCTTCTCCGATTTGTGTGATCTCTCTCTCTCTTCGAATGAGGGAAACTATTATATGTCTCTAAACGGGCCTAGGTTTTTCTTTTTTTAAATACCTCCTATACTATTGGGCCTCATCAGAAAATATTTTCACAAGCCCATTTCAATATATATGTTTGGTAATTGAACTTTACCATTTTTTTTTCTAATTATTGCCAGGAAATACTCCATGTTTAACTTTAATAAAATTACAGTTGTCAAAAAATGAGAGTCATAATGTATTTCTCACTAAGTTACTTAGGATTGTGGATAATGAATCATCTACAAATGTAGTAGTATCATAATATGTTGTTACTCAAAAAACTTAACTAACAATTTGTTTGTTTGAACAAAGACTTGTGACAATACTTTGAGTGTTATAGCATAATAGGATTCTTGGTCTGGCACTCTGAATACAAATAGTTTACGATATATAGTTTAAAAAAATATATAGACTACTCGTAATGAGTAAACATTTATATTTACAAAACCTTAAATATTAATTGCAAGAAAAAATAAATTACACAAAAATATAGAGTAGCATATCATGTAGGTAGTTTATAAAAAATATTAATACAATTATTAAAGGAAGAAAAATAATTTTTTATTTGTTAGTATTCGGCCACAACTAACCGATTCATTAGACAAATCTTTATATTTTATAAGAACAAAAGACGGTTTTTTGGTGTAACGGTGCATATTCTCAACGAACTTATTATTTGCTACTGGATTAAGGTTATTTTGCGAAAATTAAATTATTCAGAAAATACTAAATATTAAAGTTAAATATTCTAAGCAAATACAAAGAAAACGCCCCCTTTTAATAATAGTTCAGCAACCAGGATAAAGACACGTGGCGTTAACGCGAGACATTTCAATCTGAGATTGTTGTAAAACACACTTAGTAAGGTGTATCTTCCCTCATTAGATCTCTGCCCCGTAAGACCATCATCATCTCTGGCCCGATCTGCGACTCCCCCTCTTTCTTTGTTCTCTGAGAAACGACGACGCCGAAGAAGAAGAAGCTTACGGCGGAAGAAGATTTGGCTGACGACGACTACAAAAAGATGGTGAAGGTTTTGACCTACTTTGGCATGACATTGGCAGCGTTCGCCTTTTGGCAATCCATGGACAAAGTTCATGTCTGGATCGCTCTTCATCAAGACGAGAAGGTTTTATTTGATTCTTCGCTCTTCTTCGCTCATCTTTGCTTCCTCTCCATGTGAAATCTGAAACCTTTTTGTGTTCATTTTGGATTCAATTGTATGAATTTGTTTTTTTCGACTTGGAGCGAATGTGACAACGGATTTAGGATTTAGGTCAAACCCTAGATTCATCGTGTTTCTAGAAATTAGGTAATTTTATGTTGATTTGGTGATACAAGTACATTGCCATGGAGTATTTGGTTTTGTTCAAGTGTCTTTAGTGTTCTTCACTCTCTGCAATTGTTGTTATAACTTTACCATGATTACCACTCTCGATGACTCAAATGCTAGATTAAGGGATGTTGGACTATAAAAGCTTTAAGCTTTACTTGTGTTTGATTGCTTACTTTAATATCTGTGATTACTTTTGCTGTAGAAGCACAAATTGGGATTGTGATAAGGGATAAGAAACAGCTCAGTGATATGTTCTCTTCTTTAGCCATCATTAGTGGTTGTTTTCACAAGTGTTAGGATCATGGATATCAACAATTTTGTTTGGCCTAGAGGTTTCGTTAAATATCATGTTAAGATGTGATGGCTGGAAGCTAAGCTTAGCCTAACTTTTGTTTGATTTGTTTAATTCAGTTTGTGATTGTTTTTTTCCTACATTCAGTTTGTGATTGTTTTTGCTGCTGTGAAAGCTCAAATAGAGATTGTGATTAGGAATATGAAAAACATCTCACTGATATGTTTTCTTCTTGGAATTAAGTAGTAGTGATCTGATGATAAATCCGTCATTATGTGCAGCAAGAAAGATTGGAGAAGGAAGCTGAGGTAAGGCGGGTTAGAGCAGAGCTGCTGCGGAAAGCTAGAGAGGAGGATCCTCTTGCCTGATCTTCTTTTTCTCAAGGAATCATATCAGATCACTTCTTCCTGCACATTTTTTCTTACTTTTGTGGACCAAAATTGAGTTTGCATAAAATAACAGTACCATGTATGCTTTTGAATGTGGTGGGATGATGATGAATAATGGCGTTTTTGTTGTTCTTCTTAACTAATGAAGTACAACAAGTGGGAAGTATCAGCATTTTGTTCTGTTTTTTTGTTTTCTTCTCACTTGTTTTGTAACTATGTATCATGGATTTCATGTTCATGCCAACACAAGTCAAGCAGATTTCAGACAACTGCAAGAACTAAGTAACTTGTACATGTGAAACATAGAAGAAGCATATCATCCTCCTTCAGTTTTTAATTGGACCAAAAAACTTGTCCAGTTACAGTCAATCGATACCAATGTAAAAGAACTCAACTGAACCAGAGAACACAAAAAGAATCAAAAGAGAATAGGAAATGAGTTATTGGCCGATCCTCATACCCTACTTTTCTTACACAAAAAATAATAAGCTTTAAGGTTGTTCAGAAATGTTGAGCTCTTGAGTTGGTATTTAGTGCTGATTCTTATGCTTCTGCTTTGGCATTCATTTCCAGATTTGTGTTCTTCTGTGTTTGCATCAGCCTCCTACATAACACAAGCAAACAAAAATCTTCATTTTAACAGTACAAAATCCAAATATCACTGTTACTAGCCTCATTATGAGAATGATACCTCTTGTAAGAGATATAGCTCTCTATCTCTGGCTTCTGCTCAGGCTTAAAAGCTAACCATTTTTCATTTGGACATAAACCATCAAATGTTCCTAGATCTGTGCATAAATAAGGTTGAGATTAATTACTAAACACATTTGCATAAGAAACATGAACAGAGAGTTTAGTAAATATCAAACCTTGAAGCAAGAAAATTGGTTCTTCTTTGTAGCACTTCAATTTCCAGAGAACAAGACCATTATCTTCCAACATGATTGGTTCAGTTCTACGCGCATCACATATAAGCATCGCTGCAAATGGATTTCATCATGTTAAACAAAAACAAAAAAAAATCTACTACAACATTTGTTGGACGATTAGCAAAAGTCTTACTTCCAGATGTCATGCCCTTTGCCTCCACCATTTCTTCATGAGCCTTTTTAGCTTCAGCTCTAATTTGAGACATAATTAAGTTATGTTCTTCAATGGACAATGGAGCTCGGTTTTTCTCCATAATGGCTTTGGCAACATCACCTTGCATCTTCTGTTTGAGCTGCTTCTCCTATGAGACAAAAACAATCTTTTAAGCACAAAGAGTTAATAATTTAAACCAGCTTTGCAAAGATAGAAAATACCTTTTCCTTTGCGGCTGCAGCCCTTTCTTTGGCTTCTTTGTCCTTTGCTTTCCACTCTGCACTCTGGCTGTTAATGCAGTTCCTCATTGCCCTGGAAAATTTTACACATAAGTTTAATCATAACGAAGCATGAACTACAAGACAAGGTGATCTTGGCATATAGAGATTTACATACTGTGTGCTAAGTGATTCATCACATAAGATATTGAGAAGCTTGAGCCTTCTTGATGCATCCATCTTCTCGTACTCAGCAAGACCCACTTCAAAAGTTTCAGGTGGGAACTCATCATAGGAAACTTCTGACTGCAATAAGATCTCTCCAATAGCAGTGAACCAACTGCTGTCAGTAGCACTTAGAGACAAAGACCTGTAACCAGTTACGAATGAATCAAAACCTGGAGCAACAAACAAAAACATGTATACTATTGAGGACAGAAGAAAATCACTCATACATCTCTCTGTCCTGTGATATTAAATCCAACAACTGGATCATCATTGGGATAATAGAGCAGTACTGTTGTCTCCTTGTGTTACGCCCACATAAGAACAGTTCACGAACGACAGTTTCAGCTTGTTCTTCCTTTAAAGCAAGAGCCTATTAGGAAATTCACAATGAAGCAGATTGTGAGTAACAATTACAGATCATAAGTTAGTAATGAAGAAATAGAGAAAATTTATTATACCTTTCCAAAGGCTGAGCAAAACTCAAAAAGCTGGAATACATTTCCAGCATCTTCAGTGGGTATAACAATGCCTGAAATAGAAGTCAAGCTTATACCCTGTGGCAGTTGAGCCTCAAACTGAATCTCCTCTTCAAGATTGTCAGTGGCTTTGGCTGTCTTGCTCTTGCCCACCACTTTCGTCTTCTCCTTAGAAACATCTGATTATAACCGCAAAAATTGTTACCCTCTCCTTATATTATAAGACAAAATTCAAAACAAAAATCTCAACTTCTCACCAGCTACTTTGAAATCTGTCTCAAGAACAGAGTCATTGTTGCCACAACTGTCTTCCGTAGAATCAACATCCTGCAGAAACCATATTAATCAAGTAAGCATAATAAAACACCAGAAGCTAAAGATGACAAAAACCAGGATTTGTGTAGTTGTATTGAGTACCAGTTTTGGCTTCTTCTGATAAGCAAAGTTAACACTCCCTTCAACTTCAAGAAGCTCAGAAACTGAAGCTAATCCACTGGCTTTAGCCTTGTGTGCCAATATCCCAGTGGGATTGAGCCCTCGTTTCTTCCTGTCGAATCCTCACAAACATTTTAAAAAACTCTCTTTAATTGATAAAGCTCAATCTCAAAGACATGTAAATTACCTGCAAAAACTGCAATTGCAGATGCCTCTGCACTGAGGACACATCCAATCATCCAACTTTGCTACCTCTTCTGCATTCTCACCATACCTATGATTCACATCAAAACACACACATAATAAGAACATATAATCTCAGAAACATTTGATGAAACAAGAAAACAAACCTGTTTATTAAACACTTATGACAGAAATTAATGGTACACAGCTTGTCCTTCTTCATGGCCTTGCACGATGCAACAAAGTCCATTGTCTTCTGTCGACACTGCAAACAAACAAGCCAACCTCTATACATATTAAAATCGAAACTTTAATATCATATTCCAAACAAAATCAAGTCTAATCCCACAGCCAAACTGAGTCTAAAGCCACAGACAAATTCTAAAGACCCACAAACAAACAAAAAAAAAATCGAGTCTTTAGCATCAAACAAACGCAAAAACACACTAATTTGAGAAATCGTAGAGTCGTAGTTTCACCTGGTGACAAGTTTTGCCATTACTAGAATCGTAGATCCTTCCTCCGATGACTCGAACACCGGGATTGGTGGTGCGCTTCGATGTTTTCTCACCCTTAACAGCCATAACAACGGGAAAAATACAGATGAAAAAAGATTCGAAATTTGAGGAACAGAAGAGAGGCCGAAGAACAATATCGATGGAGAAGAAGGATATGAGAAAACCCAGAATCTCAATCTGAGAGCAAAGGAGCAACTTTATGAAGATTTTGAGAAATTGAATTTAGAGAAGATGAGAAAACATAGGGAGTGGTGTTGGGAAATATGAAAGGGTTTTTTCCCTCTTCTTCAGTGGGTACCAAATTTTCAAAAAGAGAGGAAAATATATTGAAAATTACCGCTTGTAAATTGTAAAATTTAAAAGGTGAAACTGGTTTTTGACTTGTGTATGTATAATAGAATGAAGAACATACAATGATCACTTCGCAATTTCGTATTGATCCTTCGAAAGCATTCATTATGTAATTTGAAGTCCAAATTAATGAATGTAATCATGATACAATTGTTGTGAGAACCAAATTAGCGAATTAAAACAGTTAGAGTAAAAAGTAATAATATTACAATTATATTTTGCTAAAAGGTGAGATGCACCATTATACTTTCTCATAGTGAAATTAAACGTTACAAACTGAAAATTTATAGCCAAAAAACGATAATTTTATAAATTTTTTATATAATTTTTTTTATATTAAAAACTAGTTTAGAAATTAGAATTCTTATATTTGCATCACGGCATGTATACATCAAATTTGTTAATAAAATATCATGTAAAATAATATACACAAGATTTGGAATATGCAATGAGATTGTTCCAAATAAGAGAATAAGACCATGAATGTTTTCAAGTTTTTTAGTGGTCTTTAGATTTTAGATTTTAGTTTATGGTTTTAAATTTTTGAATTAAAAAACTTTTTTTAAAATGAAAAACTGATAAAACATAGATTTAGATAGATTTAGATAGATTTTTCTTTTAAATTGACGAAAATCATAAAAATCCAGATTCCTTATTTTTCTTTTCAAAAAAATCTCATAATTTTGATCGGCTATAAAGTAGATTTTTGAAAAAACAAAACTTGAAAATCCATAACTATTCAAGGCCTAATAATTTTCAAAAAAAAAAAATATCACATAAAGTTTTTGAAAAGAAAAAAAGAAAGACAATGTGAAATTAGCAAATCTCGAAGAAGATGGAAAAAAATGAAAAAGGAATCCTTTGAATTGTTGACCAAAACGAAACCAAACTTAGAAAAACATTTCAGCCTATTAGGTCGTATACATCAATCGTATCATTCATTTGCAAAGAGAGAGATTCACTTCCTTTAAACCAAAATGCCATAGAAAAAATCACTCTATAAAGATACGAAAAAACTTTTGAAAAAGTAAGTGAGAAACAAACAAACAAACAAACTAAAAAACATAAATATATATCGAAGAGAAAAAAATGAAGGTGTTGAAGAGAGATGAGAGGATGTTACTAATAACCCTAATCATTTTCTTGTTGGCATCATCATCATCATCAATGGTTCGTCAAGATTTTGCAGTGTTTGGAGTCGAGAGAGAAGAAGTCTTAACCGGAGGAACCAATCTAAAACAGAAGAAGGTGCAGCAAACTCATCTTCCTTTGTTTCAGATTAAGAGAAGAATTCCCACTGGTCCTAACCCATTACATAACTTTAGAGCTTCTCCTCCGAGTCCTTCTAAGTTCTAATATTTTTGGCATTGAGAAATCATAAAGCACCAATCATAAATCAATTTAGATTTCTCATATTTTATGTAAAACGTCATTGGTTAATTTATATTTTAATGTATTAAAATTCTCCATGTTTTACTTAATTATCTTTATTTATAATCGTCCAATTTGGAGGTTTGGGTCATACAATCTTGGATTAGGGCATTTCCAATCCCACTCTATTTTAGAGTCAAAACTCTATTATAAATTAATATTTGCTCTAACCATACTTTTTTCTTATTCTAAAATAGAGTAAATTATAGAATTCTTCTAAATATAGAGCAACTCTATTCTATTTTTTTACACTACTTCTATTTTATAGTAATAAAATAGAATAATATATTAGAGCAAAACAAAGTTTTATTTTAGAGAAAAGATAGAGATTTACATTTGAGATGGTCTTAGTATTTTTTTAATAAAATCGAAATTAGTCTGTGAAATTCATTTTTTCTATACCCAATCGCTCTTTGATAATTATCTAATTTAAATGATTTTTAATTTGGTCTTAATTTTAATCGTTGGAGTAGTTAAATGGTTTTGTGGTTCTAAAGGCATAATTGAAATTTAGTTATGCTTAAACAGTTTGGAGGTTGTATGGTCATAAAACAATGGAGAGAACACAAACTTTGTAAAGAGTGGTAAAAAAATGAAAAGAAAATTTCAGAATTAAAATTTATTGTGAAGCAAAACCGGTATAGACAAAAGTCAACAGTAACTAATTTAAATTGAACAAGCAAACCAAAACTTGTAACTAGAATTCTCTCTTGATTAAAAACTTTCGTAGTGATTTTTAGGTTAGTGATTAGAGATTGTATGGCATAATATTCTTTAAAAATTGCAGTGTTAAAACTTTATTTTGGAACCATTAAGGGAAAGTGACAAGAAATTTGGAAAGACAGATGCATGTATCAATGTGCATAATATTAAGGAGATTACAGCCCATCTCCATTTTCATAAATATATGTATTTTACAATCTAGCTCCAAAATAATACTAAATTGTATGATTAAACAACTTAAATATCCATACTTCGATAAGAGTAAAGCAATTAGAACAATACCAAGAGAAAAACCATAGAAACCTCCTAACACAAACTTAACTTTTAGCTTTCTAAAAACCATACTTTTTAGATGACAAAACAAAAGGTTCCTACAACACATTTGTACAGCGTTAATTTTTGTTTTCTAATAACAAAAACAAAAGTTGTCACAAAATGTTTCATTACACATCCAAACAAAAAACCTAAAAGAACAAAAGATGGAGAAGAGAGAGAGAGGAAGAAAAAGAAGAAAGAAGATGATGATAAGACATTGGAGACAGAGCTATACTTTACATAGATCGCCGCCTAAAAGCCGAAACCATCATTAAACTTTCTTCAATTCTACTGTTCTCTTCTTCTTTTTTTTGTTGGCCCTTACGTCATTTCAAACGCCGCCGTTTTCGATTCTCTCACCATGACAACCATCACTTCCGTCCATCTTCTTGTCGGACACTCCTTCTTTCTTTTTATTATCATCATCCCAAGGGTCAACAATGACCGTAGGCTCCGTCAGCAACCGCCCATCACGCGGCGGAGTGAATAGAACCGGCGTGTACTTGTTCTGCTCCATGTCTACTCCTGGTAGTCTTGCGTTCTTGAAATGTTCTTTCAACGACTCAAGACCCTTTGGAAAAACATAACACAACTTATATACAAACCAGAGTTTCAAAGATTCAAGATTAAAGAATGAATCTTTCTTGTGTTTGGTTTTGTTTACCTGGATTCGAGCATAAGTGACCTCACAGATCTTCCTACTGTTGAAAACTCCCCAACGTTGATTGTGAAAGGTCTTGTAAAGTCTCCACACTGCTTCTGGTGATGTCATGTTCACAAACCCATATCCCACATTGCATTTGTTGCTAACACAAAAGAAACAACAACAAATGATTTAACTTATTACCCCACTCATCATCACTATTTTACACTTAGTCAAAACCAAAAGACACATTACCTGAAATCGATAGGGAGGTAGACAAAGTCATAAGAAGACATAGCTGTTTTGTTCCCTTCTTTGATTATCTCTTTGTTACAGTCGTTACAATGTTTGTCCAGCATTTTCAAAAGCAGCTTCTGACTGTAAATGGAAACAATACCATAAAATTGACTAGTCGATATTTGCTAGTCTCCATGTGACACAGAATTTATACAAAAATAGTAACATATGGAATACAAAATAGCTTCTTCTCATTACTATTATCCATTGGGTCTTGTTGACTTTTTGTCAAACCCAATAAGAACAAAACAGGAACAAAGCATTTCATGCCTATCACAATCACAAGTTTTTAATGAAAAAGATGCATGCTTTTTGGACTTACCTGTACTTGTTTGGGAGGTTCTTGATCATCACGGTGGTTCGTCTGTCTCTGAACTCGCCGGCGGCAGTAGCGTTTTCGCTTATCAAGAAACGAGGATCGCCAAGATTCTTCGTTAGATACTTCTTTGGCTTCTTCCTCTGTTGTCGCCCGTACATTTGATTACACGACTTCATCATCCGTGGTGGTGGCGGCGGCGGATGATAGTGGTTGTTATTAAAGATGAAGTTTTTATGGAAGCTTGAAGCGAAGAAGTGTTTCTTGGTAAAACCACCGGGACGGCTAAACTGGATAAGGATTGGTTTACCGGAGATAACTTTGCCGTCCATCTCAAGGAGAGCTCTTGTGGCGTCTCTTACGTCAAAGAACTCAACGAATCTTTGTTCTCGCTTGTATGGTGTCTCTCTCACTTGCTTCACTTCTCCTACAATGAGATTTTACAAAACTTATTAACATAAAGGTTCAAGCTTTACAAAGAATTGGTCTTGTTCTGTAGCAAAGGTCGAAACTTTACCATAAACTTGAAAAAGTTGACGAAGGGTAGTGGAAGAGACGGAGGGTTCTAAGTTCATAAGCACGAGAGAGCCTTGATTGTTACCATCGGGAACAGCATTGCGTTGAGGGTACACGAAATGAGCCCAAAGGCGTTGATCGGAGACGAGACCACGCGCCGCCGTGAAGAGGAGTTGTTGTTGCATGTGACGGTAACGTATCTCATTGAAAGCTCTCTGTGAGTTTCTTAGGTTGTAGAAGTAGACGGTCACGATTCCTTCATTTGCTCTCTCCATTTGAACTCCACGAACCTCACCGAAATGTTCCATGTCTTGTCTTATAGATGACTCGGTGACGTCACCGGGGACTGGTAATAGCATCAAGGCTCTTGTTGGTACTACTGAAGTTGGTGGAAGAAGATGAGGTGGAGGGAGACTGAAGAAAGAAGGGTAAGACGGCGGCGGCGGCGGAGGAGGAGGAAGAGGGAGGTAGATTCTTGTCGGAATAAAGAAAGGGATGGGGTTTGGGTTTGGTTTTTTCGCAGGTAAGAACTCCGGAGCTGATGGGTTAAGGTTTGTTGAGTGACTGAACGGTCCGGTGACTGACATGGTTTTGCCGGTGACCGGTAATGATGACTATGGAGGTTTGATATTCTCTCGAGTGATCGTACTCTCTCTCTCTCTCTCTCTCTTTATTTGGTGCAGGAGAAGGGAGGGAGAGAGCAAAAGAGCAAAAGTGGAATTTTTGGGTTTTGTTTTGTTTTTATTCTGCAGAGATTTGTATTATTATTACCCAATTTTGTGTTTTTTTCTTTTTCTTTTACTAACACAAGTCAAGGTTCTTTTAATCTAATGGTGTAATCAGTAATCACTAATCACTAGTTAGAGAAATTTATGGTTTTGCCCTTGCGGCATAGCAATGGACTGATTTGATAACCATTAGACAAAACTGTTAAAATAGTTTTATTTTCCAGTTAGAAGATAGTTTAAGATGGCAATGTGGATGGACTTCAGCTTTCATACATGATAATAATACATGTGACATATGGAAACCTGAAATTTCAGACCACAGCAAACTAGGATTAAAAGTAAATTTGTTATAAAGATATAATTTAGATACGTATTTAAACCTAGAATACAATTTCCGATTATATTGGGTACCATGATGATCCATGTATTCATCTAGTGTAGAACTTGTATTTGGGGTGGTGCAATAGGTAGCTTGTATTGTTGTGTTCCCCATTTTCACCACAAAAGTTCATGGGACGATTTGTCGTGTCTCTCCATCTCAATGCAAACTATCTAATATGCCTATATATGTTTTTCTAAGTGACGAGTGTGTATATATAGATAATGTGGTATTGTAAAACTACACATCACTTTTCACGTAAAAATATTGTAGAAAACTAGGGGTGTCAAAATGAACTAGGCAAATAGAAATGCAGATTTGAGATTAAATTTGTATAATTTGTAAGACACTAAATAATTCATTTATTCTCTAGTTTGACTCTCTTAATTTATTTGCATAAAGTTGTTGATGACAAATTGCTTATATACTATGATGGAAGTGGAAGTTACATTGTTAAATAAAAGATTTCATATGTTATAACTTATAAACATATAAAAAAACTTATATAGAATAAAAATAATAAATAAAATAACCTTATAAACTTCAATAAAATCTTGTGACATGTCATTCATATATTATACAAAAGTACACTTAACCATCATTGGCTACGTATCCTATGTATACAAATTCCATTCATTCATTTACTATCTAATCACATAGATTCGTAAGATTTCTCCTATATATTCTTTGATATATAAAGAAGTGAAATATCTCTTCACTTATTAACGAATTCTTATAGTTAACATCCATTTTTTTTTGGTCATTAGTTAACATCCATTTTAGCATACCACACATACAAAAAATGCATTTGCTAACATCCATTTACTATCTATATCTTTTATAAAGATTTTCATATAAAAATTAAACAAAATAATAATTTAGAGGTGGTGTGAGATACAAAAATTAATTTAGTACTATTGAACCAGTTAAGTGTGAGCTTTTCAAATCTTTACTCGTTTTTTTATTCAAAACTTTCTTTTTAGTTATGCAATATGTTGTTAAGAAAAGAAATCTCGAAATCTCATAGCATTTGTTCCCTACTTGCAAGTGTGTTGTTTCTCTCTAACATATGATATATCAACCAACAATCACCGCTTTTCTTTACATGAGTAAGTTATTGTCTATACAACAAAAAGAACATAACATCGCTTATTCTCTAATTGATTACTTACATAAGATATATGATAATACAAAAATTAGTGGCACTACAATATGCCAAATCTATTATCGTAATTGACTTTGAAAAAAGTATGTTATATTGTTTTATCAAACAATTGTTAAAAAAAATTTCAGTAGATAACAAAAAAATATAATTCATTATAAATTAATTAACTGCACTCATAAGTCTCTTTGAAAACTCTGATTTGGGGGTAATACAATGATAATTTGGAATGATAATATATTATATTGAGTTAAAGAGTGTATACTTGGTACAATAGTTGGTAGAATATGAGCAAATCCTAGTTTTAAGGAACGTTATTGTTACCTAATTCCTTTTTTGGGTGTCATTTGTTTCTTTCATGTTTATTCAGTTACACTAGATTTTAACCCGCGGTACACCGCAGATCGACATTTTAAAATATATTCTTTTATTAAATTTGTTTGGTATATAAGAGTGTACTACTATATTTTGATTGTTAATTCTATGATTTAACCCGTAGAATATTATATGATAATTTTTTTTTTATATAATCGCAATTTGATCAAATTAATTAAATAAGTAAAATATTTAAAATAATGAAATGATATTAACATAATATTCGTTTACATAGTATAATTTCATATTAAAATATTTTGTGAGTTATACTATAGTAGATAGCCCGTAAAAATATCTATAATCATAATTATGTAAATTATAATATGTTCCATCACATGATCCGTGCTACACAATTATCAATAATACTTTAGTACATCCATTTTTTGTATCGTTTGAGTAATATACATCCGTTTCTAAAAATTCAAATTGCAACAAATGCAAAAAAAAAATTATTTTTATTATACATATGTTTATGTAATAATATAAATTTTAAAACAAATAAGATCATATAAAGATGTTGGAAAAATATTTGGTTTATTTGAGAGAGATTTTAGGAAATTTTGTTAAATATAATAAATATTGATTTCTAATTTTGAAAATTTATTCTGATTTAATTACAAAATTTATCTTAAAATTTTTCTATTTGATCAAATAGCAAGAGTTTAATTATGAAAATATTACAAAATAAAAGGGTAGAACACAATAGGTATTTCAAAAATGTTAATATAGATAACTTAAATTCTCTACTCTAACTTATTAAGAAAAAGGACTAGAAAAATTAAGAATGAATTATAAACAAACGGATTCCATAGTATAGCCCTCTACATTTTAGTTTCAGTATATGACATGTTTGGATATTATTGGTAAAGAGAAACTAAACAAACTTAGGCTTGAATTGTGTGACGATGTATATTAGAATTTTCCAAAATGTAAATAAAAAAACTAAACAAAAATTATCTATAGTGAGAATTTTGTTGAGCTTATATGGACTACGTGGGCTTTGGACCTAAGGCCCAATATCATGTTGGCAATATATCTGTATCTTAGGCCCGATACAGATATCTCAATCAATTTGATTAACGAATCTGCCATTTCTAGCGATTTAGGGTTTTACACAGTACCAGATCCCGACCGTTTTGAATCTCAAATCTTCGTCACTCTTCTTCTTCTTCTTCTTCAAGCTTTACCCTTTTTACTAGTTGAACGGAGATCTGTATCGGATTGAACCGCGGAGGGTGAAGACTCGGAGATGGCGCTGGCTTTCGATGAGTTTGGCCGGCCATTCATTATACTGAGAGAGCAAGATCAAAAGACGCGTCTTAAAGGCATCGATGCTCAAAAGGCCAACATTGCCGCTGGTAAAGCAGTGGCTCGGATCCTCCGATCCTCTCTTGGCCCCAAAGGAATGGATAAAATGCTTCAAGGACCCGACGGAGACGTCACCATATGTTAGTTTCTTCCTTTTGAATCTTCTCATCTCTGTTTAGTATATTTGAGTTAAATTTGAAGACTTTTTCTCTCTTCTCTAGTTTATACTACGAACCTGTGATTTGAATGCCGCTCTTGTTGAGTTGGGAATGGATTTATATGAAAATCGCATCTTTCATTTCAAAGTATCAAACTTGAAAAAGGTGAGAATTTTAGTTGTTCTCTTTTGTGTATAACGTTGTCGTTCTTGTTTTTTTCTTCTTCAGCGAATGATGGTGCAACGATCTTGGAGCAAATGGATGTGGACAATCAGATTGCTAAATTGATGGTTGAGCTTTCAAGAAGTCAGGATTATGAGATTGGTGATGGCACAACTGGTGTTGTTGTTATGGCTGGTGCGCTTCTTGAGCAAGCTGAACGTCAATTGGATAGAGGGATTCATCCTATTCGTATTGCTGAGGGATATGAAATGGCTTCTAGAGTCGCTGTTGAACATTTGGAACGTATATCTCAGAAGTTTGAGTATGATGTTGATAACTATGAGTCACTTGTTCAAACTTGCATGACCACTCTATCCTCCAAGATGTAAGGAGTGCTTATCTACTTCAATATTTAGTGGATTGGTTTTGTATAAATTTTTCTAAACATTTTGTTGCTTTGTACTGCAGTGTGAATCGATGCAAGCGCAGTTTAGCTGAGATTGCTGTGAAAGCGGTTCTTGCTGTTGCTGATATAGAGAGGAAAGATGTTAATTTGGATCTGATAAAGGTAGAAGGTAAAGTTGGGGGTAAGCTGGAGGACACTGAGCTTATATATGGGATTTTGATTGACAAAGACATGAGCCATCCGCAAATGCCAAAGCAAATTGCAGATGCCAACATTGCTATTTTGACTTGTCCCTTTGAACCACCGAAACCCAAGACAAAGCATAAGGTGGACATTGACTCAGTGGAGAAGTTTGAGACATTGCGCAAGCAAGAACAAGAATATTTTGATGAAATGGTGCAAAAGTGCAAGGTAGGTTTGGAGTTTGGGGGTCACAGTGTAATAATGTTTTCGTATTTCATAGTTGTTAAGCTACTGAAGATCGTATGTTCTTTTACCAAGATAATGTTTGCTCTACCAGAGGAGTAGGTTACACCACAATGCACTTTTCCGATACTATAATCCTTAATTCTTTGAATTGCAGGATGTTGGTGCTACACTGGTTATTTGTCAATGGGGTTTTGATGATGAGGCTAACCATCTACTGATGCACAGGAATCTACCTGCTGTCAGATGGGTTGGGGGTGTTGAGTTAGAACTTATCGCCATAGCCACAGGTGAGAGGATGCCATTTCAAGCAGCAGTTGCTAATGCTTCATGTGTAGCAACCTGCCCAAATTATAGCTTAATTCGTTTTCTGAAGCTGATGGGATTTATGTCCTTGTAGGAGGAAGGATTGTTCCAAGATTCCAGGAGTTGACCCCAGAGAAGTTAGGAAAGGTATAATCATTTTCATTTGGGGCCAATAAAACATGTTCCACCGTCTAGTTGATTTTACTTTATGTTGTACAATATGTTCTACCATCTAATTGATTTTTGCACTT